CCAACCCCCAACCCCAACCCCTCAAATTTGTTAATATTTGCTTTATAAATTATTTCTTAGCTTATTAATTTCTCCTAAATTACATAAAATATATAAAAATATCAGAATTGTATGGATTCTTTTTAATTTTTTATTATGTAAATAAATTTATAAAAGGTTGTAAATCAAAGAAAAATAAATGAAATACAGTCTTTCTCAATCAGGAAAGCCGCGTTATTAAAGTCAATCTTAATAAAATACTCTATACCAATAAAAGGTTACAATTTAGTGTATTAGCTTCAATGAGATTCTAATAAGGACACGAAATGAAGAAACGTGGAATATTTTAAAGACAATTATGGACAAATAATAAAATATAGTGATGCCAATTAAAGGCGGATATGGTGGATGGAAAACATAAATAAAAAACTAAAAGATTATTCACGATTTAATAAGATAATCGAATATAAGAGTAGAAACTATGCCCGTTTAATATTCTAATTTGTTTAAAGAATTCAATTTTTACAAATTTATGGAATCAATCAGCTAGGGCTAAGCTGATGTAAATCCTTTTTCATAAAATAACTAATAAATAAAAAGGAATTTCGATGTCCTTCCTGAATCGATAAAATAGAGTTTATTTAAATTTCAGAAAACAGGAATTGAATTTGGAATTCAAAGAAATTGTAGGCTACTTATTGGCGATGAAATGGTAAATTGTTATTTATTAATCAATATAATAAATGTAAACTGATAAAATTAAGCGCGCGAGATATAAAAAATTTTTTTATAAAGTTTGTATTATTTGAAAATCAGTAAAATTCGCTCTTTTTAGTAAAAAATATAATTCTTTTTCTTATTATTTTGAGTAATTCAATTAAATTAAATTAATTTTATTTCTAAAATTTATTTATAAAATTTAATTTCCTAAATTAAACAATTTAACAAATTTATTTTATCCTTATTATCATTTTAAGTTTTTAATTTATTTAAATTTGTTAAATTTTTAAAATTAAAACTTAAAATTTTATGATTTTACTTAATCTAATTTAAATAAAATATTGATTTTAATTTTAAGAAAGGTTCATTGAGCAATTAGGAAATAATTTAGTTTGAATTTTATGATTATTTAAATATTCAATATTAATAAAATATTAAAATTTTATATCTTCGATTAAGTTTTAAATCAATTTTAAAATATTATATATATTATATAGGGTGTTGGAAAGACTCTTTAGGCTCTTTGCATTGCTTATATTTATAAAGATTAATGGCCTTTACTGATTATATGCCCCTCATGTCTTAGATTCACAATTAAGTAAGAAATAGTAAATTGGTTTTCTGAGTATATAGACCCAAGTCTAATTTAGGTAGTTAGCAAAGGAAGTGATTAGTTGTTAAAAAAAGCTGAAATAGTTATTATAAGTTTTGATGTAGTTAATAATCTTTCTGAAGTAATTCAAATAAAGAAATTTTAGACATGTATTATTGACGAGGCACATTACCTTAAATCATTAGATTCCTAAAGAAGTAAAACTATTGTGCCACTTGTAGAAAGAATGAAGAATGTCATTCTTCTGACTGGAACACCAGCACTTTCAAGACCAAAAGAACTTTTTAACATTCTTAAAATTATTAGACCTGATATATTCAATGATTTTAAGATTTTTGCTTATAGGTATTGTAATCCTAGGCTAAATAAAATTGTAAATTGCATCAACTATGATGGCTGTGATAATGAACTTGAACTAAATTTTATTCTTTCAGAAAGAATTATGATTAGAAGATTGAAAGAACAAATATTGCCTGATTTACCATCAAAAAGAAGAAAAAAAATTCTCATAGAAATTCCTTAAGGATCAAAAAATAAAATAAATAAAGCAGTCAAAACAGCTAACGAGAAATTATTTTAAATATATCTTGCTAAATAAATGGAATCTCAGTATTTAGATGATGAATTCTAAAATCTTAAGGAGGAGCAAGAGAATTAAGATTAAATGAAGAGGACCTTCAATTTTGTAAAAATTTTTTAAACAAATATTTAAAAAAATGCTGAGAATATTTAAAAATATCATTTATTTTATTACTTAATTTTTATAAAATATAAAAAATTATTTTTAAAGAATTTATTTTTATATTTCTAATAATTTTCTCTGATGTAAAATCAAATTTTGAAAATTCGAAAATCAAATATTTATAAAAAAATTTTAATTTATAAAACATATTTTCGAATAATTAACCATGAATTAGGTGTATCAAGAAACAGGATTAGCTAAGCTCGATGCTGTAAAGGAGTATTTAGAAGATTTAATGGATAGTTAAGTGAAATTGATAATTTTTGCTCATCACTAATAGGTATTAGACAGAATAGAAAAAATGGTAAAATGTGATTTTAGGAGATAATATATAAGAATTGATGGGAATGTTAAGTAAGAAGAAAGAGTTGATTTAGTTAATTAGTTTTAAAATAATACTAAGACTACTGTTGCTATTTTATCTCTCCAGGCAGCCTCTCATGGAATTACTTTAACAGCTTCTTCTCATGTAATTTTTGCAGAATTATATCCTACCCCTGCTGTTATGCTTCAAGCCGAGGATAGATCTCACAGAATTAACCAAAATAATAATGTTTTATGCCATTACCTAATTGTAACTTAATTAATTTTAAGTTTTTATTTCATTTTAATATCAAACAAATTATGTAAAAACCGTTTTTATAAAGAATTTTTGAACAAAGAGGAAGCTTTTTTTTAAAAATGATAAGGGTAAAGACACTGTAGATGAAGATATATTTAATCTTTTGATGTAGAAGTATAAGGTGACTAGCTCTATTTTAGATGGATAGAGAAAAGACCTTTAAATAGATGAATTTTAAGTATTTTAGTATGACTAAGATAAAATGTAAAATAGCTAAATTGAGCTGCTAGATGAAAAAAATAAAATTGAGTAAAATTCAAATCAACAAATTATTGAAGAACCTTTATAGCCAGATAAGATAGTATAAAATGATAAAGAAAATTAAAATAATTTAATTAATTAAAGTTAACTAAATAATTTATCTAGCTAAGATACTATTTTTAAGGATAGAACAAACTAAAGTAATTCGCTTCATTTATTTAGTGATTTCAATACTCACTAAGAATAAGTTAGGTTAAAGAAGGAATAAGATCTTTTAATTAACAATCAAGAAGTAGTTAGTTCATAGACTTTCAAATAATCTCTAAGTATACAAGAAAACAGTAATGGTATTATTTTTGAGATTTTAGACAATAACGATACAGATATAAACATATAGATGCTAAGTGAATTGTTTAATCAAAAAACTTAAAGCTATTAGGAAAATGATATGGATAATAACTAGGACTCTTTAATCTAAAATAATGAAGAAATTAAACAAAATATTTTAATCAATACTCAAAAACAATTATAAAAAGATCAAGTAAATAACTTTTAGTTTATATTCGATGCAATTGATGAAATTTAAACTGATTCTGAAGTAGAAAACTAAATTAATTCAGCAAATATCGTGGAAAAAATAGAGTAAAAAAAAGAAAGTAAACTTTTATAAAATGTCAAGAATTATTTTTAAAGCCAATCTGAAGACAGTTCTTTTGAAAATTAAGATGCAGAAAGTTGCGATGGAAGTCAATTTTAAGAGATTTCTACTGAGAAAATTGGGTTTTAAGAAGAAAAATAGATCTACTAAGGCTCTAGTATTATTGATTTGTTTGCATTTAAAAGAAATTAGAACTAAATTTCTAATTATAGTTTTGACGATTTAAATGAATCTACATAGACAATTTAAAAATAATAAATAAATTAGAATACTAATAAATCTAATATATTAGTCAGTTCTGATAAGGAAATAATAGAAATAGAACCATTTTAAAGTTAAATTTAAGCATAAAAAATAAAAAATGAATAAAGTAACTAAGAAAAAGAAATAATTCAGTAAAACCTTGCAGAAGATAGAATTTAATAAAAGACTATTTTTGACTCCTAAAAATAGAATTCAATAAATTAATTTGAAAATAATCAGAATTGCAAATAATAGCATTAAAATTGTTAAACTAATATGTACAACAACTAAAAAAATAAAAATATAATTGCTATAAAATCTGAGAGTTAAGTTTGTTAAACTTAATGTTAAGCTTAAGGCAAAATAAGTAAAATTATCTAGCCAGAAATATCGGGTATTGAATAAAGTTAAGCTTTATAGCAATAAATAAATAAAAATAGTTATGAAAATAAAATAGAAAATTAATAAATCAGAAATACTTAAACATATTAAAATGGAAATTAAAATTCAAAAGAATTAAAAAACCTTTGCAATGCATAATCTATTCTATTGAAAAATACATAAAACTAAATTGAAAATATTCCTTCAGTAGGATTTAGCACAAAGTAAGATTCATTAGGAAATTAAGTTACTGAAAAAAATGATCCATTAAATGAATAACAAATGAATAATTTGTCTATTGAGGAATAATTCAATTAGCAAGTACAAATTGAGATAAATAAAGAATAAAATGATTTCTAAAATTAATAAAGCCCTAACAATTCAATGAAAAAATAAAATTCAAATACTTCTATATTATTTTTGAATTAAAAGGTTACTGAAAATTAATTAAATCAATCAACTTGCACATCTTAAGCTGATTTTTAAATTTAAAAAAATCTAAAAACGCTTGATGAAAATTTAAACGATAAAAAAGACTAAAGACTTAACAACATTTAATGCTTTCCATAAAAAGAAGAAGAGATTCCCTTAAATATAAATACTTCAAACTAAAATAAAAAAATTAGTTCACAACTTAATATTATATACGCTGATACAGATGACTCTAATAATAGTGATGAGAGTGATGACGATATAAATTTCGAAATTTAATTAGCTCAAAAATTTAAAAACCAAACAAAGTAGGAAGTTATTAACTAACCTTCAATTAATGGACCTAATGAACTAAAATAAAATCAAATAAATCAAGCTCAAACTCAATAAAATAGCAATTCTGATAATTTAAGCACTTAGTATACTGCATAGAGTATTTATTTAAATGAAAAAAATTAGAGAAATTCCTGTTAAACACAAAAAAAACTTTAAAAGTCACCTCCACAATAATAATAAATATAATCTTTATAAAAAGCTAATTAATAAAATTCTGTAACCTCAGAGTCTTATGAAAAAAAGTAAAAAATTTAATAAAATTTTGTTAAGCTTGATGAGCTTTCTGGTAATAATTTTTGCTATAACTAAAGTACTTAAGGTAAGGTGGAGTCAATGTTAGAAAAAAATAATATAAATAGAAATAATTAAACATAGATAGGCCAAAACTTTTCTATTATAACATAAACAGAATAATAATTTCAACAAAAGCGAAAGAGAGAATAATTTGAAAATCAAATATTCTCTAGCTAAAGCGATTCAGATTAGTAAACTGAAAAAGATATTATGAAACTAAAATCAAAATAGTTATAATCGAAAAGAAAATGACCATTGTAACTAAGATAATATATATTATAATTAATTGATTATATTTTTTTGATAGGTATATATCTCTAAAATTATATAAATTTGAAAGATTTGATCTTAATTATGTTAATAAAATTAATTAATTAATTAATTATTCTAAAATTAGACATAAATTTTAAATGAATTTCTGATGAAGTGATCTGATAACTTCTTTTGAATACTTAGTAAATTGAGTTCATGTTTTTTATTGTGATTGATTTTTTTCTGATTTTTTAGATAAAGAAAACTATTTTATTGGGCATTTTATTAATTTAAAATATGAGCTTATATAAATATTCTCATACATACTATTCAAATTTTTGAATTTAATTTAATAAATAACACCTCTTTTATGACGTTTTTATCTTTATGTAAGTAAAAATATGATTAAATATTTCAAATTAGAGGATTAATTTTTAAAAAGAATTTTTCAATCATTCAAATATCTGTAAATTTAATAGTGGTAGTTATTTTTTTTATAAATATGAGCTCCTGCATGTTTACATTTTACATAAAAAATGGAATTAACCTAAAATTATTCTTAAATTATCCTGGAGAAGTAATTTATTTTAAAGGAATTAGAAGCTAAAAGAAAATTAATTTATATGCTATCTGTTTTAAATAATTTATTGAAAAAAGTGAACATACAGGTAATATATATTTGGTATATTCAATAAAATGTAGATTAATTTGTTTGTGTGAAAAAGAAATGTAAAATCTTTAAAGGATATATATTGTATTTTGCTTTTATATATTTTTATTATTTGGTAAATAATACAGAATAAAGTATTTAATAAAACTTAAGGTGACGAACTATTCCTTATATTTGATTGTTATATCAAATTTCTAAGTGCATCATTACTTGCAAAAATATTGAGCATTTAGTAGTTAGAATTACATACTGCAAATATAAAAAACAATCATACATAAATAATAGACATACTTTTATCAATATCCATATTTATTTGTTTTAAACGACGTTTGAATGTATAAATCTCATATATTTAGAGAACAAATGCTCTTTAAGTAGTCACTTTATTCAAAATATAAATAATTAACTTGCATGTTTTTTTAATTTATATTATCTAATAATTTATAAATAAATATCGTGAACATTCAACTATAAACTAAATTCTTATCATTTCTTAATTGAAAATGCGTCACAAGCTGATTTATTAAAAGACTATATTTGCGCAATTAGAGAAAAACACAAATCTATTGATTTTGCTTTATATTGAAATAGACTAGAGAAGCACTATTTAGGCTAATCTATCAATATGTTACGAGACGTTTCTATCCCCTCACCTTTTTTTTTTTGCTTTATTATCAAAGATGTGATAATAATACTTCAATTTGCTTTATCATAATCTAAATAAATTATTTGAAATAGTATCTTTTCAAACTAGACCTTTTGCAGTATAGAATTTTTAAGACTGTTCTATTTACTTTTTAACTCAGTTTTCTTTTTATAATAAATACTCCATTAATGTTTATATCCTAATTTATTAACTCTCAATTAAGCAAAGTAGATGTTAATAAATTTATTTGAATTTGTTAATCTTCTAAATAGTAAGCATAACTTAGCTAGGGCTTTATACTCAAGTCCCCCTTTTTGGCGATTATTTAAAATTAATTTTATAAAAACCATAGTAAGTTGTGCTCATTAAAGAGAAGAATTAGTATAATTTTCTATAAAAATTTTGTAAATTTAATATATCTATGATTGATATTTAAATAGAATGGAGTGGGTGGGTAGAAAAGTGCTTTTTTGTATTTATTTTTTAATAGTAAATAATAACTTTCATATTATTAGAAAGAAATCTATCTATTTATTTATCTAGCTAGCTTTACTTTTATTGATTAATAATAAGAAGATTATGAATATCAATCTAGCTTAAATTAAATATTTGGCAGAAGCAAAAAGAAATTCTCAGAAACTTTTCAAAACATATAAAAATTAAATTACAAAAAAAAAGTTAAACTGAAAAAAAAAAAAGATATAAAGAAAAAATAATAAAAGCTCAAAATAAATGACTAATACTGCTGTTGACTCTAAGTCTGGTGATAAGAAGGCCTTCGAATAGATAGTATCAGAATAATAATAAAAGGTTAAGGACTAATACAAGTAGACCACTATGTTCATCAGAGAAAACTATTTGCCTCACTTTAACCTCTATCAAGTATTTTTTTAAATTCTTTTTTTTACCGCAATAGTCCTAATGATATTTTACAAAAACAGCCTAGTTTAGACTATTTCAAAACATTCTAATTTTATTTTAAATTATTTAAAAATAGAAAACTATGATTTATAAGAAAATGGCTTGTTATGAACAAAATTTGGCTGATCCTTCTGTTTATTACTCTTGCATTGAAAAGATTGACTAAAATATGCAAACAAACTCTATGAGACTCCAATAAAAATTCGCCAGAATCGATGTAAAAATAATTTCTTATTTAAAAAATACAAATAAGTTTAAAATAAGCTAGGAAATTATAATTTTATTTCATAAGATCCTCTTATTTGTTTGCTAAATAAGCAAAATTCTTAGTTTTTAAGTAGAATAAATAAAAAGTTTTAGATACATTTCTACTTTTCAGATAAAATTTTAAAATAAATTTAATTTTAAAAACGAGTGAGTTTAAATACTAAATATAGAAAGAAATTCTATTTAATAATGCTGTTTAAATTGTTTTATTTAAATGAATTTTTTCTTAAAATAAATAGGAAAAGGATAAAGAATGCCAAGACTCTTGCACCAAGAATTTCAGTGGTTCAGATAACTTCATTACTTGCATGCAAAAATGCTCTGATATCCTTAAGAAGCAATCAATCGATATTTATGAAGAATTCTACAAATCCACTATTTCTGATTTACCTGAATTCAAGAAAATTAGAAAGTGAAGAACTCAATAAATGTTTAAAATAAATCCAAAAACAAAAAACATCCAACAAACAAACGAAAGGGTTTTGAATTATTAAAATAATAATTTATTAAACATACTAATTGAATTCTACAAAAATACAATCAAATCTATGAATGCAAAACACCAACTTTGGTATCTAAAAGCATTTACTCCTTGAACACATACATACATACATTCTCATATTAAATGAAGCTAAAATAAAATGTTAATAAAAAATAAACAAATAAACAAATAATAATAATAATAAATTAATTACATATATTATAATATCACAATAAATATAATAATAATATATTAAAAATATTATAATACCCCAATAAAAAATAATAATTAAATTTTCTACTAAATTCCATAAAATAAATATATAATCAATTTGTATTAATCCTCTCCATTTTTCATCTTGTTTATAGCTGTCTAATAAACAAACCCTTTTTTAAAATAAATAAGCAAACTATTTAAAAATCAATTAAATTAATTTGTTTTCTAAAAATATTTAAATTTGTATTTTATTAATATATATTTAATAGTATTTTAAACTTTATATCATTTATTCATTTAATAGATATTATCTTTGAATGATTTTCTTATTGATAGAGCGTTTTAGAAATAGTCTATTTTTACAAATAGACTAAAATTATTACTAAAAAAATTTTAGATTTTAATTTAGTCATGAATAATCAATTTACTTCAATTACTTAAATATTTTTGATTTTATATATATTTTAATATTTATAAATTTTTTATACTAATTCCAGCCAACTAAACAATCAATTTATCTTAAATATTATCTATAAAATTTTGTGTAAAAAAACAACTTTTACTTGAATATATTTAATTATTAAACAAATTCAGTTTTGTTAATTAATTAGCATTTTATAAAGAGTTTATTTTAATCCAATAAATTAATTAAATTAAAAATTTAAAAGAAGAAAGAAAATTAGAATAACAATTATTAAGCTTCTATGCTTTATAATAATAAAAAATGATAAAAACTTTATATTAAATTTTTGCAAAAACAACAAAATTTTATGGTTTTAACAATTGAATCAATCTTTGCTCCATTTAAATCTTTTAGTGATAAGTTTTTTTTTAATGGAATTAAACTTATAAAATATTTTTTTGGGATTTTATAATTAATTTATTGATTTTAAATTTGAGTAAAATTTATATCCAAAGCTAATTTAATTAATTTTAGGTACTTTATTAAAGTTAAATAGATAATTTTTTTAATAAATTTAAATAAAGATTATATTAATTTTTTATTTAATATGGAAAATAAATTTTTTTATCAAAATAATCAAATTAATACCATTATTTATTTACGTTTTAAGAAGGAAAATTAAATAAAATGCTCTTTGAAGAGATAAATATCAAATAAATTAATTAACTCATATATTCTTTATTAAATTTGTTTTATTTTTAATAGTTTTTGTTTAAGATTTACAAAAAATTATATCAAGATTACACTAAATTTTAGTAAATTTTACTGGGTATATATTTTGATTTCTATTTTAATTTTTCTATTGTTTTGTTATAATGTTTAATATGTGTTATTTCTATAAGCTTAAAAAATATATTATTTGTCATATTGGTAGGTACTGTAAAAAGAATTAATTATTCATGGATTTATCTTTGTTATTTTAAAATTAGAATAAATATTTGTGATTTAGATATTCCTCATTCATGATTACTACTTATTAATTTATTAAAATAAAATTACATCTATCATTAATATGGTGATTTTTAATTTATTTACTTATTTGTTGTTAAAAACATTTTGTAAAAAGATATCCATCAAAGAATATTTTGTGTACACTTAAAATAGTAATCATTAGTTATTATGAGCCAATAGCTCAGATAATATAATTAAGTGTCATAAAAGTTAATTTGCTTAATTTAGATAATTTATTGAAAAAAAGAAGAGTAAAAGCAACTCTTTCTAGAGTAATATAAACTAGTAAAGAAAGATTGCTAGATAATTATAGGATTCATAAATTAAGTAACATAGAATAGTAGTTAAGTATGTTGAACTCTGTATAGTAACAAAAGATTATGTTCCATCACAAAGTGATGTTTGAAAATCTAGAATTGTAGAGGAAATAAAGAGTTTTGAGAATGCCTATAAACGGGGTTCCTTTTCATAAAGTAGTAGAAGAATTCTGTAATAAATAAATTGATTTAAAGAGCGATTATGATAGCGAAGTAATACTTCATATAAAAATTTATTTTTTTTATAACGCAAAATAAAGAATATTTATTAGAAGCTGGAGATTTTAAATATAAACTAACAGCCAACCTCATTTATATTAAAACAGAACCATTTTATTTGTGTTTATTTATCCTCTTATTTTAAGATTATTTCAAGGTTATTATAATTGCAAAGTAAATCAAGAAAAGAAATTCAAGCACTTCAGAAGGCTTTCGGTTAATTAAAATTTTTCATGGAGGCATAAGATTATTTAGCAAAAAAAGAGTTTGAAGGACTTCTTCAGGAAATATAATATGAAAAATTTGATAAATATCAAACAGTTTTCGAATTTGGTACTTTGTTTTTTTAATAACTTATATATAGAAGCTTTTTTCAAAAAAAGTTGATTGATTTAATGATTATCTCTCAATTATTTTATTAAAATTAGATGAGCTTGGATATAAGTATTATATAATTTTAAAGGGTTCAGTGTTTGTTTAAATTCCCAATAAAAATTATAAGAAATATGAAGAAAAGTAGAGATTAGTAATCGACTTAAAAAAAGCTTCATAGTTATCTCTAAGTGCTTAATAAAATAGTAAAACTTCTTCGAGAAAAAACTCATCTGATTCTTCTTCATCATCATCTATATCTCTTAACGATACACCACCTTAACTAAATTCTCCATTAAAGCCTTTATAGAGTTCCTAAGCTATGAAGAATTAAAATACAAAATCTTAAATAAATGACTTCAAAAACTATTTTCAATTCCAAGATTAAGGAACAACAGCGACTAAAAATAAAAACATAGGTATGTTATGTTATGATTTTGTTTTAAAAGTACTTATCAATTTAAAAGCTGAAAGAAAGTTATAAATAATAAATCGATATTTTTGTTAAAATTGAACCAGTGGTAAAATCTGTAGTTATAAATAAGCTAAAAACAGATAGGAAGAAAGAAAGAAAGATAAATATTTTAGAATTAAAGATATTTATTTATTTTACATGAATTTGATAATTATTGTGATTTTTTACCATTAATTAATTTATTTTACATTTTTATAAAGAGGAAATTTAGAAATAAAGTAATCCAAATGCTCGAAAAAGTGTTATCCTTGCTATAAACACAATCAAGCAAGTTAATAAATTTGGTAAAATTCTATTTAATCATTAAATTTTTTTAATTAATCTTACACTTTTTATGTTAATTTTGTATTCATTATTCTAAAAATATTTATTAATTTTAATTGTATAAATTTGTTGTTTTTACTATAATAATCTATTTGTATTTATAATAAACCAGCTAGCAAATTGAAGCATGAAAAAGAAAAAAGCTAGTTTTCAACTCAGAAGTTGACAGCAAGGTCATAGAACTAGAAATTGAGTCCAAAAAGCAAGTAAAACCTAGAAGATGAAGAGGCATAAGCTTCTTAAACTCAAATAGAAGTAGACCCCAAGGAGAGAATTTCAACTATGTATCCATAATTCGATATAGTGAGAGAGCTTGGAGCTGGTGATGCTTTTGGAGAAATAGCCCTCATGAATAATGCTAGAAGGACTGCTAGTATTATTTGCAAAGAGGAGACCACTTTTGCTGTGTTATCGAAGCAGAGTTATGATAAGATACTTTCATAATATCACCAAGCAGAATAAGAAAAAAATATAAGCTTTCTCAGGGAATTAACAATATTCAACTAACTTGGTAAGAGTAAACTTGATGCATTATACAGGCTCATGGAAAAACAAGAATTAAAAAGGAATTAAATAGTTTATTCTGAAGGAGATCCTGCTAAATACGTTTATTTTATCAAAGAAGGAGAAATTTAAGTAATTAAATTAATGAAATAATCTATGGTTCAAAATATCAAGAAAATTTAATATATATTTATATTAGGTCTCTCAATAATGTGTTCAGTAAAATGAAAAAAAAAATAAAGATGAAGGTGACCCAGAATATTCTAAAATGATGAGTGACTATAATCTAAAGTGGAAAGGATAACACCAAAAAGAGAGCTTGAAAAGAATTAAAATTGCTATACTAGGCAAAAACAATTATTTTGGCCAAGAAGAAATTATTTCCAATATACCTAGGCTCTATAGAGCAGAAGTTTTTTCAACTAATGCAGTATTGTATTGTTTATCTAAACAGGTAATTAACACTTAAATTATTTAACAAATGTTAATCAATAGAGACAATAATTTTAATTTACTTTTTTAAGAAATTTTTAAGCACTGTTAAGATGTTCAGCTAATCAATGGAGATAATGAGGCAAGAGCTTTCTAAGAGAGCAACTTGGAGAATTAATTAATTAGAAAAAAATCTGACTACGAATAAAAAGATAGATCACGAAATTTAAAAGGTTTAAAATGAAATAGTAAAACTTGAATTTGCAAACCAAACTCTTAAAGAGAAGCACGAGGTTGCTACTTAATTTATAGCATCAGATATAGATGCATTCTAAAAGGAGCATTAAGAATAAGATTACATAAAGCATGGAATAATTAGGTATCTATTTAACTATTTGAAAATAATATTTTTTCTAATATTTTATAATTTTTTCAAATAAGGTCTGAAAAAGATGTTAATAAAATAAATGAAGACATTTTAAATTAACTAAAAAGCAGTAAAAAGAAGAAAAAATAAAAGTAAATTATCGTTGATCCTAAAGTGAAGCTATTTAAGCTTACTTTAAAAAATAATTTATTTTAAGAAGAAACTGATAAAATTAATTAAAGAATGAAAAAGAAAATAATGTCTCCCAGAGATTTTAAATCTTTTTTATAGCTATCAAGCTAAAAAATGATTAGCTTAAACTCTCCTCGTAATATCAGAGGAGAAATGGTGAAGGAAATATTAAATTGCTATGACATGAAAAGCAATAACCAATAAATTCCGGAATTTACAGAAGACCAAAATTAAATTTTCTCTAAATTTAATGTCAATTCATTTTAAAATCTTCCTGTAGATTATGTTACACCTTTTAACAGTTCCATAACAAATTTAGAATCAAAAAATGAAGCTTTGAAAAAATTTTAAAATTTACTTTCATCAAATCTTAACAAAAGTAATGATTTCTCTGTTGATAAAAGCTAAAATAAAGCTAAAAATTTATTTACTTCTCAAAGGTTTTCTTTAGACTCTAAATACATTTTGTATGATGAAAACACTCCTCAAAGTAACAAAAGTAATCTATAGGATCATGCTATTGATAGCTAAAACCTTTTTAATAAAAAAAAATCTTCGTTTCAGATAAAAATCCATGGAAGATAAAGTGAAGAAATTCAAATATTAGACCAAAATAATGAAAAGGAGAATTTAACTAGAATTAAACAAAAAAGAATTTAAAGTGCACATCCAAGATTTGACAATAACTCAACAAAAGAATTTAATCATTAGAAGTATGTAATATTTCCTTCTTCTAATTTTTAAAACAAGCAAGATACTTCAAAAAATGTTCAGAGTATGGTTAGTATAACTAATTTAAATTCAGAGCGTAAATTTTTAAGTAATTTTAAATCAATCTAAGAAGAGGAATTAGATTCTCCTGTTCTTTTTTATAAGCCACAATATAGCCAAAGCAACATACAAGCATAACTATTGACAAATCTTTAGTTAGGTAAATTTGTTAATAGTACTATCTATTAGGATAATACAAATAAAAGCAACACTAACAACATAAATAAAAGTGGAAGCTGCAATCAATCTCCAACAACAAGATAACCACCCTAAATAATTTAAGACTAACAAAATAATAAAAAAGAAGAGCATATGAAATTATCTTTGAATACTGCTCAAAATGATTAGCAATAACACAAAAAAAATACCCAAGTTCCTAATAAGTCTAAATCAATATGTTCCTCAGAATTTTAATAAAAGAATCTTCAAAATAAATAACAATAATTATAACAACAACAATTTCAGCTCCAAAAAAGTAAATAACAAACAAAAAAAATAACCTATTTAAAAGCAAATAAGACTTTCTCAGTTATAAATCAAAACTTAGACCAAAAACTTAAATCATTTTTTGATACTAGGAAAATAGTTCAAACGAATAATCCTTCAAAAATATAAGAATGTCCTGATAAATCAGTAAACATAAATTAAAGTAATCAGATCTATAATAAAAATGTAAATAACTAGGATTAAAATTAATAAAAGTAAGCTCAAGATTAAGGAAAAGATAACTCAGATAACTAAAATTAGATAATTTAGAATTAAATATAATAAAATTCAGATAAAAATTAAGATGATTTTTAGTAAGCAAGATCAAACTTAAGCATAGTTTTAACGAAAGAACCATAAATAAAATAAAATGCATATTTAAACTTATAAACATCAAAGAATTCATCAGAAAATATTTTAAAATTTAATTTGGATGACACATAAATAATATCTAAAAGAAAAAGGCCTTAAAGTAGTCTTATAGGTTCTACTCTGACTCAATCAACAATTAACCTCAAAAACATGTTACAATCTCCTGATAGAGTTAGTAGAAAAGATTTGGCCATTTCTCATTTATGCTCACCAATTAGTGGGACTGATTTTAAACCAAGTTTTGAATACTTTTCAAATAATTCAAATTTTAATAAGTAATTCAGAGTGAGCTATTTAAACACCCCTATGAATATTTAACAATAAAACCAAAGTATTTAGCAGCCAAATGAATTTAAATACGAAATAAATAATTAAAATATGATGAATAATAGGTAAAATTAAATACATAGTTCTACATAGATTAATTAAAATACTGTTTCTTTGTAAGATTTGCCATTTTTTCCATCAAGTCGCAGCTAAGTTACTTCACCAAATCATTAATAATTTACTATACTTCGCCCTAAATCAAGTAAGATCAATTAACAAAGCAAAATAAATGATTCTTAATCTAAAAATATTCATATGGACAAGCTTAGATTTTTGAAAAAAGATATAGAAATCAAAGACCCTTTTAAAAATAACTCAAAATAATTTAAAAAACTTATGTCTGCTTCAACTAGAAATTTTGTTTTACAGTAAACACCAAAATCATAACCTTAAATTCCAGTTTAATTTGCTAAAGCTGAGTGATAAAATAAACTGCAATCTTTTTAAAATAACAATTTAACACAATAAAATAATTTGCTATTATAAAAAATTTTGAATTTCAAAAACAATAAAAAAAATATAATTTTATTTCACATCACAAAAATTAAAATATGATTAAAATAAGAGTTTTTTTATAGTTAAAGTTAATAAATAAATTATCTCAATGATTTTTTTAAATTTATTTTGTAATAAATTATTGTTTTTAAATAAAAATTCAACAAAACTCAAATTTTTTCTTTTTAACAAAAAAAAGAATAAATTCTAAATCTTTTCTTTCTTTATTTTTGTTTTTTTGTTACATGAGATTCAAAAGTTGAATAAAAAACAAAAATTTAATCTTAATTCGTTTTTAGTTTTATAATCAGAGTTGTAAGAAATTTTAGCTGATATTTTTGTTTTAATTTTAATACTTCGTTACAAAGTAAATTTAAAAAAATAAAAATCTTTTAAAAAAAGTAAAAATTATTAAAGCAAATTGATAGACAAATTTAATAATGGATTCTTAAAATTCAATAAAATACATAAAAAATGAATTTAAAAAACATTATATAATTGTAAAGATATTCTATTAATTAAATGAATATTTTAATATAAATAACTTATTAAAAGTTAGATTCTTACAATCAAATATTTGATTTTTTGACTGTAGTTTTGTTTATGTTAAGTTTAATGGTTTTTGATTTTTTAATTTTTTATATATTTGAAAATCTAGATTATCTTAATTACTTTGGTTGGTTTTCATAAAGTTTTTTTATTATGTTGGTGATATTATTATGAGTAAAGTAATGATTAAATTCTCTAATTATTTCAAAATCATCACCTTGTTTATTTAATTAATTCTAATATGTTAATTCACCAGTTTGTATTTTACCATTATTTTGGAATTCTAATATCTTCTTTTAATCTAAATGATCTTCTTTATTTTTTTTAAATAGTTCATTTATCTTATTTAAAATGTTTTGAACCTCTAAGTTATAATTCTAGTTCTATTAATTTTAATTGCCTTAAGCTTATCGTTTATGATTATTTTTAGGAGATGAGGATATTCTTTTTTGTGTAGGAGTCTTTACTTATTAATTTACCTTTGTTGTAGTTGAAGAATTTGAAATTATAGGAGTCTAATTTATTGTACAAGGTTATAACTGCTCCATTTTACTTGTTGCTTATTTGGAAAGAAGATGAAGAATATTATAGGCTGTACTGAATGATGTTTAATCATCTTAATCTAATTTAGGAATTTGTTAGGCACCTTCATCTGGGAAATAATTTGTAAACTGAGAAATAGTTTAAGGAGATTTTTGAGTAAACAATTATAACCTTCTTATTTTATTTAGTGCATCTTAATGCAATTTTTCTTCTTATTATTATTATTCAATTAAGTTAATATCTTCATTTTTTGTAAGGTAGAAAGAAAGATCTTCACTGGAAACATCTTTTAGTAAATCTGAAAATTTAGTTGCTAATTTGAATCTATCTTCTTTTATTTCTAATTTATTCTAAGTCTCCTTAGACTCAAATTATATTACTTCATTCACAACTGGCTTATTTTCTTTTTAAAAAGGGCTATCTATTTGTCTTTACTTATATTTTGATGAGTTTGGTGACTGGTTGTCTTTACTTCTCTTTTTTTTCAGCAATTATTTAGTCTTCATTTCAAAATTTTTCCTTTCGATCTCTTCTTATTCATCTCTATAAAATTTATTTTAAGATTTTAATTAATTTTTAAGTAAATTAAAAAATAATATATATTATTGATATATAAAATATTATTATTATTTGAGAATTATTTATTACATATCGAATGAGTACTGTGCCACTAAATCTTTTTTTGTCTTTTTTTGATTAATTTATTCATCTTATTAGTCACCTTCATCTTTTGATTCTTCTGAAACCCATTCAATTAAATTATTTTATTCTAAAAATTTAATCATCCCTTCTTCTACTAAGCATTGGTTTGCTAGAGTGTTAAATTTATTTTTATTTAATATCTTTCTTTTGAAAGTTTGATAAATGTCTTTGGTAGTTTTAAGATACTAATTATAAAGTTTAAGCTTGTTAGGCTCGTATTAAACATAAGGGCATTTTCCAACTAAATGTCTACTGCTTTTGCAAGAATAGCAATATAGTTTACATTCTTAGTAATTATTGTGTTAAATTAATTTATCTTTTATATTTTGATAAATTTCTCTGTCTTTAGGAAATTCTTTAAGTGTTTCAAAGAAGTCTTAAAAGGTTAGAGATTATATTCTAGATATTCCTTTACTTCTAGCACTGTAAGTTGGAACTTATTCTTATACTAAAAATTCCCCTAGCCCAAAAGTTGTATCTTTTTCTAAAATGCAGTATGACTTAACCTAATCAGCTCCAGAATACTTATCTTAGCTTGAATCTACAAAAATTTCAACTTCACCTCTAACTATAAAATAAATTATTGGATCTTTAACTTAACTTCTTTTAATAATTTCTTCTTCAGGAGCTTAAATATTTTTTAATAATAAATATAAAAAATAAATAAAAAAATAATTCAAAAATTTACCATAATTATTTTCCTTAACTTTTAGAGCTAATCTTTGAAGAAAACCTCTTGAAAAATTACTTTCCAATATTTCTATTTTCTTTAAAGTCTTATAAAAGATATCTTCTTGAATAGCTTCAATAATATTAGAGCTCAGAGATTGCAAAGACTTTGATATTTTTTCACTGTTTACATATCCTTCCTTGTAAACATACTCTAAATAATTTCTAGCTCTATTTGGAAAAATAAATAAATAAATAATTCTCAAAAAATTTTAATTTATTTAAAATATTTTTACAAATTAAATTTTTCGACTCATTCAAACATAAAATTTATGTTTAAGTGTTTCAAAATTAATTCAAAATAAAACAATTTTCTTTTATTAACATTTAAAAATTAATTTTAGCTTAATAAATAAAAATTTTAGTTATACCTATTTTGAATTATTTAACTAACTTCTCTTTAATTCATGTAAAAATTTATATCACTAAGCTAAGTTCTAAACTGGTTATTTAACTTATAGTACTCATCTAAGATATTATTCATTCTGTTTATAGTGTATCCTAAAACTCCGGTTGAAGTGAGTGACATGAAAATTACAAATATTCTTTCATTATCATTTTTAGCTACAACATCTCCATATCCAATTGTTGTTATTGAGATTGCACAAAAATAAAGAGAAGCTATGTACATAGATTTTATATTATTCAAATCCATTCCTTATACCCAAGATAAGTTATCTTTAGAATTTTTATAATTATATTTCCCCAGAATATACCAAGCACAACATAGGAAATGACCAAATTAAATCACTTCTGTTAAGAGAATTGTAATATTAAAAATTAAATTTATTTTTATGCTGAATTGATTGTTTTCTTTGTATTTATTCACAACGTTATGAAATTATGGAAATTTAAAGAAAAAAAGGAATTAAATTGGGTCTCCATTTGGCATAAATAGTCCAATCATAGCAAGTACTTCACTAAAAAAAAGCTTTTGAAAAAAATGCTTCAAAATCAGTTTCCTCTGATTGATTTGAATTCCCTTTTCGTAGTATGAGAGATTACATTAAACTAATATATTAGTGATAAAAATAATCTAAGAAACTAGCTCAAGTTAATAAATATACAAATAGCTGCCGTATGAAAAATTAAATGAAATGTAAAGGGTTTATACAAATATTAGGAGAGTATTTATAATATCCCAAGCAATTATGAAAGGATTAGTAGGAGAAAAGAGAGGAATATCTAAACTTGATAAGGCCACTTTAAATATGATCATACACTTTAAAAAAAATTAATGAGCTGGCTTCCATATTACTTTTAATTATTTCTTTGTTAATAATAACCGCTTTTTTAATTTTCTGATAGTTCTATATTTGCTGTAACTTTTAAGCTGCTTTTTATGGTTATTTTTGAGAGCACTCTAATCCATTTCTTCAATTCCTTTAGCTCCTTTATCATCAATAATTTGAATTTAATTTTTTTATAGTAAATCAGGATTTCTAAAGATTAGCTATTTCTTTAAATGATACTTAAATTTTGCAATATAAGCAACAATTGTAAAGAAGTTTTTTGACCAAAGTAGCTTTCTATTTTCAGAAGTATTTACAGATGGATTAAGTAACTCAGATGCAAATTAATTCTTTTTAGATCCAATATAACATTCGCTATTAATGTTAATTGTAGGCATATTTTTATTTTATAAATGAAAATCGTATACTCTTAAATTTTGTCCGCTTTCTATCTCTTTTTCTTCCTTGTTGATATCGTTTATTTGCTGAATACTTTTAATATCTTCCAGATTATAGCAGCTTTCATTCTAAATCAATTATTTTTCATCATTCTTTTATTTAGCTTAAAGGCTAAGATTTTTTTGCGCTGATGCTTAGTTTTATTGTCCATTTTTTACATATCCTGATTTTAAATATTACTTTTAAGGAATTTGAGAAGCGTTATTGTTATATTTGGATCTAACAGAATCTATATCGGCTATTTCTTCTGTCTAATACCTCTTATTATTTAGTTAGTTAAAAGATGTAGAATTATTTTACTCTAAAAGCTATCTTCTGTAATCTTCACCAAATCTTATACCACTTTTTTCTAAAGCATCATCTCCAAAAGTTATTTATTGGTTATTTTTATTGATGTTAGTAGTTGTATTTAAGTTAACCTAAGAACTGTTTATATCGTTTACACTTTTTTTTTTATCATTGAATTGATTAAGCATTCTTTTTTGCATTCTTTTAGAGTTTTTTATAATTATTTGATTCGAAAAAAAATTTATAAAAGGAACTAAAAACCTTTAAAAATTAATTAATTTACTAAAAAAAAATCAATTTAGATATTGTCATTTACAAAAACAATCTAAATGTATAAACAAGATAACTAACTAACTAACAAACTAACTACTAACTAATTATTTTCAGTAAAAAATGTATATTTAATTTCATTCTTAATTGGAATATTTTTTTTAATAATTAAGAGTTAATTTAATAAAATTTAAGCTAAAAATATTATTTACTGAGGATAAATACAAAAAAAATATGGAGTTAATTAAAAATAATAATAAGTAACCTTATCAAAGGTAAATTAATAATAATTTAATTACTGTAAATTTTTAGATAATTATGGTAATTAATTAGCAAATAAAATAAGTTAAAAATAATATTGTAAACTTAGGTATAAAAGACAGTAGAACAATTAAATAAAATAAAAAACTAGGTTCGTATAGGTATATTTGATAGTAAAATAAATTCCAAGTAAATTTTTAACAAAAAAATATATTTTTTTATTTATGATTAGAGAGAGATAAAGAAACAAAAGACCTAAAATTTAATAAAAAAGAGAGAAAAAAAGAAAATTGTGATATTAATGACTGCATACTGACTGACTAAGTTAAATCCTGTACACATTTCATATATATATGACTCTAAATACACATTCTAAGAATTAAAAAGAAAAAAAGAAAGAAAAAAAGAAACAGAGAGAGTTAAGGATAGTTATTATTCAATATAAAATATATGCAAACTCATTAAAAAATAATAATAAAAACATTAATAAAATATCAACTAAAATCTAATTTTTAAAAAAAACTACCTAAAACCAACAAACCAACAAATAAAAAAAAATAAACAAAGCAAAGTTAATTAGTCTAAAAAACATGGGAGCTTACTTAACAAAGCCAATAATATAAAAGGAAACACATTAGGATAGCAGAGGACGTTTTGAGTATGCTTCTGTATGCATGCAAGGCTGGAGAGTAAGTATGGAAGATGCTCATATTTAAAGCCTTGATTTTGATGGTGACGATAAAGCTATTTTTGGTGTATTTGATGGACATGGAGGTAAAGAAATGGCTTAATTTGTCTCTCAGCATTTTATTAAGGAGTTATTGAGATGCCAAGCATACAAAGAAGGAAAGTACAAAGAAGCCTTAGAATAAACATTCCTTCGTATGGATGAGCTAGCTGAAACTGAAGATGGAAAAAATTAATTAGGTGACGGTAATCCTGGTTGCACTGCAAATGTTGTACTTATTGTAAAGGATAAAATATACTGCGCTAACAGTGGAGATTCAAGAGCAATAGTCATGAAAGGCACCAAGGAGTATGCCCTTAGTATTGACCATAAACCCGATACCGATTCTGAAAAGCGCAGAATCGAAAGGGCTGGTGGTACTGTCATTTAAGGAAGAGTTAATGGAAACTTAAATCTCTCTCGTGCACTAGGCGATTTAGAATATAAAGTGAATGAGAAAAACCCCAGTAGTAAAAACCCTAAAGAATATATGATTACAGCATTCCCAGACGTCACTGAGACAGCCTTAACTAAAGACATTAGTTTGATAGTTCTAGGATGTGATGGTATTTGGGAATGTAAATCCAACTAATATATTGTTGAATATTTTGCAAAAACTAAATAAAATCTCACCCAAACTTGCTGCGATTTCCTAGATTCTATCCTTGCCCCTCATAGTGCAACAACATGGGGATTGGATAACATGAGTATTATTGTAGTAAAAATCAATCACGATAAGCGTTGAAGTGATAAAACAAGCCATTTAAATTAAACTTTCATTTTAAAATTAGTGCTTAAAGATATTACTTTTAATAAAATGATTTAGCTAATCACTGATTTTAAGTTTTATTCAATTATTCAATAAGTCATTCAATCAATCAGTTAGTGAATAAATATAAATCAGTCTACAGTATTATTTTAGTGAAACAAATGATTTAAATTATCTAAATAAATAAATAATTATACAAAAAAATATATATATATTTAATTAAAAGATAAATGAAATTTTTAAACTTTTATTTCAATCATACTCAAATTCTAATATTCTGATATAAATAAATAAATAATTAAATTTTTTGTTCAAATAGTCATCAAGCAAATAATCTAATTATCTTTTCTTTCTTTAGGAAATAGTTTCTAAATGAATGAATAAATGATTAGTAGGAATACAAACAAATTGAACCAAAGCAACTCATAATAACAAGAATAATATTATAAAAATAAATAAAATATCTCTATTCTTTCATAAGTAATATAAAACTTCAATAGCATAATAATTTAAGTTAATTGATTACTTACTGATTGGTATATTAGAATTGAGTATAATTGATTAAATAGCATTTAACCTATATTTTCATGATTAATAATAAATTATCTTCTTATCCATTAATCCATCCCATAAACAAGCAATATATACTTCCTGATCCAAAACATCTATTAGCATTCTTAAAAATCTATAAAATTACTTTTATAGAATTAAAAACACACACTAAAATAACATTTTAAAAATGATGTGTTTGTTCTTAGATATTTCATAATAACTAAGACCATAAGAATGAAGTTGTTATATTTAATTTTAAAAGAATTTAAACTTTATATAAAATTATTTGTTTTCTAAAAAAATATATATATTTTTAACGAGTAATAATATTTCTGTATTTCCTTTCCATTAAGAATTTATTTTAGCTTTTTAAACTGAATTTTGTAAACTCTTAAATTAAAGTGTCTAGGAAGATGTTTTATTAAATTTTAATATATATTTATTTAAAAATAAATTATTATATCTTTATATTAAATTATCACTCTTGAATTTTTTGGCAACATTGTATTAATACAAATAAGGAAAACTCTCATTTATTTTTTAACTCTAAATTCAATATTAAAAATATATTTAAACTCGAATTTGATTTTCTTTAAAAAATTAATGAATAATAGCAAGTTTTTAAGATAATTTTGAGCTTAAATATTTTTTTTTCATAAAGAAAGAAATTATAAGATAAAATTAAGTATTTTTTGATTTTTAGAATTTTTTTGTTTAGCTTTATTCTTGATATTTCAATGTTAAATCGTATTTTAATCAAGATATTTTATAATAATGTCGTAAAAGTATCTGTAAATTTATATTTTTAAATAAAAGAGCTTACTGATTACTTCTAATCTTTTTATCAATTTAAAAAGCATAAAAATATTTTAAAAGTTATTTTTATTTTTTATTTAATGAATACATTTTTAGAGTTAATTGCGCTGATTTTTTTAATTTAAGTTTGAAATTAAAATTAAATTAAAATATTAATTTTATTCTGAATAGCTAATATATATTCTAGTTCATTTGACCAGATTTAGCATAATAAAAAAATAATTAATTTCTTGTTACATAGACTAATTAATTTTCAAATTTCAAATTTGATTTTTAAGTGTATTTTGTTATTTTAAATACTGAATTACCTCCCTTTTTTTTGTGATTAAATAAATAAATGCAAATAATAAATTAATTGTTGAATATTTATTCATTTTGATATAATAATTATATTTATTGTATCTTATAATTAATACAAATTCCTTAACAAAAAAGTTCTAGATTGATTATTAATAAAAATATTCAATTTATTTATCTCTACCTAACTGAAATCTTGCTTTAAAAAATAAAATGATTTTGCTTAATCCCTCCTCAAGAAGAAAACCTTTAACTAATCATAGATGCATGAATTGCCTTTAGTACGGGCATTACACTTATAACTGTAGATCTGACACTTAATATTTCTTAAATGGAGGTTAAAGGTATGAATTAGTTAACATGATTTTTGAATCAATATATTTATTTTTATTTACAGTTCCCTTTCTTAAAGTAATAATCTATTAGACATATCTTCTAATAAGAGCTTAAATAATGGATATAACAATTAATATAGGGAAAGAGACAGAGATAATAGATAAAGTAATAAAGAAAATATAGGGATTCTTACTTCTTCGTCATATATCAATAAATAAAGTTAATTGAATTCTTTAAATCAAAGCTTTGAAGATATTCATACTGCTAAATAAGGAAAAGAAAACTTTGAAAACTTAAGCAATAATCAAATTTTATAAAAAATGTAATCTATGGCTCAAAATGCTTAAAAAATAGCTGATTTCTCTAATGCAACACTATAAGCTATGCAAAACGAATCTCAGCGTATTAGTCCTGAAGAAGAAGAAGAAGATTAGGAAGAATAAGAAGAATTATTAGAGGAAGAAGAGGAATAAGAATAAGAGTAAGAAAATTAATGCAAAAAACGTAGTAGGTCTAACAGTTCTGTTTCAGATCAGATTTTATCTCAAATGTATTTTTATTTATTTATCTTTAATAACAAAAAATTAATAATTAAATGTAATTAAATAAAGGGATAATAATAATGCTGGTTCTTTGAGTATAAATAAAGAATAATTAAATAGTGTAAATAAAGATCAATACAATCAAGATGAACATAGCATCCTCGAATAAAAATAGGAATTATAAAATAATGAGAACAATGATAATAACATAGATAATTGTTAAAATTAAAATGATAATTTTTTAATAGAATAGGAATCTGTATTAAATCCACAATAGCAATAAGAAATAAATAATGAAAATTTAATAGAAAATGATCATCAGCTTTTGGAAGAAAATGAAGATTTATTAGAGTGTGAATAAAAGTGAATTTCAATAAAAAATACTATTATATTAAAAATAAATTAAATCTCTAACCAAATATATAATCCATCCAAATAAATTCATTTTAAATTTCAAATTAAGTAATTTTCTCTACTATTAAATAAGTTTAATTATAACTTCCTATCATATTTTATCTTTGGTAACAAGTCAAATATAATATATTTTATGAGATCTTGGTATGTTTAGAAGAATTAATTCTTAAGCCTAAGGTAATTTAATAAATATTTTCAAAAAAATGAAAGTATTAATCTAAATTCTTACTAGTATAAATTTACTATAAAAATATTACTGATGCAATTATAAATAAATTAATCTTACTTTCATAACAAAAAAATCATAAATTTTATATTTAAAAATGTGTTTATTATTAATAATTCTTATAAAAAATTTTTAGGTTGTTTTAAATTTTCAAAATATTGCAAAATAATTTTGGTTAAAACATTAGAAAATTGAAAAATATAAGTTTTTATATCTAATTAATTTTATGAAGATATAAATTTAATAGATTTTAATGATAAATTAAATTATTATTTAATTACACAGAAAATACAAAGAGGAAACAACGTTTATTCATATCAAAGATAATATTTATTTTATTTGAATCATTTAATATAAAAAAATCTTTTATTTTTTATTTACAAATTTAAAATTTTTTTTTTATTAAATAATTTTAAGTTGAAAGTATTTAGTAGAAAAAAAAAGAGAATGATAATTTTAGTTTTATATTTTATTTAATTAAAAATATTTGCATAATTAAATTAATCATAAAGGAGTAAATTTAAGCTTAAAAAGTATAAATTCTGATAAAATAAAATTTTAAATTTAAGTGGCATAATTAAAATTTAAAAATTTAAAATGATATTCATTTTTTTTTACAGAATTTATTAGGCTAACTTCTACGATAAATATACAAGTGTGAATTAATCACTGATTTATTAATACCTGATATTTCCTTATTTAAAATCATTATTATATTTGTGAAATAATAAGTGAATCAAAGATTTTTAATAAGAATAAATCATATATAATAGAAAGTAAGCAAATAAATTTTGTCTATGTTAAATACAAGAAAATATAGAAAGAGACAAAAAAATAAATTGAAATATTAAAAAAGAAATAATCAATTAATTACATATGGAACAAAAAGATATAAAGAACACTTTAATAGTTAATGAAGCAAAAATAAAAAAGGCAAGATATTTACTGGTAATCTTGCTAATTATGGAAATATTAGTTAGCATTTTAAAATTAAAATTATCAATTTTTTATTTTTATGGAGAAATGATTTGTTTAATAATATTAATTCCTATCATTTATAACATGCAATATAATGATTGTGTTTTACATGCTGTTCTTATTTTATTCAACTTCCTAATTATGGTAAACTACTTTATTTAAACCTTGATAAAATCTTCTCGCTTCTTGAGTTTAAACTCTCCATAGATACTCATTTCTTATATTTCTTTTGGATTTTACACAATAGATCTAGTCTTTATATTTTCTGTATACAGGATATTAAAGTCAAACAGCTATTATTAACTACTATATTGCTCGCTATAAAATAATAACCAAGTAAGAAATAATAATAGCAATAATATAAAAAACATAGATCAAATCAAAGCTTCAACTGAAAAAAAAGAAAATATTATATAATAATCAGTAGAATAATTTTAGCTAATAAATAAAAGTCAATAATAACAATCTAATACAAATAAGTAATTAGGACTTTTCTCTAATTTAAAAATTTGATCAATAAAAAATTATTTACTACTATCAATATTATCACCATGATTCGTCTGGTAAAAAAGCAGGCTATTAATATTAAGCAAAACTTATAATTAAAAATATCAACATATATATACTAAAAATTTTAATAAATTAAAATACTCTTACAAAAATAAAATTATTTATTCTATATATATTATTAAAAATTCTATGAGATAATAGTTCTTTGTATTAAATTAATCCAATTATACTTTCAATATTTTTTCTTTAATTTATTAACATAAATCATATAACTTTTTAGTTGTTAAGAAGAGATAAATAATTCTATTATCTTCATAACATAGTTTATCAAATATTTTTAATTGATATTTAAAAAAACTTTTTTTTTTGTTTATCTATAAAAAAATTTTTAATCAGAAAGTAAATACTTAAAATTACCCAAATTTTACTGTTTTATAATTTAAAATTATTAATGCAACTTAACAATAAAATTTTATTGTCTTTAAAATCTTGAGCTTATTGTAATTATATATATCAATATTACTTTAGTTGTATTTAGCTATTCTTGGAATTTCATAGTGCTTAGTTATAAAACCACATATAAAGTGTATGAGATATTTTGGGTATTTTCTGATTCTGAAGATGGTATGAAGATATTCTGTCTTATTTGACTAACTCTTAAATTTATTTTCTTTATATAAATATTTTTTTCATAATCAAAATATTTATAATGTTTTTAATTTATCATTGTATTAATAAAAATATTTTAATTGAAAATTTTAAAAATAATTAAGATATTTTTAAAAATATGCTCATAAAAGAACATTTTAAACAATACATTAACAAAAGATTTTGTTTTTAATTAATTAATAATTTAAACTATCAATTAAGTGACAAAAAGGTTTTAAAACCTAACTAAATATAAATTGTATAAAAAACGTAAACAAAATGTTAAGTATGACTATCAATCATTCAGTTACTAAATTTACAAATCTACTTTTACCGTTCCTAAAAACTTTTAATTTAAAATTTTAGCCTATGTTATAGCCCAAAATTCTGGAAAGGTCTTTGCCATCTTTAATTTTTATACCATTAACTTCAGTAATTATTTCGCCTAATTTTAAATCTGCTTTAGCTCCAGGACTATCAGAATTTACCTTTAAGACGAAAGCTCCTCCATTTTCAATATCACTTGTCCATTTCACCGAGACACCTACATAAGGTTTGCGGACTTCCTTTTTTTATTAGTATTATTAGATAATACCACTTAAATAGTAACAAGGAATGCCTATAACATGAGATTTAATAAAGCTATTAGGTATAGGGTAATTCATAGCTAAGATATTACCATACTCATCAAATATAGGACCTCCATAAAGAGAGGTATACTTATTTTATATATTTGCCATTAATAATAGAGACTAAGCAGAAAAATCAAAAGCTTGCTCAGAGCTTAACTTATTCTCATTTAGAATCCCCTCCTCAATAACATTAAAATCTTAATTTGATTTACCAAATAAGTATACTCTTTTACCAATAGAGGGAATTTAAGGATATATGTTTGCCTTTTTGAATGATAAAATTTAGTGTGGAGTTTATTTTTTAATTTTGCAGAAGCTGATGTTCTCTGATTCTAAAGTATATTCGATTGAAAAAGGTAGCTCTGTATCTTCAAATTCTTCTTTTATAGATTTTGCATAAAATTAATGAGATGGGTGCTTTGAGTCCAAGTTAAAAATATTTGAAATCGTAATGAAAGTTCCTTCGTCATCTATAACCATGCCTGTTGCTATAGGTTTTGAAGTTCTGTCAGAGTAGATCAAAACAATAGAATCCATTATTTTTTTTCTTATCTCTTCTGAGTTGAATAGGTTTTTAGCTATATTTTAATCTTAATCTTAATTGGGTGGGTTAGGGTTTTAATTTTCAATGTTATCACACTAAACTTTGTATTTATTCCATAAATTGATACCCTAATAAGCGCTAAGTGCAAATAGTCCTCCTAAAATATTAAAGTTCCTGTTTTAAATGAATTAGGATTTCTAAAATTTGAAAAACAATCTAGAGAAAGCTGATCTCATTTTTTTCTTTATTTGGATAGTCTCAAAAGTTCTATATATTTTTTATTAATTAATTATTTAATAATTATTATTTATTTTGTAAGTATAAGATTTTTTTTACGTTTTATACTTTTCTAAGCAAAATATAAACTAAATTTTTATTCTAGAACCCAGTTAAAAATTCTTTATAATAAACTAGCATGGAAGAACTTAGTTAATTTAATACTAAATTTATGGATTATTTCAAATACTTATTTGTCTATTTTTATTTTCTCAATTGATTATGTTAATATTATATTAAATATTCTGATAGACTACAATAATAATAAAATAACCGGTATTAACTAATACTTTAAGAGGGCTTTAAAATAAAATTAAAAAATATTGAAATGGATTTAACAGCAATATAATTTTTATATGATAAATTATTTAATTGATTATGTATGAACTTTATCAATAAAAAATTTTTTGAAAATGTTGAAACAACTAATTTTCTTTTATAAAATTATTATAAATTTCTTGAATAAACAATTATTGATTTTAATTAAAGTTTTAAGCCTTTATTAATTCTAACTTTGTTTCCATAAGTTTATTGCAAATGTTATTAAAACTGTGTAAATTTCTATAAAGACAAATTAGTTTTTATTTCAATATTTTAAAATACTAACATTATAATATTTTATTCATTCTAAACTTTTAATTTGAATTTCACAAAAATAAAATGAATTGAGCAAATATGCCTGTTTATAAAAAACCTTTGAAATTAAGGTGGTAGGAATAAATAATTTAGTTTTAAAAGTTTGAATAAAAATTTTATTAAGATGTAATATATATTTAAAAATTAGAGGCACAAAAAGTCACTGACAATCCCCTTTTTCTCCTAAAATTTTTAAATTTATTTATTCTTAAATGGTAAAATTATTATTAATTTATTAATGGATTTGCTTACTATCTTTGAAACTTCGTACTTTTAAAATTGAAATAATTAATTAAATAAATAAATAAATAATGTATTCTATTAAATATTCTCAGATTATATCTGTTTTTATTTACTAATTGAAAGTATTGACTAAATTATAGAAAGTATTACCTTCAACAAGATAATTATTAAAAAACGAATGAAGTAATTAAGAATTATGAAAATTTGATCTTAACTTTAAAAGAATAAATTATTATATAGAAAAATATTTGATAAGAATTTTTTCTTCTATTTTTGATAGTAATAGATTATTTAATTACAATAAGTAGTAGACATGATAAGTAGTTTTTGATTTCAAATTAGTACAAATTGCAATTATCATAATAATATTAAATTAATTGTATAAAACAAAACTTAATTAAAATAAATAAATATATATCTATCTACCTGAACATAAAAATGGACTAAAAAAATTAAATTAACAATGATTTTGACTATTTACTGATATTAGATTTCGAAGCTACTTGCGAAAAAAATGTTAAATTAGAATGTTAAGAAATAATAGAATTTCCTGTTGTTGTTTTAGATGTTAAAAACTAATAAATATTAGATGTCTTTTTCCATCATTATATAAAGCCTTCTGTAAATCCTAAACTCACAGCTTTTTGCACAGAATTAACTGGAATCAAACAAGAATAAGTTGATAATGGAATTTCTTTATAAGAGGCTTTAGCTTAATTAACCTTGTTTTTGGAATAAAATAAGTTGATAGGATCATCATTCACTTTTATAACTTGCGGAGACTTTGATTTAGGAAACTGTTTGAGAAGAGAAGCTCTTTATAAAAAAATAGAAATTCCTTAATACTTAAAAAATTATATAAATATTAAAAAAGTCTTCCCAAAATAATATTATCCTAAACAAAAGAAAGAAGGTGATAATAGATTACCTGACATGGTAGGAATGTTGCAAGGATTAAATCTCAAATTAGATGGACACCACCATTCAGGAATAGATGATTCAAAAAATATTGCGAAAATCGCTCTCACTTTATTACAAAAAGGATTTAAATTTAATAAAAATATGAGAGCATTTTCAAATTACTGATGATTAAATTAATTAAATGAAAATAACTATAATAAAATTTAATGTATTTTATGTTGTATTTATTTCAATATTGTGTTATAAACTCACTTGAGATTAAAAATGAAACTCATTTACAATTTTATAAAATTAAACTATAAATGATATATCTATCTATTTATTTTAAATGAAAATCAAGTCTGTCTGCATTTTATTAAATGTTTAACTATTCTTTAATTTATTTTTATTAAAATAAAATAATATAAAAAATAAAATAAAAATTATTTTTGGCTATTGTTTTAGAATTTATCATCAGTAATTAATATATATAATCTGTTTTTAGTAAATTTGATTCATTTTTTTAATGTAAATACTATCTAGCAAAATGTTTATATCCAACGAGAGAGACTGTGTCCTTCTAGCATAATATTTAACCCTTTTAGGATAGCAACCATGTAAGGGAAGTTTCTATCTCTTTTTTTTGCTTTATAAGGATAATAGTACTGAGAGAAAGCTTTCTTGACATTAAAGTAATTTATTAAATAATCTAGAATATTAATTTTTAAAAAAGCTTGTTTCATAAAACGGGTTCATAAATGATAATCTCAATAAGTTTTTAATATAAATTTAAGATCAAAGAATTTTATAAATTACAAAAATCTTATTGAAAAAAGGTTGATAATTGATATTTCAAAGATAAGAATAAATTTAATTCAATTTATATTAATTATTGAATTATTTATTTAATTAAGACCAATAATTTTATTATTAAGAAAAACCATAATTTTTTTCAAAAGTAAATTAAATAGTTAATATTAGAAAATAAACTTAATATATTAAGCGAACACTATCCTTGCTCATTCAGGAACTAGCTGAATGGTCACCAGAATTGTTTGCGAAATTACCTGAATTTTCTTACCATCACAAGCACTTCGATTACTTGTGGTAATTGCATGTTCAGACATTTTTTATTTTTATTTCTTTTCTATGTTAACTAAAATTTATTTTATAAAAAAATTCAAAAAATCAATTTATTTGAATTAGTAAACAAAAAAATAAACAATTGATCGAAATGGATCTTTTAAATATCCCAAAACGTATTTTATATTTTTAATAAATTTAATAATTGATTTAATGTTTAAAAAATTGTTTATAGCTATCTTAAATAGTAAAAGAATTATTTTTAATAAATAATAATTAGATTTTAAAATGAAACATTTAGATAGATATTTCAGGATTAAGATTCAGTTATATCTGTGTTATTTATGGCTTAGTACTATCGCATATTTTAAATACTTGATAAAAATCAATAACTTAACAAATTTGTTTAAATAATTTTTAATACTATCATTCAGAAATTTGATTATATAAATTAGTTAATTAATTATATAATTTTATCAAAACATTAAAAATTTTCATGAAGCGATAGTAAACCAATATATATGCAAATGTATAAGAGGATTCAGTTCGCTAACAAGAAGGTTGGAGTCATGAAAGTGAACAAGATGAAAAAGAGTAGCAAGAAGAAGATTTTTAATCAAACTTCAGTAATTATTTTATTTTTAAATCCTTTTAAATAGCTAGCTTTATTAATATTAAAAGTTAGCATCTAAGTTAATGAGTCCTAGCAGTAAAACACTGAAAAGATATCATAGGTAACTTTTTAGCCTTTAAAGAAGACTCTGTAAGCTAATAAAATGGAATATAAGCTTAATTAAAATCATGTAAAAGAAAAATTTTCAGGTTTATTAAATGCAGAATCATTAGTTGATGAAGATAATAGCACTCCTCGTTTGTAGCAAAATTTAAAATCTAGCATAAGCTAAGGTGTAGATTCATCTAAATCATAATAAGCAAAAAGAAACATTGAAGAAGTTTTGGGAGGAAAAAGCATTCATGCAAAGACTTCATTTAAGTCTTTATTTCAAGGATAAAGTAAAAAGTTAAATTAAGGGTCACATAGCCTTTTTGGAACATTTTAAAAGTAGGACTCAGGAGTAAAAGAATAAAGTAACAAAAATGAGCAAATGCTATAAACTCAAAATCGGTTATAATAACTAGGATAAATTACATAGCAAAGAGTGTATTCTGAGACGGATTTTTTAAAAAATGCTAAATAAGATACAAAAATAAATGAAATGACAATTAATTCAAAATAGGCTCTAAATGGTGTTTTTTTTAATTCTTAGTTTTCTAGCTTTCAAAAGCCTTAGAGTATTTCTTCACAGAGTAAGCGAGTTTCAACATCATAATCAAGATCTTAGATAGACTTTATGAGAGGGTCTACTTCTGGTGGAGTTAGACCTATTAACAGGGGAAATCTTTTATAGCATTAATCAGCATCTCATGCTTAGACTCCTGGAGATGGCTCAAAAAGAGTGAAAACTTAAGGAGAATCAACCTTTGATGGTGAAAGTTATGGTCAAAGTATTTTCTTTTAAACTAGCAGATAAACTATCTCTTAAGGTAGTTAAAACAGCTAAAATAATTTTAAGTTTAAGAGAGTCTAAAATTCATCTCATACTTAAAAACCTTCAAGTGAACTAAAAAGTAGTAATTTGAGCGATTTCAGGAACATATCTCATATTCAACCAAAATAAAAAGAACAGACATAAATTCAAATGTAATTTACAATTTTTTTGGATTTATTGGAGCTTATTTATGTAAACTAATGATTTTTTCAGCTGTAATCAAAAAGTTGAGTTAGTGATGAAAAGCTACTAAATATTCATAATTTTATGATTTTGATTAATACATTTAATTATATCTTTTTTATTTACCTGAAAATATGTTTACTTAAAAATGAATTACAGTATGATCATTCATTCATCCATCTAATAAAAATAAATTTATAAATTGAATATTTTTTATAAATAAGACAAAGAAAAAAATACTTGAATGATAAAATTTATCATTTACTTAATAATATTACTATTATAAATACTAACTATATTATTTATTTAATAGATAATATATTGCTTTCCAAATTTATTCTAAATAATTTATTAAATATAATAATTATATACAAATTATTTCATTAATTGGTAATGATATTTTTACTGTAGAAAACTTAAGATAAAAATTTTTACTTGATAACATTAATTTTTATAAAAATTTGATATTTTTCATTTGATAAAATATTTAAAATATATTAAAAAATGTTTAATATATTAAACTTTTTAATATTATAAAAGAGAAACGCCTTTAATAAGCTAATTTGAGAATGAAACAAATTAAAAGATAAAAAACAGCAAGCAACTCAATAATATTTATTTAAAGATGCTTGATGAATTTCAAATTCCTTATGAGTAAGATATTGATAAAATAAAAGCCAAAATAAATGAACTTAAATTGTAATCTCTAGATGGTATCCATAACATTGATAAGTAGTTTGTAGTGAATCTTTTGTAAAAGCAAGTTGAATCTTATAAAATAGAAAATATGAAAGCACGATAACTGAGAGCACCTACTAACAGATATGAAGTGGAAACTCTTTAATAATGGATGGACTTTATGTTGTTTAAAATATATTAAGATAAAACAGACACAGGATAAGAAATACTTGAGAAAGCATAATTAATATTTGAATCCTGCTTCTAAGAGTTGTTTAAATAAATTAGCACAGATTGTTAAGAGAGAGGAATTTTACTTTAAAAAGTTTGGTCAAATTAAAATGAAATATTTATCAAGCTTTTAGAAGAGTAGTAAAAATAAAGGCTAAGATATGAATAAGAATCTTTAGATGAAATTTCTCGAGTGCACAAAATGTACACAAAAGAAATTTAAAGGCTTCAATCAAATTTATCAGATATTATTTCACAAAAAAATAAATTAACAGTAAAAATTTTAATTTGTTCCACTTGCAAATTTCATTTAAAATGATTACTTTATCAATTTTAATAATTTATTCATTTATTATTTAAAAAATGTTATTTTAGGAAAGATTTGATTTACTTAAAAATAATGTGAAGTACCTCAAAAAAAACAACAAATATTTAACTAAAATGACCAAAACACTGAGAGAAGATATAGAGTTTTATAAGAAGAACAATCAAGATTTAGAATATGCTGCTAACTAAATGAAAAGAGAATATTTAAATTTGTCTAATTCTCAATAATAAATAGTCACAGTTACAAAGGCACAAAACAAATCTTACAATTAAATTAAAAATTCCTCATAAAGCAACTTGTAAAAAAAAAATAATACAAATATAAAAGACAAAAAATCATCTTTGTTAAGTGTTTAAAAATAGAAAATTGTTAACTAAAGTGTTTACACTCTAAGCAATATCAAATAACTATAAAATGAAGATAGTTAAAGTGACGATAGTGTAAATGATAATATGTCTTAAGAAGACAGCTATAATGAAAATGTGAGCAGAAATTCTATTCCAAAATCTTATTAGCAATAAACTTAGGAATATTTATCTTAATAATAGTTGGATAATTCAAAAAATAACCAAGCTAGCTCAGAAGAAAATTTAAAGACTATTAACAGTATCTTAGAATCTCAATCTCAACTTGCTGTCATATAAGCTAAATTCACTAAAAATTAGATATAAATGTAAGAGATTAGTGATGATGATGACGATGATGATATATATTTAGTTGATAAATAGATTGATGCTTAAGATTGGTAGAATGAATTCCATAGAGAAATTGAAATTATGACAGATGGAGCTATGAATGACATTGTTTTTAAGAGCGATATTATTACTGAAGAAAAATCTACTTAAATAGATTTAAATGTAACATTTTCTTTTATTACTTTATTTAAATTACTGATGAGATATATTTTTAACAATGATTTTAATTAAACAAAGATATTTAAAGAGTTTGGTAGCTTTTTAGCAGATAAGGAAGTCCAAACAACCGACTTAGATCCTGAGTATGAAGAAAAAATGAAAGGCTAAGATGTATAAGGCTTAGAAAAATTTTTGGATAACATTTCTAAAGCATAAGATTTATATGAAAAAGCAATGAATAGTGTAAATATACCTTTCGAAGTCAAGAAAGCAATGCATGGCTACTTAAAATTTTTGCATAAAAATCAAGAGCAAATGTAATTCTTACTAAAAACAGAAATAGGTTTAAAGGAAAAATATCATAAAGAGAATATTTTGTTAAAAATTTTCAAGTAAGAAAACTAAAATACTTTAGAAGAGTTGAATTAGAAAATAGAATAACTTGAAGAGGCCAATAGAATTATTACCCAAGAAAATCAAGAATTGGATAGAAATGTTATCTAGTTAGTTAGAAGAACAAAAAAATTAACAACAAACATGGAGCAATTCAAACAAATATCTTCATAACTATATTCTGAAACATCAAAATTAGCAGACAATTTAAGTAAGACTAATGCACTAGATCTGATTATAAAAAAAGTTTCAAAGGGAGTTGATATTGATGAATAGGATATTGATATATTAAGGAATAGATTCTCAGGAAATAGTTAAGCTTAGATTAAATCTTAAAATGGTTTCTTTAACTAATTATTCAAATCCTAAAAAAATATATCAGAAAACCAATTAGAAGAGGAAAATGATGAAGAGAATAAATAAGATAACGAAATTGGTTAAAGTTAATAATTCAAACGAGAATAAAATAAATAAAACACAATTGTATTATCAAAAATAAAGAGTGCAGTAAAATAATTATTTGATTTAAATGAAAAATCCTTTAAGGATGATGATTCTTCAAGTAGTGATGAAGAAGTTGAATAGCTAATGACATAGTCAAAGATGATGAAAAATTAATCAAAAATAAGATTTTCTGAAAATTAGTCTCCTTCTCTTACAAATTTAGCTCATGGTATTTCACTTCAATAATAAAAAAGTAGTCAAATTCTTGAAAAATCAAAACAATACACTTACAAATTCAATAATCCAAGTAAATTTATTTATTTGTTTTTTTGAAAATGTTAATTTAAAGAAATTCATTTAAAAATCAGAATTCGAAAGAAAGAAGGTAGTTAAGGTTAATAGTGTCAATGTGAATTCTTCTTTAATATTATATAATAAAATAACGAGAAGGGTATAGAAATCGTAAGCAAAGATGACTATGACAAAGAAAAACGTATGTAAGTACATAACTAATATTTATAATGAAAAGTAGAAGAATGAGTTGAGCAGAAGTGATCCTTTACATGTCGTTTGTTATGACTACTTCCTTTCTAGTTTCGGATTAAAGAAAGTAGCTGAAACAAAAATCTTGCAATTTTATGAAGCTTTATACTTTTTTAAGAGTAGCTCGATAAGAATAAAACTGTTTGGGTAGTTTTTGGGTTTATTTGAAGAGTACTCTAATGATGAGTTAGATTATTACCTTTCTACTCTCAAGTAACTGGATGAAGATGTTCCTAATTTTGTCTAAACTTAGCATCAGCTTACTGAAATAGTTTATTGCTCTTTTGAAAAAATCATTAGTATTTTTCATTATTATTTATTCAATTTTTCAAGTAACATATTGACTTTATAATCATAGGCATACTAAAAAAGCAAGAAGAGGAAACAAATAAAATATTTATTGATAAATAAATTTCTCATATCTAAAAGAATAGAGTGCTTTCTAAGTAAAATAATAATTATCCTATGGTTGACGTTGATATTGCTATGGAGAAAGTTTTAGAAGGTTATCAAAGAATTAAATAAAGCAATAAAGAGTTGATCATATTATTTACATCAGCAGATTTAGATTTAGATGGGGTAATTGGATTCTATGAATTTATTTGCTTATACAAATATATAGAGGAAAAAGAAGATGATAATTTAGATTTACTAAGTGCCAAAAAACTCTTCTTTTCTAAATGTGATACTTTAAATAGTGAGACAGGTGAAAAATCTTTGTCTTTAGAAGCATTCGTAAGTATGTGTACTGTTAGCGGATTTTTCAGATAAGATAAAGTTTAGAAATTTATGAAATAGTAGAATCTCTCTCCAAGCGATTGCTAGAATTTCGAGTAATTAAAGAATAATCAAGTAGATTTAATCCAATAAATCAAAATGAGACTAATTAAGGCTAATGCTTATAGTCCTTTCTTCTCCAAAGCAATTCAAAATTTAGTAAAAATAATTTAAAATTCATAAATAGATAATGAGTAAAAATAAACAACGTGGATTTCTTATAGAATACTTGATTTAGAAAGCAAAAAAGCTATTCTTTTATTCTAGATGCATAGCTTTATTCCTACAGAGTTTATTGATATAAACATGAAATATAAAGATATTGATGAAAATGATGAATAGGAATAATACTGGCCATCTGAAAGAAATATAAATTACTATATAGCATGAAACAATTAAATTTTAATCCTTAAAAAATAACCTAAAAATAATTCATTTATATAGAAAATTGCATTAACTGTCATAAAAAATTTACCTTAGTTTAGCTTAAAAAATTTTTAAAATATTTATTATGAAAATGAAGACATAATTTTATTAGAATATTTGGCAAATTTATCAATTCCATTTAAAATTTAATAAGTTTATGTGAAGTAAAAAATATCTTTATTTGTACACATAAATATGATTGATTGATTTATTTATTTTTTTTAGTTTGCAAAAGTTAAGTTGAGTTTAAAAAAAAAGATTTTCAAAACCAAAGTTATTAAAAAAAGTCTATTTTTATAGCTATCAATCAATTTTACAAAGTCTCTAAATTTAAGTCACAATAATTGATCAATTAAATAATGATTAAAAATTTTTGGTTTATCGAAAAATATAGACAAAAAGACTATAACTAATTTATCTTAATTGGCAATATATTTTAAGATTACTTTTCGTCTATTTAAAACATTCATTTTATTGTAATACCTGCAATTAAACAGTTTTTTTCTCAATATGATTACTTGAATTTTCTATCACATATGTCATAAAAATTTAATGATGATGAGACGATCAAAATTTTTTTACAAACTATTTAAGGAAATTAGTATCTATCTAAATGATTTATCTAAAATTTTAACATATGTAAAGAAAATATAAAAAATTTTGCAAAATAAAATTATCAAGCGAATAATTAGGTTTTAATTTCAAAAAAGTTATTTAAAACATTATAGACAAGCAAAGTAAGAAAATAAATGTACAATTCTTAAAATATTTACGGACAACCCTGTTATCCAAACCAATAATAGCCATATTAACAATACGGCTAACCTTAGCCTTACGGAGTTCCCCCTTAGTAACAATACCCTGGAATGATGCCACCTCCTTAATAGTAGGGTTATGGATATCCTATGTAGCAATAAAATTATGGCTATGCACCTTAAAATTAATATGCTATGTATCAACCAAATTAAGAAAAGGTAGCTAATGAAGTAATTGCTAAGCTTAAATACTCAATCAACTACTATAAAATTGATTTGGCTGAACTTTTCTGCAAATTTGACAGATAGGCAGACGCAGCTTTGAATCCTTATGAATTTGGTGAATTACTTAAAAAAATAGATCCCACTATTTCTGCAAGTGAAATTTATATAGCATTTAACAAGTTTGATGAAAATAAAACTGGATCAATTTCTTTTGGTGAATTCTGTAAGAACTTAGGAAGATATACTGATGCATGTTCATAAGTTTATGACCCAAATGCACTTAAAAAAAGTTCATATTCAGCAGATATTGCCATTGAAAAATTGAAACAAGCAATTAAATATTATAATATCAATTTATACGATTTGTTTAACAAATATGACAGCTCAAGAAATGCCAACCTTAATTTACATGAATTTGGATAGCTTCTTCGTAGAATGGAACCAAATCTTAACAATTATGAAATTGAGTTGGCATTCAACAAGTTTGATACTGATAGATCTGGAACTATTACTTTTAATGAATTCTAATAACAGCTCTTTTAATGTATACAATACAACCCTTCTCCCTATCCTCAAGTAAATACTTCTAAATGAAAATTAAAGTATATTTATTTATTAAAATTTATTTAAATTAAAAAAAGCCTGGATAATATCCTCAATAGCCTCCTTAATATGGTTATCCATAGCAATAGGGTTATCCATAATAATAAATGTATCCTCAATAGCAAGGTTTTATGCCTTAAGGTTAGTACCCATAATAACCCGGCTATCAAGCTCCTTAACAAGCTTATGGAATGCAATAGTCAGGTTACAATTACCCTCCTCAACCACAGTAACTTATTACATATCTAAAATAAATGGAATTTTAATGATTTTATTAATAAAAATAGATACAGATGAAGAAAAATAGAAATATAAATTTAGAATAATCTAAAAATGTTATATAAAGCAACTAGTTACAATTGAAAATATTCTAAAAAATATATTTTGTATGAAAATTTAATCTTATAAATTAAAATCTGATTCATTTTTATTCAAAATTTATTTTTTCATTTATAAAAAATAAATATTTAATTTTGAATTCTTACAAAAAATCATTAATGATTTTAAATAATAAAATCATGTCATAAATAATGAAAGGAATAATTTTAATCTTCAAATTTATAAAATGTTTACTTTTTTGTGTAATTTTGCTAACCAGTAAAAAGAATTGTTGAGTGCATCAAACTAAAATATTCAAACATGTTTATTTATTAAATTTTAAGAAATAAACTAAATAAAACAACAAAAAAACAAACAAACAAAAAAAAGTCAGTATAAAACATATTTAATTTTAAGCAAAATAATTTGATTACAAATGCTAACTATTTTTTATTTTCATAAGAAATAGGCATTAATTTTATAATTTAGTATTATTAATTAATCATTCAATTATTTTTTCAAATAATAATAGTTTTTGATAATGCATCAATCTTATCTTTAAATTACTAATTATATTTTAGTTATTATAATTTTTCATAGCCTTGCAAAATAACTTTTTTTAAACATATCTTAAGAGAATTCAAATTAGAAAGCAGTTAGACTATGAAGCTATCTACTTCAACAGAATGGCTTTTCTTTCATCTTTGGAAGAAAAATCCAGAGACGGGAACAAGTTGTCCTGGTGTTTTTTTGGTAGATACTGTCATATATCGTTGGGCATAGCCCTATTTTTGGTATTTTACAAATAGAGATGGCGAAATTATTAGGAAAACTAAAGAGCGTATTGATACAGAGCATGTAAAAGAAACATTTATGTATAATGTGCCTACAAGCGGAGTAGTGGCATAATATTTGGTTTCATAAGATCCTACTTAAGTTACGGGATAGAAAAATTTCAATAAAAATATTAATGATGGACAGATGAATTAAAATGGAGGTATTAAATATTTATTGAGACAATAAAATCATTAAATTTTATGCATTTATAAAATTTATTATGTTTTCTTATTGAATTTAAAATAATTTTAAATTAAATGACATAAAATAAATATTTACAATGTTTTTTAAGTTTAAATAATTTAAAAAATTTAATAGGTATAGAATAAGAAGTTATATAATTTGAATATTTTGATGAAGAAAACTTTAATGTATTTCTTCATTAACGTGAGAAAAATCTAAATGCTATTCTTTAAAAATTCATATATCCGAAAAGCGGAAAGAATTCTCTGATTAAGGTTTCTTGGTCGCCATAATTTTGCTTGCTATATCGCAAAACAAATGTTAATCCAATTGATAATCCTAAAGTGCCTATTAACGAAAAGCTTTGCACTTTTGAAGGTCCTGAATATTTAGCTATTTAAGACAGCATAACATCACCTATATTATCTGCAGATTTAGAATAAATGTGTGTGAATATTGTTAAGCACATTCAAGATATATCAGGTGGTAACATTCAGATATCTAGAATGGTTTTATATTTTAAGCTTGATGATAGAAACAGACTTTGGTTGCTCTTTTGCACAGGACTTAAAATCAGAGAAAGATTTTAGGATTATAACACTAAAAAGCAAACAAATAATTAGTAAAGCGAGAAAATGCAAGCTGGAGCTGGATAAAATTAATCTACTGTCCCAAGAACTCTTTCTCCTGTTCTTAGAATGTCTAAAACTTAAAATCAAATCAAGCACACAACTGGAGCACTTAACATTAATTATGGATTTATTAACAATCTTTAGAATAATTTTAAGAAAAACTGCTCAAATTGTGAGGTACAAACTACTGATCTGTATGATCTTAAACTAAGCAATATTATAGAATCTTTCGAATAGGGTGCGATTGACAATTCTAAAACTATTCTTCCTGAGGAAATTTTGAAGCTGATTGAACAAAATAAGGCTAAAAAGTTAAGAAGATTGAACTAAGGTAAGAAGAAAAATAATATCTAAGACTAGAGACCATTAAGCAAAGAAGAGGAATTAAAAGAATTATTTAAATTCCTAGATGAGGAGCATCAAAATAATGATATCGATTTAAATATCATGCCTGCTTTGATTGTAAAAGTTTGGGGCAATCTCACCTCTTAAAATTATCAAAAAATTAAAAAAAACAAAAGTTGGCTTGAATTAACCACTAAAGTTTGTGATACCTGCTATTTAGACTACACTAAATGCTCACTTGAAACAGATTTCATTAGAGAAACAAAGATTAATTAGGATAAACTAAAAAATGATATTAATGTTAAAGATAAACCAGTTTTCGGTGAGTATGGAAATGGAACTGCTTAGTCTATTGGTTAGAAGAAATATAATTCTTTGAATCAAGCTAAGCATAAAAACAACATGGCTAGCTAAAACTATCTAAAGTCAAACTAAGATTCTTTTTATAATATAGATTCTCCCATGGCAAAATCATCCAGAACGAATTCGCCTAATAATTAATCTTAAATAAATTCTTTTACTTCTTAACTTAACTCTTAATAGGGGATAGCAAACAACTAAGGCTCAAATACAGGGAAAGCTAGCTAATTTTTGAATAAAAAAAGCACATTTTTTAGTAATCCCTAATAATTTATAGCTCAAAATTAAGAAGATAATAACAACAATAGATCAAATAGTGCTAAGTCTAGAGATAAATATGTATTGGCAGAATTAAACTAGCAGCAACAATAACCTAATGATGAGCAAAATGATTATGGTTTGAAAACAATTTAAGAATAGAACAAGGCTTATAACAACCTAAAAATCAATAAATTAATGGATTTTAATGAATAAAATATAGGCTAATATCAGTTTTCTTCTCAAAATTCTAAAGAGCAAAACAATTAAAATATAAAAACCTCAAAAAAAGGTAAAAAGCTTGTAAAACCATCATTTTATCACAATCCTGAAAAAATTTACAAAACCAATCTTTATAAAACTCATGTCAAACTTCCATCTTTAAAGTAAACTTTTTAATTTAAAAAAATTTGTTAAATTCTAATATAATTTTACCATATTATTAAAATAATTTCAATAAAATTAGAAATAATTAAGCGTTTAGCGATTCAGGAAGCCTTTCTGGCTCTACTTAGAGCAAGTTGAGCCATGACTTCTTAATAAATACAATAAGTTCTCTTAAAAATTCTATCAAAGATATAGAGGATTTCAATCCCGATGACTACAATTGAATTATTAAAAAGGCAGAATAAAATTAATTTTATACTTAAATTAGATATTTGTAAATAATAAGATAGAAAAATGGATTTACAAATTATAAAATAAATTATTTAATTGTAAATTACTTAAATTTAAAATAAAGAGCTGTAATTTAATTCATTTTTGTATTTTTTTGCAATTTAGTTTTTTAAAAAGTGTGAAAAAAATACAAACAACCATCAAAAACAATTTTTTAGAGAATTATTTTTTTTTTTGCTCATTTTAGTTATTTTTAGCTTCAATTTAAAATATATTGAAAATTAAAAGTATCATTTATGTTACTTTGATGTTGAAATATAATTTAGAAAAATTATTAATAAATTCACTAGAATCATTTGATAGAATATTACTGGATTATGTTAAAAAGATATGGTTTGAATAACTTAGTTAAATTTGGTGATAAATTAATAAATAGTAAAATTTACAATTCCTGCTTTTAAATAGATAATTCACAAATTTATTTATTGATATTTTCATAAGTTGACACTTATTAAACAAATAAATAAACAAAAAATTTTTTTTTACTGCATAATTCAAGATGAATTCTCTAAACAAGATTACTAAAAAATGTTAAAAATGTAAAAGTTTTTAACCTTGTAATAACGTATGCCTTAATCGTGAGTGCTTACAAGAATACGGAGCTTTGATTTGTTCTAAGTGCCATTAAAAATCTCATAAATTAGATGTTGATAATAGTGTATTATTCGATTAATTAATCTAAGATTTCGAATAAATTTTTAGAGAAAATAATTTTAATAAGAGTAAAATTAGTAGTATGGTAACCTCAAATATTACTAAAATTGATGAATTAATGAAACAATTATAAAATATGAAAGATTAGTTGATTTACTTAAATTAATGTTTAGACCAATACAATAGTATAAACGCTATTTTTAATCAACTTAAAAACCAAAAAAATTTTGATAATACGAATAAACTCACAAAATAACTGCTAAGAAGCTGTATATATGACCTAAAATCTTCACCAAAAATAAAGTTCTTGCTTGAAAAAGATGAAGAAAAAGATTATTTAAGCTAGTTAAATTAATTAGTTAAATAAGCCTAAATAATAAGTAAAAAGCTTTCTAAAATTGACCAAGTATAGAATCTAAGTGAGGAATAACTTATTTAAGAGGATCAGTATGATTCAAATGACAAAAAGAATAATTATTTTGATTAAATTTTGAGTGAAGAATTTACATAAAATAATAGCCTTATTTCAACAATTAAGTATAAATCGCCAAGATAAGACGAATTTAGTGATATTTATGAGTTTTAAGATAAAATAGAAGAAATTAAATAGACATCTTTGATAGAAATCAATTAAAAACTAAATGATAAAGGAATACCTTACTAATGGGATGAATTTAATAGTATAGATATGCATTTATGCTCAAGAAATGTTCCAGAGTTTATATGTTTAACTCTAACTGATAATGGCTTTGATTATCTTTGGGTAAGAGGAGGTTATTGGTAAGATGTTAGGTCATAAAACACTCAATATGGATTCTTAGATATAGTAAAATATTGGACTAAATAAAAACAGAAAATACATAAATTGAAAAAACAGGTATCATCACCATAAAAATAATAGCATAGTGAAGGTGAAAAAGATTGATTGATTATATAAATATAATTTATTTCTCAAAATAAATAGAATTATAGAATTTATAAATTTTTTAATTTACCTTATAAATATAAAAATTTTATGTTTTGATGTTAAATAAAAACATTATGATGTAAATGAAAAGTTATTAAATCATATTTATTAAACGTTGTTTTTGTGAGTTACAACAAATTTTTAAATATTTATCAAACAAATTAACTAAAATTTTAAAATATTAGTTTTTTATATCAAATATTGAAGATTATTGATTTTATTGTCATAATTAACATAGAAAAAAATATTTTAAAACAGTAAAACTTATAATGAATATTTATAAATATATTCTTAAATTAAAGCACTAATATTTCAATAATTCCCATATCTCTGCATTAATAAAGTTAATTTTGTTTTAAAATATTTAAACTTGACAGTATAAACAACAAAGATTATTTAATGTTTTTAAATTATAGCTAATGGTAAATTATAGCTATATAGTTTAAAAAAAGCTAATTTTATTTAATTAAATTAATAAAAAAAAATTTTTTTTGTATTAGTGAGAGATTCAGTCAATTTTTAAAATTTATTAAAATTGTTTATATTTTTTCTTTTAATAAGGAAGTTAAATAAATAACTAAAATATTAAACTTAAATTTTTTGATAAAGTATTACTAAGATAATTTAATAAATAAAATATATTTTCATTTGAGAAAAAAATAGATTTTTTATATTTTGCATAAAAATGAACAATTGAATATTAGATAAAAATAATAATATTTTATATGTATGATAAATAACAAAACAAAGGAAAAATATGATTTTTGATTAATATTAGTTTTTAAAATAATATATTAATGTAATTTATACATCGCTTTATTTAGAAAATAAGCTTATTAATTTGATAGTAAAATTTATTCTTTTTTATTAAAATTTTGAATTGTCACTTTTTTTTGAATAAGACTTTTGATATTACTTTTTCGAGATAGGATGTCTCTACTGGTTTTGTAATATAGTATTTCATGCCAGCTTACCTAGCCTTTTTTTTTTCTGAATCTTGAATGAAAGCAGTGCATGCAGAAATTGTTGGTGGTTTTTAATTTTATTGTTTATAGTAATCTAAAATATTTATTGTTGTTTAAAATCCATTTTATACAGGCATATCTAAATCCATAAAAATTATTGTATATTCTTTACAGCAACTATCTGTTTCATGCTTTTCAATAACTTTTTATTAGCCTAATATTCCAGAACTAGCAGTGTCTACTTTAAACCCATACTGCTTTAATCTCATTTCTAAGGCATACAAATTAAATTCATTGTCGTCAATTACCAATACGTTTGAACAATTGCATGTTTTTTACTTATTTTTTTAGATAATTCTTTATTTGTATGTTACTTATTCTGTTTAAATATCTATCTATTTCTACATACTTCCTTACATACTACTTTTGGCTGAATAGTCTAGGTTGTTATCACTATTACTATTATCATCATGCTCTTAGTTTTCATGAATTTCTATTATATTTTCCATTCTTATATTTAAGCTTTCCTATTTTCTTGACATGATTGAATCAACTCTCTATCTCATTTCTTCTTTAACAGGTAAACTATGAGGAGAATTTTGTGGATTACTTTCAAAAGTTTTCTAACTTTCAAACTAAAGTACTTTTTTAATAAGTTTTCCTCCTTAAATATTTAGAGATTAATAAGAACCACTTAGTTATTAAATTGGTATCTATGGTTGTAAAGTCTTTTAAGATCTAGGAGAGATGTCTATCAAGCGAGATTGGTTATTTTTTAGTAGACTGTTATTATTATTAATGCTTACATTTGATTACCCACTAAAGCTATTATTTGGGAGAGTATTATTATTATTAGGCGAAATATTTTAATTGTTGTTTACCAAGTTTTGTGCATATGACTATTAAGGTTGTTATTACTATTGCAAATTAATTGATTGTTACATATGAACAAATGTTGAATTTAAGAAAAACAAAAGATTTGATTGCATATCCTCTATCTCTAAATCTTTTATACGAATAGGATTTTTAGAAAAATTGGTAGAATTCTTGTTTGATTGATTTTATTAACTTTGCCATTATTATTGAGAAATTTCATCATCAAGTCTGGATATTTTTTGTTCTAGAACTGAAAATCCATCATTATGTAAAGTTCTTAAACTGCTTACAATTTTAGGTGAGAGTTATTTATTGCTAAAATCATCTCTTTAATAGTATTAGTATGATCCTGAAGGCTCGTCTGTAAAGCATCCCTATTTTAAATGCTTGTCCAAGGTATCTTCAAATGCTATTTTATTTGCTTGATTTCCTTTAAACTGATAGTTTTATTGCTAATTTTTACTATACTTTTTATGAGCAACAACATAATATGTCTACTATATTAATGGTGAAGCAGGTTTATTCAAATTAGAATACTCAGTATCTACTTCACAAGATATTTTTTTCACTAAAGTATTTGAATTGTTTTCTTCTATATGCTTTAAACTTGTTATATTATTATTAAGTGCTATATTTTTAAAAGAAGATGAAATTGGTTGTTCTTATTTTTAATTTGGTTGAGTATTTTATAGTTACATATGATTGTTATAGAGTAGTTGCTATTAAATTCTATAGAGATGTTCTATGTTTCTTTTATGGATTTATTATTCGTTAGTTTATTTATATTTTGGAATATCAAAAGACTGTTCAACATTTATATTACCTTCACTCTAGTGGTTTTAATTATTATTTGATTGTTCAATGCTTAGGTTATTTTCTAATGTATGTTTGAGACTGAGGTCTTAGAAACTTTTTGGAATTTAATTAAAAGAATGTATTTAATCTTCTGAATAGGATTAATATTTGTTATTATTATTAGTTAGAATAGGCTGCTAAAGATTAGATTAGTTATTATTGGAGTTTACATAATTAGCTATTCTTTGGCCAAAATCATTAAAACTTCTAGCAGGCAAAGATGTATTTGAAAAAGTATTACTCTTAACTATTGGATACATTTATGAAACCTGCGGCGTCTAAGCATTTTGTATTAAATATTAACTTTGATTAAATTAGCTATTCATTGGTATTATTGAGTGATTTAATGGAGGCAGTACCGAATTTGATCCTAAAATGCGATTGTTGTTTTATGTAAGTTAGTCAAAAACTGTTGAGGGTTGAATTTTATCTGAATTCTCTTAAAATAGAGGTTTCCAATTAGTGAATGAACGATTAAATATTGTAAACTTAGTTGATTTGCATCCGATTATTTTTTAAGGACGATCTAAAACAAAGAATGAGAAGATGGATCCCTTTCCCATATCACTCACAAATTGAATAGGCCTATTTCCGCTTAAACCTTTGGCTATATTGTTTGCTATAGTTAATCCCATTCCTGCTCCTTCTGTATTAAATTAAGTATTATTATAATTAAATTCTAAACCTCTAAAAATTTAGTTTCCTATTTCAGGCGAAATACCACACCCAGTATCAGAAATCGATATTCTAATTAAATCTTTTTCTTCTTAGTCAACATTTATTGATATCTAACCTTAGTTTGTGAATTTTATCGCATTACTTAAAAGATTAATAATAACTTATTTTAATCTCATAGAGTCAGATTTCACTTAAATTGGTATTGACTTCTCAAAATTTAGTTCCATGTGAATATTTTTGTAAGCAGCTTAGAGAGTGAAGTAGCTCATGCATTCTCTAATAAGATCGACAATATTAAAAACTTCAAATTGCAAGTTGAGACCTCCATTTATGAGCTGTGCAAAATCTAGAATATCATTAATCATACTTAACAGAAGATAATTAGAGTTGATGGCAGGAAGTATAAACATTTTTTTTTAATTTTAATTAAGGATATCACTTTAATAAATAGTTTCCAGCATTTATAAGCTGCAATTTAGAGGAGTTCTTAACTCATGGGATAGAGAAGAAAGTATTTTATTTTTAAAATCTTTAAAAGCCTCTTAATTTACTTATTTAATGTCCTCTTTTTTATCTTAAACTTCAATTATTAAAAAGAGTTTCATATCACTTAATTTTATTTTTTTGTTTGATTTTTTATTTCTGTCTGCAAAGTTAAATATGATTCTGTCAGTCTTTTATTCGTTGTTGGTGATTTAAGTTAGTTATTGGCTACCAAACTTTTAGTTATGCTGTTATTTAAACTCCTCAAGAGACTCACTTATTTTTTCTAACTTCTAAGGAGATAAGCTAACTTTTTCTTAGCAATTATCATTTCTAGTTTCACCGCTTCCACTCCCTCTTTAACTTTTGGTTTCATATATTGTTAAAAACTCAAGCATCGCAGATATTTTTAAATCAATGATATCATTCCCTTTCTAAGCCTTTATAACCAAAATATTATCTTAAATGCTGCAGTTGAGGGGATTAATATCTCTGCTTTAGAAAATGGAATCATCATTATCATTGCTATTAAAAGAGTCTCTTCTATTTCTAATAATAGTGGAACCCTAAAGAAACTCTTATTTAGTTTTAGATTAACTATTTATGAATTCTTATTTTCTATGAAAATACTTAGATTCAGATGATTCCGTATCAATTAGTTACTCGCTTTTACTTTTTAATAAGCAATTTTAATTATTTTGTTCTATTGATTAATAATTGCCAGCTTCTAATAAAATTTCAAAAATTTATCTAATGCTTACAGTCTGATTTTACTTAGATTTCAAAAAGCTCTACAGCTCTTTATTTAAATTTATATTTAACCTCCTAATTTCGCTCTTTTTTATTTCTGAATTCAATATGTGCTAATCAGATTTGAAAGGTAAAAAAGAAGAAGGTTCATTTTGATGCATTGTTAGTTTATACCCATGCTAGTTTCTCCAGAAGGGCTGAAGTATGCTCAACCCATCATCTTTCCAATCACTTGAAGAAAGTTTGTCTTCATTAATTATAATATTTGTTTTGATCAATTTACTACTTTCTTTTTCTATTATGCTATTGTTTTAGCTTATTATTTCTCTTAAAGAAGGAAATATTCTCACACTACCTTTTTTATTATCCTTTTTTCTTTTTTTTGGATCCAGTAAGGGAGAGCACGAATCTTCTTCTTTTAAGATTATTGAACTCATCTTCTAAATCTATGAATATGCTGGCTTTTTTTCTTATTTTGAATGTTTCTCCTCAAAGACATCTTTTGCTGATGCACTTTTCACCAAGTCTTAATGGTAAAGATTAGATTGCCTGTTATTATTTTAATATCCTTTTGAATATGTTTAGTATTCTTAAAGTTTATTTATCAGATTTGATTAATTGTTTTCTTTTAAAATTTAGTGAGAACGATCGTTTGAAAATAATATTCTTTTAGCATCGTCGATAATAATTAATCCTATTGTTAATTCTTACAAAATACTATTTTATTCTAAACCATGCAGTGAGGGCTTCTATTACTCCTCATTTTATGGGATGTTTGTTAAATTCTAATTAAGTAAATTAGAGCTCGAATGAGAGGCTATATCATTTTTGTTAAGTTTATCCGTATCTGAAAAAAGCTGACTTTTCATATTTTATTGTTCCGTTTTTGGCAAGCGATAACTATTTATTACGCTTTCAATCTAGCTCTCTCTTTATCTAACACCTATAACAAGTGGAGTTTGTATTTAATTGGTAACATTAAGGTTTTATTATTCTTCAACATGGTTTATATTTGAACCATCTCTATTTATTAAAATTTAAGTCGAAGATTTTTTATCTCTTTCCTTTATCCTTGGCTGGTTACTATTCACATTTAAATAGCTTTTAGTTGATATATGACTGTTCTTATATAGCTAAAATATATTTTTAGTTCTCTGTTGTATTTATTCTCCCACATCATATTTTATTTAGTTTACAAGATGTTATTCTTACTCACTAACTTCTACATTTTAGCCAAAAACTAAAGCAAATAAATAGGAAAATATGATAACGCATGCTCCTATTATAGAATTACTTGAATAGACTTCAAGCATAAGAAATAATCTAATTGAAAGATAGAGAACTGAGAGCCAAACAAAAAACTAAATTAACATATTTTTTTCTATATTTTAGCAAAGTATATGCTATAATTATAACAAAGAAATAAAATAAGCTTGGCTTTAACCCTTTTCTGCCAAAAAGAATACCTCCATACTCAACAAGACAATAACCATTTAAAGTATATGAAACATTATTTTGAAGTTTTACTTGACGCGTTTAACTACATAAAAAACTATATTAAATATAAAGAGAGTTGAAGTCACAATAATTTATATCTTTTCATGATATCTTATATCTTGGAAATCTAGGTCAATTAGGGTTAACGCTAAATAGATAGAGCTCCCTAACAGTGTTAATAAAAAATTATAATTATTAAAAATTACTGTATCTAAATGTAAGAAGCAATTTAAAACATTAAGATTATGCTAGTTTGATTTTTAAAGGAGCTTCATATTTACTCCCTCCAAATAAGCTTTTTTATTCTACCTAAAAGATTCTATGCAAAAACTTCTTTCTTAATATATTAAAAAGGAGAGCGAAAAATTAAAAAGGTATTTTGTTTTATGCTAAGTATTATTTACTTCACTTATTAAGAGAATTGATTAACAAATAGGAAATGATAAAAGTTATTTGGTGAGTTGAGTTTATTTATTATTCTAAAGCACAAATTAAAAATTTGATATTAAAAAAATTTACTTAGATTTGTTTTGCTTCCAAATGATATTTGCATAGCTTAAATTAATAATACCCTAAACTAACTACTCATATCTGTAGAGTGTGTATGTAAAAAAAAAAAAATTAATAGGTGAGATAGATAGAATTCTCGCTATTCTTAAGTAAAGATAATTTATTAGATAAAACATAACTCATAATAGCCATTAATCACCACTTTAATCCAAATTTTTTTCATAAATTAAGCATTTATTTACTGAAATATAATCTAAAATAAAAATTGCTTATGCTAATTTTAATGTAAGATGTTATAATATTTCTATATCTAAAATTATTTTTTGACATGAAACAAATTAAAAAAACAAAACAAATATTTTGCTAAGATTTCTTTTAACTTTTCTCAAAAAATACAATAAATATCAGCTTTTTAATATTCAAGTAATAGAAAAAATTCATATTTTACTTTTAAATCATTCAATCAGGTAAATTCTTTCTAATATTTCATAAAAATGAAATGTGGAAAAATTCAATCAAATACGCTTTCATCAATTTAATAATTGATTTTTGTATTCAAATTAATGTAATGTGGCTTTAATTTAATTAAAAAAATTAATTCCTTGCAAAACTTTAAAACTTAATTCAAAATAATTACTACAAATATTTTTAGTTCATTAAATTCTTATCAATTAATTTCATATTTCTTACACAATAAAAATTTTATTGTAAACTTTTATATTTTGTTTGATAAAATTTATTCTACTTTTAAAAAAATTTTTGATACTGTAAAATTTTTTAGTGAAGCAGTAGAAATGCTAAAATATTTATTAAAATTTATATTTTATTTCAAAAAGTTTTGTTTGAAATTAATTTGTTTGAGTCTTAATAAAAAGGACATACAATATATCATTTTGCGTCTTTTCTGGTATTCTGCCGTAATTCTTAATATTTTTAATAATCAATCCTTTTTTAAAGTACATCTTAATCTTAAAATAGCTATTGAAATTAATTTAAAAATGGTCGAGCTTTTATGATTCTTTGATTAAAATTTATTTATTAATTATAATTTTTTTAATGTAAATTTTTCCTTTTATAAAAATATAGATAAACAAAAAGAAGGATATTTAAGTAAACATAAATAAAAATAATATGACAAATTTAACATTGTAATTTTTATTAGAAAAATTGGTACCTTAAATATATAAGTAATATTTATATACTAAATCAATCGTCTGTCTTTGTTTTTGAAGATGTATTCTTTAAATCCTTTTAAATAATTAAATTTAACTTTTTATGGAAGCATTAACCAATGACTTTTTTGCTAAAACAACTTCTTAGAGAAATTATGTAAATATTTTATCAGTTTTTAAAAAAAAAATAATAAAAAAGTTCTAAAATATTGTTAATTTTTCATATTAATTAAATTTTTAAGTTATTATGAAAAATATAAATTTATCATAAATTTGCAGAAATTAATATTTTTAATAATTTTTCTGAGAGAACAGGTTTTGTTAAATAGTAGGACATCCCAGTATTGAATGCCTTTTTCTTTTCTTCTTCTTAAACATAAGCAGTGCATGCAGATATTGGACAACATTTTTCATTAATTGAATTAAAGAAATCAAAAATTTCAAGAGTTGTTTCATATCCATTCTTTTATGGCATATCAATATCCATAAAAATTAATTTATATTGTTTACAGCAACTCTTTTAATTATTATATCTATTTTTTACTTTTTCAATAGCCTCCATCCCGCTATTAGCTTTGTCTACTTCATATGAATATTCTTTAAGACGAAGCTCAAGTGCAAATAAATTAAATGGATTATCATCTACAATTAATATTTTAGGACATTGACAGTTTTTAATATCGGTGACAGAGTTATTATAAATATAGTTGCTTTTATTGTAATCAGAATCTACTCCATTATTTTAAGTTTCTTGCATTAACTTTTTCGTATAATTTGTTATTGTTTCTTCTGATATCGTTGACATTTTTTTTGCATGTTTAAATATTTTATTTTGATTTGTTGGACTTAAATCAGTTTAATAGTAATTTTTTTTAATGGTCTTTTTATTTAAATCTTCTTAGCTGAGTGAAAATCTTCTATCTAATGCAGAATCTTATGAGAAAATACGTTGACTCGTTGATTATATGCTAAGTCTTTTATGTCTTTAGTCATTGTTTTTCTTTGGAATTTTTTTAGGAGACCTATTATTTAAAAATAAATAAAATTAATATTTAGTTAATAATTTAGTCTGGCAATTGATAGCATCATCTTTTATTTTTGTTAATACAAATATATTAATTATGCTATAAATAATTTTTTATTTAAAACATAAATAGGTAAGTAAATAAGTAATTAAAATATTAATCGAGATGGAAATCCTATCATAATTTAGGGTAGAACCAAATTATCAGGGTTAAATTAAATTAAATAAGTAATTATTAATATTAGGCTTCTAATAGTTAAAATATATTTAACAAAATAATTTAGAAAGAATAAAGTTGATTTAATAGTTACAAAACACTTAGAGAGGAATCAGAGATAACTTTTAAAATTTCTGACTACAAAATATCAAGTTAACTATCTCTTATTCTTTTTGGTATCATATATTAATTTTTATCAATATCTATATAATCTTATCCTCTAGTTGATATTTATTTAATATTTTTTCTATGGGCTACATTGAAATAATTATAATTGATTCTTTTATGAGTTTTATACTAAATAGAATTGTCACTTGGTATGTTGCAAGGTTCATCTTCATGATTAGCTTATAGATGCTACTGCTTCATTTAACTTTATATAGAAGGTTATTTATCTTCTTATTCTGAGACTTAATATGAATTTTTTGATTAAAGTTTAATTGTCTAATAAGAATTAAACCCTGTATCGATGGTGTCTCTTTTTTTATTTAAGTTTATATTTTAAATTGATTAAGAACTAATTGAAGAGTTATATTCTTCTTCATATTATTTTTCTGGTTCTTTCCAAAGTGCTGATTGTGATTCACATTATTAATTTCTATTTTCAGGAGTGAGAATTTAAAGAGCAGAAATATTTTGTTTTTTCGCAAAATTCTAACTTTTTAAATTTTCTATTTAATTAATTGCTTCAATAGATAAAGTTTAGAATTCTCTTTGACTAGTATTTTTAAAAGATTAATTGTAGGAATATCTAAACGAGTATTTAGATCTTAAAGAGCTTTCTTGATTTTCTAAGGACTTTCTTGATACATAATCCATAGATAATTTTTTTAGTGATATCCATTAATAGTAACTCCTATTAAATATATTTACATGATTTATTTTGCATCCACTTATATTTTTTGATCTATTTAACACAAAAAAAGTAAACACACTTCCAACATCAACTTAGCTAGTATATTCTATTTTCCTATTATCACCGAGTCCCATTGCAATATTGTTTGCGATCGTTAATCCTAATCCTGCTCCTTTTGTGTTAAATTTCTATTATATGTTTTTATAATCTTCAACTCCTTTAAAAATATTAGAACCTAATTGCGAAGGAATCCCACAACCAGTATCCTAAATAGATATTTTAATTAAATTTTCATCCTCTAGATCTAAATTGACAGAAATGAATCCTTTATTAGTAAATTTTATTGCATTACTTATAAGATTAATAACTACTTGTTTTAATCTCATAGGATCAGAATGAATAATTAAAGGGATTTCTTAATCAAAATTGAAATCAATAGTAATATTTTTGAAAGCTGCTTAAATTGTAAAGTAGCTGAGACAATCCCTTATTGTATCTACAATATTAAAATGTGTAAAATTTAATTTCAGCTCTCCATCTGCAATTTAAGCAAAATCTATTATATCGTTGATCATGTACATTAGCAGCTAATTTGAATTTAATGTTGGTGTTACAAACATTTTTTTTTGGGTCTCTTGCAAAATATCGCTATTTTGTAAAATTTCTAATAATTATATGCTACAATTCAAAGGTGTTTAAAGCTCATGAGAGACAGAAGAGAGAATCTTTTTTTTAAAATAATCAAACTATTTCACATCAATTAAATTAGAAGGCAGATAGCTAGATTCAGTTATTTCCATTATTATATATATCTATTCTTTATTTTAGTTTTGTTGGTGAGATTGAAATGTGGTTTATTTATTTTCTAATTCATTACAATAATAAACTCTAAAATACACTTATACCATATTATTTTTTTCATCCTTCATGTTGATTTTCAAGACATTACTAACAATCTTAAACTGTAAATCAGATTAACTATTTTATGCATTATTATCCTCGTCATTAGATTCTTTTTCAAATGAATCCTTGGAACTTTCAATTATTTATTCGCTATTATAAGCTTTGAAATACTTTGGTTACTAGTAGTTTTATATATCAGAAATGATAGAAATTATGTCTCCAACTGCTAAATTTTTACCTTTTTTGAGAGCGTTTAAAAGTTAATAATTGTAATTCAAATCAGCTTTTTTAAAATTGGAATATTCTTTTTAACAAACCTAAGCTTTTAATGGGGAAAATAAATATTATTAATTTAAACATTAGCTCATTTTTGATTAATCTAGATCATAATTTAGTGTGTTGTTAAATAAATTAGATTTTTCATTATTATATCCTGTAATTAAATTTTAGTGAGGCAACGAAGATGCATTAAAAAACAAACAATCTAAAGCTACTGATTCATTAAGCTAGCTCGGTTATGAGAAATTCATGAAAGATTATGATCTCTTTAGATTTTTAATTTTTTTTGAATTTTTTTAAGAACCCTACTACAGATTACAACTTAGTTCGATATTATCTTTTTAGATTTTATTTATATTAACTGTCCATTAAAATAATTTTGATCTAAAATTATTTTTATAACACGAGTCAAAATAAGAATAAGATTATTCATTGTTATACTAAATTTATAATTAGCTATCTATAAAAATTATTCCTATCGATGATTCATTAGCAAATAATTATAAAATATTAGGATTTTTGAAGGAAATTTCGTTTTATCTGTAAGTAGAAGTACAATCTATGATTGAATTTCGTTCACTCTCTTAAGGAAATTAATAAGAGTAATTATGTTTTTTCTCATTTTATATACTTTAACATTTCTTTCTTAAAAGATCTATTTAATCCTCAATTTATTCATTTTTATTAATATTCCTGAGATTCTCCTCCTAATATTCATTTAGTATTTAAACCTTATTTAAATCATCTTAAATTTTTTTATTATTTAAAGATAGGTGATGCTCAAATTATTTTTAGTAAACTTTAGAAAATGATCGAATTTAAGAAAAAAATCCTGATAAAAATACTTATATACATTCTGTAATAGATTGTTAGTTAATCCCTATTTATATAGCTATCCTTATAACCAAGTATGTTTATAATAAAAATGTAAAAAGGAAAAACATTTTGGTGTCTTCGAAGTCTTCTGATATTTTTTAAAGGATAAGTAGCGAGAAGACTAAAGAAAACTAATATTTATTTTCATCAAACATAAGGAATATTTCATCAATTAATAAAGCCAGAATAATATTTAGTTTTAATTCTGTTTATTTTTTTATTTCAATAATTTTGAAATGCTTTATAGTTAAAAGTGATACATTATGTAAAGCAATCAATGTTAACAAAACCCAAATATAAATCTTAAATCCATCTTTATCCATATAAATAGCTTCTATTACTCCATACTAAATGCATATTGTAAATGATATTATATTAGAATAATATTTTTCAAATACATTTTGAAATTATTAATATGAAATCAGTTTTCTTTTCTTATTTGTATTTTAATTTTTCATATTTAGTTTACTTCTACTTATTCTTTTCTCAGCTTATTTAACAATTTTTTATTATAGATTTGTTAAATTAGGACTAATAATAAGTAGGTTTTTGTCTATTCTGTTTTTTTTAATTTATTTAATAAGCAAAGAAAAAGCTATTGTATTAATCAAATTTAACTTAAAGTAATTTTCTTTTTATAATTTGCGATTTAAATTTTATTTATTATTTTATGCAAAAGTTGTTTATATTCTTATTTGATATAATGTTTACAAATAAATAATTATTAATGTAAAAATATCAGATTTTAAAACAAATTAATTTTTTTTTTAATAAACTAATTTATTTTAAAAAAAGATTATTTTCAAATTAATTTATTTTTTAATCAAATCAAGCAAGAAACTTAATTAATTATATTTCTGGATTAAGAAATATATAAAAAATAAAGAAGAGTAAATTTTTATCATATTTAATAAAATATTTAATTTACAATCCTTAAAATAAAAAAAATAGATTTATTTTGTTTATTTTAATTAACTATTAACATTATTAAGTATTTTCGAAAATAAATTATTTTAACTTGTTTTTAAATTTGCTGCCGTTAGTTCCATGCTACACTTATTAAGGTCTTCTTTGATAAATAAACATACATCAATGAAGTTAAATTGATTTTAACTTATGTTTTGGATTTTTTGAGCTGTTTCATTTATTAAATTTATTGGCTTAATAAAATATTATTAATTCAGTAAACTATGCAAAAAATTAAATTTTGTGTTTGGCTTTTCTTTTTATCAATCTAACATTTTTAAACGTTAAAATTTTGTTTTTTATTTAGTACTATAAAAAAGAATTAAAAATCATATGGTTAATGATAAAGACTATTAATTGTATTGTAAGAATGTTATTACATTATTATTTATAATAAGCATTTTTGATAGCTTTGTTTAAAAATTTAGTTGATAAATTTCTCAGAATATATTATTAAGACCAATTATTGTTAATTAAAATTTGAGCACAGATGAATATATCTTCATCTTAAACGGTTGCTTAAAAAGGGGCTATTAAAATGGGCCCTAAAGAATATAACGAAATAAAATAAAAAATAGGAAAACTGCTTGCTATACCAGACTAGGAATAGAACGAAAGTAATACAGAATCACAATAAAATAGGGATTATTAAATAGCAAAATAAATAGAAGATATAAATAATTATGATAATATTAGATCTATAACTCCAAGTAGCAATACATTATCTATAGATAGTATTCATTCAAAGACTAAACTTTAATTTAATGGTTAAATTATTTTTTCTCCTTAGAGCGATATGAAAGTGGTTTAATCAGTTTAAAATTTAAGCAAAAATGGCTCACCTAAATCATTTTACATAAACAATATGTAAAAACCTAAAACTGAATAAACAAATAGAAGGAGAAATTATTCTTAGGCAGTAACTCCAATAATCAAAGAAGAAGAAGAAACTTAGACATAAATCAAGCAGATTCCTTAAACATCTGAAAACAAAAAAGATAAAATCGTTGAAGGTAGTTTACTTACAAGGAAAAATGAAGTTTAATACATCAATCACTTGAGAAAAGCTTAAACCAAATTGAGTTTTCATGATCATATGAATTATTTAGAATTAGATTCTCATATCCATGAATTATGCGATTAATAAAGTCTTTTTACAAACAGAAATGTTATATATAACTTGAATGATAAAGATGGCAATATTATTGTTCCTAAAAAATACGATGATTTCCATGTGACTGAAGGCATTGTGCCTTACGCATTTGACTAAATAATAGAAAAGTAAAAAGACTAACTTTCTTAATAGATTTCTGAGAAGGCTTATCAAAATTAATAAAAATAAGGCCAACAACTTTCAATTAACGAATAAAAAACTCAAAAACCAATACTTAAAGCTAAAAGTTTTTCAACAATTTCATATTTAGCTAAAACAAACTAAATTTCAGTTTAAAATAATAATCCTTAAAATACTTTACCACAATCTTCTTAAAGATCATCAGTTTATAGTTTTTAATCAAGTCCAAAAGATATGTTAGCAACAACATTTACCTAAACTATGACTGGAGGACCTCCAAATACTTAAATATAGAATAATGTAAATCTATTAACTTCTGCTCATAGCAAATCAACTTATAGGCCCCATACTTAGCAAGGTATTAATTAAATTTGAACTTTATTCTTTTTAAAATTTAATCATTAAAAAAAGGATTTAATAAGACCGGATTAAAATTTCATGAAATTTCTTAGCATCAGGTACCATCAAAAAGCTAGTCAACTAAAAATTTCATGCTATAATTGCTTTAAGGAAATAATTCAAAAAATAGTATAGATTTAAACTTGAAAACTAAATAAAATTCATAAGATATAATTAATAAGATTGATTTATCAGCATAAAAACCTAAGCCAGTTTTTGCAGAACAAAAAAATAAGTTATAGAAAAGATAAGAAGTTCTTAATGTAAAGAAATGGATGGAGGACAAATTAGATGAGCTTGTAAAAACAGATAATTTAAGTATAAATTAAGTTTTTACTTACTATTAAAATGTATTCTAAGCATCTATTAGTGAGATATTGAGATAGATTGCTTCTGAGTGCAAAGAAAGAAGTCAGCTACTGCAAGAAATTTGGGATAGCTAAATATCAATGAGCGAAAAAATATTTATAAGCCTAAGTAAAGAGAATAACAAAATTGAAAAAAAATCATTAGAGTAAATAAATTAATTGCATAAGAACTATCAAAATGAATTATAGAAACAATTCCAAATGATTGATGATCGAAATTAGTTAATTGCTGATTTAAAAAAGCAGCTTTAACAGTCTGTTACGGAAGGCAGGTAAAATATAAAATAACTTTCAGAAAAAATAATTTTTTCAAATAAATAATTCTTCAAAATTTTGATAAAATTTTTAAAAATACTTTAGAATAAATAGAAAAAAAGGTTAAAAAGTTGAGAAAAATTATAAAATAATAAATAACCAAATAAATTAATTGCAAGAAGAGTACAATCTACTTTTCTAAGAAAATTTGGCTTTGCTGATGAATCAAAATAAAATAGATTGGTAAACAGCCTTAAAAGAAAAGAAAAAAATGTTGGAAGAAATAAACCTAAATAGAAAAATGAGAAATGATTTAATTAAGGTTGGGGAGAGCTTTAAAAAAGAGAAACTTACATTAGAAGAATAAATGAAGAAACACGAAATAGATGAGGTAATAATAAAAAATAATTTTTATTTTGAATTGATATGTTTTTATAGTTAAAATTATATTAAATTTGATAAATGTTTTTTAATTAAATAGATTGTTAGATAATTTGTTATAGATAGAGAGTCTAACATGCCTGTAACTAGTAAAAAGATAGAAGAAGAGGAGGAGGAGGAATAAGAACATATGGATGAATAAGATAACGAATTAGATGAAAATAAGTAACTAGTTTTAAAAGAGTTCTGGAAGAATCAATCTACTGATACAAATGATTTAAGAGAAGTGAAAAATGCTGAAACTAACACACAAGTTTTTTAATTTTCTGATGGATAAACTCAAACGAAAAGAACAAAATTAAAAGAAAATGGAACTTAGGTTTACATTTCAGTTGAGTCAGCTGACTAAAATATTCAAACTGAAACTGAATGCTATAACGTATTCTGCTAAACTGTGCAAGTTGATGTTATGGATATAATGGTTTAATGTGATTTAATTTAAGAAATATAATAAAATGATTCAGAAAGAAGGATAAAATAAGAGCTAAAAAAAGAACGTTCCAATTTCAAAAATAAAAAAGGGAGTTAGGTAAAGAAAAGATAGTAAATGCAAGCTTCTCAAAATTCATAGTAGTCTATTGAATAATAATCTTAAGATAGTAATGATCTGAGTATAATTTATACAGATTCTGCTAATGATACAGAAGCTTTTAAAAGTGATGAAATCTTACAAACCAAAAGGAAAAACCAAAAAAGTAATTTTCAGGCAGAGAATAATAGTAGATATTTACAATAGATTTAAAATTAATAAGAATCAAGTGAAGATGACTCTAAATCTTAACGTTCTTAATCTTTAAATAGTTCAAGATTGAGTAAAAGCAATAAAAATTCATCAAATATAAGCTCAAAATATAAAGAAAAAGATAAACCTTCTTCAAATTACTTTATTACAGGGCTAGATGATATAGAAAACAAAGATCTAAGTGTTGAGATTGATAAAAGAACTAAAAGTATTTTTTCACCTAATCAAAGATAAACAAATCTTGTAAAATAATTAAAATAAAAAAGTAAAAGTAAGCCAAAAAGCAAAGATTCTTCACGATAAATGCTAACAAAAGAATAAGAAAGAAAAGAAACAAGTTTAAATTCTTCAATTATAAGTAATTTAGATGAAAATAAGGTCAAAGAAGTTAAGGACCTATTTAATGATAAAGAAAATATCTCTAAATCTGACAATATTTTAAAAATTTAAGAATTAGTGGATTAAACTGTAAATAAAAGCTAATAATTGTCTGATAAACTATAAAAAGAAGTTTAAAAATATCAATAGATAATTAAGGAAAAAGAAGAAGAAATCAAGTAATCTAAAAAATACTAGATATAGCTTATAGCCAAATTGGAGAAGCAACAAAAGGATTCTAAAACTGCAGATAAAAAGGATAAAAAATAAGCTAATTCCCAATTTAATAAAAAGATAAGCATTCATATTGAAAATGAGGACTTAGATACTTCATAAATCTCAGAAAGATAGGGAGGTGATGGTTCTTCAGGTAGAAATAGTTTGTTTAAAGAAAAATATCAAAGTAAAAAATAGGCTAAATAATAGAAAAATAATTTTAATTAAACTAAAAATTTTACTAGCTATCTATCAAGCGCTTCTGAATAGGAAAAAAAAATAGAGAATATGGTAAGAAATGCAAGTAGTTAAGGAAATCATATCTCATCTGACTCCTAAAAAGGTAGTATAAAGCATCCTTTTAACAGAAAATAAAGCAAATAAACAAGTATTTTCAGTAATTCTGCACAAAAGAAGGAATTGAGCAATTCTCAAGCAGGTAGCTAAAATACTATCTCGAATTCAATCATTTAATAAGAAAATAATGTGCAAAGTGCTGAAGAAATATTTGAGACTTTCTCAGGAGACAGAGCAATTCACACTGAATAACTAATATAAGATACAGTAGAAGAGCAAAGCTAAATGATTCAAAGAAATTTCAAAGTTTCAAAGCTAAATCTTAACTTCACTAAAAAAGAAAGTAGAAGAGCATCCATTAATTCTGACATTTCTACTCCAAAATCAAATTAAGCTTACACAGGTCATTATTCATTATTTAGTGGACATCAGTCACAATAAAAATCTCCTTATTCTTCATTGACCTCTTAGTAAAAAAAAATGAGTATTTAGGATGTAAATTCCCCTTAATCTGGTAAGCCTAAAAAATTAAGTCTATTAAATGGTAGTTTAATTTATCCTTAATAAGGATAATTAGATAGCCCAAGATCATCTATTTTTTCAAACTCACCTTCATAAAACAGCAGATCTTAAAACAAGCAGTATTCAATCAACATTGAAGCAGCTTTATAGCAAAAAAATAGGATATCGAGTTTAATTAATGATATAAAAGCACCTAAAAATGCTCTTAAATACATGCCTTAAATCCTCAAAATGATTAACAGTATTGTACAAGATAATTTCAAGTGCCTTAAAAATCACTAATAAATCTTAAATCCTCTCTATGTTTAAATGTATGAATATTTTTTATACCTCTTCGGTTTGAGAAAGGTAGCAGAACTGAAAATGATTTCAGTTATAGAGTAGTGCATGCTAATGTAAAATGAATACCCATAAATAAATCTTTTTATGAACCTTTATTTTAATGACTTTAGCTGTGTAGATCTTCATTTCTTTTGCAAAACTTACATGCATTTATGCGAAAACATTTAATAAGTCAGAGTAGAAAAAAGTACAACTAATAAATATAAAATACTAACAACAATTCCTCAAGTGCTAAAAAAGGAATAATATTAAAGAGAAGTTCTTGATCAAATAAAAAATTTTGAATAAAAAATGAATTTATAGAAAAATAATGAAAACGATCAAGATAATCATAAAAAGCTAGATAATATAGATCTTTTACAAATAAACAACTTATCTACAGAAATGATAAATGAGCTTAATTAACAGAAGTATGATGTATTTGAAATCATTCAATTCTTTATGAATACTTTTAAATAAAAAAAACTATAATTATAAGAAGAATATATGGCATTATTTTATGCAATATCGTCTAATATGGAAAAAGCCTTCATAGATGAAGAAGGTGTTTAATTATTATCATTTGTTGCCAACTTAGATGAATAGAAACAATAGGTACTAAACACCAAGTTTAAGAGTAAATCAATAATGAATGAAATGGGTTTTGAGCAATTTATACTATTGGCCAATGAATAAAACTAATTTAAAACATAGTAAATATTAGATATTTACCCTGACCAAGTTAAACCACTATAAGAAATAAAAGAATTTTGGGTCGCAAACAAACAAAAATATGAAGAAAAAGTTTAAATAACTGAATATTATAATATATTTACCAAAAACATAATGGAAAAGCTTGATATATTAACATAACTGATGGATTAAGAATAAGCAGATATAAATGATAATAGTTATTTAAAAAGACATGAGTAATCCTTCCAAATTTGCTTTATAATAATAAATAAAATATATCAAATATGAGTGAGAGTAAAAAAATGTAATTGTAGTTGTAAGATAATAAAATAATTTACTTTTAAAATATTATTTTTAATATATTTTTTATAAAAAAAGTTGTTTTTTAATTTTATATTTTTTATTATAAATTAATTATTCTATGTATAGTCCACATATTCGCAAGCTAATAGACTTATTTTCAAAATTTTATAACCTCTTCTCTTAGTTAAAAAATTATTAAAAATTCTTCCTCAATATCGAAAAGTATCTAAGATACTATTATTTTGTTTGGTTATTTTCATAATTGTATTGATCAATTTTAAAATAAACACAGAATTTAGTAAATTTGAATAAAAATTGTTTTTATCAAAGATGATGATGGATTTTATTTATTTTTTCATTTTTTATTAAATTTATAAAATTTTCTTTGATAATTTTTATAATTATTTTAAGTTAAAAATAGAACTAAAATCCTAACCTTTTTGATAAATAATTAGAAAAATTTTATTTATCTTTATTCAATTAATCTTTTAGAAGTATTTACAAAATGAAATTTAGCTTATATCATTGAATTCAAAATTTAATTGTATATATTTTTTACTAATTTTAAATAATAAAATATTATTAATTGATAAATTAAATAAAATCAGAATATACTGCAGTTGCAATACCTTTTTTTAATTACTTGTTATTATTATAATTATTCTTGTTATTGTTTTTATTACTATTGATTATTTTCATCACTATCAGCTTTAATGTTGATATGCTGCTCAGATTTTAGTTTGGTTAAAGAAAAGTGTTGTTGTGATGGTTTTTATGAAAAAATGCTTAAACTTGCATTAGTAAATTTAATTAATAAATTAGATGGCTATTTCATATTTTAATCATATATTTACTAGAGTTATTTAACAATCATATTAATTTCATCTTAGGTTTTTTAAGATTTGCAATTTTCAGTACATTTATTAAAATATTAAATAACTTCTTTTTTAATTAAAATTTTTTAGTTTAAATAAACCTATCCTAAGAATTAAAAGTACTGAATATTATCTGGATCAAATTAAATTGCACTTTTCATGTAAAGAATTATCTTGTCATAGTTTATTTTCTTTTAATTATTGATAAAGTTGAGATGAGCTATTTCATAATAACTTATTGAGTAACGGTAATTTATTTCTAAGCTTTTCTCATAATATATTTCACTTTCATCAAACTTCTTTAGTATCTTACATATATCTCCCAGATTTGTGTAAGCCATGAAATTTTATGGATTGATAGATATTATTTTTTAGAAGTTCAAATAAGCTTCATTGTATTTTTGGTTTCTCATATTTAATTTGGCTTTTAGAATAAAACCTTTTTCGTCATTCGGGTAAATTTTTATGTATTCGGAAATTTATTATTCAGCTAATTCAAATTATTAGTTTTTTTCAAATAAGCAGCTTAATTCTAATAGCGCTTATTAGTTTTCAGGTTGTTTTTCTAAAATAATTTAGTATTGCTTTATAGCACTAAGGTTATTTTTCTTGAAAATAGCTTATAACTAAGCGATGGCTAATCTTGCTTCAATAGAATCTTCTTTAATTTGGAGATACTATTCCAAATAATTATAAGAGTTTTCATAATCATGTATTTATTATAACAATAATCCAAGCTTTAGCTTACATTCGTGATTATTGGGGTCGATTTTTAATAAGCATTCATAGCTTTCTTTAGCTTTTTAAAAATTATTTGTTTATTGTTCTAATTCGCTCACTGTAAATAAAATTTAAATATTTAATGGGTCTAATTTTAAATAACTGTAATAATTTTCTAAAGCCTATTTTTTCTACCCAGATAGCTGATACGCATTAGCTAGCAGTTTATAATACTGAAAATTCAAATCACCCTCAGAAACCTTTTTAGCATAATTCTTAAAGTATTCTATAGATTTGTCATATTTTTTTTTCTTTAGATATGAATCACCTAGAATGTAATATGCTTCAATTTATTCTTAATTAATATTTTCCATTTTTTTTATTAGTTTAATGCATTCTTCATAATTTTCCTCTTTGTATTTAATTTTGCTCATTTAAAATAGAGCTTCTAAATGATTTTGGTCTTGTTACAAAATTTATTTATAATGAAATTAAGAAATTTCTTACATATTTAAAGAATTGTAGCACTTAGCGATTAGAATATTGTATTTAATTTCAAGTGGTGATATTTAAAGAGAGTTTCTCAACAATTCAATAGCATTTAATGTTTCATTTAAGAATATTTTAATTTAGCTCAATAGAAAGTAAATTAACGATTTGTGAGAGTTTTTTTCTATTAATTCAACTAAGAAATCTTCTACATTTTTAATCATGCCAACATCGTTTAAGAGTTAGAGCTCTTCTAAAGTAAATTCAATCTGAGGATCTTTTGAAATTGCTCTTTTTAATTCTTTTATAAATGACTTAGCTTTATATTTAGGATTCCTTAATGATAAGAATGCTATTTTCTTGTGGACTCTATTGTCGTTTTTATTTAACTCTTTAACATTTTTTATTAATTCTAAAGACTTATCGTATTACCCAATTTAGGCGTATATGTTTGATAGATCAAAGAGAATTTCAGTATTTTTAGAATCAAATTCGATAGCTTTAGAATAAAACTCTTTAGCTTGTTCAATATTTTTTAATTAATAGTGGGAAATTTTTCCACAAGCATACAAAGATTAACTGTCTTTTGGGTTTTTTTAAATTAAAATTAGATAATATTTGATTGATTCTTGATATTAATCAAGTTTATAATTCAATTCAGCAATTTTTTTATATGAATATGTTTAATCTGGATTTAATTCGATTGATTTTTAATAGTAAGACATTTATTGCTGTAAATTTGATTCTTGGTCCCCTAAAATTTAATAAACAATAAAACTCTAAGGAAAAAGATTTTTAACTTTTTGGACTAAGCTTTATATCTTTTCAGTCATATTTTAAATATTATAAAGTTCTATCATCTGAATAAGAGTTTAGAATTAGTTTGGGCACATCTTTAGGGATTATTGAAAGCAGCTTTAGGCTGTTATGTAGTCTTTAAAGTGGCAATAGTAGATTCCTTTTCTTAAATTTATTATTGGGTCATTTTTAATATTTAGCGAATCTGCGTAGTCAATTAGTGCTTTTGATCTTTTTTCATTTTCTCCTGTTTTTAAAACAATTATAGACTTGAGAGAATAAATAATACCTTATTGTTTTTATTTTTAAAGAGCTAAATCAATATTGATTTCCCCCTAATCAAATTCCTATAATTCATAATTTACCCACGCATTATAATAATCAGCTCTCCAATCTTTACTGTTTATTTTTAAGCATACTTACGTGTATTGGTTAACTTTGAAATAATTTTTGCTATCTCTAACAGCTAAAATACATTCACATAATCCAAAATATGCATCTATCTCATTAGCACTATTTTTTAATGCTTTTTCAAAGTATTTATTGGCTAATTAGACATTGCAATTAACTTTAATTTCTAAATAACCCAAAGAAATCAGCGCATCAATATCATCCTTCCTGTATTTGATAAAATCTTTATATTGCTTCAGTAATTATTTGCCCTTTAAAAAATTGAATTCTGTTATTCTCTCAAGATGTGAAGTTAATAACTATCTATCAGTTGAAATTAATTAATTATCCTCTGTGGTGTTATGGAATTTGTGTAAACTAATACGGGTACTGTTTCCATTATCTTAAAGATTACTGCTTAACTCCATAAGCGAGGTTTGCATTCTTTTTGTTGTTGATAACAATTATGCTTATTCATAAGAGTATTAAAAATCGATTATTTTATCTTTAATATCTTAAATTGAAAAATTTAATTGGCAAGTACTTTATGTTAAAATAAATTCAATCAGCTTATTCGCTTAAATGCTAAGGTTAGGTGATTTTGGAGTTAATGTTTTTTATTTTTAACAAGTGTAAAAGCTATTTTTTTCAAAGAATTCATGAACGCATCCACCATATTAAGCTAAAATCATACCAATAGACCATATATCACTTTTCTTCTTTTCTTCAAACACTTTAACATCTTCAATATCTGTGTCTAAATGTAAATCAAAACTAACTTTTTTTACAGATTATGTAGTGCTTGGTAGGGTATTAAGAGAAGGACTTGGTAATGTATTAAAGTAAAGAATATCATATAGTTTTATCAAGTTATCTTTACCAACAAATATTTTATTTATGCTAATATCATTCAATACATACGAGTTCTTGTGAAGGTAATCAATAGCATCTGTAAGTTGCTCTGCCAATTCTTAAAACTAATTGTCACCTATTTATGAAGTACTATATTCCTAAGCTTAAGTAGAGAGAGAGCTATTGCATTAATCAAAGACAATAAAATGAAAGTAGTCAATAATAAATTCGTCGTGAATTTCTGCAATGTTAGGGTGTTTTAAATTTTTAAGATGCTAAACTTGGCTTTTACTTTGGTTGATTAAATCACTCTCTATCTTGCGATTATATTAGTTGACAATGGGTGTAGCTTTAACTACATAATTTATCTTATTATTGTCATTTTCCTAAACAAAAAGTAAGAATTGCATGCATTTTTGTAACTTTTCACTCTTTAGAGTCTTTAAACCTTTATGCTAAAGTAGTTAATCTTCTAGAAAACTTAAAATTTCTTCTAAAGCACATTATTCTTCTTATTAGCTAAGACTACTTTTTACTTAGTAGTTTAACATGATTAGTTCTATGATTAAAACTACTTGTGCTTATATAATTTATCCAAAATAAATCTTACAACACTTTTTTTTGATCTATCTTAATAAGAATTTATGTGATAATTAAATGAATTTATTAAATTATTTGATTTCAACTCTCACTCTGATTTATCGATTTCCAAACAAGTAAATTTTAATAAAAATAATTATTAACCTAAAGTGTTTAAATCACATAATTATAAATAAGATAACTTGCCATTTATGTTGGTGATAAGTTATTACATATTTAATTAAAATTTTCCAGCACTAATCTAATATAAAAGAATTTTTGCAATTAAAAAACTAAGGTAATTTTTGTATTGGTTTATTTTTAAGATAATTATTCGACACACAAATATTTATGAATCTAAAATAATGAATATACATTAATAAATACAAATTAACTTATTATAAATCTGAACTAACCATATTATTTAATCCGTTTCATAATAATTCAACAAAGAAAGATGATAAGCTATAAATAAAAGTAATAAAATGGAATTCTATAATATTAATTTCTTTTGAGGTAATAATTAATTTACATGTTTTTTTTGCTAACTGATTACTTACTTTTTGTATTTACACTTAATTAATTAGTTTTGACTATTACATTTTTCTATTTGTTTTTTCATTTTTCTTTAATTAATAATTTATCATCAAATAATTAATTAGCATTGAAAATTTTAAATTATTAATGATAACTATAATTAAATTCTTATATTACCAAACTATGTAACCATTCATTTTCTATATTTTAATAAAAAAGATTACGCATGTTTTCTTTTTTTTATGATAGCAAAATATGATTTCATCATAATAAAGATATTGCTATTAATTAATATTTGAGCTTTCATTATTTGCTTTTTTTCTTATTTCTATCTAGCTTTTTAAACTAAATTTGAAAAAAAATATTTATCTTAATTCAAAAAAATAATTTAAAATTAACTACAATATATTGAACAAAATATTTTACAAAAGATAAAATAAAATTTTTTTATAAACGAAAAAAGGATATTTGGATTTATTTTATTGATTATATTTTTATCTAGAATTTTTTTATATTATAACTTCATATTTATTCATCTTCTCAGAAAATATTACAGACTTCACAGTTGCCCTATCTAGGAGTTTCGAGGTGATTTCCTTGGATTCCATTTTACGAGTTATCTAGGTTTTCATTTATGTTAGCAAACGATTATAACTACATTGAAAGCTCTTCCAGTGTAGCCTGAGCTTTCATAGTCCATACTCTTATTGTTTGATCTGATCCACCAGATATTAATGTTTTACCATCATTCATATATATGACTGATTGTATATAGTTCTCATTCTCTTATATAGAGAGAACTTCTTCCCTTTTCTCGATGTCCCAAAGCATGATTTATCCATCCCATCCAGCAGACCCAAAAAATGTAGGAGAGTTCAAATATATTAGTGAAGTAACTCCTCCTTTGTGGCCTTATAATTTATATGGGTGATCAACCTACATATATTTTATAATGTAAATTTAGTTATCATCTCCTCCTGTGATTAATCTTTGCTCATCTTTCATATACAGCATTGATTTTACTGCACCACTATGAATAGTCAAGAATTTTATTATATTACCATTTAGTCTTTAATAATCATATATTGTTATAATTCCTTTTGAAGATCCTGATGCCATGTAGTCCCCATGTAGTTTAGCTAAACATAGAATTGTATCTTCACATTCAGGTAATTTTTTTACTAGTTTCTTACTTTAAAATGACCAAATGTGTACTTGTCTTTCACCTCCACCTGATGCAAACAAATCTTCATCCAATTTTACTAAAGCACGAACTGGTTTATCATGTCCATACAAAACAGTTTGTTACTCATCAGTTTAGACTTACCAATCCCACACTCTTATAGTCTTATCTAATCCTCCACTTATAAGGGTAGTTTCATCCCAGAATAACAGAGTGTTAATTGCTCCTATATGTCCTTCCATTTTAGCTATTTCTGAATCAGTATTTAGATCAAAAACCTTTTTATCATAATTAATAATTTAAAAAACACAACTTCTCAAATCAAACTAGTTTGTTTCTTCATTCAAATTATTGATAAATTAAGCTTTATATAACATTTTTAAAAACAATTTTAATGCTTCTATTTTTTTATTTCAAAATTCTAATAATTTAAATTTTTCTATTTTGTTTACTTTACTGTTTACATAATATCATTTTTTAAACAGCTTTTTTGTTAACTTTGAAATTTTTTGCCTAAATAATTCTTTAAAAAAATTGCAAATATCTAATAAAAAATAGCATTATCGCCATAGAGAATAATAAAGTTAAGAAGTAAAATTTTTATTTTATTTGGGTGTAGCTATAAAAATTAATAGAATAATTTTTTTTTATTTAATTTTTGTGGATCTCATTTAGTTATTCAAAAATTCATTTACTCTTATTGTAGAATCTGATGATGCAGAAGCGAAAATTTAATTGCTATCTAAATAACAAAGCTTATTAATCCAATCTTTATGCTCATAGAACTTATTTTAAATAGAAAGGGCTTGAATGCATTATTGCTCAAAAGGTATATCATTAACGACTTTAAGTAAAACGAAAGGATGTTAATCAATAGTTTAAGTGATTCGATTGTATGAGTTATCATAATTTGATTTGCTTATAAAGGCTTACTGCTTCTATCCTGCTTTAAATTCTACGCTTTCAACTTCATCAATTACTTTGCGAAGAATTTAATTTTTAAAGTCATTAAAGTGATTGATCTATGTATCATAAGGATCATCTGGGAAAATTCTAACTTTCTAAAGCTTTTTTTATTCTGTATAAAGGCTATTTTATAACTAGTGATAAAATTTGCGAATTTCTGATTTGTATTATTTAAGTTTCTCATCTAAATATGCTTGGAGTCTTCTTTGGAAATCAAAAGTTAAATTTTCTATTTCGTCTGTTAGCTATATCTGTTACGACTTGAGATTCAAGATAGTTTGATTAACTCTTTATTTTAAATTATCATAAGTACGACTCATTAAGATGACCTTACCATCAGAGTCAAAAACTCTACTTTTCTCTACGAATTCCGAAGTATGATCTGTTGGATGAATAATCAAGCATTTTTGGCAAAGTAGATGATTATCACATCCCTTTTTCAGGCAAACCTAGACTATTTCTTACTTGTGGGTTTGACAATTCATTATTTTTATAAATTACCTATTTTTTTTTAATTTTATTTTTCAATTATGTAAAATATCATTTTTACTCATTACTTTTTTTAATTTATGGTCTTTTTGAGGTCTAATACTTAATTATTGCTTGCTATCTTTCTTTAAAACGAAAATTTTATTTAATTTTTATAAATTTAAAATGAATTAATTATTTCTTTAATAAAATTATTAATATGCAAAATATAAAAATTATACTCTACTTTTATTTATTTCCAAAAATTAAAATTAAATTTGTTTCATAGTTTTTCTAATTTTATTTTTATATATGTTAGTTAGTTTAGTTATATTACGGAAGGAAGGTAGAATCAAAAAATTCTACTTTTAAACTAAAAAGGAATTGATTGTATTTTCCACAGAAGTAGATTTTAGTAAAAAGAAGAGAAATCATTAAAATAAATTATATTTATTTAAGCATTCACTAAATTTATTTACTTGTTTTTTATTATTTTATAATAGTAAATTTATTTATTTGCTTGCTTTGTACTATTTTATAATAGAAAATTTATTTATTGTAAAGATTATGTTTTATAATATATTTATTGATTAATTTATCATTTAAGGACTTATAAATGCAATAAATAATAAATATTTTTTTCACAAGTTATTAGTTTTATATTTTAGTTGACCAAGTTTAAGACAAATCAACAAAATCTGATTTTTTATAAAGAAATAAAGCAAAAAAAATATAATAATAAAATTGATTCCATGAAGCCAAAGTAAAAAATATTTTCACCATTTCTAATTTTGATGATTGAAATTTAAATATTTAAAAATTATTTTTAGAAACTTTCAGATTTAAGGGGAGTGCTTAGCTTATACGTATAATAAAGGAAAATTCAAAAAAAATATCATAAAACTTTTAAAAGCTATAAAATATAGAATGGTGAGGATATGAGTATGTTTTATTAGTTAATTAATCAATAATATTCATACATAAAATAGCTTGGCTTCTCTATTGCTATGTAAGGTTAACTTAAAATAATTTTGAATTAATTTCTTCAATATATTTTTCAGTGGATAGGAATTTAATTAGCAGGACTGTAACTATTTAGCTCTCTCTTTATAATCTTTTAAACTTTTAGAAAATCTTTACATCAACATTCCATAGTATTTATTTTTTTTTACTATACCTTGCTAAGTAATAATATGAAAATAGAAATTGCAATATAGGAATTTTAGGAGCTATTGAATTATCTTAAGGATTTTAGTTTTGTTAAAAATTAAAATAATTAAAAATAGACATAGGATAGTAATCTTTTTATTAATTAGATTATATTTATTAATAAATTTTTTAGCTAAACCTAAATAGGATAAGAAGAAATACTTTATATTGGTGAAGGAATAGGTAGTATTAAGAATTTAGATCAATTGACCATTTAGATAGGGTATATGTTAATTAATATATTTTTAATTATATTTAATAAAAAATTTTAGATAAAATGAAATTAAAGGTGGATTTAAAATGTTTGGAGATTAAATTGGAAATTGCAAGAATCTTACTAAACTGTTTCTTTAAATCGATAGGTATGTATTAATTAATAGTTGATTTAAGTAAATTATTTATAAAACTAATTTTTAATAGCAATCAGCTTCAAGATGAAGGGACTTAAGGAATATCTTGTATTTTAAAAGGATGCATTAATCTCAAAATAGCTTCAATTAAGCTTTTTAGGTAATCACAAAAAATGATAATTAAATCAATACTTATTAAATAATAGTAATGAAATTAAAAAAGAAGGGGCATTAACAATTAGCTAAGGATTATCTTATTGCAAAAATTTAGAGAAACTTACCTTAATGATAGGAGAGTACAAACAAAATTTATGATCAAAATATAAATAAATTTTTATTTTTTAATTAGAGATAATATGATAGAATCAGCTGGTTTAGAATACCTGGGTGATGGTTTAAGATAATGCAATAGACTTCAAGTTTTGAAATTATTCATCATGCCGTATATTTTATTTATAAAAAATTAATTATTCATTTTATTTTTAGATATAATATGCTTGGATACAAGGGCTACATTAATTTTTCAAAATCTTTATAAAAGTGCAAAGAATTAAAAATATTTGAATTTAAATACTAAAAGTAAATTATCAATTTTTATAAAATTAATTCTAACTAAAATCTTCGTAAAAACTAAATATAGCATAACAGCATCTGAAGTTAAGGACTTCCAATATTAATTATTTAAAGTAAGGAAACTAGCTAAGATTAATATCAACAAAGATGATAAGTTTTATTGATAAAAAGCTTACTTAAATATAAATAAAATAACAATGTGTATTATTATGTTTTTAATATTTTTAGAAAGAGTTATTTTTGTTTAGCAAATTAAATGTTTTTATAGAAGTAAAATAATCTTAAATGCAAATTTAAATATTTAATTTAAAGATTAACTTAATTAATATGAATATTTATTTAGTCACATACAACAATCAAGCGAAAAAAAACAATTATTCTAAAAAGATTTTTATTAATTTATTGTTTAAATATGAAAAAATATTTTTGTGTTAAAAATAAAAAATAAGGATGAAGTGAATGGCTTAGCAGCCACCTATCTTATTTAAATCAAACCTTGGCCTTAGGATTGAATGGCTTGGGTTTTTCATCAATAATACTAACATTAACTCCCATACTGTTGCATTAGCCAATAATACACTATTTTTTTATATTATTTAAAAAATAATTAATATATTTATAGTAGAGAGAGAGATCAATTGATTATTAGTAATTTTTATATAACAAGCGATCGAAAGTTCTATTTACATTGCAAATACTTTCTAAGGTAGCTCTTTTAAAATCGATGTCAATTTCTTTCTTAATTTTAGCTATTTCATAAACATATCTAACATCAATATAATCTAAATTCACGTGACCTGCATATTGTGTCAATTTTTCTTTCACTATTTATAGACAAAAGTTACTTTAAAACTATTCATCAAACTTTAGATTTATATGTATTATTTACTTATAACTTTCTTAATTAACCAAGAAGTCTCAGGAGGCTTTATGATATAAGAGTAACTTCTATCTACTTTAGCAGCTACTTAAACTCTTAAAGGGATATCAGATCTAATATGGGCAGTAGCAGCATTAAAATCCTATTAATAAATTATTTTATTATTAACTTTCCATGTAAGCATATGCATTATTTAGATGATATTCTTTTTATCAATAACAAAACAAATACTATACTTTACAAAAGTGCATCATATTTATACCTAAGGGACCTAAAGACTAACCTATTTGAAAATAAAATGATACTTTAAAATTTAGTCCTAATGAGCTAACAATTTGTGCATTTAAATTTAATATTCTTTTTTAATCTTTCTTAATTGCTGATTAAAAATGATAATTTAGTATTTATAGATAATAATAAGATAAGTTAGCGTATTTACCCATTTTAGGATTAGGCTTAGCAATGCCTGCAAGAAGTCTAAGATTAATAATTGCTATTATTTTATATCATAAAATTTATTGAATTTTAAACATTTTTATTTATTTTAAATATTCACCCTTAATTTCAGCCATTGTTTCTTTAGTTAGTTATGTAAATTTTAAATCTATCTTGCTTTATTAATATATAAGATATTCAATCTAATTAAAAAGATTCTTTGTTTTATATCTTATTTCTTTGTTAATTTGAATCTTTGTTCTCTTAATGCCTTATAAATGGTTAATGAGTGAGTAAGTACTCTCATGCTACTTAAAGAAAAATGAATATTTAAGTATTTAAAATTTAACTTTGTCAATAGATTTGTATAATTTCTTCTACTTGTATCTGTTTGAATAAGTTAAAATAGAAATATTTATCATAAACAAATTTTATTATTTGCCTAGTTAAATTTTAATTTACGGTCAGATTTTGATCAAATCAAGATAAACTTTTTTGTCTTAATACTTATTAGTTAAAAATAAATCCTTGTTTGTAGATCAATTTATAAAAAAATAAATAAAAATAATTTTATGAAAACTTAAAAATAAAGAAGCATTTAAATAAAAATTAATTTATTGGTTGATTAAAACTTTATTATCAAAAATTACATAAAAATAAATATAAACATAAATAAATTATTTTTATTCAAATTAATTAAGTTTATTATTAATATATTTTCATTAATTTATTTTATCACTATTCCAATCTGAGCCAGTTGCTCTTGAATTCTTTATTTCTTCCTTATTATTAATATAATTTTATTATTTGCCTAGTTAAATTTTAATTTATGGTCAGATTTTGATCAAATTAAGATAAACTTTTTTGTTTTATTACTTAAAAATAAATCCTTGTTAGTAAATCAATTAATAAAAAACTAAATTAAAATAATTTTATGAAAATTTAAAAATAATCATTTAAATAAAAATTAATTTATTGATTGATTAAAACTTTATTATCAAAAATACATAAAAATAAATATAAACATAAATAAATACAAATTAGTAAATAAATAAATTATTTTTATTCAAATTAATTACTATTATTATTAATATATTTTCATTAATTTATTTTATCACTGTTCCAATCTGAGCGAGTTGCTCTTGAATTATTTCTTCCTTATTATTAATTTTAATTAAATCTACCATTTCTAGGGTTTTAGAAACTACTATTACCTGGTCTTTAGAAATTTCCATTTCTACCTTAGCCTTAGCCATTAAGGCGGTTTCCACTTTCGTTTCTAGGCTTAAAACGAGATTAAAATCTACCACCTTATTGGCCTCCTTATTAGTCTCTAGTGTTTCTATCCCCTTAACTTTAATCCCTTCTTTAGAAATGATCTCTGCCTTATTGTTGACTATTTCTATTGCTCTAATTTCTTTATCTATTAAATCCTTACTAGCGATCATTTTACTAATGCTATCTTTATTAACCTTAGTGATCTTCTTCATTTTATTTATTTTAAGAATGATCCTAAAATTTATGATCATCTCTTTTTTAATCTCTAAAATCTCTCCTCTAATTCTATCTTTACTCACCACTTTGCTATTCTCTTTAAATTTAAGCAAACTATCTATTGGCACCACGAAAATTTCTCTCTGTTTAATTTACATTTAGATTTGATCTACTTCTTGATCTATCTTCTTAACCTTTTGATCTATCATTTTAAATTCTTGATCTATCATTCTATCCTCTTGATCTATAAGAGTTACGTTAACCACTTTTGCATTCGAAGTTAAAAAGATAGCAATCTTGTGTAATATTTTTATTTTTATTCATTACTAAGGCAAAAAGCACTTACTTATTTTTTATTTTTATTTCTAAAATTCTATGGATTTTTTCTTTGAAACCAAGCTCTTTTGAAAACAGCTTCTCATCATTCTTGAAATCAATTTTGTAAGGTTATGTAAAATCAAGAACTGTTTTTATTTGAGAGTTGGAGTTTTCCCCTTCTTTTTCCTTTTAATTTTCATCACTTTTCTGTTTATTTTCTTCTTAGTTTTCGCTTCTCTCCTTTTCATTATTTGACTAGCTTTCCTTATTAGATTCTTCTGCTTTGTCTTAAACATCTTAATCATTTTATCTTTCCTTATCTTATTAAGCAGATTCTAAAATTATTTCATTTTGTATTTTTTGTAATTCCATTTCAAGCATTTCTTCTTCTGAAAGTTTTAGTTTCTTTTCAGGTACTTTTGTTTTAATCATAACTAGCTAATTGCTGTTTCCATAGTAAAATTTTATTATTTTTGACTCCTCTTCGAAACTAACATGAAAAGAATCTATATTTAATTTGACTTCATCAACTAAAGAGCTTGAATCGTGGCCTATTTGGATTATTTAACTACTTTCATAGCTATTTAAGATACAAAATATTTAATTTTGTTTGGAGATGTAAAACTCGTCTATTACTTGGCTCTCTGTTCCAATTTAAGATACCTTACTTAACGAAAAATTCAATCCAATACTATACATTTTTCCTTATTCCTAAATAATTCAATAAATATATAATTTTTTTAAATTTCTAAATATAAAATATTAATTACTCCTCCTAATAATAATATCCTGTTTAGCTTGTTTGGTTCTGGTGGAATAGATTTCACGATTATTGTAACTTATTTGATGGATTTAATTATTTGCTTACTCAAAATATTTTCTGTAATATTCAGTGATAGATCTTCATTGATAATAGCTTAATATTCAAAGTGAGAATTTAATTTAGGAGTTTTATCACTTTATAAATTGCCATTATTATTAGCTGCAGTTAAATTTGCTTGTAAATCTTGATGTACAGTACCTCTTAGTCTAGGTCTTTACTTTTACTCTTAATTTTCACTTTCTTATTTACCGCAATCGGCTTCTTCTCCAACTTTAGTTATATTCCAAACCTTTACCATTCCTATATTTAAAAAAATTATATAATCATAAAAGAGTTTATTATTTATTTTATTTGAACCAAACACATAGTGCTTGATAGCAAATTAGTAAACAAATGTTCTTCAAAAAAATTTTATAAATGTATGTTAATTTTTTATTACCATCTTTAGAAGAAGTAAATATAACTAACTCGTCAAGAGAGGTTGCATATTCACTTTCGATAATTAAAGACTTAAAATAAAAGTTGTCAGCTAAATCAGATTTTTAATCATTTTATTCATCATCAGAATCTAAATTAATGGGATTTACGCTTTCTTCTTCTATCTCATCAATTAAGTCTTCATCTTCTTCATAAAATTCTTTTTTGTAAAAATCGTCTTGTGATACATTTGAGCTACTATATGAATCATATTAATCTTAATTTTCTTCATTTTTTTATTCTTCCTATTCCTGCTCATCTTCATCTTTATTGTCTCCTTTTTCTTAATCATCACCATCTTCATCTTAATCTCCATGTTATTCTTCAGTTAATGAATCATAAATATCTTAATATTTGTATAATATTTTCTTCTTCTTCTCCTGTTCTTCTTATAGTTAAGTGGTTTTTTTGTCTCGTTCATCTTGAGATATAGAATCATCAGCATTTATTTCATCAATTTAAGCAAATAAATCGTCAATTTCATTTTCTAGACCTATAATGTAATTCATTATCAGATCTTACTTTTTCTATATCTTTAATTCTTGTTTCATATTTTTCTATCTAATTAATTCATTCTCCAAATCATTTTGAGTACCAAAATTCTTGTACTAGTCAGTAAAATTATTTTATTACTCTACTTAAGCCATAACCTCACTTTTCAAACAAAATTCAGCTGAATTTATTCTTTAAGAATGAGCTATATCAACAGCAGCACATTTTGTAACTTTATTTTTGGTGCAGTCATTTAGATCGTAGACCAAAAACCCATAAGATTGAGTTAATGGGTTCTAAAATGAAACAAAAATCCATCTTTTAGCAGATATTATTATTTTATCAGCTATTATCTTTTTAATAGGATAATAGAATTATTTTAAAACTTCAAGAATCAATCCATGCTAAGAAAAATGAGCTCCAGTTTTCATATCTTCTTCTTCCATTTCCTAACTGTTTTTCCTTTTGCTTATTGTCTTTTTTTACATTTCTAAAAGCTATTTAGTTTTTTTTGTTATCATTCTAAGAATCAAAAAACCATTTTCAAAGAAAGCAACTAGCTACCTCTACCCAATAGGAAAAATATCTTTTGGATTAGTTAAATTGCAGCTTTTACCCAAATCAATTATAGAAAATTTAAAAATTTAGTTATTCAAAATATCTATATCCTTCTCATTAACAGCCTTTTAGTTAGCCTAGTTATCAGCATTAACTTTCGAAGCATCATCATGAGAAAATTTACATCTATCTCCCATTTTGCAAAAACCAGTATTTTGAAAATTATAGCAAACTTTTTTAGGTCTAGCTTCACCGTCATCTTTCTGGTGAAGAAATTTACATTCATCTCCTTTTGTACAATTTCCTTGAAGGTAATAGCGACATATTTTTGTTTTTTCATTATCTTTAAATTCATCATCTTAACCTCTATCTTCATTGTGTTAATTTTATTATTGACCTCTTTAATTATCTTAAATTGATCTCTCTCCGAATCTATCTTCTTTATTAGGAGCTTCTTGATTAGCTTACCCATCTTCATTTTGAGTGTGCAAATATTTGCAATTATCTCCATGTTAACAATTTCCTTTAAGGTGAAATCTACAAATTTTAGTTTTCTCTTAATCTTATTATGTTTCACTTTATCCTTTGCTTTCATAATGATTATTGTTATTATTTTAACGATGTCCTCGAAACAGTGTGTCAATACCTTAATCTCGATTTGGGAGAGTGTGAGAATACTCACAATCATCACCTTTTTAGCATTTTCCTTCTCGTTTGAATTAAAAACAAAATTTACCCTGAAATCTTGACATTATTGAGTTACTTATCAAAAAAATTAGTATATTTAATTTTAAGATATCTCTAAATAATTAAATATTAAATATGTCTATAACTGAAATAACTATATTATTATAGACGCTCAATAAATAAATAATTACAAAAACTATTATATAAATTATTAAAACAAACAATATTTAACAAAAAAATAAAATATTAATTTATTTAAACGCAAAGTAGGATATAAAATATTTTATAATCCAAAAAATAATTTATATCCTAATATTTAATTACTAATTAAACAATTTAAAGTAAATCAATGATAGACACTAAATCATATGGTAAGAGTATATAAAATAATTAAAATTATTGGTAAAATTGCAGATAGTACTTAGCCAGATAAGCCATGGCGTCTATTGTGTCCATGATGACCTCTAACTTTATTGATTGTATCATCAATAAATGTGTCATCTACATTTGTTTATATTCCTTATTCTTCATAATGCTTTATTAAATGGTGATTATTTTTAATATTTTTGTGAGTAGATTTTAAATTGAATTTAAAATCTAAGACTTAAAGAAAATCATAGTCACAATCTTCAGAGCAATCAATCATATCTCTACACTCATCGCTTGTACAATATTTTTAAAGACAGCTTTCAGCATATTTTGGAGAGCAATTATTCTTAACTTCGTTTAACTCTTATAAAATTTTATGGAGACAATCCTTTTAAACTTTATAGCTTTAACAAGAATCTACTAAACATTTTTAGATACAATAATTTGAGGCTAGCAAATATTATAAACAAGTAGCAGACAATAAAATTAAAATTCTGTTCAGAAATTTAGTCTTCATTTATGTTCAATAAATTTTTTATATTTTTACAGATTATGATTTATTTGATTGTTCAATCTTTTTTGTGGTATATTATTTAAGAGGTTTTGATAGATATCAATTATCAATTTTTATCAAATAGTATTTTCCAGCCAATAATTATAAGATAAAATTTTATGGTTAGTTTCTATTTGAAACATAAGTATAACTTTGTATTACTTTAGCTTTTATTCTAAAATAATGTTAAATTGTATCACAGCAATAAATAGATTTACAGATATTTAAAATATAATTTTTAATAAGTTTAATAAATATAATTTAAATTATTTATTAAATTTATAAAGAATTTCTAATTTATTTGTTTGTTAACACTATTTTTTTAACCATAAATTATTACTAATTTATTCGTTAATTTTGCTTGAATAAAAAAGCTAATTTTTAAAAAAAAATGATTTAAATTAATTTTGCTTATTAAAAAAAAAATATTTGTCTTTATTTTTATAAATAATTTTTAGGACCTATTACAAAATTATTTTCTCTATTAATGTAATTAATTTTAATAAATTAATATAAATTTAAAAATTCCAAGTTAAATATAATCAATTTTAAAAAAATTCCATATTAGTTTCTTGATAGGAATTATTTTACTGATTAGCATTAAGGTATTACAGTATAAATATTATTTTAATTATTTATTTTTAAATTGAAAAATAATATTGAAAAGCTTAATTTAACAAAATTTGTAAAAAAAGTTATACTATAAATAGAGGTATGTTAAAAAACTATTTTTAAGTAAACTTATTATTTAAGTAATTTTTTAACTTGAAGCAATTAGATAAAAGTATGATGACACATTGATTTTGACAGTTGTATTGATAATTTAAGTTATTTCGAATATTTCGAATTCTAAATCTTATAAATAGCGCCTTTTAGAGTATCTTTAAATCAAAGAAATAAAAAAATAATTAGGTTAACTAATTAAGAATATGAACATATTTGAAAAATATAATTAGGGGGGATTTTAAGAGGTAAGCTATTTGTTAAATTTATTTTTAAATATTTTAACATACGCGCGATTGTATTTGACTTTCATATATTTTCATAAACAACTGCATTAATCGAAATTTTAGAAATATTAAATTGAGGTTTTAAATGAATGAAAATAAAGATTTTTTTATAAACAAAATTAAACTGAAAAATATTTAAGTAAAAGTAAATAATTATTAACAAACAAGAATATTATCTAAATAAGTATAAAATACATATTTGTATTGAAGCATAAGTTAGGAAATAGGTTTATTGGAATAAATAATTCAATATTAAATAAGAAAAGGAAAATGATTGCTGAAAATAATAATAACAATTTCAACTTTTTGATTGAAGGTAATATCGGAGCTGGTAAGTCTACTTTTGTTGATAAACTCAAATATCTTGAATTAGGCGCACCTATTAAGATCGTCCCTGAACCAGTTAATATCTGGACTAACTATAATAACCACAACTACTTGTAATATTTTTATGATAATCCTCGTAAGTGGACTTTTGCTTTCTAGCAAATGGTTTTAAACACTGCTGCTAATGTCTATCGTGATAATCAATAAATGGATGTTAATACTACATAAATTAACTTTTTTGAGCGTTCTATGTATTCACCAATCAATATATTTGCACTATAACAATATAAATCTAATGTTTTGTGTGATGCTGAAATGGACTTAATTCGTAAAATCACCGATGACACTTGTAAATGGATTAACTATGACATTAAAGGTATTATTTATGTGCGTACTGACCCTTAAATAACTCGCGATCGTATGGTAAAGAGAAATAGAAAAGAAGACTGTACCCTTCCTCTCGGATATCTATAAGATTTACACTAACTCCATGATGAATGGTTGATGGGCGACATGAAAAAAACTAATCTTCCAGTCCTTATATATGAAAATAATACAAATGTGACTATTGAAAATTTCGATAGAGTTAAATAAGAAATTTCTTCTTGGGTACAAAATCCTACAGATAAGGTTATTAATCCTGAACTTTTTTGATAAAAAAAGCAATCAATAAAAAAAATAAAATAATTATTTCAATTGAAATTATTATTTTAAATTAAAACCATAATTTTGAGCAGTTTCAGCAATTAATTATAAAAATTATAATTTATTAAAATTGATTAACTCTAATATAAAATAAAATATTAACTATCCATCCTTCCTAAAATTATAAATTTTAAAAATTCAATTTTAATTTTAAATAAACTAAACCAGTATTTTTCATCTTTATTATATTTGTAAATTCTCATTTTTGATATCATTTCAATATTAATTTAGTATATGCAATTTTCTTTTATTCATAGTTAAAACCACAGACAAACTTTGAAAAGAATATATTGATATTTAATTTTAAATTTTAATTAGAAAGTTATAGATTTTTATATTTGTAGATGAATTTAAAATATTTTTTTTCATTGAAGTGGTTTCATTCTTATTATAAATGAATACAAATTTGTTGACTTTTATTATAAATTTTTTTTTTTTCAATAGAAATAGGTATTTCTTTTAAACTAACCAAAAAAGTAAATGGGAAATATAAAATTATAGGTTTTGCTTTTAAATGAACAGATCTCCCACTCTTTATTGCTTATTAAGTAAAAAACACTTTAAGAATTTTTAGCTAATTTATTTTTAAATTTGAGTAATTTAAATATTTTAAAGTAAAATAGTCTCTAAAAAGATATAAAATTCCTTTATTTAAAGGTAATTATTTTAAAATAAATGAATAAATAAATATTTAATAGATTGATAGTAATTTAGAAATGTATTTAATTAAAAGATTGTTATAGTACTAAAACAAATTCTATACCAAAAAATCTAATCTAGAATTACTTTAATTTATATTTTATAAGAAGTAAAAATTACTAACTTTTTTTAGTTTGTTTGGAAAATAATTTTTAAATTGAAATAAAATTATTATTATTATTAAGAATTTTATTCTCTTTAAAAATAATTTAAACAATAACACAACATAATTTAAATGGTTATCACCATTCATTGTTCTTTAGATAAAATTCTATCTTCTAGACATTCTATAATCTTTTGGATGAACAGATAAACAAAAAATACCTATTAAATTTATGAATAGAATGTATTTTTTTAAATAAAATAACTTTAAATTATATTATATCTTCATCCAGAATATAATATCTCTCACCTTTTTAAAAATTCCACAATTATTTTTGATAAATTTTCATTCAGAAATCAATTTAGAGAGACTGGTTTCCTAAAGACGAAATATTTTTAGTGCTAATTTACTTGAATTAATAATATAAGGAAATAGAAAAATTGAGTTCTGAAGAGGCGAGTTAAATGCAAATAAGAATAAAATTTTTTTTCTTAAGTTATTAGTGGTTAATATTAAAAAAAATAAAAATTTTACTTTTCTTTTGTATAATAATAATAAATAATATAAATTATGTGAGTATGAATGAATGAATGAATATGTATGTATGTTTATACGCTTTAACAAAGAATTGTCATATCAATATCAAAAAATAAATAGTCCTAAAAGTTAGTAGAAGTAGATTTTGAGTTTTCTTTAAATATTCTTTAATTAATTTTAGTATAAATTAATCGAATGGTATTGCAATTTGCAATAAAATAAAAAAAATAATTTAATTACAAAACTCAAAATAAAAGCAAAGAACTAATAAAGTAAAACATAAACATAAAAAAAAACATTCACACTATAAAGAATAAATTGAACACACACTAAAATGAGCTCTGAAACAAAAAGCGGAAATACAACTCCAGGAAAGGCTTAGAAAGGTAAAATTTGGACAAAACTCTCTAAGGGCAACAACCAGCACCCTGATAAATCTTAATTGATTATCGCTGATTATTTCTCAAAGCAAGGAAAAATAATGAAGTCTAAGCGCTATTTTGAGCTTTACCCTACTTAGATTTACTATTATTCAGTAATTAATATCTACATTTTTCAAAATTAATCCCTTAAATGTCATAAAAGCTAGTGTACCTACTCACATGCTTTGAATTTCTTTTAAAATCTCAATATAATTATTTTTTCTTCCAAGAACAATTAATTAAGTCCATAAAACTAATGAGAAAATGAAAAATATTTATTTTTATTATCAAAATAAGGAAAAAGACCACAACTAACCTAAGGGATATACTGATTTAAGCTTCGAATTATGCTTTGAATTAATGAGAGAAAAGGTTGCTGAAAACAAAGACAAAAAAGATGATAAAGTAAAGCTTGGAAAACCAAAAGGAATTAAATTAGATAAATCTGGGTGTGTTTGTGAACTTTACAGCCCTGAAGATAAAGTTTTAATAAAATGGCGTGACGCCTTAAGAAAAATCTTAAACTAAAGAGGATTCCATGAGTTATTCCGTGCCCACAAGAAGATAGGAAAAGGAAATTTTGCATCAGTAAATAAATAACAATTCATTTTAGCTTATAAAAATAAATATTTTGTTTATGTGTTTAATTAATCCTACTAATATTTCTAATAATTTGTTAATACCAAATAGGTATATCTTGCTGAGAGATTAGAGGATGAAAAAATGTTTGCTGTCAAAGCATTTTCAAAGGAAGCCGCCTATGCTCAAGAAAAAGGAAAGGTACACAATTTTTAAATTAAGATACTTTTTATTAGAGATTATATAGCTCTGAAAAAGTGAGAGAGAGTTAAGAATGATTGTAAAAAACACATATAAATAAAAATAAACAAGCAAGCAACAATTAATAAATAAAAAAGCAATTAAATATCTCTCTCAAAATTTTGAATAGTTTCTACCTATGATTAAAAACAAAGAAAAGTTAATTAATTTTTTAATTAATTGATAACTACTCTCTTACCTAAAAAATTAAATGTGATAATAAAATACTATATAATTATTAACCAGCTCTATTTTTATGCGTTTTATTAAATATACTAATAATAGGAAGCACTCTTAAACGAAATAGATCTCATGAGAGCTCTTGACCACCCAAATATTATGAAGCTTCATGAAGTTTTCGAAACAGAAAACTCTCTTTATTTTATTCTTGATTTACTCGAAGGTGGTCAGCTATACGATAAAATGAAATCTAAGCATCGTTACACATCAGAAGAAATCAAAGATATCTTAAGAGGATTACTAGAAGGCTGCGCTCATATGCACTAAAAAAGAATCATGCACAGAGATTTAAAGCCAGAAAATGTGCTTTTTAAAGACCCTCAAGGTAAATAAATTGTTATTGCTGATCTCGGTTTAGCTACACGCTGCGATTTACCTGAATATCTTTTTGTAAGATGCGGTACACCTGGTTTTGTAGCACCTGAAGTTGTCAATATTAAAAACTTGAACACAACTTATGATCCTATATGCGATCTTTTTTCAATAGGGCTTATGTTCCACATATTGTAAGCAATTAATTAATTTATATTTTTCAATTTATTTTGGTAAAGCGTTATTGAATCATAAATTATGGTAATAATTAATTTTAATAAATCATAACTAGTTAAAAATTTATTTATTTTTATAATTCAACAAGCTCTAAGCTAGAATTCTCAATTTATTCTACATCAGATTACAAAATTAAAAAATTTAATGTTTCCCCCACAAAATTTAATTAATTATTTTTAAGGATGAGTGAATAGATTGAAAGAAATTATTAGCTTTTAAATTTAAATACGAGTCAATTAATTTTTCTAAGTAATAATAATAAAAATGGTTTATTTTTATAAATAGATTGATTGGAAAGTCTCCATTTGATGGAAAGACCTACAACGATATCTTGAGTTAAAATAGAGCATGCAACATTAAATTTGATTCAGTTGAGTACCTAAAGTTACCTTTACAGAGTAAATTTTTTTAATTGTGAATTCATAATATTAATAAATTTGCATTATGTTGAAGCTTTAAATTTTATCTGTTTACTTTTTTTATTAAAAGCTTACGACTTATTGAAGAAGATGTTAGAAAAAGATCCTAAAAACAGAATCAACGCTGCAGATGCATTGAAACATCCATTCTTTGATTCGAATAACTAAGTCAAACCTATTCAATAATCAAATAGTCAAACTCTTAACGATAGCACAAAAGACGAGATTAAGGAAGATGATGTAACTTCTAGGTAAACTTAAATTATTTTCTATTAAATATTTAAAATTCTAATTCAATTATTTTTAAATAGAAATTCTTCTCTTATGAATTCACCAATAAATTCTCCTAACATTGGTCCTAGAAAAATTAATTAAGGACCATTAAATCAAGACTCTTGTCTCACATTTAAAATGGCTAACACTCCTGTTCTTAACGGAAGAGTTACTGACTCCCTTCATGATTCATAGAATAATGATAGTTTCTAGTGCTTAGACAACTTAAAGAAACAAATAGGTCACCCAGGCTAATCTCAATTTGGTAGCCCTGACTTGCGTAATAAATCTACTTCTTTTGGAGTTCAATTAGTAGGTTAAAAGAGTCCTGATATGTCAAAAAATAATTTGAAAAGAGCTCTGCTAAATAATATGAAAGACTTTAATGGAAAAATTGACACAGTAGATGAAGCTAAGGATGAAATTGTTTCTCCTGTTAAATAAAAAGGTAAATTAATTAATTAATTTTATAAATTTCAACAATCAAATTAATAAATTTTTAACTGATAAATAGGTGTTTCCGATCTTAGAAATAAACTAAAGGATAACATTTGAACGACTTTATTCTTACTTTAATATATTTTAACTAAATATGACTCTATAAAAAAATTTTTATTAACCAACTTTTACCAAATGTTATATTCAATTTTATTATCTTAAGATTAAAATCCCTTAATAACTAACACTAACTAAATAACTAACTCCCTCCTCCCACACTATTATCCTTGGTTATAAAATAATGATAAATAATAAAGATTATTTTAAATTATGCTATTACCAACTTTTACATCTACATATCATGTATCTTAATCCTTTAACCATTTTATTCTAATATTATATGCATTTTTTTGTTGTATCTCATATTTTTATTGATATGAGTAGCCTATCGTTATTGTTATAAAATCATTTAATTTTTCTCTTTTATTTTTTGACAAGGATTAAAAAAAAACTTACAACAGCATCAATAAATATTTTTTAAAAACAAAAGAATTTTATTAATTTTTAAAGTTTAACTTATTACAATTAAGAAAAATTTTAAAAACAGCATAATAAGTTTTTGCAAAAAATTCATGGCTTAATTGAAATATAGTTAATATTATATATCATTCTTGATAACAGTAAAATTTTAAATCTTAATACAATTTGATTCATAAATACTCCTACTATGTTATATTATTTAATATTTTTATAATTTCTTTAATCTATTATTAATAAACTCAAAATTATTAATTAATTAATTTAAGGTTTATCTTTTTAATAAATATATCGTATAAATTAGATTTATTAAAAATAATTGTACTGAGTTTATTTTATTGAGTTTAAAACACGTTAAAAAAAATATTAATCAAGTTAAAGTTAAAAAATATCTTTGTTTGTCTGTTTTTTATCAAAATTTAAAAAAAATCAAATAAGTCTTTAACAATGAGTTAAAAAACTTAAAGCAACGTTTTTTTATAATAAAGGAATATTATAAAATGTGAGTTAAGCTCAGAAATTCTTTAGTAATTTAGAACTATTTTTGATGAGAAGCTAAATCCAGATCTTTTCAAGCAAAAAAAGATAAAAGAAATATGTAATTTCATAGCAGATTAGATTAGCACTTAACATATCATGAGACTTAAATCTACATTTATCAAATAAACATAGATGTTTTATATAAAAAGATCAAATTATTACTGAAAATCTCACCGATGAAGTATTAAGCAAATATCTTATCGCAGTTGTGTTAAATCCAGTTTATAATATAAAGTAATTTCTTTCTGTAAAAAAGAATATTTTGTTTTTCAATAATCATTAAATTAGTTATGAAGAAGGACATGTTTTAATTGTTAATTATGAAAGAATTGGATTATTCTGCTATAAGCCTAAATACATAGATTTATCTCTCCCATAAAATGTTTAAGCATATGATAAAGACACAATAAAAAAGTATTTTATATTTTAAACATAACTTAAATAATTTGAACTCTATGAATTAGGATGGAATCGTATGCAAAATTAGTGGAAATTACAGACAAAGAAAGTTTCGAAAATGATAAATTTTTAAAGGAATATTTATCTGCTTATTACGTTAAAAATTATGTTAAGCTAGATACTGATCTTGATTAATATGAACTCAAATTTATTAATGACATTAGGGATGCATTTATTATTGCATCAGGAATGGGATTTTGGCATATATTTTTAGGCGAAAAGATCGTTTTTGATAAAGAATTAAATTCTAAAAAAAAAGATATCAAAGGCAGCTTGCCTAAAAGAGAAAGTTTAATTGACTTATCATATTAATTTGATTAAAATAAGAAAAAGAGAATACTTGCAATATCATAATAATCCAATAAACCTTCATTTTTCCAGTAATTAATCTTTCAACATTAAAATTAATATTTTTATTCTTAAAATGATCGTTTTTAATAAAAATTTTATTTATAGAATGACTAAAATTGGCTGGACTTAGTTATTTATACTTGCACTCCTATTTTTGATACTCTTTTTGGCACTAGGTTGTGAAGAGTTTAAAATTAAAAAGCAATCAGAAATAGATTTTTAGATTAAAGAGTATTAATAAAAAATGAAGCTTTTAAAGGAAGAACAAGAAGAATCCTATTTCTTTTAATCTGAAGAAAACACTGACGAATCAAAATTTGAGTTTGTTCCAAAACTATCTCCCAAAATAATTATTATGGATGGAGTCTGCTATCTAAGAAATGAATTAATTATTCTCAGCATGATAATAGTTTTTGCTTATTTCGGGACTTCATTATTCAAGAATCGCTAAAAATTTCGTAAGTGAAGGAAGAATAAAATATTTTTTGAAATTTGAAATATCTTCTAATTATTCTGAAATTAAAATATTTAAATTATTATACATACTTTTATTCAAATTTATTTTAGTAAATGTTTATTGAGTTAATTGTAAAATATAAATAATAGATAAAAAATATGTTTTGAAGAACTTAAAATTTTAATTATTTCCTTTATGAATTTTAAATTATTTTAAAACAAATTTCTAATTAAGTAAACAAAAATGAATTTCATTTTGTTTAAAAGTAGAATTATGTTAATTAAGATAGACTTGTATTTGCTTTCATAAAAATTATGAATGAACATAACATAATAAATAAAACTATAAAAATAAAAATAAAAGTAAAAATAATAATTAAATTAAAGATGTAATATTAATATATAAATTAACCAAATTTATTTTTTCACTTTAAAACAATAAATAATTTTATTCAATAAAGAATAATAACTTAATAACTTTGTTTGGTTAAAGTTAAAAATAACTTATTTATATTTTATAAAAATTATCTATTAAAATTTTACATAAAGTTAATTTGAGAGTTTTTAATTTAAAATCAAGCTTAGATTTATTAGCTACAAAGGTTATGAAGACATTGGTATTCCTTAAGGATTTAAGGTACTTTCTGTAAAATAAGCATAGTGCTGAGATATTTAGAATAGTTTTAATACCGATCTGTAATAAATTCAAATTAAAAAAATATTTAAAATTACTTAAAATAAATAAATTTTTTTGATAAGTATTTTTTGAACCCATATAAATTATGATTTGAATGAAAATATATATCAATTTTTAATCTATTTTAAATTAAAAATAAATTTAAAAAAATTCTGCAATCAATATTTGCAAAAATAGATTTAGATTCAATAAAATTATAAAATTGAGGAATCATAAAATTTTAAGAAGATATTATAAAACTAAAAATGAAATTGATTATACATTCTAAATAAACATTTAAAAATTCAGTAAAATTTATTATTAAAATATTGATTGATACTAAGTAAAATTATAATTTCTTTGAAAAATGTTTTAAATAAAATTTTTAAATTCATTTACAATTTTATTAAAAATATTCTTCTAAATTTAGTAAATAATTCTATTGATTTATTTTTTATAAACCAAGAATTTATCAATTAATGAATTTTCATTTAATCATTTTTATTTTAATTGATAATTTATTTGTTTTTTGAAGTAATAGGATGGATTTATATAGAATAATACTTAATTCAATTCATACATAAAAATATATATATAATTATTTGAACATTAAAAGTTTAACTCATTTTTTAATTAATTTAATATTATTTAAAACTATTTTAGAATTTTATTAATTAATATTTATTTATTTGTAAAATTAAAAAATTTAAATATGTTGGAAGATCTCTTTTATTTATTTTAATATTTATTTGTTTTAACTAAATTTTTAAATAAAAATAAATATTTAGTTTAAAATTGAAATGTAAAAGGCAACTTTGCTGTAAAAATTTTTTTATTTTTATTAATTAATTAAATTAAAAAGAAAAATAATTTTAATTGTAAAAATAAATTTAAAAATCGCTTGGTTTCATTTAGCATTGCTAATAAATGAAGGGAATTAGTTATTAACGAATTAATTAATTAACACATAAGAATGCGAAGTAAAAAGAGCATTTTAGAATGGTTATTAGTATTGATATGTAGAAGGTTCAAAATTAAAACGAGAAAAGGATAATAATATTTGATATTATTTAAAAAATCATAAAATCTTCATTGAGATCTTAAGACCAAATTGATAAATAGAATTTTAATAAACAGCTAAAAACAAAGAAGATTAATTAATTTCTAAGAAAGAAATAAAATCAATTAAAATAAATAAGTTATTATAAATGGTTGATAAGAAATAATTCTAAAAACTCTTAGCTGAAAAGCAAACAAAAGATGATAAGAAAAAGGAGAAGAGAGCTGAGCTCAAGACTCAAAAGTTGGAAGATATCAAAAAGAAATTAGGTCAAGCCAAGGAAAGAAAGGCAAAGAAAATGACTAAATAAGAAAAAATGATTCTTAAATCTAAAGCCATCAAAAAGGTTGATCCTGTCAAGGCTGCTGAAGAAAAAAAGAAAAAAATCAGTTCTACCAAGCCTAAGGTCGATGACTATGCTGCTTTTGTAAATGCAGAAAATCATCTTTACAATTAGTTGCGCAAACGTACTATCCAAAAAATTAAATTAGATAAGGAACTCATAAAGAAGGCTGCTAAATCTTTGATCAAATACCACTAAGGTCACAAGAAATAGAATGATTTACTCGATTAAGATGATGATTTTATCTACATTGAAATTGTCCTTTCCAAGATTCCTGAAGAATATTCAATCAGACCTCTCTAGATGTAAATAAATTAATTAAGCTTAAACAGCTTCTTGCTAACTAAAGTGATAAAAGCAATATCCTACTTGATAATTCTATCGAATTCTCTTATTTAGACTAGCTATTAAAATTTTTAATAAGATTAAAATCTTAGACGCTTAATAAAATAGCAATAAAATAACTAGTGTTATTTAAAAGGTTAAGTAGAACAATTTGTAGATATTGCTTTCATTTACTAAGTTTTTAAAACAATTAAAATAAAAAATATTTTAACACAATCTTTTAAAATAGTTCTTTACCTGTTCCTATTTATGGCGCAGAATAAAGCTCCAAGTTCTGTATCTTCACCAAGGATCCTCAAAGAGAATACAAAGATAAGATTAAAAATTTAGATATTCCCAATATTGCTCGTGTTATGGGATACTCAAAGATCGACAAGAAGTTCCCCACTTACAAAGATAAGCTAAAACTCTTCTACTCTTACGATCTCTTCTTTGTTGACTACTCTATTTACGAATTGATTCGTAAACCTACTGGAAAAGTTTTTTATGAAAGAAAGAAGTAAATAAATTAGCAATTAGAAAACTAATAAATTAATTTTATTTTTATAATATAAATAGAATTCCCTTCCCTATTAACTGCAAGGAAGTACCTGCTGATTAAAAGGAAAAGTTTGGTGACGACTACTAAGCATATTTAAATGATTTAGCTAATTACACCTACTTCTCTATGGGTAACGGTCCTGTCTAGTAATAATATAATTTTTTAGTAGATATATATCTAAGCTAACTTTTTATAAAAATAAATAGTACCATCAAAGTAGCCAGAACAAACATGAATATAAAAGATATTGTTAAAAACATTATTCACGGAATATACAACACTGTTCCTCATTTATTAAAATAAAAGATTAAACACAATAGAGTTAGATAAGTCAACATTAAAACATTCAATTCTATTTCTCTCCCTATATTTAACTAACTCACTGAAGAAGAAAAGAGCTCAGTAATTACTGAGTGAAAGTAAGTATTAATCTCTAAACAAAAGAAAGATAAATGAAATTAGCATAATTAGTTATATAAACAAAATAGTAACAGAAATTAAAACAGCTTTAAAAAATAATTAAAAGATTTGTTAAGTAAGTAAGAAAATAAATAAATAATGTAATTTTTAGTATATAACGATTATATTCTGTATTGGATATAAAATTTTAATGTTATCTACAATATTTTTATCAATAAAAAATTTAACATAATGCTTTGTTTTCTATGAATGCCATTTTATATTATGTATCAATCAATTTATTCATTCAAATAATTTCGTTTTGCTCAATTATTGCAAAAAATTTTTTATCACTCAATAAAGTAAACTATTTATTTTTTAATCTAAAATATTTAGGTAAAATTTTATAAACTAAGTTTTGTAATTTTCACGAAATTTAACCCATTAAATAACAGAAAAATATTAGAGTTTTAAATTGATTATTGTAATTAACCATTTTTAGGTTTATTTTAAACATTACTAATTAAATATTTTTTAAAAATATGAAATAAGGAATTAATTAAAACTTATTATTATTGTCTTTATAAAATATTAGCTTGAAAGACAGATAATTGTGCAGATTTATATAATTAACAAATATACCATACTTGAAATTATTTATTGTTCTTTATATTTATTAAAATTTTAATTTTAATGTTGAAATATTCGATTTACTAGTTGTTTTTGATAAGCATTGTTTAAAAAATTAAATTAAATGTTTTAAAATAAATTGATTTATTTAATTAATTAAGTAAAATACTAAATTTAAAAAATAGATAGAACTAATTATATTTCGGCCAAAAATGCATATTATAATTTAATTTTGTTTATAGGAATTAGTATTAAATTTAAGTGGAATAAATATAAACTAGCTATTAAAATAGTTTTCATTTTTGTTATTATAGTATTTTTTATTCTTCTTATTGTTTTTATTATTCTTATTACTGTTTTAACAGCTCTCTTTAAAGCATTTTTTACTGTACTTGTCTTGCAAATTCTTTACCTTCCTCAAGCTATTTTCTAAAATCCTCATCTATTTCTGCTTCTAATTCTGAAAGCTACTTCCTTAACTATCCTCTATGAGAGTAAGTATATTTTCCTTCCTTAAATATTGGTATAAACTATTAATAAGCAGCTTAAACACGATCTGCTATAACTTCATTTTAAAGGAGTTTTTCATCCATCCTATAAGATTTATTGAAATTTAAATAATCTAAATAATTTTGATCTCTAATGATTGGTTTATATTAATTGCAAATATTCCTTAATCTTTATATCTTTTCCTAATGTAAGAGAGGCTAGAAAAATATTAAATTAGTAAATGTCATCATAGTCGTTGATGCTATTGAAAGAATGAAAGTTCCAGGCTTTCCCATAAGATTTTACATGCGTTTATTGCAAAAAGCGAAAAATGAAATAGGGATAATAAATAAAGTAGATTTTTAAACACTATTATTGTAATCATCATAAAGCTTAATTGAAGTTTCTTATTCTGATTTAGGAATCTTTTTTCTCACTTCTGGAATCAATCTTAACATTTCTCTAAAATTTCTAATTTCATATTCTTTGATTCTGTCCTTTTAAATCTCTTGCTATTAGTCTAACCTTTCTTGAGAGTAATCAGGACGAAACTTGCTTTTGCTTCTCAAAGCGTCCTTTAACGCATGAGCCTCTTTTATTTCTTGCTCGCTTGGTTTCATTTTAAGCGGTATTGCTTTGAATCAATATTTTTACTTTTTTTTTTTATAGAAAATTAAATAGAAATAAATTATAGTAATACTTAGTAAAAAATATATCTTTTTTTATTTAAAAATATTTAACCCTTCAAAATAAGCAAGCATAAGTAAGAAAGAGTTAGTCTACTAAAATATTTGCAATACTTTAATATAAAGAAGTCAACATATTTCGCATCAAAAAGCAATATTGACAATTATTTCAATATAATACTTTTCATTTTCTTAATTAAATTATTATAAATTTAATTATGGTGAATTTTGATTACTTTATAAATTTATCAATTAATGTTAATTTTTCTTCAACCGTAATTCAAATATCAAAAAGCTTTATGAATTAAATAGAATATTCTTTATTTTTATTAATTTAATAAAATATAAATCTTGTACTTAAAATAATTTTATTATTTTTTATTTTTTAATAAAATTTTTTACATTATAAATTAAAGTTATAATAAAATATTATAATTATAAATATATAATCATATGCTTATCAAAAATAATATATATTATATATGCACTTGACTAAATTATTTTTATCTTCAGAGCATATTTATAAAATTTTTAAAAATGTTAATTGAAAATTTCACTATATTTTTCAACTCAAAAAGGCTATTTTTTAATTTATTTTTTTTTTAAAGTAAGATATTTTATTTTAAAAAATTAATTAAATAAAATTAAAATAATACTTTAGTTTTATAGGTGTTTAACAGTAAATTAAAAAAGTAATTTTACAATTATATTTGAAATTTTGAAATATAAAATATTTAATTCTCAAATCTGTCATTATCTCACTTTTTAAAGTTTGTTTGTTTTTCATCGAATTTATCAAAGTGATTTTTGTTTCATACATATCTTTATCAATTTGATAATAGAAAATAAAAGTTATTTTAGAAAATATTTACATAACAAATAAAGTAAAATACAAGTAATATTTATAATATATTTATTTTTAAAATAAGTGGAAATTTTTATAATCATAGTTCAGATGTTAAAAATATCTCAATTATTAAATCTGTTGTATTCTCTTGCAGTTTGAGAAAGCTTGCTATTCATAGGTGAATATAATTTTTCTTCGCTAAAAACTGTTTTTTTAGAAAATTAATAAAAATTTTATTAAACTTTAAACAAAAAACTTACTTCTTCCTTTTGAATTTAATTTTGATTTTTGTGACATGGTTTCTATTTGTTGATTTATTCTCAAATTAGATTATGTTTCCTATATCATGCTCTATATAATTTTAAATAATTATTGAGTTTCATTTTATATAATTTTAATTATTTTACTTTTATATGTGAATATGAGGAGATTTAATTTTGTGAACCTTAAACTTTGGTGGGATTAAATTCAGAATAGTCTTTATTAGCAAAAGAATCATCGAAATTTGACTGCTTTTCTTTTACAATAATCTATGTAAGTTTAGAAGGAGAAATCTAAGAGTTGTTCATCCTTTTTTGGAATTGGCTTTGTAAAGAAGATTGATCGTTATTGTTTTGAGGGATTTAAGTTTTATTTAATTTACTTAAATTAATTCCAATATTACCTTAAATCTTTTAATTATTTTAACTAGTCGTTTTAGGAAGAATGTATTTATTTAAATTCCCAGATGAGTTAGATAAATTTTCGTTCCTTATGATACTAGAACTTTCACTTTATTTTGTGTTTGAAAGCCTTTCTAGCTACTCTTACTTGCTTTCATAAAATTTCTTGATATTTTCTTGTTGTCTATTTATTCTAATATTCGGAGATTATGTCTTAGAAAATTCAGGAGATTATTAATTTATACTACGAGAATTGTATCTTGAGTCATTTTATTAACCCCTTAATTTATTTCTATTTTAAATTAAGTTTTAAATGCTGTTTTTATCATTGGCATCAAATTAGTTTTACTTTATATTATTTGGTTATTATTAATCTTCAGAGAGATAGTAAATTACATTTTATATAGGTGTATTTGTCTAAGCATATTTTACTCTACTTGGGGAAGTCTTTTCCAAATTAGGAGCAAAGTATTTATTTTAATTAATCTATGTTTTTGATATTGAACTTTTGCTTTAGTGGTTGCTTTTCTCATCACTAGATCTATATGGTGACTCCATCATTTAATAATTTTTTTATTGAGAATTCTGGTTTGAAGGTTAATTGTAAGTTTTTCCTCCTAATTAAATTATCTTTCTTTAACCCTAATCTTTTTATTAATCTGTTTTAGCATTATTAATATTAGGATGGTTAAACTACCCAGGATCTCTTATTCCATTTTAGTTATTAATAGTATAATCTTCATTTTAGTTAATTTTTTGAGTTTGGTTACTAATAGGATTAAACTACTAATTACTATTAATTTGGTTTTAGTTGTTTATCAAAGCTTAATTATTTTAACCCTTAATCAGGTTTGGAGCTGAATTTAAATTTTTATTATCAAATTTGTTAAAAGAGTCTTACTTATTATTTACACTGTAAGCATTAGGATTAGTTTGATAAGTATTTGACTAAGGTCCTCCATTAGATGCAAGCTGATTAAAATTATTGTGATATTAAAATTAAGAATCTTAAGTATGATTTGAATTAACCCTTGATCGTTAATTAATGGCTTAAGAATTATAATTTGGGTCTACCTAATCTTTTAATCTAATATTTGAAGAAAAAATATTTTGCTATTAATCTAAATTTTGTGTTGAGCTAGCTCTTGATCTTTAAACAGGTTCTTATTTTGCAAAATTGCTTTAAAATTAGGTTGGCTGTTATGTATAGCTTAGATGATGTTAATTTCCATTCATAGGTATTTAGTTTTTATTTTATTTTGTATCCTAACTATCGATGTTTTGAGCATAGGGTTCTTTCATATTTTTGATAATATTTGTGGAGTCAATATAAGTTGAGGAGTATTGTGTTTTCTATGGTGTTATATATTGAGTTTATGTATTAGAATTATTATTAAAATTGTTATTTGCTTTGTTAGTGCTAAAATTATTGCCATTTATTTGATTCCTGTCACTATGAGTGGAACTTTTATGAGAATCGCCTTAATAATAATTTATATTTATTTATGGTAAATTCTATTAAACATTTTTTTAGATAGGCTATGGTATTTGATTGTTTACTTCGAGTTATTATTAGTTGCTGTGAGTTTCATTTTTTCTACTATCTTCAATTAAAATCTTCTACTAAGCTCCTTTCTCATTAATAAAATTTGAACTGAAATTCTCCGATGCTTAACTACTCTTAAGCAAATCAACTTCAGCTTTATTTTTTTTATTTTAATTTAGTAAGGGTTCTTCGAAATCCAAATTAGGATTTAATACCTTTTTGTTATCTCTATGATTATTTTATAACATTTTATCAGCTCCAACTGGATTGTTTTGAGATTTAGTAATTTTTTTTGGAATAGATTCAGTCTCAAAGTCTAAATTTTATGCTAAAGGCTGTGTTTAAGTTATTTATTAAACATTTTTTATAGGAATCTTTCTTTGGTCATTAATAAAGTTAGATGATTAGTTAGAATTTTAGTTACTTTAAAATTCAGCCTACTGCTGCTTTTATTACTAATTAATTGATATTAAATTATCAATATCTTAATTACTTTGGTTACTTTATTTTAAATCTCTAATTTATTTTAAATTTGTTGTATTTTAAATCGGTTAAAATGATTAAATTTATAAAGATTCCATACCATTTACTTGAGAGTTAATATGCTATCCTTTATTAGATATGCTTGCTTAGCTCTCTAAGTTGTTATCCCTAATATTCATATAAGTGACTGGATTTTTCCTCTCCTATGTCAAGTTATTTGCGCTTACAATATTTTCAGGTACCTTTTAGTTTAAGTTTGCCTAAAAATCCTAAATGTCACCACTTTCTTATTTCTTAATAAAACTATTTGGACCTTAATTGCTTCTTATTTAAAATTAAGATTATCCATTTGAAATATTTGGATTTGAAGTTAGATTGTTTGATGCAGGGCGGAGACTTGCCTATACATCAAAGTTATTATTATTTGGGTTAAATTAGTTCTGGCTATCATTTTACAATCCATTTTGGAGATGGTTTACTATCCTATTGACTGAGTTATCTTTTATTATATTATCAGAGTTATTTATTAAGCCATTATATTAGCTTATGTTATAATTCTAATTCTAAGGATTAGTTTTAATTTAACTATTTAAGCCGCTTACTTATTAGTTATCTATTATTTAACTATTAGCAATATTGTTAAAATTAGCTGTATTTGATTGAAGCTAAGAAGAACCATTCTATAATTGGTGCACTATTCTGTGTACTGAGCCATCTTTAATAATTTTTTCTGAATTATTGATAAGTCCATTATATTAACTTATATTGTAATTTTTATTATTTTAAGGATTATTATAATTAAAGCTATCAGTTCCTTAGATTAGTTATTAATGTTAGCTTTGAGGAGGATTAATAGCTGATTAATTAAATTGTTCAGGTTACTAAGAATTAAACTATAACTAATTTACTATTCTTGGAATTGACCCATCATTTATAATCTTTTCTGAGTTATTCACAAGTCCTTTGTATTAGCTAATATTATAGTTTTTATTTTATGGGTTGTTTTACATATTTGAAGGATCAGAAAAATTCTATTCAGTGAGTTATGAACCATTCTAAAATTAATGCGGTATTCTAAATTCTGAATCATCTTTATTAATTTTATCTGAGTTATCAGCAAGTCCTTTATATTGGTTTAAGTTCTAATTATTTTTTTAGAGATTGCTATAATTATTTGCATTATCCTAAACTTATTTTGATTGCTTATTTTCGTATGTAGAAAGAGGAGATTAATTAAATTAACCAGGATTTTAAGAATTAAACTATAACTAATTTACTACTCTATGAACTGACTCATCTTTTATTATTTTATCAGAGTTATTTATAAGTCCGTTATATTAACTGATGTTATAGTTTTTATTTTATGGATTATTCTGATTATTAAAAAGATTAGAATTTGTCTATTCTTTAGGATACTTAGTGTATTCATCTGGATATGCATTCAAAGGAGTAGATTCTTATTTTACTAGAGGGTTAAATGTAATTTTACTTTTAATATTAGAAGGAGGAGATTTTTTAACGATCTCCTAATCTAAATCTCCTTATTATTCATAAACAGGCATTTCATAAATGTTGATGGGCTGTTTAAATTGTTACCCTAATTCACTTTTAAAGTTATAATTTTGAGGATTTTTCTTTTCTCTAATAAGACTGCTGTTCGAAGAAACTTGATCAGAGTGAATATTGTTATTATTTTTTACCATTTAAGACAATTTTATTTTATTGGAATTTGTAGAAATTGCATCTTAGTTATCATAATTTTTGTCATTTTAATACTTATCTGATAACAATTCTAAATAAACCTCTTCAAATTCATTAAAAGTTGATTATTTTCTATTCTATTACAGGTTAGATTAATATTTGCTTTTTTAAATAGAAGTTTAATCGTATGGTTGCATGTATACACTGTTATCATTTTTCTTGCTAGAAATTATTTAACTAATTTCTGATTGCTTTTTCTGTTTGTTTCTCTCTATCTTAGTCACTGCTTGAAATTTACTCTTCTCTTATGAGTAAATATCAAATTGATATGAGTCGTTTAAATTCTCTTAATCGACAGCTTGATAGTTTACGCTTATGTGCTTCAATTCCTCAAAATCTATTTTTTCTACCCTATCTACTTCTGTAAGTACTTTATTTTATAAATAAACTACAAATTAACTTGTTTCAGCTTTTTTAGTTGTACACGTAGCATCTTCTTATCTTTATTAACATGCAATAATATTATAATTCATTTGAATAGTATTTATTAATGAGCAGTTAACCTTTATATAAATAAAAACTAAATTCATTTTTTAAGTTAAAAAATTGTAAAATTATAGAATTTGTTGTTGAGCGATAAATAAAATCATTGAATTTTAAATAATTAATTTGTTACATTTTGAAGTTAGATTCCATTCAAAAAAAAGTCAGCTACATTTTGACACTTATTTATTTCTTTCATCTTCTTTAATATTGGGTCATCGTTTCTCTATTTCTTTTTATCTTGCTAAAATTTTAATGCCATATAAGCTTTCTCTGATGAAATTGATCTTTTTTGATTCTTACTCTCTGTCATTTAAAAACGAGAAGCTGCTAAAGGTCTAGGCTATTCAGATTTACTAAGAGGTTATTGAGGATGAGTTGATCTCTCCATGGCAAAATTATTTTTTCTTTCTTACTCAAAACCTAGCTATAGTTAATCTAATTTCACATCAAATTCTCCATACTTTTTTTACTTTTTTACTTAATTTTATCCCATTTCTATCAAATAAAACTTCGTAAGTTATTTTATATTTCCCCTGATATTACTAAGAAGCTATATATATTTTTTATGTTTCTTTTGATTAGTAATTACAATATTTTTTTATGTTTTCTACTTTTTAGTTTTTCAATTTATATGAAAACAAAGTAATCTTATATGAATCACTCTTTATATAAATAAATATTTATTTTTCTTAATACTGAACAAAATTTGATGAATAAATTATTTATATTTATTTATTCTATTAAAATAACAAAATAAACCTTGAACTAAAACAATTAAAACTTTCAAATAATATTTTGATCAATTTAATATAATACTTATTTATTTTGGTATAACTACAAATATTAAAATCTTGTAAAATTGTTATTTATTTCTAGTAATAAATAGTGTACATTAAAAAAAAGATTATCGTTAAAAATACAATAAATATAAAAAGGTAGATTATCCTTACAATTTAGATTAGTAATAAAATTTATTTTAAAATCTAAAAAATTAAAAAATATAAAATTGAAATTTTTATTTATTCTGAAAAATAAAATTAATTTAATATTTATAGCATCTTTATTTTATAAACAATATTTTTAATAAACTTAATTCATAAAAATAAATTTGATAAGGATAGAAAATATTTGAAAAAATAAATATCTTACTTAATATTGTGAATTAATTTATTTATTATTATATTAATAAATCTAAAATATTTTTAAACAAATAACTAATTTTGATTATTTCTCTATAAATTGAATAAATGAAAATAAAGAATTTATATATTCATATATCATATTTAAAATATATGCTAATAAATTATTTTAAAAAACATTTAAAACATTTAAAATTGTAATATAATTTAATAATATCAAGCAACTAAATTTAATTTTAATTAAATAAATATCAACTTTAATCTATCATTTATTAACCCTTCAAAAAATATTTCATAAAATTATATTTTTTATTATGAAAATACCCTCTAAAAATATGATAAATTATTTTATTTGAGAATCAATAAATAAGAAATTAAAGTAGTTAATTATATTTAAATATAAAGATTCTTACAAAAACAAAGAAATTTATTTTCACAATTTTCAATAGATTTGATTTATTTGTTAATTTTTTAGAATTTTAATTTATTGATTAATTGATAAATTAATTACTATAATATTTATGTTTTTATTGAAAAAATTATTTTCATCCACATATTTTTAACTTGACTTCTTTTTAATTACTACATTATAGTTAATCAAATTAAAAATAAAATTATTTAGATATTGACTCATAAAGATATTAAAAAATTACTTCTTGTAGAGTAGACTAATTCAAAAAATTTATATCGCATTCATAATTATTGATTATTATTTTTTTAATTTATTTAATAAAAGTGATTTTTGTATTGCAAAACATTTTAAATATTTAAATTAAAAGAATTATATTTTTATATTAACTTAACGATATATTTAAATTAAATAAAAATAAATAAATTTATTTAAGAGCAAATCAGTAGTTAACTAAAATAAGAAATTTATTTTAGTTATTATCATAAATTTAAATATTTTCTAAACTATTATTATTAATTCATTCTTGTTTTTAAAATTAGAATAATTATTATTAAATTATTCAATTTAAAATTCTAAATCATTTTTAAATTTAAAACAATTATTTGTTTTGTTTGAAAAATTATATAAAATAATCAAGTTTTTTGAAAGATATTAAAAATAATTCAATTAATTTTATTTTATTTCATAAAGATGATAATGATAGGTTTTAAAATTTTATTAACAGAAAAATAAATGTATCAATCATCTATTGATTGAAAAATATTTTATTATATTAGAAATTCAATAAATTTAATAAAAATGTAACAAAATAGGTGAAAAAAATATCAGATAAATAATTTTGATAAGAAAGATTTTACTTGATCAAATAATTAATATATCAAAAAGATAATGTTAATAAATAGATTACGAATAGGTAGCGCTGAATTGTGTTAGTTGTTCATTAGTATCTTAGGTTTATAAGACAATACATATGAAAAATTGATCAAATATCTTTTTAATAAAATTCATAAAAATCAAATAAAAAATACTCAATCTTTATAAATGAATAAATAAATAACTAACAGATTGAGAGAGATACTAATTGATTAAAGCTATTAAAATATTAAGAATTCAAAATGATTATGATATTTTTATTGAAGTGTGATTTATTTTAAATAAAAGAATCAATGAAGAGAAAATAAATAAATAAATTAGTTAATTAGTATGAAAAAAGAAGATTGATACATAGATATATAGATGGAGTGAGGGATTGATAGATTATGAATTAAAAATTAATTCATAAATAAATAAATAAACAAAGAATCTATTTAATAATCTAACATGAAATAAACAAAAACAATAAAATGAAAGAAAGGAATAAAGAAGATAAATAGATAGATAGAAGGGAAAAGAAATATTAAAATTGGGGAGAGGAGAAAAGGAAAGGAACTTAGAAATGAAAATTCATTGAGGAAGTGGGAAGGAATTAAATTTACGAGAGAAAAAAAAAAAGATAAGAGCGTAAATTAAATAAAATATGACAATACAAAGGAAAACTAAATAAATAATAATAAATTATTTATCATTTAAAATAAAAAACAGGATATTTAGAAAATAAAAGAAATGCTCTCTAAGGCTCTCCAAAGGGGTATTGCTAGGGGTAAATATTTATAACAATTAAGAAAAAATGTGGATTCATCAATATCGGAATGGTGAATCAAAATCAGCTAACACAAAAGCTTTCCAAAAGTAGTTGTAAAGTTGATAGAGGAGTAATTGTTTTTGTTGTAAAAGCTAGCTTCGATCTGCGTTGCAACTTATGTGTTAGCTGCATTTATTGAATTCTTTTAGATTCATTCATATTGTGATTCACCATTCGATAAAAATAAATTTACTAACTTATTTAGTCACAAAATGGCAATAAACTATTTAAAATAATAGCTTTCAGCACCACTGCTAAGAAGGAAGCTCCTAAGACTGTTAAGGCCAATGGTCAAGTATCTTAGGTTATCGGTGCCGTCGTCGATGTCCAATTCGAAGGTGAATTACCTTAAATCTTGAACGCATTAGAAGTTCAAGGAACTTAACATAGATTGGTTTTGGAAGTTGCTTAACACTTGGGTGACTCTAGAGTCAGAACAATTGCTATGGACAGTACTGAAGGTTTGGTCAGAGGTTAGCCCGTCGTTGATACTGGTTTACCCATTTCCGTCCCTGTCGGTCCTGGTACTCTTGGTCGTATCATGAACGTTATTGGTAAAATAATTATTCAACTAATTATTATCCATATAAAAAAATAAATTCACTCATCATTCATTATCTCATCACCTAACAAACAAATACTTCTTGGTGAGTATTAATATACTCTAAACTTTCGATCATCCATCTATCCATCCATCATGAAACATCTCAATCATTAATAAACTTAGTTAGGATACACAAAGCATTGCAAAAAAAAAAAAAAAATATAAAAATATAGCTATGAATCTTCTATCCTATCAATATATCTATCTAAAAAATACATAAAATTTAATTAAATTCCACTCTTAGTTTAGTTATTGATTAAAAGAAATAAATTACAATCTATCAATATAGTTTAAGATACTCAAATAATTCTTCGAACATTCTTTTCACTCCTCAAAATCTTAAATTAATAAGCACATTATTCATACAAATTATCACCATATTTAAAATGAAGCCTCTAGTAGCTCAAATTTTTAGGAAAGAATATGATTTCGCACCAAATTAAAAAAAACATATCTTTCTTACTTTCTATGCATAAATAAGAGAAAGTAAAGAAATTTATTAATTATAGACATAGGTTTAGAAAAAAAAAAATAATTAAGAAAGAAAGAAAAAGTAAGAAAGAAGAAGAAGAAGAATCTTTTACAGTGTTGTTAACACGTTTGACAAAGATTCGTTTAAATATTTATTTTTTTTTTTTATATTTGAGAAAATAATTTAAATAAATTCTTAGAATCAAGAAAAAATAAATAAATAAACAAATAAATTTCTCTGTTTGTGATAATTAATTTAAAAATTTTTGAATTCGAACTCTAAAAAAGGAGAATGTATCTATCTTGATTAAAGCTCTCTTAATTTATAAGCTGAAACGAAATAAATAAATAACTATAGTTGAGTCTTGTATATACAGATACACCAATAGGATTTCAATTTTTGATAAATTTAATAAGAAATCAATAGCTAGAATGATAGATGGAAATTTTTGATCAAATATATTGATTAGCTTAACATGTTAATAAAATAAATAAAGGATAGAATATATGAATATAGAATAAATAGTATTCCTTCCTCTTTTAGAGTGATGGTTAGTTGGTTGAGTTAATTTTGAGATATGAGTGTTTATTTGTTTGTTTACTATTGAGATGATTTTAGAGAAATGAGCATTAAAATAATTTATATAAATTTAATAAAATAGGTGAACCCATCGATTAAAGAGGTCCCATTAAGGCTGCTAAGCTCTATCCTATCCACAGAGATGCTCCCTCTTTCACTGATTAAGCTACTTCTGCTGAAATTTTGGTTACTGGTATTAAGGTCGTCGATTTATTGGCTCCTTACGCTAGAGGTGGTAAGATTGGTCTTTTCGGTGGTGCTGGTGTCGGTAAGACTGTGCTCATTCAAGAACTTATCAACAACGTTGCTAAGCATCACGGTGGTTACTCCGTCTTCGCTGGTGTCGGTGAAAGAACCAGAGAAGGTAACGATCTCTATCATGAAATGATGGACTCTAAGGTCATCAGTGTTAAGGAAGGTGAATCCAGATGTGCCCTCATCTTCGGTTAAATGAACGAACCCCCAGGTGCCAGAGCTAGAGTCGGTTTAACTGGTCTTACCGTCGCTGAATATTTCAGAGATGAAGAAGGTAAGGATGTCTTGCTTTTCGTCGACAATATCTTCAGATTCACTCAAGCCTGTTCTGAAGTGTCTGCCTTGTTGGGTCGTATTCCTTCTGCTGTCGGTTATCAACCTACCCTCGCTACCGATTTGGGTGCTTTATAAGAAAGAATTACCACCACCCAAAAGGGTTCCATTACTTCCGTCCAAGCTATTTACGTACCTGCTGATGATTTGACCGATCCCGCTCCCGCTACTACATTCGCTCACTTGGATGCTACTACTGTGCTTAACAGAGGTTTGACCGAATTAGGTATCTATCCTGCCGTCGATCCTTTGGATTCTACCTCCAGAATGTTAGACCCCATCACCATTGGTGAAGAACATTACACTGTTGCAAGAGGTGTCTAAAAGTTACTCCAAGATTACAAGTCACTTCAAGATATTATTGCCATTTTGGGTGTTGATGATCTTTCTGAAGAAGATAAGCTCGTCGTCGCCAGAGCTAGAAAGGTCCAAAAGTTCCTTTCTCAACCTTTCTTCATGTCTGAAGTTTTCTCTGGTATTCCCGGTAGATTCGTTAACCTTAAATAAAATATCGCTTCTTTCAAGGGTAAATAATTAACTTTATTTTTCATTTTTCAATCTATATTCAATCATTTATTTTAACTAATTCAAAAGCTCTCTTGGAAGGTGCTGGTGATGAATATCCTGAAAGTTGTTTCTACATGAAGGGTGACCTCGAAGAATCTTTGGCTGCTGGTAGAGCTGATGCCTTAAAGTCTAAGTGAAGTAACTTAAGATGAAAAGAGGATTAATCCAATAAATCAATACATGTTTTCAAAATAACAAAATGTGCATAAAGAGTATCTAATTAAAAGATCAGTATTTATTCACAGTGTTTATTTTTGCATATTTGATTATCAATCAACTTACAATTTCTCACACATCATTCATTTGTCTCATCTATCATTCTTTTTATCAATTTTAAATATATGTCTTTTCAGAATAATAAATGAGTTTCATATTTGTAAATTTTTTAAATAAAAACTGATAAACATTTACTAATGCAACCAGCTAACACATAACACGTACATTTATTATTTCTGTTTGAATGAATAATTCGAAAATGAATTAAAATTAAATATAAAATAAAGCTTATTAATTGATTAATAAAGCCATCGTTTTTCAGCAGATTTTCTAATCACTTAACCAATAGTTATCTATATATTACCTTTTATTAACTTAAATTAACTCCTTTTTAAAAAATTTTTCTCAAACAAAGGAAAAGGAAATGAGAAACAAAAAGACATATTTGTGTTTCTAAAATTTAGATGCTACCATTATAAAGTGATAAATATATATGAATTATTAAATTCAAAAAATTATATATAACATAGAAATTTATTTTACCATTTAAATTTATAATATATGTTAGAAAATATATTTTTTTAAAGCTATTTAACGTTAGTCAGTATTGATTAAAAGTCAAAAATATATTTTTTTTAAGAAAAAGTAAATAAATAGTAGATATTTTCAAAAAATATTTTTGATAAATACATTTATTTTGATAGCATTTCATGAAATAAATATTAAAATATAACATTTTTATTTTGATAAGCTAATAAAAATAATTTAAAAAGTGATATAAAACATGAAAAGTAAACTAAGAATTGAAATTATTTTATATTAACTGAGAAAACTAAAAACAATTATGTCTATATTTTTTATTTAATTTTTTATTTATTTATTTTTTAAAATCTTTTATAGGACATATGATAACTATTTAAATAATACGTTAATTATAAATTAATGAAATAATCTAATTTAAATCTCTTCAAATATAGCAACAACTTCATATTATTTATGCAAATATGGCTCAAACAAACTAAAGCTTTCAAATAGTTTATAATAGTAGTTAGTTGGATAATGGTTCATAACATTTAGAACTACTTTAAAATTAACTGTTAAATGAAAAAAAATATATTTTTTTGCATAATTATTTAATAACTTCAAATTTCTTTGGAAAGCTTAGAGTCTATAGCTTCAGATAATGACTTTTGCTCTCTTCTAGATTCAGATTTAGATCTAACTTTATCTTTCTTCTTTTATGTTGATTCAACTTTTCTTAAGTTTGCCATAGCACGAGTTAAAGCCTTTGCTTTAAGAGCAGATTTTAAAGTGACTTCGTCCTTTTTATTCTTAATTTCAGTTCTTTGTTATTCTCTTTCATAAAATTCTTGATAAAGTCTTTAATATTCCTTCTTAAGTTATTCACTCATTTCTTTCTTTTCTTGGCCTTCTTTATAATAAGTATCTCTAGGGAATGGCTTTACAATATTTCTAACATAATAGTGTTTCATTGTTGAAATTGGTAACATTGACTTAATGACAACCTTATCTCCAGTAACGCAAAAGTTTTCAGAATCATGAACTTGATATTTGCTGGTTTTTGATTTAAATTCTTTTGTTTTAGGATACCAATATCTGTAATCAACCTTAACCTAATAATTAAAAATGCAAATTAAAATTTAAATTGTTAAACCATATAAAAAGTAGTATGCTGCAATACAATTCATTAATATATTTCAATTGCAATTTTAGAGCTAAAATAATTATAGAAAATTTTTTTTAGAATTTGTGCTATTTCTAAATGATTTTAATGAAATTTTTCAAATTATTATGATAAGAAGAAGAAAAATTTAATATTTCTATCTCTTATTTGATAATTATTCTATTACAGTGACAGTCTTATCCATCTTTCCGTGCTATATAACTGTTCCGAATAATTCACGGCCAGAGCTCAATAATTTTAAGCCTGTTGCACCATTTCTAATTGGATTAAGTAAATTCCAAACAGATGACATTTCTAATTTACTATGATCTACTAACTTTAAATCTAGCTTTGAGATTTTGATTTAATATATTTAATCAAATTTTTTTTAAGAAAAATCTTATTATTTCTTTATTTGTGGACAAATAAATAGATCTTCTAAAAATTATTATAATCTTCATGCTAAATTCTTTTGAATCTTTATTTTATAATCAATAGTAGATATAAATAAATAAACTTCAGTATTTTATAAATGTGATTACTCACTATACTAAAATACATTTTAATAGAATTAATTGATTTTATTCTTTATCATTACAAGAACTAACACAAAATTATTTTTATCAAATTAGAAGTTTTTATTTAATTTCAATTAATTTAAAATTAATTTTAGAATTAATGAATTTATTTAATATATTTATTAACTTAGTTTCAGAAATATTTAAACTAAAAAGCATTTATTTGTTATATTTTTTAAACAAAATCTTGTTTATTAATATTAGACATATATATTTATTATTTATTTTTTTTAAATATAAACTGAACAGTATATTATTTTAAAAACAAATTTATGGTTTGATAAAATTCTTACAAATTTAATTGATTTATAATCTTATTTTCAAAATATTTTAATTAAATATTATTTTTTGTTAAATATTATCAATGAAATCTTATTAATGTTAATCATATATATGCATTTAACATTTTTATTATTTATTTAATTTAAATTTAACAAAAATTATTTGAAAAAACCAATTTATAATTTGATAAATTTAAAAATAACTTTATGATCAAATTCTTCTCATCCTTGTTACTCAACTAAGTATTTATGAAAGAACTTTTTAAAAATAATAATATTTGTTAACGACTAAAAACACATACTTAAATTAAATTCAGTTTCAAATGTGAGATTTACTATCCAAAATAAATTAAAATGAAATTAGTTGATTAAATTCTTTATCAATGCATAAATTTATTTAAAATTACTTTTGTAAGCTTAGAATTTCCTATGTAATTTGAAACATTTTAAAGCTAATTTTAGGATAATAATTAACTTATTAACTTATTTTCAAATTCATTTTAATTAAAATTATTTTTTTGTAAAATTCATTATTTAAAATAAGTGAATTACCTTTAATCAAATGTATTCAATATTTTTAATATTCTTTTTAATCAAAACCAAACAACAAATTATTTGAAAAACCAAATCATTATTATTATTATTATTGTTATTTGATAGAAATTAAAAATAATTTTATTAATTATAATAAGAATTAATGATTACAAATAAATATTTATTGATAAAAAAAAGAAATCTTTTTTATAAATTATTTTTGTTTTTATTTTTATCTAAATTAATTTTCCGTAACAGTATAATTATTTGAGTTATATACAAATTAGAAATTTAATGATTAATATCTCATAATTAATTTTTCACAAATTTCAATTTGGTTATTTTTTTTAATTGCTTTAATAGTAATTAATTCTAAAATATAAACAAAAAATATACAATATAGCATTATTTATATAAGTTAAATTAAAATGAATATGAGTGATACATTTAATGATAGCTATCACAATGATAAAGTACAAAATAGTTAAAGTAAATATTTTCATTATTCTTATTAGATTTTATCAATATTTTTTAAAAGATAGACCTCCATCATAAAAAAATGTGTAATAAAAAGAGGATTTGTAAACAAAAAATACACCAAATCAAAGATATGATCAGTAGCATCATTAAGAACAGTAAAATACCCATTAAGTCAGCCCTAAATATGATTAAAAGACAAACCACATTGATTATAAATAAAATAATTAAAATGAAAATTAATAAAGATATTAGACTGATAGTTTTGTTGATTAAACACCCTTTAGCTAAAATTACGAATAATTAGATAAATCTTCTTAGATAAATGAGTAATCAGAAATGTAAAATAGTTAAATTTAGTTTTGCTTCTTTTGTATAAAATTTTTTTTTCTATCTAAAACTAGGGTTCATGCTGATAAAAATAACAATACTAACAACAACAACATTTTAGATGATTTGAATACAAATAGAAATAATTAAAAAAATGAAAAAGTTGAAAACAATAATTTTAGTTAAATATAACAAGAAAGAAACCGCTCTAAAGGAGATAACAATTCTAAACCTGTATCTAATAACTCGTTTGATTAAAGGTAGGTTTAGATAGAACAGTAAATCAAATAAAATTAAAATTTGAGGGAGTAGTTAAAGGAAATGGCAACTATGCTTGACCAAATTATAGAAAAAGAAAAAGAATAAAGACAATAGAAATACAATTAAAACAATAAAAATATTGAAAATGAATAGATAAAATAAAAGAAAAAGGAATTATAAAAGCAGCAAGAAATTATCTCTTAAAATAGAATAATTATTTAGCAAAAGAAGCGTCAATTAGATTTTAATTTTGATATGAATAGGTAAGTTACTTTAGATTTTTATAACTTATGTGTATGTAATAAATGAGTTTATAAATAAAAGGATTACAGAAAAAGAAAATGAGGTTAAAAGACTTAAAAAATAATTGGAAGAAATTCTTTCAGAAAAATAGGGATTAAAAAGAATACAAGAAGAACAGAAAAAGGCAAAAATGGAATTTGAAAGATAAGAGTATAAAGATTAGGTAAATTATTTATTTCATTTTTGAATGAAAGTAAATTATTATTTTTAAAAATTAGCTAGAGGTAGTTAGAAAATAGTTTTATAATGTAAGAGAGGAGAATCAAAGACTGCAGGAAGAACTGCAGTAAAAAGATAGAGAATTGAAAAAATATATTGATGAATTAAAGTTAAGAACTGAAAAAATAAGAACAGTAAATATGAAAATCAAAGAGTAATAGAGAAAGAAACCTAATTAAAGTGAAAAGGAACCTGATCCTGATGAAGATGTAAATTTAATTACTAAATCAATAAAAAAAAATAGTTTTATTCAATATTTAGATTTCAGAGGAGGGTTTATAAATTTTAGAAGAAAGAGTTAGAGATTTGGAAAAGGAAAAAAAAGATTTAGAAATACTTTTTGTAGAGAAAATGAAAGCTTTAGAAAGAGAAAGGAAATAGCAACAAAACTAAGCAGATAAAAAGTTATTAATCCTAAAAGAAAGAGAAAAAGTATAAAAAGAATTATTTTAGTTTTACTTTTTAGCAAAAGAATTAATTCTGAATATTATTTTAAAAAATAATCACACAATTTCTCATTATTATTTTTAGAAATAGCTACTTTTTTCTTTTACAAATTACTTTTTATAGTAGAATTTCAAGTTATTTTTATCTAACATCTATTTAATATTACTATTAATATTTTTATTTTCTAAAATAATAATATATTAAGCAATTTTTTTTTTTTAATTTTTGAAAATTAATTTAAAAAAGAACATTTTTGCTTTTTTATGTGTTTAATTTATTATTTAATTAAAAATTAATTCTTTTAAAAAATTATTTAGAATTTAAAAGTTACTACAATGAAGATAAAAGAAATATCTAAATTTATCAAGGCTACCGCTCTTGAAAATGAGAAGAGTAAATTAGCTTTAAAAACTTAATTTATATTAAATTTTTTATTTATTGTACTATAAAAGGATCTTAAATGTAAAATTAGCAGCTGAGCTAGTTAGAACAAGATAATTTAAATGTATTTTTAATTATGTCTGATTTTAATTTTTAAATAAATAATTTGTAAATTAGATGAATGCCAGGCATAGACCGAGTGTAGGATCACAAAATAAACTCCCCTAAAACTGAAAATACTATTTTATTTAATATTCATAAGAGGTTTTTTAAGTTGTTTTTGGATATTTGAATAAAAAAATAAATAAATCATTAACTAAATATTTATGCAAATAAATAAATAATTTCATTTGTATTGGTTTTATTGATATAATTTAGTTTTCAATTTTAAAAAAGGATTGAATTAATTTATAATTTAAAAAAACTTGATAATCTAGTTAAAAAAATTCAAAGAAAAATTTAATTAATTAAACAAGAAATTAATTCAGTAGATTATATTTATTTAATATTGAAATTTTTGTAAATAGTTTATGAACAAAAAATCATTCATTTTTTTTTACTTGAATGTGACATTTTAGAATTAAAGTAACTTTACAATAATATTTTTATTCTTTATTTTAATCACAATTATTTATTTTTATCAATTAAAAAATTATACTTTAAAATATATTTAATAAAAGTTTAAATGAACATAAACAAATCAAGAACTAATTTAATATCATCACGCTTTATTAATAATTTTTAAATGTATTTACTTAGTTAATAATTTTTCAATTTTATGATTTTTTATGATTATTTAAGTGTTAAAAGTTAATCATAAATACATAAATTATTAGCGATTATAAATTTCAAGTGATAAATTTAATATATTTATAGGAATATTTGATATCAAAATTCATTATTTTTAAGATTTTATGAGAAAAAAATAGCTTTTAAAAAGAATAAATGATTAAATTTAAAATAAAGTGTAGCATTTAGATGAAAAAAAAAAAAAATTGATGGTTTTTTTGAGTTGAGCCAAAGGTAAAATAACTTAATAGATGGTAATGGACAAAATTTTAATTATTTACTTTTCTTAACTAGTAAATTTCAAAATTATTATTTTATATGAATACAAACAACTCACGAGCACTGAATTTTCAATAGTTTTAAATAATTTCGCCTTCTCATAACTTAAAAATAAAAACTAAGTCATCTTTCAAATATTAAATAAATTGTAATAAAAAATTGATAAAACTTAAAAATTAATTAAAGAAAAAAAGATACATAAAATGGCTCAGAGATTATTTAAAACTCTTTCGTCTAATTTAATTATACCTAATAATGTGGCTGAAGGAGTTGGTGCTAGAATATTTAGATTAATTGGTGATTAAAAAGCAGTTAAAGTGTTAGATCCTTTTATATTGTTTGATTAGTTTCACATGAAGAGACCACTCGGATTACCTGACCATCCTCATTTTGGAATGGAGGCAGTCACTTATATGCTATAGGGCACTATTCTTCATGAAGACTTTACTGGAAACAAAGGAACCTTAAAGCCAGGAGAAATATAATAGATGATGGCTGGAAAAGGTATTGTTCATGCAGAGATGCCTGGATCATTTGAAGAAGAAACAGTTGGGTTCCAAGTCTTTGTTAACTTAGACGAAAAGAATAAGAACAGAGATCCTTACTACAAAGAGTTCAACTCTGATAAGGCTTAATATTTTAATGTTTAAGATGCTTTAGTAAAAGTGATTGCTGGAAATTCATATGGAGTTACTGGTCCAGTATAAACATGTACTCCTATTTTTTATCTTGACATACACCTTCCTAAAAATTACTACTTTGAGTAGACTGTACCTGACCATTACCAGGGGCTAGTTTACTTGTATGATGGAGAGGCAAGAGCAGGGCAAAACTAAGTAAAAATATAATAATATCAGGCTGCTTCTTTTGAAGTTTAATAAGAAAACACAATAAATCTAAAATCTGGAAATTAAGGAGCTAAACTTGTAGTGTTAGCAGGAAAACCAATACATGAATAGGTTTTTAACAATAATTAATTCTTTTATCATAACAATAAGGATGGATTAAAATAGATATTAGACAATTACGTTTAAATGAAAAATGGGTTTGAAAATTGTAAGATTTGGAGCTCAAAAATTTAAAATTCTATTCCTGAATAAAATAGATAGGAATATTTAGGCCTTTTATTTGCCCACAAGGATTGATAATAAAAATTATTTATTTTATTCAGCAAATTATGATTTTAAAACAATTAATTGATAAAATATCAGTGTGGATTTAATTAATTATTAGAATTTTTTTATATTAATTAAAAAATATTCAATACATTTTTTTATTAATGTTGGACTATCTATTTTATTATGATTTTATGCTAATTTTATATTTGTTTGAATAATTATTGGTAGTTGTTTTACAGAAAAAGGAGGCCTTCCTACTTTTTTAAAAAATTTGTATTATTTTATATCGATAAGTGAAAGTCAAAAAAATCTTATTAAATAAAAAATTAATTAATAAATGATATCTTATTACTTCAACTTATTAATCAATATTTTATTATTATTATTATTATTATTATTATTATATAAAGAAAGATTCTGTCTGTATAATTGAACTGACACAAAAAATTAAATTTATAGAAATATTTTTTATTTTTTTCTGAGGATTTTAAGAAATTCAACGAACAAAAAATCAAAACTAAAGGTTGATGAGCACGAATAAAGAAAATAAAGAAATAAAAGATGCTTGGTTAAAGGACACTAATAATGCCGAGTATATTAAGTTTATCAATGGTGCTTTTGGTGTTGTAAGAATAGATTCATGCATTTAAAACCATTTATTAATAATTTTTGATAAAGTAAAAGAATCCTAAAGCAAATTAAACGATAGAACCAGTATAAATAATCGAAAAAAGAGAAGAAGAGAAAAAGAAGTACCTCCTTGAAGAAGAAAAGGTTGGAGGAGAAAACTTTTATATTTTGAAGATAGGTAAAAAAATAAATTTTACTATAAAATAAATTACAAACCTATAAAACTTATATTTGAAAAGGTAAAATTGGTGGAAGTAAGTTAGAGAGACCTGTTTTATTTAGAAAATCAAATTTAATCCAAATAAGTAGATTAGAATGAGTGAGTAAATGAAATTAATTTGTTTGTTTTTTAAATAAATAGAATAATCAGGCAATAAGCCTGTCGAAAAAGACTTAGGAAGAATTTAAAAGCTTGAAAATGGAGAAGTAAATTTATTTATATATTTATTTGCTTATTTACCACTCTTATAATATCTGTTTTTATTAACATATTTTTATTCAAATAACTTATTTTCATAGAACAAGTTTACAGGAAAACATGCGAATAAAATTGTTCTAAATGCAAGTGTTTTAAAGGAGGGATCAGACAAGCCTAGATAAATATATATTTTATGCGAAAATAAGACTATTAGTGATAAGATTTTATCCTATACTATTTAAAACAAGGTCTTAAAGAGTTTCACTCTTATAAAGTAAGATGTTGCTCCTAGATTTAAATACTTCTTAGCTAATAGATTTAGATAAAGTATCAAAAATTACGCAAATTATTTAAAAGCTTAGGAAGAAAATAATAAAAGCTAATAGAAGAAAACCTTTGAAACTATTTTTAAAGGATTTGATAAGAAATGCATATCTGAAGTAATTTAAAAATGGAAATAAGAATCTTAATTAGCAGATAAAGCTGAAAAAGACACTCAATTAAAAGAGTAGATAAAATTAAGAAATCAAGAAAAAGAGAGAAGATGGTAAATATTAAAATCAAGTGAAGTCTTAAAGTAAGTTGATAGGCGCAATTTGAAAACTGCTATGAACAAAGCTATTTTCTCTGCTAGACAAAGAGAAATGGAAGAAAAAGAAGCTGAAAGGGCTGAAAGAGTTAAAAGAACTAAAAATGAAAAGAAATTACATTTGTAATTCAGCCAACTTATTTTATCCTCAGCATTAAGAATGGTAAGACCGATACTTGATGTCTACTATATAGTGAATAAAAATATAGTTACATATGATTAATATGAAAAGCGTAATGAGGATGCAATTATTGTGAATAAAGGATAATAAGCTGCTCCTTCAGAGTTAGTCAGAAAAATAAATGGCTAAAATTTTTAAAAGCAACCTGAATAAGATGAGCTATTTTAAATGGTTTTCACTGCTAAAATGCATTCAAAAATGAGTGATAATAGCTATCTATGGAATCTTTAACCTTATGATGGATTCTAAACCACTAGCTAAGTAAAATATTTATTCTTAAACCAAAATATTTCTTTTCTTTTTAAAAAGAAGTAAGCATCTCCAAAATTAAACTAAAATAGAAGTATATCATTTCAAAAATGAATTATATAATTTCAAAAATGAATTATATGATTTTAGCAAATTTTTTTCTACAAATTAAGCATGAAAAAACACTACTTTTAATATAATTTTTTAATTTATTAAATCAATTTTAAAATAAGTAATTGTAAGATGATACAATAAAATTCGGTGATTTAGATTCATGTGAAAAAGACACATTAAAAATTAGTCTTTACGATGAAATGAATAGACAAAAGTAATATATTACTTTTGTTACTGTTTCTGACTTAATTAGTGCTTAAACAACAAGTAAATAAATTTTATTAAAAAATATTTTTATCTAAAATAATAATAAATAAATAATAAAAGCTAAATAGATTTGGTTAAACTTCTCTTTAGAATCAATGAAAAACTTCAATACAAAAATATTGTTGAAAGCTAACATATTTAGGACACCAACAATAAAAAGTTAAACTCATAGCTCCTTTGATGACTTCTTAGATATATTTGGTTCAAAGCAATTCGAAATGGTTGATCCTATTTATTTAATTCGTCTAAAAAACCTTTCTCTTATTAGATCCTCTTGGATTTACTTTTTAGAAAAACTGATCGATGAAGGTCTTGGTTCAAATAGCTCAATCAAGCTTTTACAGTTTTTAATTGATGCTATCGAATAGAAAGATCAAGTTGAGTATCCTTAGGATATATCAGATCGTAATTATTTTTAAATGAAATGCAAAAATTTTAATTTTAATTTTTATTAAGCTCTGATTTATAAGGATTTCAGAAAAATATTCTATGAGTCTATATCTATGTACTTGACCTCAGCTTATGCTAAGACAGTAAATTTGATATAAATAATTTATAATATTTCATCAGTGTTAAATTATTTTATTTTTATATAGGTCTTGCAATAAGAAGATCATTAACAAGAACTTCTCGAAAAGATTGGTGAGCCTGATTCTAAATACATCCATAAAATTATTAAAGAAATTTAGAAAACTAAAACTTAAATTAGCTATGAAGATCTTAAGAGACTTTTTATTTACGGTGTCCCCAGCAGATTTAGATGCCTCTATTGGTCCAATTTCCTTTAAATAAATAACATTATTTAAGATGATATTGTAATATTATTTTTAATCAAAAAACTTATTAAATTTAAATGATATTTTATAAAAGCAAAGAACATCTGATGGTTTTGTAAGTGATTCTGATGATTTAGTAAAGAGATATGAATATTATTAAAAATTACCTGAAATAGATTGCTCTAAGTCCTTCCTAGATTAGGATGAATATGAAATTATGGGTAAGTGGCATGCAGATAATTTAGAGTAAATTCTTAGCGCATTCACCAGCTACTTGAAGTATCACAGAATAGTAGATTTAACTTATGAAGATAGGTTGAGATACAATTTATATAGATTTATATAAAGAATTTATATTTGTTTGTATCCTACTTTCATGAAAACCGAAGATAATTTGCATGCAGGTTTCTTCACTTATGACAAGCAAAAGTCAAAGTTGTAAATGTCATTGAAAAAAATAGATTTAAATGACTTTACTTAGGATGAATAAAATCAAAAGGAATAAATTATTAGAGCAGAAATATTTTGGTTTTCTGTTGCATTCTATAATCTTTATTTTAAGCAATTGGTAGTTATGGAGAATGAATAAGGATTACAAGCTATGAAGAAAAGAATTGCTATCGGTATTGTAGCCTATGAAACTATGTTAAACCCTCATTCAAAGCTAATGATATAATAGAATTAGTTGTAAGATGCGATTAAGTATTAATGGTTTAAATAAAGCACTAATTTCTTCTAGAATACTTTCTAGAGCTTCAATTTCACTAAAATTTTAGATATTGTTGTATTTGAATTTGGTATGAATTTAATGGACGGATTCGAAAATGCAGTCTTAGCATGCTTTATCACTCTTTTAGATAGAATCAAATTAGATGGTATAATTAATCAATCTTAACTTGAAAATGCATTTATTACAGAAGGCTTGTTTTTATAGTAGAGTTTCTTTGTGGATCTTTACAAAAACATTTAAACTATCCAAAAAGGATTTGATGCACAATTGATTGAAAATTAATTACATAATTTGAATTTCAATCAGTTCGGAGACCTCTATCTACCAGAAGAAGATAATGAGAAAAATTTGAAGATTGACAAAGAAATATTGGAAACTTTGCAAACTTCTAATAATAGAACTCTAGACTTAGGAAATCACCCCTAAGGAAATGAAGCAGGCTAATAAAATTAAAATTTATCTCCTTAGAAAAAGCAAAGAATTGTAAACGTTAAATCTCCATTTTAGGTAAGAAAAGATTTTGTTGAATAAGATAGTGAGGAAGAAAAAGATAAACTCAATCCTATAAAGGATTACCTTGTTTCTCACAAAGTGAAATTCGATGAAGAATTAATAAATAAAAAAAATGAACGCAAACCGCATACCCCTCCTATGATTCTTTGATCTTCTTTATAAAATAATTATAAAAATATAATAAAAATCAATTATAAAATAGTTCCAACTTGTTAAATTTGATTAAATTTTACAAAATTTATATTTTTATTGAATTTTACTTATTTTTTTTTAAATAGATAAAATATTATTTTATATCCTTAAAATCTTTTATGATATTAATTAATAAAAGTATTATTTTATGATTTTTTAACTCTAAAAGTATTCACTAAAAAGTCTAAATTCTAACCTTATAAATTTTACATATTAAGCTAGATAATTTTAATTTAATGAATTTGATTTATTTTATTTGTTTAATTTATTTGATATATAAGTAAATTTTATTTATTAATTTATTAAAATTTTATTTTGTAAGTTTGATTTGAGATGGAAATAGTTCGTTAAATACATCAAATAACATCTTTGAAATCTCCATATTTTAAAGAGATATCGATCATTAAATAAATATAAATAAAAAAGATAAGGCACTTATTAATATGAACAAATAATAACCCATTTATAATAAGGAAAAAAGATAATTTAAATGACAAATAAAATATTTAACAGTAATATTCTTTAAATGAAATTAATTTAAATAAATAGTTAATAAATAAATGAAAGAAAGTGTTTATTTTATGAGTAAAAGAAAAATTTAGAATTTTATAAAAATATTTAAAAAATAAAGAACAAATTAATTTTAATAATCATCTTAAATCTTCAAAAGGAACAGGCTTAAACTTTTCAAGATTTTAAGGTTCATTTAAAGATGCTAAAAATGTATAAATAGATCTGAGGTGAATTTCGAAATTAGATATTTTGTTTGAATTCATTAAATAAATTAAACTAAAATTTTCATAAAAGTCTTGGGCAAGTTCTCTTAATATTTATTTGAATTTTTTTATTTTATCTGTTTCTTACTTGAAAGTAGTAAACGCTTTTATGAAGGTAGTTTTGTTGTCCAGTTTAGCATCAAATTATAGCCAGTCTTAAAAATCTTTTTTACCTTATGAGTCTTCTTTTAGCATTTCATTGCTTAATCTATCTTGAAAATGAGGATTATACATTATGAACCTGATCAACGTGCAACCAAAATTTTTAAATACATTTTTATGTTTACTTTATCTATACTTATTCTCTGAATCTTTCTTTTGTCTTTTTTGTTTTATTGTTTTATTGACTAAGTTAACTTTTCTAGTATAACTATTACTTAGAGAATCTTATTAATTGCTATTTAAGTTAGAACTAAGGTTTTTAACATCACTAATGCCTCCATCAAAATCACAACTTATTTCATTGTTCTAAGATTAATTGTGAGTTTGCTGTTTGATAACATCTTTTTGCATTTATTATTTCTATTCGAATTTTTAATTATTTGTAATTTATTTTGGTTAATAAGTGTTTGAGTTATTTATTACATAGTTAGTATTTTCATCTAATTCTTGAGCACTTTTAGGGTAATTTTCATTTATAAATTATCCGTCAGATTAAGCATCATCGCTTTGAGCATCAAAATTTGGCTTTATTTATTAATCAATTAAACAAAAGCTATTCAAATCTATTATTTAACCCTATAATTATGAATTCTAAATGCACTTTGAATAGTCTAAATATCTCTAAAAATTGTTTTTGTCTACATAAAATTTAGACCTAGCAAGCTGAGATTGATTTATTAATTGCGCATTATTCCTAATAAATGACATATTTTCCAGCTAATTATTCTTAATATTATTAAACTATTAGAGTTAATTTTACACAGAAACCTACGCTTAATCCTAGAGTTCATCATAGAGTACAATACTTTTATTCATTTCCCCTCCTTAATTAAGGAATTTATTTATTTTGAGACCATTCGTCAAGCTGCTTTTTAGAAATTCTTACTAAATATTACTTTAATAACTTTTCTATGAATCTATCATATTACAGATACTATAAAGAAAAGAATTTTAAACTTAAGCATTTTGGTTAATATAAACATCACCATTTTCATCCAGATAGTTAGACTTAATCATCTAAAACTAGCCTACATAACCTTAATTTACTTAATTAATAGCGACCTAATTGACCTAATGATCTCTTTATTGAAAATTGTTAGTATTTATTGATATACCTAAAACACGCGCCTGAAAAGAGCTATCTTCGTTTTTACATTATATATTGTTTTATACAGGCATTTAGTTATTACCGCTTAAATGCTACTAAAATATTTATTTCTACGTATCGTTAGGTTTTAATTTTAAATTGAGTTACTTACCAAACATTTTAAATACAATTTGATTTCTACTAATTTATGTTTGTTTATACTATTAATTCCTATTCAGGTTAAGATATAATTAAAGTTAAATAATCTATGTATGTATTTATATGTATCTTATTATAAAGAATATTGCAAAAGACAATCTTCTAATTCTAAAATTCACATTAAAAAATTAAATCAAAATCTAGCTTTTTTCAATTTTCCATATTTTTTTATAGATTTAAGAAGCAAATAAGTGCTCCTTAAATCGTAAATTTTATTAATATCCTAAATAAATTTCAAAAATAGTAATCTCTTGATAAAATAGAAACAATTAGTTATTAATTATCACATAACAACCTCTTTCAAATAAATTAAACAATGCATGAATAGTAACATAAAAGAATAAATTAAAATTATTTTTATCTAAATTAAAAGTTTATAATCATATTCTCTAATTTTAATTAAGCTTCTTAAACTTAATCAAAATAGTTATATACTTAAAATGCTGATATGAAGCAGAAGTTGTATTTTAAAACATATTCTTGTAATTCATATGATTAATCTCTATTATAATAAAATAGAATTTAATTCACATTTTAGGTTTTTTGATGAAACTTACTTTAAATAAATATACAGAATTTTGAATATAAAATGCAATTCAAATAGAAAAATTATATCTTACCTACATATTCATTAATTTATAGTGGCTATGAGATCAATAAGTTATAATTCATAAGCAGTAATTTAATTAATCAATTCTGAAGAAAAATTTAACACTAAATATAGATTAGCGATTCAATATTATAAAATATAAAAAAATTTAAGAGTTGTTCATTTCTTAATTTGAAAGTGTTATGTAAAAATAGTAAAAATCTATGTGTAGAATTACAAATATTATAAGAATGATGTTAAAGAGATACTGGTTAATTATTAAGAAGTCTGACGATGTTATGATTACAATAGTTTAAATATAGAAAATATTTAAGAGTAGCACATATTAAAAAAATAATATATGCTCTTTTTTTCTTTATATTTTATTTTTCATTAAGTTGAGATGAAGAATAATTTTTAGAAATTTAAATATTTTTCAATAATAAATTAGTTAATATATTAATTTAATTTAAATAAAGAGTTTTTGAATCAACTATATATTATAACTTCATAGAAAGAAAGCTTTAGTTTTTATTAAATTTGATAAGAGGTGACAGGAAATTAAAAAATTATGATAAATTTATTTTTATAAAAAAATTATAAAATTGTTATTTTTTTAGTTTAAAAAATATTTGAAATTATTTTTTTTAGTTAATCTTTGATGATCAGATAATAATTAAATAAATTAAAACAAACACAACTAACTTAACTACTTTTTTTAAGTTTTCAAAAATAAACAACATATTGATTAAAGTTTTATATAATAAATTAGATAATATTTCAAACAGGTTTGAATCTTTCTAATGAATCTGGGTTATTAATAGCAGCGAGATATGTATGGATAGACCTAAGATGGATTTCCATATCGCTTATCTTTTTAGAGTTGATCAAATAAATAAAAGAAAAATTTTCAAAGAAATCTCTGCTAAGCTCTCTCAGGAGAGCTTTGTATTCCCTAATATTTTCAGGATCACTTTTAAAGGTAGTCCAAGCAATCTAAAAATCTTTCTTACGTTCTAACTTAATTTCTGATTATAGCCAGTCTTAAAAGCCTTTTTATTTTTATGCATCTTTGTTAAGCTCTTGAATTACTCTATCCTAAAAGTATTGGTTATAAATTATAAAACGCACTAGAGTACCTCCGAAATTTTTGAATACATTTTTGTGCCTGCTTTATCTGTATTGAGAGCCTTTTTGTGCTTTTTTTTATTATTAAGAAGTGACTGCTGGTTTTATTTTAGGAGGACTTTTTTTAGCAGGATACTCATCATCTGAGTGAGGATATTGATAATCTTAGAAGGCGTTGTCTTTATACAAGAATGGCTCAATTGTTAATCCTTAATTTTAGCTTTCTTTCATACTCTAAGGAACATTGTTATTGTTATTATTATTATTATTACTATTGGAATGATTGTTGTTATTATTATTATTATTATTATTGCTAATATAATCGCTATTAAGATTGCTACTGCTACTGTTCTTATCATTCATTTCCATTTTAACATTACTAGAAAAATTAGAATTATTATTATGATTGTGAGAATCTTTTTATTATTTTTTGTGATCATCAGTAAAATCAAAAAAATCATAATGTTTAACTTCTAAGTCAGGCTCACTAAAAGTTTCTATTCTCCTATCAATTAGGCTGATTGGTAATATTTACTTGTAATTAGCATTTGAGTGTTTCATCATATTTTCATTCTAAAATTAAGTTAAATTGACAGAAACTAAATTATTCATTTATTATCTCACTGAGGAACTCTAATCTAAGAGAATGTCATCATACATTCTTCTATTAATTGATTTGGACATCAATTAATTTTTGAAATTTTATTTAGAATTGTTATCCATTTCAAAAGAGCATGTCATTTCTATGGGTAGATTAAGGTCATTTGGGTTCATTAAATTATTCTAATTTTTATTGTCATCAAATAAACTTCCTTAAAGGTTATTGGTTAACTACTTTCCGCTTACATTAATGCTATTAGTATTATTAAACATAACATTATCTAATTCCTCAAAATCTTCATGCTTAGGCAAATCAAAGTATTGAGAAACAATAATATCACCATTCTAGTTTATTGCTGTATCTTTTTTAATTTTAAATCCACCTACGCTCACTTAAGACATATTTGTTGGTTACCTATTTAAATCATAAAATCTACTATTATTACGACCCATACTAAAAGTCATATTGAGTGCAAACTGATCAAATTTGATACTTTAAGAAGCTAGGTTTCCAAATGTAGCAGAATCTACTCTACCTAAGTCATTGTAATTAATATAATTCATTTAAATGGCAAGCAAATTACTAGTTTTAATATTATTTTAAATATATATATTCTTTATAATTATTTCGCTAAATCTATTTATTCTTTTCTTGAAAAATAGATAGAAGATTTTAAACTTTGATAATATAAAAATTAATAAATAAAATAATTAAAATTCATATGCATGATTAGGGATATTTAAGCGCTTAAATTTCTTTTTTTAAAGTGTCTATCTAAGAAATTATAAGTACAACTTGTATGCATCAAATATTTTAGTATTCATTTTTAAATTGAACGAAATACAGCAAATATTAATCCCTCCTTTCTATGCTTTTTATAGTTTAACAGGATAGAAGAGATAAACTTCCAAAAGAAAAGAATTTATATATTTTTTTTTAAGAGAAAAATTAAGTTAAAGTGTCTAAGAACTTTTAAATTGAAAAAATGAGATATTTCCTAAAAAGTTAATTTCTCAATAATTAAAAATAATAATAACTACCAAATTACCAAATAGAGTATTCTTTATATTTTAATCATTATAAATTATTATAAAAGAAATCAAATTAAAAGAAATTTACATTATATAATAAACTAAAATGTGATTAAAATGGTGATTGACAAACAAAAATAAATTAATTATGTGGTATAAGTAAAAACTAAGAAATGACTGATTTTAATATTGATATAATAAAAATTTACTTATATATTTTTATAAAATTATTTTTGAGCAAATAAATAAAAAACAAAAAAATAAATTTTAGATTATTTTAAAGTTAAAAAGAATATTGTAAAAAATTACAAAAAAATGCTTAAATTGATAAAATTGACTTTAAAAAAATATAATAAAAGTGTCTAAATTATTAATTTGATCTTTAAAATAATACTTGAATAAAATTCAATTTTAAAGAATGTAAAGAATATTTAATATATAATGATGAGTCTAATATTTTTAATTGATTTTGCATTCATTGGTGAGAATTAGTTGAAAAAATTAAAATTACATATTAACATGAAAAATTATTTACAAAGATAAATAAATAGGTTATTATTTTTTATTTTAAATTATAATTGAATATTATGTAAAAATTGATCTTTTTCAAATCGGTTTAAATCTTTCTAGGGAGTCAGGATTGTTAATGCCAGCCAAATAAGTATGGATAGATCTAAGATGTATTTCTAAATCACTTATTTTTCTTGAATTTATCAAATATACAAATGAGAAATTTTCAAAGAAGTCTCTGCTTAATTCTCTCAATACTTCTTTGTATTCTTTAATTGTTTCTGAGTCAGTTTTAAAGGTCGTCCAGGCAATTTAAAAGTCTTTTTTCCTTTCAAGCTTGATATTGCTTTATAGCCAATCTTAAAATAGTTTTTTTTTCTATGCATCTTACTTAAATAAGTCTGAGACTCTTTACTAAAAATATTAATTATATATTATAAAGCGGATGAGAGTGCCTCCAAAATTTTTAAATACATTTTTATGTCTACTTTATCTGCATTTTGATACTCTTTTTTATTCTTTGTTTTACTTCTAAGATTTTTTTGATATTTTCTTTTTTATTTTAGAAGGAGCATTCTTATTTTATTATTCCTCGTCAGAGTGAACTTGGTAACTGTAAGGGTTTTCTTATTGTTTTGAAGATTCTAATTTAACATTACTTTTTTTAATATTTTCTTAATCATACTATTCACTAATAAAATGATTATTGTTATTGTTAATATTGTCCGATGAATTATCGTTATTTTAATCATCTAATTATTATTTTATTTCTTAATTATTTTAAACTGTGCTTGATTCTTGGTCATAATAAATAGCATGTTAATCAGGTTCACTTAAAGTCTCCATTTTTTTATCAATTAAGCTAACTTACATAAATAATTCTTAATTTATATTTTTTTTTTAGCTAGAATATTTCATTAAACTTTCGTTCTAGTATTAAGTGATATTAAAAGGATTAAAGTTGTTAAATTATTATCTTAGCTAGTCACTCTAATCTAAAAATATACTATTGTTTAAAGAATTTTTCATGTATTATTTCTACTGACTTTAACCAATATCTTAAGAATTAGTCATATTGATTGGTAAATTCTTAAGTTCATGTAAATTCAAAAAGCTTTAATCTAGCTCTTCAGAATTAATGTTAAGTGATTTTTAGACTGAAACAGGAATACTTTTGTTTAGCATTATGGCATCTAAATCTTTATCAAAATTTTATTATTTTTGTTAATTAATTTTTTGTTGAATGATAATATCTCCTTTCTCGTTTATTGCAGTATCTTTGCGCAATTAAAACCTCCCTACGCTTTGCATATTAGATAGAGTAGATTACTATCTACTAAAATCATAGCATCCAAAAGGATTCCTACTCAAACTTACTTACAAATTAAACATGTACATATCATTTAAATTTTAGCTAAGTTAACTATTTAATTGAAAAGAATCAATCTTTCCTATTCCGTATTAGTCTTGAGAATGCATAAATATTATAAAACTTTTTTTATTAAAATGTGCTACTTTATTCTTTTTAAATTTTTTTTTATTAATTTAACAATTATCATCAAAATTTTTGTCAGATATAAATAATATTATTGATCAAAAAGGTAAAAATTAAAAGTGTCTACATTAATTGCAAAATAAGATATCTACATTAATTATTTCATCACTAATTAATTAACTGTAGATGCAAATTTTACTTTTTCTAAAATTTTTGTGTCTCAATCTAAATATTGATCGAGAAATAAAAAGATATTAAATTTATTATTAGGTATTTTAATGAGTCAAATTTACATTACAAATGAGAACAAATAAAACAAATATTTATAAATAATCGATCAGCCAGTCACTTTTTCTAAATTTAAAGATAAAATTATGATACTATGAAAAGTGTCTACTTAATTAGTTTAATTATATTTTTATGCAGAGAAATAAAAATAATTTTATTAATCATTGATTCATTTTTAACTTTTATCTATTTCATTATTAATTTAATTTGATTAAGTTAAATAATCAATCATTTCTTAAGGAGAAATATGCTTTTTACTAAGAACTTCTATTGTTTTTGACAATGGAGTGACTCCATTGCTTCTTCTTTTCCAATTCACCTTAAATGAATATTTTATTTCCATTTCTATGTTTGAAATTTCATCTTTCATAAATTCTCCGATTTCTTCATCTTTTGAAATCACATTTGAATACTTTCTAACAATTTTTTAATGCTTTTAGCTATCATTAGCATTAGAGAATTGAATTTATTCAGTGGAAGCAGATTTATTTTCAAATAAATTTTCTTCTGAAAATCCCTCAGTTTTAAAATTATCTTAATTAACTTAGTACTCATTCATTTAATCAACTTTTTATGATCCTTCATTTTAACTTAAATCTATTTCTGAAGAAGATTTATTAAACTTTTATGCCTTTGAGTTGATAAAAGTATTTTCTATTTTTAATGAACTAATCTCTTTTTTATTTTAAATCTTTTTCATAGAATAGCTATCAGGTTCTTATAAAAAAAATTCATCTTTCCCTAAATAAAAAAAAATAAAAATAAATACTTTTTCTCTTAATTTAAAAAATTATTTTAAAATTAATTATTATTTTGATATTTAAAATTTTTTATTTAATAATTACTAATAGTTTATTATGTATTCGGATTTGTGCTCCATGATTCCTTGCAGTTTTCTTAATAATTCGATTCATCAAAGCTCTCCTCGTATATTATATTTTCTTCATAATCATCAATACTACTAAGTAAATCATTATCATTTTATCTATTCTAAGTAGTATTAATTTAAGTATGATTAACTATACTATTGCATATCTTTTCAACTTAATTATTTCTTTCTTCTCTTAAGATTTTTCTTCGATATTGCTTTTCCTTATAATGTCTCCTAAGGTCTTCATCATCAACAAATAACTCATTTTGATCAATAAAATTTTAAATGTTTTTTTTAGGCTCCCATGTATAATCTAGAGGCCATTCTAAATAAAATAAATAAAATATTTTTTATTTTAATTTTTAAATATAATTTTTTTATACATTTCCACTGGACTAAATATTCTATTTTCCCATTCTTAGGATTTGCCCTTTTATCTAATATGGCCAGGATTTCAAATTTTTAGGAAGGTTGATGATAATATTTGTTATTCATTTTATTTTTTAGTAGAACTTAATATATTTAGAAATTCTTTATTAATAATTTTAGATTATATTAGATTATTAATGATTCTTTTGTATAATTTCAAAAATAGATAAAATGATAATAAATATTGAAAAATAAAATTATTAGAATGGTTTTTGTAAATTATACATAAAATTAGGTTGAAAATATTTGATTGAGAGCATAAAAAAACAAATAATCTTCTAAAATAGCAAATTTATAATTTAAAAAAATAAAGCAAGCTAGTAAGCAAACAAATAGATGAAATAATATTATAATTATAAATAATTTATTAAAGTTCGAGAATATTTTATATATAGTGTATTACAAATCATTAATTTTATTTTATAGATTTTTGTTTTCAATTAAGAAATTTATTTTATAGGATTTAATCAATGAATTCTTATGGCGTTATTGTAATTTTTTTTACAAATTAGACTTATTTATTTAGAGGAATGTTTCCATCTTTTCTCGGTTTCCAATTAATACTATAAGTAAACATAAAGTTTGCTTCTATATCTTATATTTAATCTGTTAAAAAATCACCTTCATCTATATCATTTTAAAATTGTTGATTCCTATTAAAATTATTTTTACTTTTTTCAAGATTTTCTTGATCCATTACCTTTTTAAATTAATTTTCTTCTTATTTTTGATCTTTTTCTATTTATAAATTTTCATTTTGTATACTTTATATACTGGTTTCTAATAACTATTTAGAGTTTAGTTCAGTGCTCTCTTAAATTATTTGTTTTTCATATTCTAAAATTTCATCTTCATAGCCAATCAGCTTTTCTTACTTCACCCATTAAGGTAATTTTTCATCTAAAATTATTAAACAATAAATTCAATAAATAATTCAAAAATAAATATTACCATAAAAGAGAATAAGATAATAAATAGTATTTTCAACTTCTTATTTGTCTAATATTTTATAGATTGGCTCAATTTAAACGTTATTCATCATATTGGTATTTTCTTCATTTTCAATTTACTCTGGTTCAATTTCGCTTATTTTATCAGGAATTAATTTTTTTTACTCTGTCTCTGAATCTGAAATAAAAAGCTCGTATTTATTTTAAAGAAATTAAATTTATTCATCTAAATATTGCAAGCTATCATTTAGCTTCTAAGTTTGATTATTTGCTTGTTCAGACCTCTTCACTTTGTCTTCAATTTTTTACAATTTTCTTTGCTTCAAGTTAGAATGTGAATCATCTTCCTTTTTCTTTTAATTATTGTTATTTAAAAAGCTTTAGATATTTTAAGCTGGCTCCCATGTTGGATCATCTGGCCATTCTAAATTAAATTTATTTTAAATAATAAATACTTGAATTTTTAATATAAAATATACATTTCCATTAAACTAAAAATTCTGTTTTTCCTGTTTTAGGATGAATTCTCTTTTCCAAAATGCTCTCAATCTCAAAAATATAAGGAGAGTATTCTAAATTTGTTTATTATTGTTCCATTTATTTAAAGTGATTCAAAAATATTTAATAGGTTATACTAATTTTAATTATATAATTTAATATCTAAAATCAATATAAACCACTCACATGTCATGCATATGCATGAGTGCATGCCCTCTAAAAATTAACTTAACTTTAAAAAATAATTAAATTTTTACTCTTATAATGTTAAACCTATATGCTAATTTTTTGAAATTTTATTAAAATTTTTAAAACTTAAAAATTACTTTAAAAATTCAGCATTTTTTTTTAACTTTATTTAATCAATTTAATTTAAACAAAAATTAACAAAAAAAAAGTGTTTGCTTATAAAAATATTTTGAGTAATTTTAACTAAAAAAAGTAAACATAATTATACAAATTTTAGTTTTACATAGATAATTATTTATCTAATTTTAATATTTAGTTAAGATTTTTATCTAAATAATAATCAGTTTATTCAATCTGAATTCTTTTTAAGCTTATGGTGATTCTTTTTGTGGTGCTTTTTATGGCTGGTAGTAGCACTTTCTTATTCATCAAAGCTTTTCTTGTTTTCAAAAAGGAATAATTAAACATCATCAGAACAAGGAATGCTCTAATCGTAGTAGTATTTTTCACCCTTGTAATTATCTTCTTCATAAATTACTACATATTAACCATCTGGGATTTTGAGAGATTTGTAAGGACGCCAGTTAAAGTCAGGATTGTTAGAACAAACTGATACTGAATTACCACTATAGTAGCACTCAGTATAAAGAATAGGACATCCAGCTGCTTATTCAGTAGGTTATGTAGAAGATGGAGTACCTTAATTGTTTCCACTTGATCCTGATGAACCAGATGAACCACTTGATCCTGATGAACCAGATGAACCACTTGATCCAGATGAACCACTTGATCCTGATGAACCAGATGAACCACTTGATCCTGATGAACCAGATGAACCACTTGATCCTGATGATCCAGATGAACCACTTGATCCTGATGAACCACTTGATCCTGATGAACCACTTGATCCTGATGATCCAGATGAACCACTTGATCCTGATGATCCAGATGAACCACTTGATCCTGATGATCCAGAAGAAGTATTAGAACTGCTTCCACTTGATCCTGATGAGCTTGAACTTGATGATGAGCTAGATGAGGAGCTTGAGCTTGAACTTGATGATGAGCTAGATGAACTAGATGAGGAGCTTGAGCTTGATGAACTAGAGGATGAAGAGTTAGAGCTAGAACTAGATGATGATGAGGATGAGGGTGATGAGGGAGTAGTAGCAGGGTTATTAGCAAGACCAGTCTATTTAACCCAAGAAATAACATCAGAGCTAGCTTTCAAAGAACCCTTTCTAAGTTAGTAACCATATCCTTAAATATAACCTACAGAGTTATCACCTGCATCAATTTCAATACTTTGCTATTTATTTTATTAAAAAGTTAACCAAAATGATTGAAAGTAAAATCTTTTACATATGTAACACCAACACATTCAGCTGATTAGTTACAATAATATTAAGCTTCCTTTAACGAAGCATAGTCTTTGCATTTATTGACACAAGTACTAAGAGTATAACCTCTCTTTTCATCGTAGTATTGATTCTTGGCTGAGGTATCTATAAAATATAAGTAATTTAGGCATAAATTAAAAATTTTTAATTTTTTAAAAGTAATTAATTAGAAATTAACTTTAAAAGTTAACAAAATAAAGGCTTAATTAATAAATATTTGTTAAAATATTTTTTCTTATAAAAGTAAAATCTTTTTAAAATCTTATAAAAAATTATATTATTAAGTTAATGAATATACATTCAGTGTTTAAGTATTATGAAACGAAGAAGCTGAGTGCATAGTCACTAGCAGACATTTATTATAATTTGTAAGGTGCCCAGTTGCTTCCATCACTTAATAAAGTAATAGATGCATCTCCATTTCCATTCTTTTAAGCTTATTAAGCAGCATTTAACCAATTATTATAAGTAGTACAAGAACTTTCAACACAATTTTTCTTAATTGTGTAATCAAAAATAGGACCACCATACATAACATTGTTAACTGTTGAGATAAATATGATGTTATAAATTGAGCTAATATTAAAATGAGTATTTACTGTTGCAAAATTAAGTTCCTTTCAAAAATGTATATCCTTATTAGTTATACTTATAATTAACTTAAAGATCACCTTTTCTCAATTACCAACCACTTTTTATTTATTTAACAAAGTATTTGTAAAAAATATGGATTAAATCATGCATTTTATTATAATTTTCTTTTTTAAATGTGTTTAAATTGAATTCAATTGTTGATATATGTGGGGACTGCCATATTTTATAATTAAATTTACCTAAGAGCATTAGGGCCTAATGAGTTGCTACCACCATTAGATTTAAATTCATTAGAAACACCATCACAAAGCTTATTTTAATCACATGCTTCTGCGGCAGCATCAAGAGTTGGATAATCTCTGCAACCATCAACACAAGATGCCAAAACACCTTTTTTCATTACTGAATAATCATTCCAGCAACGAGTCTGTGCATAACTTGCTACCATAAGGCATGCAAATAATACTATTAATTTTCCTTGCATATTAACAAACAACAAGCAAAAGTCTTATATTTTATCCGGTTTTTTAATTAATTGTTTGAAAATCAATTGTTTATTAACAAATAATTTTTTCCTTCTTAATAAAATTAAGAATTGCTTAATTTTAAAATTAAAAACGAATGTAAAAACGATATTTTAGTACATATATTAATATATAATTTCTAATTCACATCTTATAATATTTTTTATATTAAAAAATTGTTAAAAATTAAAACATGATTTTTTTTCAATCAAAACAAATGAGTTAATAACACTCTCTTACCTTGAACATTGCTAAACCTATATTTATAGAGGAATTAATCTTTTAAACAATAAAATATTAATTTAAATCATTTAATTAAGATTAGCTTTAAATCATTTTTTTTACAAAATAATTTTGAATAAAATAATAAAAAATTCTAATTATATTTAATTAAAAAAGTAATTTTTACTCTTTATTTACATCATTATCTAATTACAATTATTTCAAATAATAAAATTTAAATTACGATTCATAAATATTAATATAATTTAATTTAATTAAATTTTTAATTTTGCTAATTTTTATTAATCAATCTAAAAATATTGATTTATTTAAAATTAATTTTTTCAGCTAGTATTTTATCAGGTATAAAGATTTAAAATACAGCTTTTAATAATAAATAAGTTAAATTTTAAATCTAAAACATTAATTTTAAATAAAATTAATTGCTATTCAAATTTCTAATAATTTTATGTTTTTTAAATAAGTTCTTTGATTTTTAATTTACAAACATTTAAGAAAAGTAAATTAAAAAAAATAAAAATAAATTAATTTTTTTATAAATTCTTTGATTAAATTATTTAATGTTGCTTATTATACAACAATTTTTAAAATGAAGAAATATTATTTTTTTAAGTAAAATTTATCAAATATTGAAAATTTATTCAATCAAAATAAAAATTTATTTGTTTTATAATTTTAAATCATTATAAAATCATAAGATTATTTCAAGATTTGTAATATAAAATTTTAATTTAGATTATTCAATTTGATTTTTTTGTTAAAAAAATATCATTATAATTTTTATAAAAACTATAATATTTTTTTAAATATTTTAGTTTCAAATATTCTTGATTTTGTGAAGGATTGATTGATTAATTGTATGTATGTCAATAATTATGTCATTTTTGTATATTATTCGATAGGTATTTCTTTTATACTTTTATAGATGAAAAGAATAGAGATATAAGAAAAGCCAATCAAATTTAATTGAGTGAATATTTGATTGAGTAAGTAAAAATAAATTATTAATAAAAAATTACATCTTTGAAATATACTTCATTCATTTATTGATTAAATATTTAAAATCTTAAATTTCCTTAATATACTAATAGGCAAATAATAAGCAAGTAAAAGAAAAAGGAACTATAAGTGTAAAATATAAATCTATAGCTGCACCATAAAAACCATAAAAATAAATAAATAGCTTAACAGATATAAAAATGTTTTAAAACTATTTAGAATATAAGCAACGATTTAAGCAGATAAACTAAAGTCCTAGTAGCAGCGAGGAATATGATTTATGCATAAATTCTAGTAATACTAGTGTCTCAATATTTGTCTTGATGATAATATCAGTAGTTCTCATTTCAACCTTTTCATTTTCTGCTATTCTCTTTTTATATAAATAGAGGTATAAATACCCTATTGCTGAAAGATCTTATATGCTTAGTATGCTTATGTGCATATCATTTTTCGGTTTGTCAATGTACTATCCTACAGTGTATATTCTAATTCATGAATCTACAATAAATGAAGATATTTTGTATGTTTTGAAATGGATATATATTTGGAGCATGTTCTCACTCTATTTTGGTTATTTTGCAAGATCATTAAGAATTTATTCTGCTTTTACTAATTTATTTACTTGCTGTATTGATAGTTAACATCTTGAGGATTCGCTGATTAGACCAAACTCTACTTTTCAGTATAAACCTCCTTCAAAAATAGTTAAATTTTTCGCTAACATACTAAGAAATGAACTATTAGTAACTATTATAGTATTTATTGTATCTATTTTAACATGCCTACCACTTGTTTGGAATAGAAATGGCTACTATATTCCAATTTAAAATTTTGATTATTACAGCTAAGGAAGGGATAGAGATTTTGCGACGATGTTTATATATTTATCAGTTTCTTTCTTTTTTATGCTATAATTACACTTGTTAAGAAATGTACCTAAGCACTATAGATTTTACTAAGAATCTCTATGGAATCTTGGTACTAATTGGCTTAAAGCAACTGTTTTATTTGCAATAAACGTGAGTAGATATGATGATAAATGGTGTGATAATACTTACCTTATAAATATAATTTTAGATTATTTTTAATATCTTTTCATGATAATAGTATCTGTAATTCCAGCATTGTTTAGATCTATGTATATAGCAGAAAAAACCCCATATCCAATTTTAGATAAATTTTATGATTTTATTGAAGATGAAGGAGATCACAATAAAATGTATTGCAACATTTCTTTTATCTATTTTTTGAATTAAAAAGATTAGCAAATCAATAAACAAACAGCACAATAATAAAGAATGAACTTAAATATATATGATTTTTATAAGAGATTCAAAACAATTTAAATTTAGATTGATTCCAGCAAATAAAATTAAAAGCTATATGAGCTATCTAACGAATTCATACTTAATCCTTCTCATCAAATCAAGAGATTGATTTTACCATAAGGATAAGCAGCTACCTAATTATAAAATTTCAGAAACAAATATGCTAATTATGAATATAGTCAAGAAAACTAAAATGAAGAGCTCTTTATGGATTTAGAAAATATTCTTGGCATTTGCACCTAATATTTGATTAGAATGTTTGAGGAATATAAACTATCGATGGCTTTTAATTACTTAGTTCACTATTATAAATAATAATAGATTTATCAAGTTAATTTGTCTTATTTCTAGTTAAATCACAGTAATTGAAATAATTAATTAATACTCATAATACATTAATTCTAAAAAAAAAAAAAAATATATATATATATATATAGCTAATTTATATCAAAATAATAAATAAATACATTAACTTTCCCAATGAAATTTAATTAAAACTTTATACTATTTTATATTTCAATTAGAATTTATTTTATATTATTATTTTTCAATTAAAAAATAATAAGTTTATTTTATTATATTTAATAATTTATGCATTATTTAAACAAGTAAAATATAAATAAGGAAATCCTTATTTTTTTGAGAATCTAACTACAAAGGAATTACCAATTTTTTAACAATTTTCCTTCAAACCTAAGAGTTTATTATTGTATTTATATATTAAGGTAAAAGTATGCTAAGCACTAAAAAAATTTAAATCTAGAGCATAGTCAATAGTAGGTACTTGAAATAAATGATTATATAAAGAAGTAGTTAATTATAGTTTTGATTTATTAATCAGTTGATAAACTTGTTTTTTATTTTTTATAATAAAAATAAACAAAATTTTATTTAATCTTTTGTTTTCATATTTAATATATCATACAAATACACAAATGATAAGAAAATACAGATAAATTTATTTTATTTTATTTTATTTAATTAATCTAACTACAAAAATACAAAAATTTTAATTTTTTAAGAAAAGAGCAGTAATTAATGAAAGGTTATTAAAAGACTTTTCAAAATCACTAACTAATGTAGAATTAATACTATTAGATATTTTAATTTTACGTAAATAGAGCTTAATTAAATATATAAACTGAGCTAGTTATATAAAAAGAAGTTTAAAACCCAAGTAAGCTTCATGCAAGCAAGAAAAAAATGTATATACAATAAGTAAGGCAGTTATATAAAGAGAAGATTTAAAAACCAACTATGCTACAAACAAACTAGAAAAAAATTTATAGATGTTTCAATCAATCTCAATCTGACAAAATGAATTAAATAATACTTTCGAAAAATCCTTATAACATTGAAACAGGAAATGATAGTACACTGTAAAAATCATTTAGTTAGGAGTAGCTTTCTTCTTAATTGATTAGCTAATTAGAAACTACAATAGGATTATATTCGATCTCATTTATATTTTAAATTTAATATAAATAAAATTCATAATTTATTAATTTATATTTCAAAATTTTAAAGTAATATCCATCTACTAATTCCTCATTATAGTTTTCTACTTTTTTTTAAAAGAATTAGACTTAAATATTAGCTTTTAATGTTGTATAAACCCCAGTCCTCTCTAAATACTCTTTGATATTTTATTCATTTAATCCTTAAGGAGAAAATGTTTTAGTTTGGTTAATATATTTAGAGTTGTATTGCTAATCTTCTGATTGATTTTTTTGATTATTAATGAAATTTTCATTTCTGTTATTTCCTATAATTAGCTAGCTTTCTATAAATTCTTGCTATTATATAGGATTTTCTTCTTCAAATTAGCTTAGTTTTACTCTTGAAACGCTGTGTCTTTACTTATTCATATTAGTTGAAGTGTGATTATTAAAACCGTCTAGTTATTGTTAAAATATCTACTTTGATTTACTTCCTTACTTTTAAGATAATTCCTCTTAAAGCATTTATTTAGTGATTAGTTATTACTACTTTTAATTTTCTTCTTTTAAATCTTTTAACTCAAACAAAATGTCATTATTTTCTTTACTTTACTGTTGAATCAAGCTAGAAATTTTTTGTAAACGTGCACTTTATCTTTAATCAATCAAAGCTAACATTTTATCTAATTCTTCTTTAAAATCATATCTCACAACTTAATATAAAGGGTCTAAGCGAACTCCCTCAAGTTCATTTTGCTTAGCTTCTATCTACTTTTAGTTTCCATTAATTTATATTAATTTTTTTTCTTTCATAGGTAAGTTATTACTTTCTTCGCTTAAATTTGCAAACTAAACTCGCTTTTTACTCTCATTTACTGCCATGTTCTTGAATAAAAACTATATGTTAAATCTATGCTTACTATTATTTAAATATTTGAAGTTAATAATACAAAATTTAGTATATTTTAAGATACGTTTACTATTACTGAAAATAAGTAGATATTTTAATTAAATTTTTAATTTTTAAATTTAAGGAGGATATATACACCAAATTTAAAATAAATTATTCAAAAATAATCGATAATAGAAAAGCTTTAAATATTTCGAATAAGAAAAGTCAGAATAAAAACTAAATCAATTTAAAAAAATAGTTTTCATAATCAAAAATTGAAAAATTAAAATTTACTTTAAATAAAATAATATTTTCCTAATATACTTTTTGTTTATTTATAAAAATTTTAACTTTAAAATAATTAAAATCTAAACTAAATAAATAATATGTAAAAAATAAAAATAATTAAATTCAAAATAGCAAAAAAAAAATCATTAAAATAAGAAATGAAAAACCTTAATAGAATAATTCTAAAAAAAAACTTTAAAAATAATAAAATTAATTCAAATTAATTTTGAAAAACTTAAAAATAAATATCATTAAAATCAAAAACTCAAATAATAACAATAAATAAAATGTTAACAAAATCAAGAATATAAAAAAAATGAAAATAATTAAAATCTAAAATCAACAAAATAATTTAATTTAAGATTTAATAAAATATTTAAAGACTTAATAGAACTATAATATTTTGACCTCAAAATATATTATAACTTTAGAATTTATTTAATGATCGTATAAAAAGTAAAATAAAATAAAATTTAAATTATGTTAGTTCTAATAATAACAATTATTATTATTTAAACCATAAATTAAGTAAAAATATTAATGTAATAAAAAATATTAGTAAAGAAATAGTTTATTACTTTTTACATGAAAATATTCAGTCAATTCTTTATACTGAGCAATTTATTGTTTGTTTATTTTGTTATATTAATTAAGAACTTTTGATAAAAAATTCTATTAAATAAAAGAAGCTAAGACCTATAACTAATTAATTAAAGAGAATAGTAGAATACAGAAATACATTGAATAAGCTATTATTTTTTATTCTACATAACTTATAAGCGAGCATATATTTATCTAGTAAATAAAAGGAACAGATGTCAAATTATCCTACTTCTCCTATTGTAAATAAATATTAGAGCAATATTAACTAAGATGGTTTATAAAACTCAAGTTACAGCAAAAAAATCGGTAGTGATAATCATGAGACATCAGATTAGATTTCGTTTTTTGATCATTAGTTTTAAAAATAAGAAACAATTTACTTTAACAGTAGTAAGAAAGAGCTAATTAATTCATAATACTAAAAATAAAAATTTATTGATAAAAGAATTAGCACTGAAAGTAGCAGCTAGATTTAAAAAATGAATGAGTTATCTTAAACAACTTTTAATTCAATTAACAGAAAAAACTCTTTAAATGCTGAAATCATTAATAAATAAAATAAAACCGATAGAAGTATTTCAGTCAAGTAATTAAATATGAAGGAGTATTTTTCTAAAATTTTAAAAAAACCAAACACAAGTATCAAATCTAATAATTAGTCTAATTTAAGCCCATACTTTCAAAATAGTAAATCAACTTTTTAAAAGCTAGTAAAACCAAACAATTAATTAACTTCAAATATTTTTTAACTTATCGAAAAAAAGCTGAATCGAGTGAAAAAACTGATAGAAAAATGCTGACAAATTATGAAGGATTTATTCCTTAGTAGATGAAGGACAAAAGAATTTAAAATATAAGTAAGAATAAATAGGATAAAAATCTTTTATCTGAGTAAAAAAGCTTGCTTAATCTTGTAGATAAGATAAGCAATTAAAGTAAAGAAATGCAATTCAATGGTAAAGAAGAATTTTTAACTTCTCGATCATACATACCATCTTAAATTCATAACGAAACTATGTTTAGGTATTTATTTTTATTGCTTATTTTTTGTTATAGAGAGTATGTAATTCTTATATTTGTTGTATTAACTATAAAAGATTAAATAAATTAAATGTACTTCCTAGCATATAAACTACGCCATTAAATACAAATAACATAGATTTTAGGAATTACTCTAATTTATCAAGCTTAGAAAACCATAAAGTTAATCTGATTGACTAGAAAATTGGTGAGAAAGAATACTATGATACACCTTTGCTAAGTCCTACTAAGATAAATAGTATTGAGGCTTGCAGGCTATTTAAAGATTAAACTTTATATTAACGTAATTTAGTTTGAATCAGATAAATATTATATACTTTAAATCATTTTAAAGAGTTTACAACAAAGGGAGTTGAGTACAACACTGACTTAGAGCACATTAAAAAATTAGAAAAAACTAAGATAGTCAACCTGTTAGATATAAATTAAATAGATATTAGCAAAGAAGATGCTGCTAAACTTTTATAATCTTTTTAAAGTAGTGCAAATAAATCTAATTTGCATTTACCATTGCATAATAAACACAAAAATGTCACTTCTAGAAAAGATGTTGAAGATTTAGAGCAGTGGTTGAATTATATGACTTTACAAGTGCTATCAAATAAATAATTAGATGGGTCAAGTTTATTCTAAACATTACAGTAAATATTTTGTGCATGTTTGAATGAGCTGATTAGATAAGTTTCTCTTTAATGTCTTGAAAGAGGATCTCTTATTAGAAGAGTTTGGGAATCCTATATTGGTTTGTTTTCAAAGGTAAATATTTAAAAAAAAATTATTTTACTATTTTTTATTCATAAAATCATAAATTATTAATTTGATTTTAACTTAATTAAAAAATTTACTTTTTGATTTATTCGTTCTTTCTTTTTAAAAAATGGATAAATTCAAAATTTAGAAATATTTTTGAATAAAATTCTTATAATTTTTTATAAATTATACTTAAAATGCTTGTTATAAATTTGAGTATAAAATTTTTAACCCTTGAATTTAAAAAAAAAACAAAGTATTCAAAAATGAATTAACTAACTTCTTTTTGTTCAACTTAAAAAATATTTCTAAATAAATTTTTATTTTTTATTATACACATTTATTTTTAAAAAGATAATTTAAGTAAAATCAGAAGAAAGTTCAAAGATTGAAGGATAATCTTTAGCTGAAGCAACAAGACTACACAAAAACTACTAAAATCAAATAAATTAACTATCACATTAGCTAAATGAAACTTAGAAAAATTATGAATAAGCAAAAGAGAAAAACAAAAGATTAAAGTTTCTAAACTAATAATAGAGCGAAAGAGTTAAATTTTTTGAGGGTTAAAGTGTTTTAAAAATTAATGAAATTAATGAATTAAAATATAATATATCTGTCTTATAAAATGAAAATCAAAGAATTTTCAGCTACGTTAAAGAAATGGGAATTTTAGATGATTCCAAGCTGAGAGGAAATAAAATTTAATAAGAATTTTTAGAATCCTTTACTAAATCTCAACAAATGAGCTATTAGAGTGGACTTATTAATTAATTTTCACTTTTTGAGAGAGCTGATAAATCACCTATGAGTAAATTAGAGTTCAAAAATAATAAAATTAAACGCAGTCTCTCTTTAAACTTTGGAGATGATGAATGGCTCTAAGAAAATAAACTAATTAAAGAGAATGAAAAAAGGGAATTATACTACAGATTGAAATCAGATATATGTATTTTAAGTACTAAGAATGATATAAGCAAGTCTGATGAAAACAATAAAGGTGTTGACACATAAGAGTTAAATGAATTTGCATAACAAGATTTACAAAAACTTGATAAATATGTTAAAATATTAAAAAGCCAACTTTATAAATCTAAAAAAACAATATAAACTCTTCAGCAATAATAATAACAAAAAGAAGAAAAAATTAAAACTTCAAGTCGCAGCATACAAAACTCATCTCATCATTCTAAGTAAAAAAGTAATATTAGCGAAAGCTAAAGGCATATCTCTAAATAATCAGTGAATTTATAATTAGTATGCACTATGTGTCAGCAAAAATAGAATGAATAGAATGATTATACTCCTAGTCCAAATCGCCGAAAAGCAAGCAATTTTAATTTTAACAAAGATTCTGAAATGAATTTAATAAATAAGAATAGCTTTTTAGAAACAATTTCACCTTATTCTGAAAAAAAAGAAATTTAAAAAAGGAAGGTAAGTAACACTTCTTAGATTAATTCTACAAAGAGCAACAACATGCAAAGTTTATAACATATATAAGAAGAAGAAAAAGATTTTTTAAATGCTAATTAAGACTAAGATCGTAGTCTAAAAAGTAATGTGTCAAGTTAAAAAATAAAATCAATAATAATCATTGATAAGAGCAGTAAGCAAATATCTAAGGCAAATATTTAGTCAGCGAAGAGCTAATAAAGCCTTATTTTCGATAAAAAGATTAAATGTAATTTTTTAATTTTTTTTTTTGAAATTATTTTAAAAATATTCAATATATTATTAGAAGCTCAATCTGTTATAAGCAATTAAATGATCAAATCTAAATCAAATATTTAGGAATATGAAAATTTCCTTAATGAATTCTACCAAGAAGCTAATTAGTACCTCAATTTAGAGATTAAACAAGAAAAAGAAAGCATAAATACAATAGCTAAAATTCTTGATCAGATTAACTCATAAAATTCAGATACTAATATAAAACAGTTTCTAGAGCATTTTGCTAAAGCTAGAAGTTATTTAAATGAAAAGTTAAAAGAGTCTAAATAATCTTCAATATAAAACAATATCTAAGTACCAGTCATTGAGATAAATTAGATAAATAACAATCTAAAATAAACTCCTAAAAATAATAAACAGACAAAGACTTAAAAAAAGAATGTAATAAATTCAATTTTTTAATAGTTTAAACATTAAATTTTATTTTTTAAAATTAGCCAAATAACTTAAACTTAAATGTAAGTAAAAGTTCACCTCGTAAATCAATCCTATTTACCTAGCCAAATAATATTAGTAGGAGTAATTAATCAAAGAATCAGCCATTATAACAATAATAGTAATCGTAGTAAGTTCTATAGTAAAGCTCTTTTCGAGTGGAATCCTAAAAACTAAATATAGAGTCTGAGGAGATAAATAATATTTAAAATGAAATTAAAAGAGTTCCATCTATTATTGAGGATGTTGAAAATGAGACTTTATAATTAGAAATATAAAAAATAAAAAATACTTTAGAATTTTATCATTAATTAATTTTAGATATTTTAAATCACATCAATATAGAACCACTGCCTGAAGAGTTATAATTAAGGATTAAATTATGGATGCAGTAATATGCAGGTTAAAATGTTAATAATTTTTTATAATAAATAGAGTTTTAACTAAACAACTCAGATAAAAATAAAAAGATGTTAAATTAAAGTTTAGTTTCTAAATCTAATTTTAATATTGATGGTACAAACAATTAAAATTCACATACGAAAAAGGAAAAAAGCTCTTACAACATCGAGTAGCTAAAAAGTCTTCATTCATTTAATAAATTTAATGAAGTCTCAAATAGCCAAAATCACAAAAATAATCATCTAAAAATAATTAGTGATAAAGAACTTAATTTGACAGGCACTGATGATTCGTTGTCTTTTTCTAAGCTACCACAAATAAATTTTTAAAATAGCAGTCCTACAAAGCAAGGAATCAAAACAGTTAGTTCTATAGAATCACCTCATACTAATCAACACAAATAAAAACAAAAATTCTTTAATTATGATGAAAAGAAATAAAAAAGAGGATCAGTTTTGTTTTCATAGAATTAATTTGACTAATATGATAATTTTAATGATTATGAAAGTGGAGGGTAAAATGTTGTGTTATATGCAAAAAAAGGGAAAAAAAAAAGTGATAAAGGTGCTGTTAGTATTAATCAAGAAGCATCCTATAAATTAGTACAGTCAATTGTAGATAAATAAAAAATTAGCTAAATTAAGCCCCATATGTCAAAGTTTAATTTGATTAAATTTATATCTGTAGTTTATCAAGAAAGAATAAGAATAGCTTAAAACTACAACAACATGATCTATACAATAGCATACGATTATCTTCTTAATAAATATGGACTTAAAAGAGTCGCTGAGAAAAAATTGTCATAGTATCTAGAAACTTGTTACTTTTACTAGGATATTCCTAGAGTTAAGCTCTTTGGTAATTTTATGCAACTATATTCTGAAAATGAATGTTTTGATAAAGATGAATTTAATTTCTATATCAGTATCCTAAAGTTAATGGATGAAAAGACCAATACAGGCTTAGGTTTAGTTTAAACCTTCAATGAAAGAATACTATGCAGCTTTGTAAGAAATTAATAAATAAATAAATTAATTAATGAAAATTGTATTTAAATTAATTTTTTTTATTGTTGAATTTTAGGAAAAGGTTATAGAATATATGTAACTAAACTTTTCAAATGATAGCCAAAAAAAAAATGATCAGATACTTAGATAGATTTAATAGATAGCAATAAACGTAGGGAATCAATTATGTAAATAAATTTTTTATTATTTAAATAAAAGCTCATAAAAAATCTGAAGAAGATATTTTGTGTTAATTTTAAATGATTTCAAATACTTTTTAATAGCTTATTTAATTTTTTATAAAAAACTTAATCTAATTAATTAGTTGTTGATATTGACTAAACATTTAAAATTATCGTGTCTCTTTACTAAAATAAAAAAGAAGAAATTGAAAATAATGTAAAAAAACTATTCTATGCAGCAGATGTAATCAATAATTCACTTTTATTTTATGAATTTACAAATTATTTATTAATTAATTAATATTCTACAGCTTGACAAGAATGATTGCATTGAACTTAATGAATTTATTACAATATACCGTTATCTAGAGAGTGAAACATTTAATAGCAATGAAGTTCAAAATTTATTCATCAATTCTGCTGACATGGTAACATGTGAAGGTAAATATTTGTATTTTTTAATTTCTTAAAATTAAAAAGTTAACTTTTATTTTTTCAAATGGTTTTTATAAATTATCATAAGTTTATACGTTTAGTCAAATGTTTTATATTAATTTATTTTTCTTAAAGGGGAAAAAGCTTTTTCTTTAGATAGATTTGCAGCAGTTTGCTTAGATTATTAGCTGTTTTCTCTTTAAAAGTAGTAACAATTTTCTTAAGCCTTTAGCCAACTAGTAACATAAAATTAAATTAAAAAAAATAATTCTTAATAAATTAAATATGTTGATATAGGATTATGTATAATCTATAGAGGATTTAACAAAGAATTTCCACAAAAAATTTAGAGAAATAAAAGCAAGATTATAGTTTGCAAATCAATATACAAGCTAATTTATAGCAATAATAGATTCTATTTGCTAACTTATTCAACCATAAAATATTTAGGATAATGCAAATAAAGACAGTAATATTTTTTATGATTTTTTATTTTTAATAGTTATTTTATACTATCAAAGTGCTTTGGATATCTTATAGGTTGTTGGATGAAGAATCTAAGAGGCTATATTTAGAGTAATAAATTTATTTGTTTTAATTTATATAAACTTTACATTAAAATATAACAGATAGCTATCATTTGATCTTTTATCAGCAGAATTTCATTAGTTGTAGCAAGTATATAGCGAGATAGATTAAAATCTTATTTGAATTAAATTATCAACTAATCTCTCAAATATATTTAAATTATCTTAAATATTGTTACATTTTTATATTAATGTTTCAAGCTTCATTTTTATCTTAATTGATTTATTTGTTTAAATTTATATATTAGATGATAGTTATCCATTTGCAAATTATTTAAATATAAATCAAAAATTCTATGAATGTTTGAAATTTTAAATATGCAGTGTGACTTGATGTCTTTTTATTTACCTGCTAATGACTCATTTTTATTATTTTCAAGTACAATCGAATATTTAAAAAATATTTATAAAATTAAAAAAAAACAATTAATTTAAAATTTTGAAAATATTTATAAGTGTATTTTAAATGAGACAAGTGTAACTTGGAAATCTGAGAATATGGGAGAAAAAATGAATTAAAATTATTTTTATATTTTATTCCCATACATTTAATTAATAATTTTTTACTCATTCATATATTAATTATTGTAAATTTTATTATTATACATTTTTTTTACATAATAAAAAAAGCATATATTTTAGAACAAAATTTGTGAAGATATTTTTGTACACTGTTAGGCTTGTGTGTATTGATAAATTCCTAACATATTACATTTTAAATTTAAGTTTAAAAGTGTATCACCATCTGATAAAAACTTGTAGAAATTGAATTAATACTTTTAATTTTAAATAAATAATAAAAAAATATTTTTAAATTTTTATGCTAAATGAAATGATGCAAAGTAAATAAATGTTCCAGAATGTATCAATGACTATTCAGTAATTTAACAATCTTTTTTTAAATGTAAAATAAATTAGTATTATCTTTAATTAAAATATATGAAATGCTTTTGATGATAATTAAAGCATAATTTAACCTTGCTTTTTATTATTATAAAATTACTTATTCAAAAAATTTAGAATAAATAATTTACATATTATAAAAAATGATAAAAGAAAAAGATGTAAATTAATAAAATGTATCTGTAATTAGTGACTCTGACCTTATATTTTCAATAACACCTGCTTAATAAAAATATAATATCAACGATATCACAAATACATTCGATATAAATTTCATTGATGAAATATAAGAAGATTAACTAAAGCAAAAGAGTAGAAGTTTATTCGATGATGATTGTAAAATAAAAATTGATGATTATATTGACGGGGCTTAAAACAGGAGAGCATTATTTAACACAACTGAGAATTATTTAAAAAGTCGCAGTGATTCTGAAATTTCTTCTCCAAAAATGTTTGAATATAAATAAAAAGAAAACAAATGCTTTTATAATGTAAATCCTGAAAATAAATAAATGCTTCAAAACAATATTTATCAAATTTAAAATGGAAAAAAATAATCTAAAACTATAATCTAGGAATAGCTTGATACTAATTAAAGAGAAATAACTGTTTAAAATGATCCCAATTTAAAAGATTAATCATTTTTTGATAATCTTGATTTATCTATCAACTTGAATAATACTAAAGAATAGCAGCTTCCTGAAAATTTGGGTGAAGGTCTCAATAATCACACTCAATCTCTATTTAAAAATGATTAAAATGATGATAATTAATTTAATAATTAAGAAGGTTAATTATTATAAAAGTAAAATTTAAATTTCTAAAAATTATTTAAAAAAAGACATTCTGATTATAATTTCTAAAATAACTAAAATGAGTAATCAAGTATTCGTATCACATAATCTCATCAATTCGATCATTTAAGTAATTTAACTGGGAGCTAAAAATTTTATGCTGAATGTAAAAATATTCCTAATTTTTATTCTAGTTTTAAAAGAAATCCTCTCTATATGAATAGTAAATTTATGTAAGAAGATGCTGCTAAGAGTTCTTTCACATAAAAAGCCCTTCAACGATCTGGGAGTACAGATAAAGGAAGAATAAATGGGGATGAAGTTACTATAGATTAAAAGCATAGGATAAGTAAAGAACCCTGTTCTGCTAATTTATAAAAAATAGATAACACAAACAAAAGCAATGCTATAAATAGCAAAGCCTACAAAAGCATACAACTTTTACATTTGACTAATAGGTTCATTGATTTGCTCAAAAAGAATTCAAGAGCTATTCTATTTAAACGACTAAAGCCAAATCATTTTAGAATTATAAATGATAAATCTTATGTCTAAATTAAAGATACATTTAGATATAATGATGAAATTCAAAACTACAATTTTAAAAAATCATATTCTGGTTTTAATTTTCTAAACTTTAGTTAAAAAAACAAGTAAGATAAATTCAATGAAAAAGATCATGTCATAAATATCACTGAAAATATATATTTGAAGGGTTTATAGTAATAGCTGATACACATGGGAATGCTAATAAATAAGCTACCAATAATTGCGCCTGATAATAGCCTTCTTTTAATTTGGAATCTAATTATGCTAATTTCAATAGTTATTTTGTTATTTTATATACCAATATAATGCAGCTTCAAAATAATACAAAATTCCCTTATTTAAAATATTGGAATTATGCTGATAGTCATAGATATAATAATTAAATCCAATACAGGTTTCTTCAGAGATGGACAAATAATTTTGTAAAGAACAAAAATTCTAATTGAAATATTTTCATTTTAGCTTTGGTTTAGTTTAATTAGCATATTCTCTTTGCTTTAGTCTAATTAAAACGGTCTATAACTACTCTTTCTAATTAATGTTTTAAGCATACTAAAATTAATAGAAAAATTAGATTACCACTTTTAATTTAAATAAAAGTATTTTATTCAATTCGAAATTTTTAAGCTGATATTTATCATCCTGTTTCTTTCTTCCTCATTAGGGTCTATATTTTACTTTATCTCAGAAAGACAGGTAGATTATTTATTTATTATTTTTTCCTCAATTAATTGTTGAGTAAATTTTGTATTTATATTATAAATTCAGGTATTTTTTAATATTCTATTTCAATAGATCTTTTTTTTTCATTTCAAATTAAAATATTTTTATATAATAAAAAATTTATAGGTAGAAAACGGAGAAAAGCATGCTTGGATCTTAACAAAGCCAATTTAAACATGGTATGATGGATACATTTTTAGTATTTATTTTATGTTTATAACGATGTCAACAGTAGGGTATGGAGATCTAACTCCTTAAAATTAGGCAGAAGTAATTTTTGTTGGATTTACATCAATTTCTTTCAGCTTTTTTTTCGCATATTGTATAAATTCAATTGGTAATATGCTAACTGATATAGCTTAAAGAGAGTAAAACTATAAATAAAGGAAAAAAGATGTTTTACAATATTTAAATAGCAGAGGTATTTCACGTAACCTGCAAACAAAAGTAATGAGACATTTGGAATACTTGCAAAATATAGAAAATTCTTAGTCTCATATTAATTCTTAAGACATAATGAAATACTTTTCTGATAATTTGAGGTTTGAAATTAACAAAGAATTTTTCGGGAAGTAGCTTATTGATAGTAAAGTATTTGGACTTCATTTCACTCATCCTTTTTTAAATACTCTAGCTTAGAGCATGAAAGAAATTACTTTAGCACCAGGAGAGATTTTATACTAAAAAAATTAAAATGATAACAGAATTCTTTTCCTAACTTCTGGTAAAAATAATCATAAAAAATAACTTTAAGATCGTTAAAATATCGAATATATTAAAAATAAAAGGTGATCTTGAACTATTTGAAAAAGAAGTTCAATTGAGAATTGTAAAAAAAGGAGAAATACTAAATTATAGGGGTTTTTTTGGAAATTATTCACATTCAAGCAGTGCAAGAAGTTTAACTATTTCTCACCTTTCATATTGCACATAAGAAGATATAATATAGGTACTGAAGACCTTTCCTTAAGACTATGAGTCTTTTTGCTTTATAAGAGATGAAATGAAACTTTAGAATAAAACTATAGATTCTAAATGTTGTTCATGCTAGAGCTATTCTCATGTTTTTTAAGAATGTCCTTTGATTCTTTACAAGTAAAATTTTATTGAATTCTTTGATAATATTAAATTATATTTTACATCACAGGATTAACAAAGATATTGTAATAAAGAGATGGAATTATTCAAATCATAATGAAAGATAAGAGTTTTAGAGGAAAAAAAATAAATTCAAATCTTTTACTAATATTCAATCTGTTAAAAATAAGCTTAAACTGTAAATTTAATAAACTTTATTATTTTTAGTTTAAAAATAATTTTTTTCCTAATTAAAACTAATTTTAGTATTTTGTAAAACTTTTTTAATAATTCTAAAAAATATTTTGATTAATTAAATTAGGTATAAAGTCAATTTAATAAGTAATTTAGAGGAATATTCTTATTTATAAGGTAATGAGTTAATAGAGTATCTAGAAGATAAAGAATTCTATCAAAATTTACCATCTGTAAAAATCAGTGAAGATGGTATGATTTATTAATAAAGTGATCATACAAATACGGATAGCGATATGTCAGAAGATGAAGAATAAGTTTAGGATTAATTGCAATAGTCACTATAATAACAACAATAACAAATTTTGTAAAACAATTAAATTGTAAATCAAAGTAGCCTTTTACAATCTCCATAAACAAAGCAATTCAGTAAGAATGTTTCGTAACTGAGTAATTAAATGAATTAAACCAGTGCTTTAAAGTAAGATGAAGAAATACTTACAGATACTGATAAAAAATTTACTTTTTAATAAAGCTTAGATTAACAAATGAAATCTAGCTGTATTACTTTTAACAAAAATTAGGATATTAACTAAAATTAAGCAAATGCCCAAAATAACTAATAAAGTAATTTGATAAACCAAATAGAAGGTTCTCAATTAGAAAATTAAAAAAATTAAAGGGAAGAAAGTTATTATTATGTTAATAAAAATTTAATTTACTCTGAATTAGAATAATAAAATCAAGAGGGAATTATCCTTTAAAAATAATCTGAGTAAGGAAACAATAAAAATGAGACAAATAATAATTTTAGACTTTTAGATAATATATTCTAAAAACAAGAATCTATACCAATCAATTATAATCCTAATCCTTTAAGCAGCTTTTAAAAATAAAACTCCTCTAATTCTTCAAATAATTAAAGCATGGTAAAAAATTAGGCTAACTACGGCTAGCAGTAAACTTTATAATAATAGTAACCGTATCAACTCTCTTAGTAAAATACACTAAATATCTCATAAAATGGTTACTCAATTAAACCAAGCAAAAAAAATTATAAAATATAGTTTTGTAAAATAAATTCTTCAGAATTAAGTGAAAAGTAAAAGTAACAAAAATATGTCATTCAAAATTAGGTAAACAATTTAAATAATAAAAATTAAATTTGTTAATAATGTAAAAATCAAATGATTGCTTCAAACTAAGTAACTACCACTCATCTTAGTACAACAAACAGCAAATAAAGTAAAGGAAATTCACAAAAAGTAAATAAAATTCTACAAGAATAGCATAACTAGATCATAGATCAATAAGAATTTCTCTAAAAACACTCAAGTATTATCTCAGAAAGAAAAGATAAAAATGGTTAAGAAAAGGTTGGTAATGATTAAATTTTTTAATTTGATTTTGATCAAATGAAAGAATATTCTAATTATTATCCTCAAAATAATTTCAAAATTGTAATAAAGTCGCTGCAGTAATGTATGAAAAATTTGAGTAGAATTGCTAGACTAAATAAAAAAGCAGGTAAAAAAAGAATTTCTAAGCCAGTCAATCAAAAAATGACAAAATTGAATTTCGATACACCAAAAATGAGTGCTATGAAATAAATCAAAGATTGAATATTAAAGCTAACTTTTAATGATTTTTATTATCAAATATTTAAAACAATATAATGTGTATCAACTTAATTTATTTTGTAATAATTCCTAATAAAATTATTGTTTGTTTATTCATTTATTTATTTATTATCAACTTTAGTTTTTCCAAATTTTTTTAAAAAATTTATTAAAATAAAAATAATTAAGCTTTCAACAAAATTAGATTAAAAAATATAATTTTTTGATTTTATTTTTCCATTAAATTATAAAATAGTTTGTTAGCTATTTAAAGATGATTAGCAGATAAATTACTTAAACTTCATCATGGCAATTTGCCCGAGTTGGTTAAGGGGGACGACTTAAGATCGCCTGGATGTAATCCGCGTGAGTTCGAATCTCACAGTTGCCAATAATTTTTTTTTGCTTAAATATAATAAGCCCTTATTAATAAATAATAAGAGATAAAATTAAAAAATATTAATTGCTAATTTCAAAACCCTAATAAAAATTGCAGGAATTTTTTACTACTACAAAATGAATTACTTACAATATAATTCAATAATTGATGTTCAAATAAATATTCAAATTTAATTCTTATATAAAAATAAAAAAATTGAAAAGACTTATTTATTGTATTTTTTAATTAGATGTAATAAAAAAGATTTTATAAAAACTCACAATAAAACATAAATTTAAAAAAAAAATTTTTTTTCTTGTTAAAAAGAAAATATTTATTGATCAAAATTATTTTTATCTTTGATAATGATAATTGGGTAAATTCCTACTTGATAAACTACCATTTAAAGCAGGTAACTTTAAACCGTTCGAAAAGTCTTTGCTGATAAATGAATCATAATTTCTTCCCCCTTAACTTATGTTTTTAGTACTACCTGAGCGCATAATATCTGATTTCATTAAGCCAATAGCATTCTTACACTAAGATCTTGATACACCAAAAACAAAACCTTTTTATAGTATTCAAAAATAAAATTAATTTATAAGTAATAATGTAATACAAATTTTCCAATAAGTCTTATTAAAGTGGTATTTTTTAATAAATTATAACCTTTTGTGCTCTCTTTTTTTAGATTTTTTGTAGATATCTCATAGGCACCAGGACCAGGGTTAGAACTTAGATGGAGAAGATCTCTACTGCCAGAACCAAAACTTGGACCTCTCAAAGAATTATTACTATCGAAGCTTGATGGAAGAATAGTGTATGGGGCAGAAGGTCTTTCTAAAGTAGATTATTAAAATCTTAACCCTTTAGGGAAAGATACAGAATGAACTGATGTCTGTAAAGTGTGAGCTGAATGATACTCTGATAAGCCATAACCACTCTTTAAATTCTTAGCAGCAGGATTATAATCAAAATTTTTCTTACTGGAAACTATTGATTCATTTAGAGACTTATCCTATTGTGTTTTTTTCTTTTAGCTTTTTGTATCTTCGGTAATACTACTTTCATTTTAAGAATTTACATTGGTATGTTTATGCTCTGATTTATTCTATTTAGCCTCTACTGCCTTTTTGTTTTTTTCTTCATTATTTTGCTTTATTTCATTTTCATTTTCATGTTTTTGTTTATGTTTATTGTCTTCTTAGTGATCTATTTAACTATTTTATTATTGATTTTTATTATGCTATTCTTTGTCCTATTCATGGTGAACTTCTTTTTGTTATTCATGCTCTCTTTACTGTTCTTTTTCAAAATTTTCCTCTCTTTTTTCTTATGAATTATGTTCATTTTATTAATTGTTGTGTTATTCGTTTTGTTTTACTTATTAATGCTTATTTTATTAATCATCATTACTATAACTCTTAGCAGTATAGGTAAGGTATCCTATGACTTCACCAGCATTGCTAATTTCAACTTTTTAGTTCAAATATTCTTTTAGATCAGACAAAAAATGTTATAAATTAATGATTGTCTTTCCAAACAATTCGTTTTAATCATCTTTTTTTTAATAAACATCTACTTCTAGCTATTGATTCTCATTCTACCTAGCAGTTTCAAAAGTAGATTCATCAGACCATTTATATTAGGACTATTATTGTTGAACATAGTTTGTTTGGAATGCTTAGTTATTGTATTTTAAAATGCATTAAAGGTGAATTTACTCATTTTAATTATTATTTTAGTTTTTATCAATAGTAAAAGCAATATGGCTTATTTAAACACTCACAATTTATTTTAAATCATTACTATGATTTTTGTGTTATTGATTATTATTGTTTTCATGGTTTGGAGATTGGTTTTCAGCTTATTCACCATTAGATTATCCAACCTATGTTTATCCGTTATCTTGCATTTAAATTTTTGTCTAAATTTACGTTTAATGCTCTGTGACTACTCCTATCTATTTATTTTGCAGGTATAACTTGTAACTAAAATTAATATTTTTTTTAATAAAAATCAGTAATAATATTCTATAAATAATAAAATATTAAGTTGAAACAATTATCAATAGATTATTTATTAATTATTTAAAATTTTGCACACTTTAGTTATATTTTTTTATTATATGATAAATATTATCTTATACTATGAATTATATTAAATATAAATTACCATGTCTATTACTTACAATTAGATTTTTCATTAATTTTGAAATCATTATGTATAAATCATGTATTTATTTAACCAAAGTTTTATAATAATACTAAAAAAGTTGAAAGCTTTCAAGTAAGTTATGATATTCAAATTTTATAATCAAGTTCTAAATTTTAGTCAAAAATGTTCATAAAACAAAACTATAATTAAAAAATATGTAAAATATTCTTCTTACTTATTTATTTTATTGTATTCTTAACTACCTTTTAATATATTAAAAACAATTAAAAAATCTAATAAAATAAAAATTAATTGTAAGAATGAATAATAAATAATTTAAATTTATCTTCCAAACATTTATTTAATTTCAAAACCTGATTATAATATAAAAATTTTAAAGATTAAACAGTAAGAAGATTTTTGTTTTGTTTTAATTATTATTGTTAGGAGATAATTAAAAATTAATTAGTGAATTTATAAGAAATAATAATTTATTTGATATTAATTATTTGTTTTATATAGACATAAAGATTATTAGTATAATTATAGTTTTATTAAATATTCTCATCTCATATTTTTTTATTTTCATTTTTATTTTTTAAAATTTTTTATAAAAAATTGAATTCTTCATTTTAAAATTGAGATTAAAATTACTTTTTTTAATTTCTTTTTTCTTTGAACAAAATTTTGAGTATCATTCTTATTTATTTAATAAAATAAACTCATTAAAATGATTAAGAAATATATATTTAATTTGTTATTATTTATGCTTAATATCTCCTTTATTCAAGATAATTTTTATAGGTTAAATATTTTAAACTATTATAAATTAGCTACATTTTTATTTTATATTATAGTTTAAAAGTAGATTTTTTACTTTTGTTTGTTAATTTATAATAAATTTATGAAATATCTTATGCTTTTTATTTCTTTTACCTATTCTTAACAATTATAATGAAAAATATTTAAAAAAGCAAATATTAATTTTGATAACTCCTGATATTTAACATAATATTTAAAAATTAATCTCAATTAAATTAGGTAAATGATTTTAATCACTTATTATATTAATAATTTAATAAATATATTTTAACCATAAAATTTTTGTTAAACTAAAAATTAAATTACATTTGATGAAGAAAAAATAGTTAATATAAAAAAAAGAAACATGAATGTTAGATGTCAAAAAATTTAATTATAAAAATAATTAAAAAGAAATGTAAGCTTGATGATGTTTTTCATTCAATTAATTTACAAAATAAAAAAGTAAAAAAATAAGTAATAGATGCTTGCTTAAATATTATATGAATTAATAACAAATAGTAGGAATATTAATACTAAATTGATAAAAACACCACAATTAGTTTTATTATAAGTTGATTTTGTATGGGTGATATTTATTGCTGCATGAAATATTTATATTTTAATTTTACGTTTACATAGCTAAAGATATTGAACCATTAAGTATTAATAAAACAAAAAGTTGAAAAATTAGTTTTAGTTAAATTAAAAATTAATTAATTAATAAATAAATCAATTAAAAAATATTAATAGTTTGAAATGGAAAATTAAGTAGAAATAAATTACTAATAGAATTACTATAAAAAAAGTGTCATAATTATAGGAGCAGGGCCTTGTGGATTGTCCAACTTAAAGTACTTGAATAATAAGGTCAATGTCATTTGCATAGACTGCAAAGAAGATTTAGGTGGATAGTGGTACTTAGATTAATATACAGAAGAAACTCACCCAAATATATAAAGTAATGCTTTTTACAACTAACATGGATTCTTGTAAAGTTCTATGTACGAAAGCTTGATCTGCAACGTACCTAAGTCACTGATGATTTTCAAAGATAGTCCAGCATAGCAAGAATATGATGAATATATGACTTGTTAACAATTTTACTAATATCTTTAAGATTATAGTGCCAAGCATGACATGAAAAAAAATATGCTTTTTAAAACTTATGTTTAGTCTGTTCGTTTAGCAGCCAATTTAAGTGAAGAAGAAAAGTAGCAAGCTGGAATTTAAATAAGCAAGAAATTCTTAGTCAAAATAGTCTCTAGTGATGACTATACTAAAAATTCGAGGTACCTATAAGCAGATTATGTAATTATTGCTAATGGCCATTACTCAGTAATTGACTTTGTTAACTCTAAATAGCTTAATTCATTATTTTATATTTATTTTAAAGGTTCCTAATTATCCATATATTCCAAATAAAGATGTTTTCAAAGCTTAGACTCTCCACACTCATAATTATAGAGAAAATCATATTTAAGATTTCTAGAATAAGCACTTAGTTATTTATGGATGTGGCTTTTCATCTCAAGATATATTTTATATTTTACTTAAAAAAACTCCTGAAAATTAAAGACCTTCAAAAATTACTGTGATTGGTAACGAAAAAATCATAGGCTATTTTAAATAGACTAAAAGCTACTTGCAAGAAATAGAGAGTGGCCTTCTTACATTTTTAAGTCCCTGCATAAAGGAATTTGATTCTGAAAACTCTTTAGTATTATAAGATGACCAAAAAGTAGAAAATATAGATGTATTTATGTATGCAACTGGGTATTAATATACTTTCCCTTTCTTAGATTTTGAAAAAGATAAGTTAATTGACTTGTATTAGAGAAGAGGAATTAATTATAGTTTAGGGCCTTTATATTTAAGAACATTTAGCATCAGAGAGCCTAATTTAATATTTGTTGGTGTAGTTTAATAAGTCCTATCCTCATAGTAAGGGATAGAAAGACAATCTATTTTCGTTTCAAAGGTAATAACAGATGAAATCAAATTACCAACAGAGCAAGAAATGCAACAAGAGTTTGAAAATGATTATTAAGAAGCATTGGCATAATACAAAGACGGTAATTAATATATCAAATTCGCATAAGTTTAAGGTATAGATGAATTCAAATTTTTCAGATAATTAGCTTAACTTTGTGATATTCCAAGTGATGAAGAATATAATAGCTATGTACTAAAGCATTTGTTTCCTCTTTATGTAAATGCGTTTTTAGGAAATTATCCTGACTTGAAATCAAGTGATGTCACTTCTTAATTACCTCCTAATTATTATCCTAAATCTGATCATTTTTGATAAAATTTTTATGATAATTTTATAAATATTAGAGATAAGCTCTAACATTGATTTTATTCTTACTAATGAACATATTTATTTCCGATTTATGATTTATGTTACTTTAACTGTAAATAAAGCTTTTGAAATTAAAATTTTTTTTAAGAATTTTAAAAATAATATGACTCATATTTTAATATAATAAGAAGAGATATTTCAACTCTTTTTTTATAAAATTTAAATTTTCAACAAAAATTATTTAAAATAAATTATTTAATTTTCTATAAATAAATAATCTGTGGTTCTATCACTCTATTATCAACTATATAATATTAAGTAAATAAAGATTAGAAAGAAAATATCTTTAAAAAGTAAATCAAAATAAATAAATAATTAATTCATGCAAAATGACAGATTAAATAGAATAAGATTATAAATCAAAATATGATTAAAAGAGCGTTTTAATAATTGGAGCTGGACCATGTGGATTATCCAACTTGAAATATTTGAATGGTAAAGTTAACGTAATTTGTATTGAATGTAAAGAAGATTTAGGTGGGTAGTGGTGCTAAGAAAAATATACTGAAGAAACTCATCCAAATTTGTAAAATAATGCTTATTACAATTAACATGGAGTTTTATAAAGTTCTATGTATGAAAATTTGATATGTGATGTGCCTAAATCGCTAATGATTTTTAAAGATACCCCAGCAAATTAAGAGTTTGGCGAATTTATGACTTGTTAACAGTTTTACTAATACCTTCAAGATTATAGCTTAAAAAACTGCATTAAAAATAAAATTCTTTTTAAAACTTATGTTTAATCTGTGCGTTTAGCAGCTAATCTGAGCGATGAAGAAAAAAATCAAGTTGGCTTTTAGATCAGTAAAAAATTTTTAGTTTAAATAGTCTCAAACGAAGATTATAATAAAAGTATAAGATTTTTATAAGCAGATTATGTTATTGTTGCTAATGGCCATTTTTCAGTATATTAAATTTATTATCATTAATTTAACAGAATATTTTTAAATAATTTTTTATAAGGTACCTAATTATCCAGATATCCCAAACAAAAACGTATTCAAAGCTTAGACAATGCATACTCATAATTATAGAGTAAATAAAACAAATATCTTTTAAAAAAAACACTTAGTCATTTATGGTTGTGGCATTTCATCTTAAGATATTGTTTATATTTTGCTAAAAAAAACTACAGAAGAAGAAAGGCCTTAAAAAATCACTATGATTGGAAATGAAATGATGATAAATTTCTTTAAATAAACTAAAAGTTATAGAAAAGAAGTCGAAAGCGGTGTTCTAACATTTTTAAGTCCCTACATAAAATAATTTGAGTCTGAAAACTCTTTAGTCTTAGAAAATGGCGACAAAGTAGAAAATATAGATATATTTATGTATGCGACAGGATATTAATATGCTTTCCCTTTCTTAAATTTTTAAAGAGATAAATTAATTGATTTGTATTAGAAGAGAGGTGCTAATTACAGTTTAGGGCCTTTGTATTTAAGAACATTCAGCGTCAGAGAACCAAATCTAATTTTTGTTGGGATACTCTAATAAGTCTTATCAACATAATAAGGAACTGAAAGATAAGCAATTTTAGTTTCTAAAGTAATTTTAGATGAAATTAAATTACCTACATAAGAAGCTATGTAAGAAGATTTTAATAATAATTACTAAGAAGCTTTGAGTCTTTACAACGATGGAAATAAATATATTAAATTCTCTTAACACAAAGGTATCGATGAATTCACATTTTTTAGATAAATTGCAAACCTTTGTGACATTCCAAGTGATGAAGAGTATAATGGATATTTACTTAAAAATTTGCTTCCTCTCTACATAAATGCATTTTTAGGAAATTATCCTGACTTGAAATAAAGTAATGTCAGTTCTCAATTACCTCCTGGCTATTTTCCAAAATCTGGCTAATTTTGAAATATTATTAAAATAAAAGCATCTCAATTTATTTATTTTTATTGTATTTTACATTTTTATTTCAAGTTTTTTTTAATAGCTTAATAACAATTTATTCTTAAATAGAAAGATAAATAAGATAATTGAAGCTGAAATGTAAAATATTCAATTATTTATATGTTTTTAAGTTATTAGCTATATATACCGTGTTTAAAGTGTAAATAACTTATTTGTACCATTTATAAATTGAGAATAAATAAGATGATAAACCTTGGAACATATATATAATATAAGGATAAGATATGAAAGATAAATAAAAGAGTTTATGGTGTATATTAAAATTTCATTTTTCCTAGTCTTAACCTCATCAAATATTGCACATAAAGTATCAGAAATTAACAACATAAAAATTGTGATAAAATATTTAATTGGTAATATAAAAGTAAATTCAAAAAATGGAATAAAATATTGAAAACATTTATAAAAATGGCTATGATAAAAATAGCGTTTTAATTATTGGAAGTGGTCCTTCAGGAATCCTTGCTAGTAAGTATTTATCAAAGAATAATAACATTATTTGTATCGAAAATAGAGAAGACATAGGAGGATAATGGAATTTTGATAAGTACAATGAAGAAAATCATCCCAATTTACAATAAACAGCTTTTTATCATCATTATGGAGTATGGAGTAGTTCTCTCTATGAAAATCTTTAAGCAAACTTACCAAGATTTTAGATGACATTCAAGGGCTTTCCAACTAAGCCAGAGTATTAAGAATTTATGAAAGCAGAAGAATTTTATGAATATCTTTAAGATTATTGTGCCCATCATCAACTTAAAAAATATATGCTTTTCAACACGTTTGTATCATCTGTAAGACTGATAAAAAACTTAAGTGAAGATGAAAAATAGAATAAAGGATAACTATTAACAAAAAGATTTTTAATTGAAATTAAAGATTCAAGCGATTATAGAAAAAATGTGCGTTACTTATAAGCAGACAATGTTATTGTCGCTACAGGTCACTACTCTGTATTTTTATTAAAATTTTATATTATTTTTTCAACTTTTTATTTCTTTTATTATTAGAATAAAACTATCTTTACTGATGAGTAAGATATTTTTTGATGTATCATACAAATAAACTCATTAGATAGATAGAAAATAATATTTTCAGCTAGTTTTCTTAAAAGTTAAAAATATACACTACAATTTTGATAAATATTTTTTATATAATAATATTTTTTGATATATTAAAATATAAAAAATTAAAATGTTTTAAATTAGGTTCCTAATTATCCTAAAATATCAAATTTAGAATTATTCTAAGGCGAAAAATTTCACACCCACTATTTTAGATAAAATTATCTTTAAAAATTCACAAATAAACATCTCGTTATTTATGGTGGGAGCTAATCAGCTTAAGATTTGCTCTGTATTATATTAAAATAGACTGATCGATCTTAGCATCCTTATAAAATAACTTTGATAGCAAATATAGTTATCATAGATAGATTCAAATAATCAGAAGCTTATAAGGAAGAGATAAAAAATAAATAGCTTGCTTTGGCTGTTACTAATGTGAAAGGTTTTGTAAGTGAAAAATCATTAATCTTAGAATCAGGAGAATATGTAGAAAATATTGACATTTTAATGTTTGCATCAGGATATTAGTACTGCTTTCCATTCTTAGAAAACTCAAATGATAACCTTATTGAATTTGTTAAGGAGAACGAAAGAAAAAATTGTTTTGGTCCTTTATATAAAAGATTGTTCTGTGTTAGAGAACCAAATTTAATATTTTTAGGAATGACTTTTAATACTGCAACAATCCAATAAATGTTTGAAAGATAAGTGATTTGTGCTTAAAGGTTTATAGATAAAATAATTAGTTTACCTTCATAAGAAGATATGCTAAAAGATTTTGAATATGATTTCTAAAAATCCCAGTATAACTTCAAAGATGGAAGAGATTTTTTTAAAGTATCTCATTTTACAGGATAAAATGAATATGAGTATTCCAAATAGCTTTGTGAGCTAGCTTAGATGCAATTTGATGAAGAGTTTAATGCATACGTTAAAAATATTTTTGTGCCTATTTCAGAAAAAACTGTGCTAAAAGGTAACTATCCTTGGATGAAACAAGAAAAGATTTCTCATTTAATTCCAGAGTCTTATAGTCCTAAGGAAGATCTATTTTGAATCGAATATATAAAATCATATAAATATAAAAAATCATCATTAGTTTTTAATTAAATATTCATATATTTTGAAATCTGCTTACTATTTTTTTTTTAATTAGAAAATTTTGTTGGTTTAAATTCCAAATTCCAAAAAATGTTGTTGTGTAAAAGATTAAAAAATAGGTGAAAAAAATAACCTTAAAAACTATCAATCATTTACTTAAATTTGTTTTTAATTAATTAATTAATTAAATAATTTAATCAATCAATTTTTATTTGCTTGCATAAAAAATGAATTAAAACAGAGTAGAAGTGTATTAGTAAAATTATAGCCAAAACAGTACTATAATTATAGGAAGCGGGCCTTGCGGAATTCTAGCAACAAAATATTTAAAGGAAAATAATAATGTGATTTGTATAGATAATAGAGAAGATATAGGTGGACAGTGGCACTTTGATAATTAAAATGAAGAAGACTATCCAAATCTCCAATAGAATTCATTTTTTCACCACTACGGAGTTTTACCTAGCTCTCTTTATGAAAATCTCCAAGCAAACATACCAAAGTATCTAATGACTTTTAAGGGATTTCCTTGCAAACAAGAATATTAGGAATTTATGAAAGCTGAGGAGTTCTATTAATATTTGTAAGACTATTGTGCATACCACAATCTTAAGTAATACATGGTTTTCAAAACTTTTGTTTCATCAGTTAAATTAGTCAAGAATTTAAGCACTGAAGAGATAGAGAAAGTAGGTTTTACTTTAAATAAAAAGTTCTTAGTTGAAATAAAGGATGCATAAAATTATAAGGAAAACATAAGATTCCTTCAAGCTGATAACGTCATTGTAGCAACAGGCCATTATTCTGTATAAGTTTATTTTAATTAAATATAAAAGATATTAAATTGAGATATTTTGATAAATTCTTAAGTTTTTGATAAGTAGAATTAAAAGTTTTACTTATAAATTTCTTTTATTATTTTGATTAAAGAATTAATTAAATAAATAAATGATTATCTTAATTTTTAATTAACCTTAAAAATGCAAAAAAATATTAGCTTTTCCATTTTTATGAATTTTTTTAATTAAAATATTTTACTTTCAGATGTCTGAATGAAATGATATACATTTTTTAGTTAATGAATAAAGGAGATTAAAACATTTTATATTGTTAATTAGGTTCCGAATTACCCTAAAATAGGTGATATATCACTTTTTAAGGGAGAATAAATTCACACTCATTACTTCAGATAGAAACATCTCAAAAAATTTACAGACAAACACATTGTGATTTATGGCACAAGTATGTCTGCGCATGATTTGATTTGCATTATATTAAAGTAAACAGAATTGTAGTAGTAGCCAAAAAAAATTACTGTGATAGGAAATCAAATGGCTATTGATAGATTAAAATAATCAGAAGCTTACAAAGAAGAAATAAATTGCTAAAAGCTTTGTCTGTCATCAACCTATATATAAAAAATTGTAGATGAGAAATCTTTAATTTTAGAATCAGGTGAAAAGATTGATGATGTTGACGTCTTATTATATGCCACAGGATATCAATATAGTTTTCCTTTTTTGGAAAACTCTAATGATAATCTTATAGAGTTGGTACCAGAAAATGAAAGAAAAAATAGTTGCGGTCCACTTTATAAAAGAATGTTTAGTGTTAAAGAACCTGATTTAATATTTTTAGGTTTGACTTACAATACAATTTCAATATAGCAAATGTTTGAAAGATAGGCGATAATTGCTTAAAGATTTATAGATAAATTAATAACTTTGCCTTCTAAAGAGGATATGTTAAGAGATTACTAAGAAGATTTCAAGTAATCATAGTCAAAGTTTGTAGATGGAAGAGATTATTTCAAAGTCTGTTATTTTGTTGGATTAAATGAAATAGAATACTCTAAATAGCTTTCTGAATTAGCAGGAATGCAATTAGATGAAGAATTTAACAAATACATAAAGGACTTATATGTTCCTATCTCAATTAATTTCTTGTAAAAGGGCAACTATCCTTGGATGAAGTAATAATAAGTATCTCATTTATTACCAAAAAATTATAGTCCTAATGAGGCATTATTTTGAAAGAATATTTTCTAAAAAGTTGTTAAGGATTATCTAAATATGATTAAAAATTATTAAATAATTAAATGGAATATTTAACTCAACATAATTAAATTTCATAAAATGATTTGTATGGTTTTAAGATGTTTATAATTTATTTACTTAGCTTACAATAATATATGTGAAAATAAAATTTTACTTTAAAGTTTTCAAATAACGAGGTTTTATAAAAGAATAACATAACTTTTTAAAGAAATTATTAATTTATTAAGCCTTATTCAATTAAAAAATATGTAATCTTAAGTAAGCATGCCATTATAAAATTTAAAAAGTTTATCTTAAGGCGAACAAATATTGATGGCTGAAATAATAAATTAGTTATTAAATCGCCAGTAAAGGCACACTAAATTAATTGAAAATTTACTGAAGGAAAAAGAAACCTATTAATTAATTATATGAAACACTGAGATTGATAGATAAATAGACCTTAGTTTTTTATACTAATTTTTTATGTAATTATTTTTAAAGAAACTATGAAATAAATCAATTATCAAATTAATTTAGTTAAAATTTTGAAAAACTACTAAAAAGCCTATTGATTAATTAAATAATTTTTCTAAAAAAAAAAGGATCCAATCAAAACTTAGAATTAAGGCATAATTAAATTAGTTAGAGTCGTAGCATCAAAGTAAGAATAAAGAAAGAAGAAAAAAATTTAATACAAAACTGGAGAAATTAAATTCGCTTAGTTATAAATAATAGTTATCCTAGATGAATCCTGAATCAAACAGATAAGAAAGGTATTTTTCATAGTTAAATATACCAATAAGTTTAGTCAATATTCCTACTGGAAAAGGTAGGAGTAGCTCTAATTTAAATGCTATGATTGATTAAATCGAATAGAATCAAATATTGTCTCCTGTAAACAAAAAAGTACCCTAAAGCGTTTCACTTCCAAAAAAGATAGATAATATTAAAAGGAAAGAAACTAGGACATTTTCAGTAAAAAAAATGGTGATAGAAGGACCTGAGATTAATAGTCAAAACTTAAAACATTCACACTAATATGATATATTAAACTCAAATGCTAGAACTAGCACAAATTTTAAGATGAAAAATGAAGATACAAATCATGCCATATAATAATTTAAGATACTAAGAGATTAGCTATAAAATAATTTTAAAAACTAATTTGAATCGCCAAACAATTCCACTGCATTACCAACTTCCTCAATACGCTTCATATTTAAGGAAAAGGGTAATTAATATATATATATATAATTTATTAATTAACTTTCATGGAATTTTTAACATCAAGAATTTGTTAACTAATTACCAAATAACTTTTATTAATTTTTATTCTTTTTTAATAAGCCACAATCCTATTTTTGAGAAAATAACAATATAAGAATAGTATTTATATAAAAGGGTTTTTTTTTCAATTATTAATATTTTTTTGTATGGTTTTAGTGATGTTATAATATATAATAATATATTTATAATATAAATTAATAAATAAATAATAGAAGAATAGTAGAACGATAGCTAAGAAGAAAAAGAGAAGCCTAAGCTGCAATAATTATAAAATGGGATGAGAAAATCGACTGAAGCAATTAAAAACAGAAGATATCAATCAAATTTAAATTAAGATACTTTAAGTAATGCTTCTAATTTTTGTATCAATGACCAAATGGAAAACAACTTAAAAAAGTCTTTTGCAGAAAAAAATACATCTAAATAATAAATCAATGGACAAAATAACGCTTATGGTCGAAAATGCATATCTTCAAGAGATATATAATTGCCTAATATGCAAAATTCTTTCTAAATATCTTAGTTACAAAGCTAAGATATTTTAAATCCATTAAAGTAGTAGATGTCAAGTTTTATAGGTTCTAAAAATCCAAAAGAAAATAATGGAAAAATTTTTTCATTGAATTGTACTCCATAAAAAAAGATCTACAGTGAAATTGAATAAATGTAAAACTAAAACTAAGGTAACTAATCTACTCAATTATAAACAGCCAAAAATCCATCTGATAATGAACATAAAAAGAATAATGCTGGATCTTCTGCTGCAAATACAGCTTATAAAAATTATTTAAATCGGATTATTTAAAAACAATAGCAATTGTATGATAAACCTAACTAATTTGAATTTTCATCATCAGATGGGACACCTGGATCTAGTACATTAAGAAATTATCATTAGGCTAACAGCTTGAATAGCACTAAATACTTTGATAATACTTAGAAAAAAAGCATTATGCATAACATATTCTTAAAAGATAAAGATTAAGTCAGTTTAGAAGAATTTAGTTTGAGGTCGAAAAAGCAAGAAGCTCCTGACTCTTCTAATGGCAAAATAGAGCTTCCTCCATTAATGTTTCCAGCTTCTAAGAAAGATTTAGATGATTTCTAAAAATTGCAAAATAAGGATGAGTTAAGATTCTCCAGAGAACATAAATAAAACTATCATTATTAAGAAGAATATAAAGGTGCATAAAGCACAAATAATAGCATTGGTTCGCAAGAAGATAAAGCTTAGAGAAAAAAATAGTTCTCAAGTGTTAATAGCCTTTCTTCCTTCTTTAAGCATAAATCAGATTCCTTAAGAATAATGGAATTGGTTTAGGAGAGGAACCAAATAATTTAATAACAAAAGTTAAAGCAGCAGGAAGAAAATTTTTAACACGAAAATAAATAAAACTAGTAATTTGTAGATTTAATTAAGGAAAATATGAATAACAGATTTTCATCACCCTAATCAAATAAATTTTAGAACAAAGGTAGAAAAGCTTAATCTTAAGCTATAATTGTTACAGATGTTTCTGAAATAATTAAACATCGCCAAAATCCTAGTATAACTAACTTACCATTACAAAATCAGGTATCTCCATAAAGAGGATCCTAATAGTTAATATAGATTCCCTCAAAACTATAAAATACTATTACAAATATAGCTATAAATAATAATGGGGATTTCCGATTTTAATCACCTTAAGCCACATTTACTCAATTCAAAATTAAAAAATAAAAAACTGATTTCAATAAAGGATCATTAACTCTAAAATCTATTGGGAGCCATTAAAACTTTGATATAGATAGTGATGAATTAATATCATAACAATAAAAAGCTTAACATGTTGAAACATGTGAAAAGGAGCTTGCCAAAGAAACTAATTTTGTAGATTATTTGCAATAAAAAAAGATTTATATAAGATAAGGTTTAGAATAATTTTTGAGAGATAGGCCTAGAGTTTTTAAAAACATTTTAAGAAATTGTCTTATGGATTAAGAACAATTTGTGTTTTTTATGATGAGCTTTATTTAATTTTGCATAGATGATATGTTTGATGAATTCAAAAAGGAATATTATATAAAATTAGCATAAAACAACAGAGCAAACGATAGAATAAGTCTCATAAACATTCCATGTAATTCAGTTGTTGAGTCAGAGAGTACTCAGTTTAAATTTGGATAAAAAATCCCAGAAGAAATAATGAAATAAGTAATTGATGTAATAGTAAATTGTTTGCAGAAATAATCAAAAGAAATAAAAAAATAATCAAGTATAGAGGAATTTCATATTGATAACGTTGAATAAGAACTATAAAAATAGCCACTTTAATAAAGAAAATCATAAGAAAGCTATAATGGAGAAAATGATGAATAATCGTATATCAAACAAGGTTTGGATAGATTTTTTAAAAAGATTTAGAGTAATGTAGAAAAATATATACTCCCTTAAACGTTGATAGATAAATTAGGAGGATTTGTTAGATTAAGACTGCTCCTAGTTGCTGGTGTAAAGACGTTTAATAACTATATAAATAATGCAAGCAAAATGAGTTACGTTGAAGAAGATGATGATAATTTAATAGACAAGTATCTTATGCCCTTTTTCTGTGCCTTAATAAATGAAGATAGAGAGACTATTTAAATGCAAATCGGTATTTTTAAGCAGTATAAACATTCATTAAGCCACTATGACTTTTTTTCAATTAAAAAAATTTTTTGGGACACCCTTAACACAATTAAGTTGGATCCAAAACTGAGAAACTAAGTAATTTTAAGCTTTGAAAATATTCGTTCTGAATTCTTTGATAATCCATTTGAAAAGAGATTGAAAGAATTAGGACAATCTATGATGAAAAGTTACGAGCTTTGCAATTATTTTAGAAATCCCAATCCAGCTGATAACTAAATTTTTCTTGCCACACTCTTGCCTGTACTTTACAAAAATGTTCCATATTAGAATTTTTATTAAGCAAATTAACAGCGCCTTAAATTCTCTCTTAACGATAGATTTTTCGATCATTTACAAAAATTCTTATTAGAGGAGTTGAAAGAAACAGATAGTAAATCAATTTTAGATCTATAGATTCGTATTTCTAAGTTACGTATAAGAGCAGGTGTTACTTACAATTTCTTTTAAATAATAAATGAAGATTCAGAAACATTCTTTTCTAATATTTTCCCATTCTTATCTAATTGGATATAAAAATACAATTTAACACAAATGGATTCAAAAGCTCAAGATTTCAAATTCTTAGAAATATTTATAAAACTATGTTTAAATAAGCAAGACTACTATTCTCTCATGGATAGCGAGCCTTGTTTGATGCATTATGTTGTAAATGAATTCATGATTTCTTTCTGGATAAAAGGAATATCAGCATATTTCGAAGATAAATAGGTAAGCAAAAGCTAATACATTCATCTAATTAACTTTTTAAGTCAATATTTGCTATTCAAAAAAGAAGAAAATCCTTAAAAATAAAACAAAAATTGAAATATTTTAATTAAACTTAAACAAAATTTAATAATAACCAAATAAATTAAAAGGATTATTTCATCTTTTTAAATTTAACCAAGCTAAATTCTACAAAATAAAATTATTCAAATCCATTAATAAACTCTACGATTTTATATTTAAACTAAATATTTATATAGATAGTTAGCATATAATTAAATTCCATAAAATTAAAATATTATAAAACAAGTCATAACATACATATTTATAAATTAGTATTTTATAAATTTTAATATCAAAAAAGTTATTTTATTTATTTATTTATGAGAAATAAAAATAATAAATTAATTTTTTTTATTAAATTAAAAAATAGTAATTGATTAAACTGATTCACTGATTCTTATCTAAAATATATTTAATTTTTATTAAATTTTAATTCTGAAAATTAGCCTAATAAAAAGATAATTTTTTTTTAAATTAATTTTAATTTAAAACATTAAATGAATTTAAATACAAGAGAATAAATGTATAAAACTCTAATAAGGTAAGTAAGTAAGTAATTAAATAAATAAATATATTTTGTTATAAATTAAAAAAAAAAAATTTAAGAAAATATTGCATTCTTTATAATTAATTAATTTTATTTGTATTTTAAAATTTTTTAAAGATTAGATTGTTTAATAATTATTTTTAGATTTCATAGCTTTTTTTATAAAAATACTTTAAATAAGACTTCCTCTAACTACTCTGTGGCAACTGGTTTTGTAATATAATACTTCATACCTGATTCTTTGGCTTATTTTACTTCGCTTTCTTAAATATATGCAGTACATGCAGATATTATTGTTGGTTTGACTTTTTAATTATTATAAAAATTTATTATTTCTTTAGTTGTTTAGTATCCATTTTTAATTGGCATATCAATATCCATAAAAATTAGTCTATGCTGTTTACAACAGTTAGATTTCTCAAACTTTTCTTACACTTTACTGATTGCTTCAATGCCGCTATTTGCTACTTCAATTATAAAATCATAATTTTTTAGTTTTAATTGTAAGGCATGAAGATTAAACTGGTTGTCATCAACTATCAGAATGTTACTACATCCACAGGTTTTTTTTTAATTTTTTTCTTTTAGTAAGCTTTTAACATTTTTCATTTATTATGTATCTTCTTTTTTTATTGGTTTATTATTATTATTGTTGTTACCATTATTCAAGTCAATTTGGATACTTTTTTAATTGTTATTTTCAATAAAATTATTATTATTAATATTATTATTGTATATATTTTAATCAAGATTGCTAATTGAACTATTTTTAGGGGCCCTTTATAAGTTTTAATTCGAGTTTTAGGAAGGTATAACTTTGCACGATATACCTCCTATTTGTTTCAAACTTGTTATTGACTATTGGTAATTAGTTTTATTAATCTTCAAATTATTTGTTGCATTATTACAGTCTTACTTGTATTAGGATCCTTAGTTATTTAATTTTAAGTTCTCAGCATAATTTGTTAAATCCATTGAATTTTAATTAATTTTTTATATTGAAAAAGATGTCCTTTTATTTATGGTGAAGAATATTAAAAATATAAAATTCAATAGATAATAAAGTTACCTTGTGTTTTTTAGGAAAATTTGGAAATTATTTTGCATTTACTGCAATTCTAAATCTTTGATGCGGACTTGATTGTTAGAATTCTGAGGGTAACAATCTTGCTAACTAAATTATCCTTCAGCTAGGCTTTTTAAACTTAAATCTGTGTTATTATTTTGTAATAATGAAGATTAATAATAATGAGAAAAAAAAGTGGGAATAATAGGTTAATTTGGAATAGAAATATGTTTATGAGAATTCATGTCACTCATAATTTCGCACGAATCTTCTTATATAAGTTAATTATTTATGCTTTATTGTAAAGTTTCATTAGTATTTAAGAACTTACCCGATAATTGTTAGTTTTAGAAAAATAGATTTCTTGGTTTATTTACTTTAAATGGTGATTTAGCTTAAATTTACTAGCTATCATTAATCTCTACTTGAATCTCATTAAAATCTAAATTTTTGTTAGAATTTTCAATGTTGTTACATGAAACTGATAATGAGATTCTATGATTAATTTATTTACAATTTAAATTATTTGTTATTATACCATTAGAATATGCGTGATTGCTTATATCCTCTGATTTATTATATGAAGAATTATAGTTGTCATTCAACGAGATTTGTTCGCTTATTTCTTTAGATTAAAATGATCTCCACTGTGAAAAAGATTAGCTCATAAACTTGTAATTATTTATTTCACAGCCTTTAGATTTTTAAGATCTGTTGACAATGTAAAAACTAAATGTAGAACCTTTTCCTAGCTAGCTCTAAACCTCAATTTTTCTGTTACCTCCTAACCCTTTGGCAATATTGTTTGCAATTGTAAGTCCTAAGCCTACTCCTTCTGTGTTGAGCTTTCTCTACTATTCTTTACTGTTTGAAATACTCCTCTTTTTTGTTGAATCCATGTAAAAATTATAGCTTTGCTATGGAGAATCTTGTCTGTATTTTAAGCCATCAAAAATATTTTTTAGAACTTATTATTCTATCCCACAACCAGTGTCTGATACTGTAACTTTAATTATTTCTGTAGCTGCCTAAGGAGGATTATGTAAAAGAATGCAATCAACATTAATCGAAATACTTCCATACTGAGTAAACTTAATGGCATTGCTAAGCAAGCTAATTACTACTTATTTAACTCGCATTTCATCAGAATGAATAATTTAGGGAATATTTTAGTCAAAATTTAGTTCAATCTAAATTTCTTTAGAGGCAGCTTGGATAATAAAGTAGCTTATACATTCTCTGATTAAATCAATTATGCTGAATGATTTGAAAGTCAATTTGAGTTCTCCCTTTTCAATAAGAGCAAAATCTAAAATATCATTTATCATGCAGAGCAATAGCTAATTAGAATTGAGAGCTGGTTCGATAAACATTTTTTTTTAAATTTCATCAATTGTATCAGATTAATAAAGCAAATCTAATAGTTAAATGCTGCAATTCAGAGGAGTCTTTAGTTCATGAGATACAGATGACAGAATCTTCTTTTTATAATTATTGATTTCATCTTTAGTGTCTTCGTTGTCCAAATCATATCCAAATAAAATATTTTTAATGAATTCTACTATCACTATTATGTTACTAGATGTAAGCTATTATTGCTATTTTGATTCTTCGTACTCTTGTTCTTCATCTTAAATGTTTTACTCAGAATTAATTTCATCAAACTAATTGTTATTATAAGAGCTAATTTCAATATTAGGCTAATTTAGATTAGAGGTATTTGTGGTAGATTACTATTCTTTAATGTAATAAGCTTTAAATTTTATTAATATTTTTTCATTTTATTTGTTTTTCGTTGTTACTATAACTTCATTAGCCTGAATGTGATAATCTATTTTGGTTATCATAAAATTGTCGGTTTACTGAAAACTTTGATAGCTATTGATGCAATCTGCTGCGTTTAAATTGCTTGTATTATCATGTTTTGATTGTTATATACTTTGCCTAGAGTTTTCGTTCTAATATATGTCTTCTTAACTTTTTCCACGCTTAAAAGCAAAAGGCTACAACTTGGAAGGATGCTAAAGAACCTAAGCACTCTTATATATATTTTCGTTTCTATAATTATTTAGATCAGTAATTATTTATACTAATTCTCCAAGAGTGCATAAACCCGAATTTAGCTTTTCTCTGATTTTATTGTTTTTATTTAAGTTGACTTTACTTAGGGAGCTTCCTTTTACAAAAATACTTTTATTAGATGTCAGCAAGTTTGATCTTCTGATATCAGTATCTTGATAAAAGATAGAGTTAGTCTTCTATTGCTATAAATAAATTAAAATATTAATTTATTAATTGTAAAATAGAATGATTAAAATTTTTATATTAATTAAATTTGTTATAATTAATTTTAAATGGATTAATTAAAATTGATATAATTTTAAATGGAATAATTAAAATTGATATAATTGCTGTGAAAAAAAAATTATTTTTTCATAAAGTGATTAAGTTTTTAATTTTATTAATTAATTACTTCAAAATTTTCATTAGATAAGGTGAAAGTAGTTTTCTTCTTACTACTATTTTTATTAAGATTTTTATCTTCTAAATCTGCTAATGATTTTTTTAATTTGTCACTTTATCCATGTTAGAATTCATAATTTTCATAATAATTAGAGTTTATAAATTATTTTATAACTTAGCTGCTATTTTAAATTAACCTAATTGATGGTCCCATTGTAGTAGATCTATTGATTCCACCATCTATCTTGCTTTGCTTTTAGCTATTTACTTTTAGGGCTAAAGAAGAGACATTTTTGTTATCTAAGGAATACAAAAGTAACTATTATTTAATGGATGTTTTTTAAGTATTAACTTTAATAAAATGTTGTGTTATAGTGTTATTTGTATAAATAAGTTCTTTATAAGAATTGAAAATTGCGACTCCAAGAGATATGTTATCAGATACTTCTTCTATTAAGTTAAGTATTTTATTATAAGATTTTTTCTCGTAACCTATAAAAGAGTGAGGAGTAATATTAGTATAATGTAATTAATTGCTTTCTATTAAGCTGGTGTTATTAAGCAAACAATGCTAATTCGGAAATAAATTAATATTATTACTATTCAAACCTATTAATTTATTGAGAGTCTAATCATTTTTAAATCTAATATCATCCTAAAGTAGTTTTTAAATATTCAAAAACTTGGTGTTTATATTAATCTTCTAATTATTATTTTATAGCTTGAATATTTTGCTATTCTAGCATTTACTATCTTCTTCATTTAAACTTTAATTGTTTTCTACATCTTTTTGTTAGCTGTAGCTTTATCCATTCAGTTATAGGATTTCTATAACTCTATGTTTCTGTTTCGTAGTATTTAATTCTATTGGAATGACGAATATAAAAATAGATATTTATGCAAACTAGAGCTATTGTATTAAATCTTATATTTCTAAACATTTCATTGCAATATTGATCCTTAGAAGGATATATAATAATATTAATGCATTAGTACATATGATAAAGATATGATTAAATTGCTTTTTAAACTCTATAAATATTTTTTAAATAGCCAAGCATATCGTAAAGTAAAGGCAGTAATATTTTCCTTAGCTCTAAACAAAGTATTCAGTAATTGCGCAAAGATTTAAAATATAAAAAATGAATAATGCCTATTCTTTCCCTTGCTTGCGAATTAGATAGAATTGAATTAAGTTAGTTAATAAGATGAAAATAATGATAACAAGCATCCAACCTGTTTACTACTACAATTTAGTAACAGAGTATATCTCAAGGATCAAATAAAGTAGAGAGGTAGATATAAAAAGTAACTAAATAAAATATTTTTAGATAAATTAAGATATTTGTTCTACTTTAAAATTCTACATTATAAGGAATTAATTTTTTAATTTCAGTTCTCTATTGCTTCTACTTAATCTAAACAATATTAATTCTTTTTCAGTCTCTATTTAATTTCTTTTTAACAAACATTTGTGGATAAAAAAGTTAACTTTATTTATAAGTGTTAAATAAATTTTCATTATAAATTGTTCGCTTAAAAAAATAATGAAAAAAAATTTATTTCAAACAAAAATGATTATGCTAATAATAATAATGATAGTTTAGTTTATATTTAAATAATTTTATTCTTTAATCACTATTTTCTTATGAACAAATCTAAACTAAAATAAAATAAAATAAAATAAACATAAATTAATTCTTTAACTATAGAAAGTTTTTATCCAAAATAATTTATAATCACTAAATTTAATTTAAATATTTTCTATCTTGTTTCTATAATATATGCAATTTTATTTAAAAGAACACTTCTGAAAGATTTAAAATTTTATTAAGTTCTTTTCCATAAAATTGTGGTATATTTATATTTGCTAAGAATTTCAAAATTTAAATAATTAAAGCAATACAAAAATTTCATTTAATTCACCTTCATTTTAAATAGGGACATTTAATTTATAAAATAAGCATTTGATTTAATTAAGATTAATAGATTGGCTGAATTATTTTTTTAAGAAATTAGAAGTCCAAGGCTATTAATGAAGCTATAGTACGATTTGTTGTAAGAAGCTAAGGCTATTTATTTCTATTGAATGTAAGGATTTTATTGAGTTGGTTAAACTAGTTAGTGAAGTAATAACAATTTTTGTTTAAGAAACATTCAATTAAATATACTTTAAAATTTGGCAGAAAATATTTTGCTATTTTCAAAGGAAGAAAAATAAAATAATAAAAAAATTTTATTAATTATTTAATGGTAATTTATAATTTTGAAAAATTAGACTTAAATAAGAAGTGACTGATTGATCAAAAATATTTGTAAAAATTTATTTAAATTTTAGAATTAAGTTTTTAAGAATTAAATTATTAATATTAATTAATAGTAATATAAATTATACATTATTTAAATAAAAAATTATGTATGTATGGATGGATGAACCTTAATTTTAATGAAATCATTGAAAAAGTAGATATGTTATTATATCTTTAAAAAAAATATTAAAAATTTAATTTATTTGTTTGCTAAATTGTTAGTATTTTGTTACTTTGTGATAATCACTATTTAAATGAGGGGTTTTATAATATTTCTTATCTTAGCTGTTACAGTTTAATATTTTCAAGCTGTTCGTAGAATCTACTGAAGTCAAATTCTGAATTTTTAAAAATGCTATATGGGTTTTGACAAACAAATAAATACTTAAAGATAATTAAAGCATCTTTCTTATCAGTCTCTATAGCTTGCTGCTTGGCAGATTATATTAATTCAGAGAGGGTTTTTTGATAAGCTTGCTTAAAAGTTGAATCATAATCCATTTTTTGGTTTAAAACACCTTAGTAGAGTTTCAAGAATGTAATTTGTTGGGGATTTGATTCCTTTTTGAGAACTTCGTTGACTATTTGAGTTGTTTTTTTTAATAGCTCTTAGTTAAACTTCTTGGCATACCAACAGTCCTAAATTAAAAGCTTCTATGTTTTTAAATAATCAAGAGATAATTAATACTAATCCCAAATAGCTTGACTAAATTCGCTTTTGGGTGAAGTCAACATGGTTATAACTTTGTTGAGATTTATAGTTTAACATTTACTAATAATAAATATAACCCTGTAATATAAATCTTGAGGAATCTTTAATGTTTTTTCATTGTAAGCAAGTATTAATTTCTATATAACAAAGTTGTAAAAGAAGCTAACGTTTCTTTCATATAAAATATACTCGTTTACTTTTAAAATATTTTTTCTCATTTTTTCTGCATCTATTTAATCTTTTATTAATTATTCAGCTTTCTCTTCAAAAGTGTATTTTTCTTCAGATGTTTCTCCAAAGAAGAAGTCAATTGACTTTTAGGTCCCTTTTGATTTTTAGTTTTCAAAACTACTTTAAGACTCAATTTTTAATTCCTACTTTATTTTAGGGGAAATACTAGATTTTGAATCTTAAAAAGTGATTAAGTTTGATGAATTTGCTTTTGTTTTGAACTAAAGTTGTTTCACTTAATATTAAGCTCCACTACGATTTTCGTCCATAATTTCAGTATGATTTTCTTCTGAAGCTACTAAATCATCATTATCATCTTCATCAATTTATTTATTTATTTTCTTTTAATTATTTTTAGCATGATTTGAGTGTCCATTAGTCTTTTTTCTTTCTCTTTCATATTCATCATCTTCTTCTTCTTCTATATGGGCTAAATAATCAACCACAAGATTCTTTTAAATATAGGCTTCATTTTCTAATATAGACTTTTCTAAAAAACCTTCCACTAAATCTCTTTTTCTGAAGCTTTCTTCCATACTTTTGCGAACACCATTAATTAAGTCATCATCAAATATTTCTGACCAGCTAATTCTGTCTTTTTCATAGTACTAAAGCATCTTTTTGATAAGAGATTTAAGTTTGTTTGACCTAATAGGCTCATCAGGAAAGACTAAAGGTTAGTTTTTAATATTTTCAAATAAATTTAATTATGATGAGCCATTCCATGGTGTTTTGCCATATAACATTTCATAAAGTACTATACCAGTGCTCCAAACATCGCATTTTGAAGAAAAAGGCATTTATTCTTAAAGTTCTGGAGCCATATAAAGAGGCGATCCTATAAATGATCTAAGTCTAGCTTCTTCATCTTCGACAACTTTAGAAAAACCAAAATCAGCAAGCTTTACTATCCCATTACTTATAAGTAAATTTGCTGGCTTGATATCTCTATGAATTATTTTATACTTATTTAGTTCTTTAAACCCTTCAACAATATGCTTAAAAATTTTAATTGCTTCTGGTTCGCTAAGTATTTTATTTTCCTTCTTTTTTAAATATGATTTAAGATCTCCATCAACACAATATTCCAAAAACATATACAAATTTGTTTATGTTCTTGAAACACCAAACAACTTCACAACATCTTTTTATTATTAATTTTAAATTATTAGTGATATTCAATTTCATCAATAAAATGAATGTGAAATAGGGTGTTTAAAATATGCAATTAATCTGATTCTACATAGAACTTTTATATTTATACTATTACACGTGCTTAAATCTAACAATAAATAAAAAATTTTACATTTACTATCTATTTTTTAAAGATTTTCAATCTCTCTTTTTATATATTAAATCCTAGATGTAGATGAACATATTTCTTTAATAGGAATTTATTTTGCTGCAATCATTTAATTTTCATCTTATTCTAAGTATCCTCTATATACAGTACCATATGATCCTCTACCTAATTTATGATTCACAAGTATATACTAATCTATTTTTTTAGTTACCCAGTCATCCATTATAGCTTATTGCTTTTTTTATTTGTAGTAATTATGAATATTTTGATGTAATAATTAAAAGTTAATTAAATATATTTGCAAAGTAAATAATTTTTATAAAGCACAAATGATCTTTAAACTTCAATAAAAAAACTAGTAAATATAATAAAAAGATCGAAAAGTAAATTAATGTTTAATATAACGAAATTCATGCTTTTAACTAAATCAAAATTAAAAATTTAGCTAAAATTTCAAATAATTAAGGAAGTTTTCTGTAAGCATTAAATTATTTTAACCATTTATAATCCTAGATATTTAAAAAAATGGAAATCTAACCAAAAAATGTTTAAATAAAATTTAATTATTATTTAACTAATCCAATAAAATTCAACAAATTACTACAAAAAAAATGTAGAATTAAATATTTCAAACAATTTATATTAAATAAAAATCAAATTTAATACAAATGTAAGTTTTTTTTAGTTTGATTTTATAGCTTTATTTATTAGGACTTTAGATTGGATATTTATTTTTTTCAAATTAAGAAATTTTCATTATTTGATTATCTTCACTCATTCAATCAACAAGTATTTGATTTAATAGCTTTATTTTTTAGAACTTTATAGATTGGATATTATTTTTTTCAAATTAAAAAATTTACATTATTTGATTATCTTCAATCAACAGTAAAAAGGTGATCGAATATTTATTAACTTTTTCAATAATTTTACACTTAAAATAAATAAATACTAATAGAAAACTTGTTAAAAATTAATTATTTTTGTTATTAGTATAAAATTCAAGGAATGCGTTTAATGAATGTGGTAAATGTTTTTTATATTAGGTTGCCTAAAAATTTCATTAGCACTATTACTCAAAAACAAATTAATTGGATGGATGAAAGAAAGATATTTTGCTCGAATGAAAAAATTAATAAATTTCTTAGCAATTTAACAAAAAACAAAAAGAATCAGGTACTATTTGTAGAAAAATTAATTAAGTTTTACTAATTCTCACATCAAAGTACTGAAAAGGTTTTGTATTATTAGTTATGAATCCTTAAAAGTCTTCAAAATTAAGAGAAAAGTTTAGAACCATTCATTACATATTTTACATAGAATATGAAAGATTAGAATTTCTCTTTAATTACCCTATTAATCTCCTTAATATGGAATTCGTAAATAGAGAAGTAATACGTTTTTTTTAATCATTTTATTATCTGCATTAATAAATCATATATTATTCTCTTTTGAAGTAAAGATTTGCAATCAAATATTTAAGATGGCTTCGTTTAATTTTATTTTATTTTTTTTGTTTACTTTATTTAAAATGTTAAAAATTATTATGGCTAAACTAGGAGAGTAAAAAGAAATAGAGCATAGTTGTCATGGATTTAGATGAGTTAGAAAAAAGATTAAGTAAAGGCTACAGAGTTTATAAAAAAATAAGAACAACTTTAAATTTAAAGGATGAGTGGGATTTTATAAAACTGAAAATTCTTTTCATGAGATAATACTCTTAGTTGTTTATGGATGACTTCAAACCTGATTTAGGATATTTTTACTTACAGAAAGCAGATGACTATGTAGAAAAAAGAAAAAAGATAAATAGAAGTGCGTAAGAAGATGATGTTAACTTCTACAAATATTTAGTGGAAATAGATAGATCTAACTACTATATTTTGACAAATTAATACAATTTATTATTATAATAATGCGAAACTTATATAGAATGCGCATCAAAATTAGAAGAGTATAAAAAAAAACCAATTAATGTTTTAGTTCCATTTAGGATTTATGTTGGGTGTGGAATGATTTACGAATTTTTCAATTAAGACAACGATCTAGTTGTCAATTCATTCCTCAGAGGTGTTTAAATTATAGAAAAAAATATTGATGATGTTGGGCGATATTTCCTTCAAAATGATCTGCTTATTTATGTCTAGGCATATGTTAAAATAGTAAAATGCAAATTAAGGCTTAGAGATTATGAAAATGCAGAATTATGGGCTCGCTCAATTTTAAATTTTATAGAAACAAATTATTACTTGTTGCGTTTAGAGGCTGATTCCAAAGTAGTAAAAAAAATTAAAAAATTGCATAGTACAGCATTGAAAGAGTAATTAAATTTCAAATAAATAAAAATGAACCCAAAATTAATTTTCAAATATTTAACTAATTTATTTATTTACTTACTTACTTTTAACAGATATATTAAAAAATATTTAATAAATTTTATAGATTGATTGCTGTCATAATTTAAAAGTCTGAGAATAAAAAAAAATAAGATTAGCAGCAACAATAGTAAAAAGAAGAGTCTTAAAATTCTCCAGACGAACCTTCTTAGATATCATAAATAGCACTAGTAAGTCCTCTGCCCTTATCTTCATAGGTTTCAGCTAATATTGCAGAAAAATTTAGGATAATTAAATTATAAAACGGGGCAAGTACAAATAGAAATTATAATAGCCCTGTAAACTATTAATAAGGTGGTGATACATTCAGAAAAAAGGTAGATTAGTATGGTAAATCTAAATTTGAAATAATGGTAAAAGATGAAGATGGTACAGTAGTTTCATAGAGATCCCCTAAAGACACTTTTTCATCAAAAATAGAAGTCCCTTAAATAAATTTTGAAGGGTTTGAAAAAGTTGCAGAATAAGCAGGATAGAATATTGAAGCTATATCAAATTAAGAGAAGATAGAAGATAATCTTTAAAACTAAGACCCTACAACTAAAAACTCAGGATACAGTTAAGTAGATGAGTTTAAAAAATCAATATAATCTAGAGATGAAAAAGATAATGTTGCATAAAAGGATCCTGAAACTCAGAGAAACATCGAAATTATTCCTAAAGGAGATAAACAAAATATAGAAAATGGAGATATAAACAGTGATATGAAAATGAGAGAAAAATAGCAGCAAGCTTTTTTAAAGAACTTAGCATAGAGGCTTGTAGATGAAACAAAACCTAGAAATTCAACAAATTTAAAACCTATATCTCAAATTAAATAGGAAATAGATGATAATTAGGATGGAATGGATCTAATTTAAATCAATTCTTAATTCTTTGATTAAAATAAGTTTTTCAATCTTCCTAAATAATTTCCTACAACTATTCAAAATTTTGATAATGGCTTGGAAATATAAGAAAGCAAAGAAGAGTTAAAATAAGATTTAGAGGAAATAAATCAAGATAAATAAGAAAAAATTATTTCAATTAAAAAAATAACTTCCTAAGTAACAGAATCTGAAGAATCAAACAGCAGCAAAGAAGATATATCATCTCCTCGATCAAGGAGTAACAGTATGTAATCGAATCGATCGAATAATGAATCTTAAACTTCAATTAGAAGATATTCTAGGATGAGCATAAAATCTTTGTAAAACATAGAAGCAGGAGGCTCAGAAAAAAAAATTAGCTCATACACAATAATGACAGGTTAAAAAAAACGTAACTCTTTTCTAGAAGTTCCTAATACTAACTACTCTGAAACTCAAGATAAGAGCTTATCTAATACAAAAAATTTTAATTTCGCATACTAAGAGCATTCGTAGTAAACAAAAAACAAATTTATTTGATTATAAACTTTATTTCATCCAACAAAAAAAATATTTAAGACAAGCAATATTAAGTTTTTTTTTATCTTACAAAATTTTTCTTTTTTTTTTGATGTTTTTATTTTTTTAAAAAACGCTAGAAGTAAAATAAGTTCAAATAGAATGATTCATCTTATACCAGAGAATTAAAGTGAAGATGACTCTCCAATTAAGAAACTGCAAAATCAAAAGTAAGGCTCACTAAACCACATTAAATTTGAGTCACCTAAAGAAAAAAAATCTGAAAACAAAAGCAACTATTAGCAAGGAAATTCACTTAAGAGTATTCCTATAACTCCAACTTCTTTAGTTGACTGCTTTGAGAGCCCAAAATCAAATTTATATCTTCAATCAAGTAAGCAAATAGATATTACACATTTTGCAATAGAATTAGATAAAAATGGGCCATTACCAACAGACTTTTCTAATTAAAAATAATCTCCTAAGTAAGATGCAGAAGATTTAAACAATAATAATTTAAGCAGGATAACTAAGATTAATAGATCAGAAATTATTGACACAACAATAAATTCTGAGAGAAAGTAAAATAAAAAGTAACCATCATTTACAGATTTAAATGAGTCTTAAAATAAATCAATTACCAATAACTTTTAAACATAAAAAATATCTTCATTCAACCATATTGAATAAATCCCTGAGGCTTTTGAAGATGACTCTCCTCATAAATTTACAAAATCAAGAGATCCTACTCCTTAATACTTTTATTAAATAAAATTATCAACTCAATAATCTGCTTTAAATGAAAATATTAAAATTGAAAGCAATAAAGACATCACAATAGACAAAGAAACTCAAAATACTTAATAAAGGGAGCAAACTCCAGCAATATAAAATAATAAAGATGAGTAAAAAAATAATTAGATTTTAGCTTAAGATAGCCCTTAAAGATTTTAAGAGACATAAATTTAAGAAAAAACAGAATAAATAAATAGTTAAGACTCCATTAATAAAGGCTAAGGTGGAGTATAAAATTAATAATAAATTTTGGCATTTAAAGATTAGAAAAGACCTTCATTATTGGTAACTAAATCTTCATACTAATCTCCATTTATTACTCCTAATGCAATTATTTCACCTTAGCTTTAAAATTAAATAAAAGCATCATATTCTGCTTCTTCTTCATTTAATCCTTCACCTGAGTTACACTCTCCTAACTCAGTAGGAGATATTAAGATTGATTTTACAAAAGTATAAAGTATTAATTAAACTGATAGAGACTATACTAATAAATTATCAGATAGTAAAAATTAGACTGATTCCTAGAAAGATGAAACCTAGCCTGCAAGCAATAGATTTAATAGATTAACTAAAGAGTTTAATAAGCAATTATCAAGTGAAAGTAATGAATATTTTGCTAGACATAGAAATTCGTTTTCAATATAACTTTCAGAAAATAATTATACTTAAAATAGCTTACAAAAATTTCCTTATTCTTCAGATAATTAAACACCAGCTAATCATTTCTTGGGTTGTTCAAACTACATTATAAATAATGGCAATAATATTCAAACCCAAGGCTAAAACAATTTATTGATGCCATAAACAAGTAATTAAACTAGAAAAAAATCTATCTTTTCTGATTTAAAAGAGCAGTAGGAATTGTAAAATAAATTAGAAAAAATACAACTTGAAGTAGAAAAAATTGATACCGACAGAAGTAGTGTTAAAGCATTCACTCCAAAGAGGAGTAAGTATGGTCTTTTTTCAGATAAGGATTAAAAATAAACAGAACAGAACAACAAATTTAAAGAATATCTTACAAAAACTGAAAGTAGAGCTAAGTAAGGAAAATAGTGGTATGGTGGAAATTTAAATATATTCTTTAAGAATGAGGGTTTACAAAATAATACTAAACAGTAGCCAGTACAAGTGCAGTAATCTCCTTAAAAAAAGATAGAATATCCTCAGATAAGAATAAAATCAGGTTCAAAGAGCATATCTAAATTAGATGAAAGTGAATAAAGTATTTTCCAATTTTAATAAAAGAAGATCGATTTAGCAGAGTAATCTTTCAAATTAAATCTTGATTACAGACCAAGCATTATAACTCCTTCCAACAATATTCTTACACCATTTTTAGGTTAAAATGATAATTAAAAAGATATAAAATCCTTTACTTAGGGTATAAATTACTAAAATACCAACTAAGTTTATCTAACTCCTGATAATTCTAATTAGCTTAATAAAAATTTAATTAAGTAGGAATAAAAGGCTATGGTTGGATTAGTTTAAACAAACTAAACTAAGATCGAAATTCCTTCAATTAATTTATAAATACCAGAAATCTAAGGAGAAAAAATGTAAATTTAATAAAAGAGCAATCTTGAAGACTAGCTTTAAGCTGAACCTCCTATGATTATATTTTAAAACAAAATTAGTGATTAATCTGCAAACCCAAATTTAAACCATAGAAGATTCTCAAGTAGAGACTAATCAACATTCAAGTAAATTATTTAAGCTAAAGCAAGGAGCAGCATGGTAAATTTAGATGATCTTTAAAAATAAATAATTATATAAACCGACCGTAATCAACTTTCTATAAATACACAACAAAATTAAACCAAGAAAAACTTTTTTTCTTAGCAAATTTCACCAGTTTCTCTTCGTTAATCTTCTCCGAAAACTACTTATTTTCCTTCGTGTAACAGTAATAGCAATCTCAACTCTATAAATAACATTTAATTACAAATACCCTCTCAATATAATTCATCATAAATATCCTTGAAATAAAATTCGACTCCGAAAATATAATAAACTTCTTTATCTCATTAAGTTTCTCCAATTACTGATAGATAAGTTGGAACTTCTAATTTAGTAAGATTTTTTCCAAATTCAAAATCTTAGTAAAGCAGTAAGTTAAATTCTCCTTTTGGAAGGTAACAGAATGAGCAAAAACTTGTAAATGAGGAAGTACCATCAAAGGTTTAGACAAACATTGAAGATTAATAGACTTTTTCAAAAATTAAAAAAATAAACGATGACTAAACTAATTCTTAAGGAAATACTTAAAATGGTTAGTAAAATAAAAAAATAATCAGAATTATGTCTAAATTAAGTAGCAGAGATCTAATGAGTCCAGAAGACATGTATCTCTTTTAGTATAGTAACCCGAAGCAAAATTCTTAAACTGTTAAGAAATATAACTCTGAACTTTAAACTTAAAGCTAATTAACAAAAAGTAACTATCCTGCATTATATGATTCTAAGTAAAATTAGTAAAAGAAATAAATTTAACTGAATGATAATGAAAGAAGGTTTAATAGTTAACCAATAAATGCATAACAGAAATTTATTGGTATTCAAGCTCCTTAACAACTCTAGTAGTATCACAAAATTAATTAAGCGCAGTCCAGTAATTTATTAAATCACTAAACATATTTTAATAAATAATAAATAAATACAAAATATTAGAGTGGAGCAGCAAATAAATCTGAACAAAATAAACCGTAAAATTACCAATAACCATCTGATTCTACTTCCAAGCACAAAAAAGCAAATAGCTAAAGTAATGTAAAGGTTTATAGATTCTAAACAGAAGGGAATAATGAAGAAGCATGGAAAAATATTTTAGCTATTCAATAAGACTTAATTCCAAGACCATCAAACGGTAGTAATCATAGAAGAATAAAAACATAAGCCTCTTCAAGTAAAACATAGACTCCTCACAGATGTAGCACAGAAGAATTTTCTTATGAAAACTTGTAGAATTAGGGTAAATTTTTAGAGTATTGGCAAGGATATACTCAAGTAGATGATGAAGAGCAATTTTAAGATGAAACAACAACTCTCGATGAAGAAAATGTATTTTCAGCGAGAAAATACAGTAAAAGCAATAAAAAGAATGCATCTTGGAATAATTTTGGTATTTTTTCAGACTAAAGACTAGATTCTTCAAATAGCTAAGGGTAAAAAAAGACTTAAGTTAATCAACCTTTTACATTTAGCGATGCTGAATTAGATAGATACATCATTTAAAAAGACATTTAAGAAGTTGTTTATTTATAAGATTACTTTTAAAATTAATATCCTAAAGATTTCATGAATAGCAGAGAGTGCAGACAAAATATTTTTAAAAAAATAACTTTTAAAAAATAATTAAACGAAGAAGATAAAAACATAAAAAATGATTAATATTCTGTGAAACCAATTTAAGTGAATCAATTAAATGACTAAAGTCAGATTAGCGACCAATAGAACTAAAAAGATAAAAGAATCAAACTCAAATATATCAATTCAATTATGTTAGATAATTCAAACAGTAACTGCAAACAGGAAGATACAGACTGCGGTGTATAAGCTGTTTCATCGAAAGATACTAATTATGATATGATCAAATCATTTACTCACAGAAGTAGTAAGCAAAAGAGAAATTCATTTGACTTATAAGATAGAGGGAAAATTAAAAATTATTAAAGTTAAATAATGAACTACACACCTAAATTAAGACAAAAAAAAATATTAAAATACTAATATGAAGGTTTTTCTTAGGCATACTAAGAAAATGAAAAAAAAGATATTTTTTACGAATTGAATAATAAAAACCAAGAAGAGTAATACTAAAAAGAAAACATAGTTTATGAAGACACTTCATCTAACACTCCTAGCAACAGCTCTGAAAGCGAATCACACTTTTTAAATTAGAGTTAAACAATAGAAGAGAAGAGTAATGCAATCATTTAGAAGCAATTTGTTTAATTCTTTGAAGAAAAAGTAAAAAATAAAATAATTAATTTGACTTTATTAAATCTTTTTCATTTAAAAATATGAAAGTGGAAAGAATACAATGATTTACAATGTTCGATTGATTTTTAAAAGTATCCTTAATGGGTAATAAGCACTTAGAGATAGAGTAAAACCACAGCAAACATCATTTTTAGAACAATTAAAGTAAAATTATTTTTAAAAGCAGTTCATTAATTTACAAAAAAAAAAATAGAATTAATTAAGTTTTAGTGTAGAAGAGCTTTTTTTATTTCCTGATAACCTACTTAATAGTAGCGGAAGCTAGCAAAGTTAGAATAGAGATATTGATAAAAGTTCTTTTGAGAATAATGTAAAGTCTATCAGAGAAAAACTTATTGTATAAGTGTGTGATACAAATATTACTAATATTCAAAAAGAAAGTTTTAACTAATTTTAATATTTAACATTTAGAAATAGTATATTGTAAAGTTTGCAAGTCTAAACTAATATAAAAAAAATACCTGTTTAAGATAAGATTACTACTATTTGGCCAATTGTACTTTGTGCACTTTTTGATTATTTGAAAAAAAACTATAAGATATCATTTACAATACCTAGAATCAAAAATTTAATATTTTAAGGAACTTAATGCATAGATAAGTCAATTAAACTTTAAAAGACAAACAAGGTGTAGTTTTTTATAGAATAAAATCATTTAATTCCGTTTGGAATCGATGCTATCAGTGCTTCATTAATTTAGATTATGCTTGATTAATTAGTCAGGTTTCATTTAAAGAAAAGCAGTAAACTGAACGGAAATATACTCTTTTTTGATAAAAATTAACAGAATTACATATAGAATGCAAATAAAGTTAAATAAGCTGTAACAAAAGTACAGCTTTTCTTAATTTTTGATCCACCAATCATCAAGTAATTAATATAAATTTCTATAAAATTAAATAATAATATTTTAATAAAACAGCAAACCTAAGCATAAACGTTCTTTTCTTAGACAAAGATAAAAAATAAAATAAGCCATTTATAGCATTTCTTATCCTGATGAATAAGAAAAAGTTAATAATTTCTATTGGTGGGAAAATGCATTAGGCCGAATTACAAATATGGAAGACTCTGAAGTTTTAATTAATCGATTTAAAGAGAGATTTGTAAACAGTAGATGGAGCTTTTTAAAATTTTTGAGCAGACAAAACGAAAATTAATTTTACTTTGGATGGATAAAAATGTTTTACATACCAGAAAATGGTGAATTTGAATCGATAAATCTATTTTAATAGCAGAGCATAACAAAGAAGTTCTTTTTCTAATTATTTCTCTAAAACTATTCTGATAAGAAAAAAAAAATGAGTAAAATATTTTCATTAAATGACTTCCTCTCTTTATTTGAAGAAAATCAGAAACCAATTATGAGTTTAGAAGAGTATGTCATGGAAATAATATAAGATAAGTAATCCAAATATTAAAATATATTTCTATTATAATGCATGCAGTAAGTTCTATTAAGATTAAAGATAAAAGAGAGTTCATTTTTTCTAGTACTTAATAATCCTTCCTTTGGTTTTTCTAATATTCCAACTATAGTTTCTCATTCATTCAAAGGTAAATCTAGCTATAGGTGTTCATAAATAATTGAAGAACCAAAAGATGAAGAAGAATAAGCAGAAGTTAATTTAAATTAACTAAATAGTTAGAAACCTTAAATATTAGTATAAGATGAAATTCTTACTAACCAGATTGATGAGCAAATTCTAACAAAAAATAGTTTCTTTGAATCCTCTAAAAGTTATTTACCTTGTACATTTGCATCATACATATATTCTCTTATTCATCATTCTTTCCCTTCATAAAATTAGGTAATAAAAAATATTTAATCTTATTTAAAAGTTAAATCAGAGTGTTTTCATATTTATTTTTAATTAAAAATATGAAAAATCATCACAATTTAAATTTAAAATACTTAGTTTCCTTAAATTATTTAGTATTTTTTTGATTGATTGAACTTTCAAAAGGACTTGAAAAAATAATTTATTTTCATTTTAAGTTTATTATTTGAAAAAGTTTGCAAAAATTAAATAAATCATTTTAATTTAATCAAAAAAATTAGGTTAAAAAAAGATATAATTTTTGGTTGTCTTCAGAAAATCAAACTTTAAACATATTTGTAAGGAAAATTAAAAGTGAAAATAATTAGCATTAAAATTAATAAAATTAAAGTTAAGTGCATTTTGATTTAAGTAAGAGTAATAATTTAACTGACATCAATTATTATAGGAGATACATAGAGGATATACCCTTAGAACTCAGTCAGGAGATATCTTTTAAGAACACAAGTAACTCAATAATCATAAATAAAAGCAATATTAGCAATTAAGCTAAAGCAAGCTTTTAATAATATGAAAAGGATAACTTTTAGTCTTAACATTCTCAATAAAATTCAATTATTTAATCTGATTTTAATGAAATTTCACCTAAATCTATTTAAAGAAAGGAAAGTGTTTATTTACAGAAACATCCAAAATTAAATATCCCACAAGAGAAACACGAAATTTAAATATTTATTTATTCATTAAACCAAGAAGTGATAAAATGTGGAAGCACCCAAAAAATTAGCACATTTGATATATTAAATAAGAGATATTAATATATTAAATAAATCTAACTACATTTTTTGAGAATTTATCAGCTAAAATGTTTAAATAAATAGTTTAGATCTCTTATTTCAAATTAGGTAGGTGGTAAACAGAGTTAATGGAAAACATAAAGTTCCATAAATAGTTTAACTCTAAAACCGATACCTTTTGAAATATTTAAATATTAGCTAATCTTAAATAATACAGATGAAATCAAAAAAATTAAGCCTTACTAAGAATATATGTTTTTACATAAAAACTCTGAATTAGGTAAACTCATCGTAAGAGTAACTGTCTATGAAAACCCTCAATAATTGAATTCTCTAAGCTATATCTTGTCTATCTAACAATACAATTATAAAAATAAGCTATGGAAAATTATTTTCAATTCTGAAGATTTGAGAAAATACTTTTAACTAAGCAGTGAATATACTTTTCATTCAGTAAACTCAAAAACCTCTGACTCTCAATTCATAATCAGAACTGAAAAAATTTGTAGAATAGTTATGGATTAAATTATTCTATAAAAGCAGAATATTTACACTTAACCAATTTTTAAATTCTAAATTTAAACGAACAGTTAGCCTTCTCATATTAATTCTTACTTATACCATAAGAACCATTTTATAGAACCTTCTTTTAAAGATTCTGATTCCTAATGCACCTTCTATTTAGAACAATCTGTAAAGTCTACTAGAGTAGTAGCTCATTTCATAATAAAAAGATTTGATCAATACATTATTACAACAATATTAAGAGTAATTAATTAATTAATCAATCTTATTTACCTAAACTTGAAATTAAAATTAATTATTGTTAAATTATTAGCACATCATTGTAGATATATGGATTCTCAAATTATATTTACCACATTCTCAAAGAAGAAGCATTTCTTACTTTTCGACATCTGATCTATCAAACCTTTTATCATCTGATTTTAGACTTGATTGGTTTAACCTTAAAAATAATATTGCTACCAACTCTTATCATGATTTTATGAATGTCTGTCTTGAAAAGTAAATTATTTATTTTTATATTGTTATTCTTAATAATTTATTTATAAATTTAACAATCAGGCAAACAATCCAAAAGAACGCGTTTAGAGATATGATTTCTCAACCATCTAGTATTGTTTTAAAGAAAAGTACAATTAAAGAAGCGCTTTTATTCCAAAAATACACCTAATTGGATGAAATAAAAGAGTAAAGCTAAATATCCGAAGAAACTCCTAATAAAAAATAGCAAAGTGAATAAATTAAATTGATAAAAGAGGGCTTTACAAAATAAAAGCAGCAAAGCTTTTTGAGAAGACTGCAAACAAATAATTTTGAATAAGTAGGAAGATTTTTATAAAAAAACTAACCATTCATATCAAATTTAAAGAAAGTTTCATAAGAAATAAATGAATAATTAATTGATTAAATGAATAATAATATAGCCACTTTATCAAATAAATTCATCGAAATATCTGCATGGGAAGATATTATTTAGCATTTATAAATAGTTTAACAAAACTCTTCAATCTTCATTTAGTTTAAGCTATCAGAAAAGATTTCATTATATGAGTAAAATTTAATTAAAATCTTTAATTAAATAACGTTTAATAATTCAATATTTAGGTTTTTAGATATGAAGCTCACAGTCAACGATAAAGGAAACTTTGTATTTATTGAATACCATCTAATCCCACTTAATGATAAACCTCTTAACTTCATGCAAGCTTTTTCAGAAATCAATTACTCAACTTCCCAAAACTATGACATCCTTATGAGATATAGCTTTTATGACAAGCTTAACTTTTTTTCTAAAAGAGTAAATTTAAAAGAAGCCCTTAACTTATATATTGCTGATGGATTTTACCAATATTAAATGTCTTATATGCATTCTACTTTACACTACAGTGACTTGCTTAATATTTGCAAATACATAACTTACAAGATAACTTCTTAAAGTATAGGTTCTATTGTTTCAATAGATCAAGAATTCAAGTATTTAAATGAATCTATTTTTTCCAAATGACTTTCAAACAATTTTCAATTAATTAAATAAACATTTTCTATCAAAATAAATTACTATTTGTATATATCACAGTGTAAAAGTTTATATTATATAAATACTACCTAAATCTATATAAAATTCTATTAAAATACCAAAAAAATAGAGTTAGTTATTAATATTCTCGATGAATTTTTTATACTTATTATTCTAAGATAAAATAATTAGTAAAATTAAATAAGAATACAAAATTAGCTTAATTAATAACAAAATTTACTATATGTTTCATCATCAAAATTCCATTTTTATAAATATTTTGTAATTTGTTTATTTTATATCAATTTTAAGGTTTAGATATCAAAAAATATAATATAATATAATATATATCCTGTAAATCCTCATTAATTATAGCAATTTGTTTTGAAAAATTTTGATCATTCACTCACTCCATAGTATGAGTATAAACTAAATATTTTTTTTATTTTAGATAAAAAGTTAAAAAATCAATCAAATTTTGAAAATAAGTTGCAATTTTGTAATTTTTATTTAATATAGCAGAAAATATATTTTAGTTTCATTCGTAATGTTCATTTTAATTATATTTGATTATAAATATAATTTTTTAATATTACAAAGTGCTTAAATACCCTATTCAATTAAAACCTGAGGCTTTTCAGGAAAAAAATTACTAGGGAGTGGATCTTAGTAAATGAGGATTTAGGGTATTTTATTACTAAAATAAACTTCAATAAAAAAAATATATTAAATAAGTAATCAATAAATAATACATTAAAAATTGATTTTATCTTAAATTATTTATTTTTTATTTCTATTAATAAAAAAAACAATTAAAGAAATTTTTTTTATCGAGCAACAGCAATAGAATAATAATGTGTTTATGGTATGTTTTAGATAGACTTAGTTAAAAAATACTATTTTTTAAATAATAAAGGAGATTTTACTTGTTTTTGTGCGATTTTATAAAAATACTTATTTAATTTATTTTAACTGTTATTAATGAAAGGTTAAGATATTTGCTTATAAATTACACAAAAGTTTAGTGTTGCTCCATTTAAATTTTTAAAAGTTGATTTTTAAATTTTTTTAGTAGTGTTTAAGAAATTTGAAGTGTTTGATTAAAAAGAAGGTAGATATTCTTTGTATTTTAATATAAAAAAGTTAAATATTTAATTACGATTGATATTTACCAGAATGCTACTAAAATCGAAAGAAAAGGATTTGATAGGATATTTACTCAGGGTAGATATTCAATAAACATGTAGCATAATTGGATTTTCATACCTTAAAATTAAAAAAATAATAGATGCTGTAAATTTAATATCATATTAATTTCATTTTTAATAATTATTATTATAATAGGTTGGTTAAGTAAGTAGCGAAAAAGATAAATTAGCGCTTCTTAACTAAGAAATATATAATTACTATAAATAAGATATGTAAAGTGTCTAGAATATGGAAGATCTCAATTAGATTCATTTACTTAAAAGTGTTTTATTCAATTTTGTTGTGATAATTGGCAGCTTGAAGATTGCTCAATATAATATGAATGATTAAATTTCCTAGTAATTAGTTGAATTATAGAAGCAGTCCTATAGCTATGGAGAGGTTTAAGATAAAATAGAATACTTATTTGCTATGTTAAAATTCATCAAAATAAAATAAAATATTACAAAATTAATTATGGACAGTTCTATTAGCCCATCTGGATCTTCTATACATAATCAAGACCTTAAATTAAAAAGTTTAGATTAAGATATAGAACACAAGCATGTAAATGAAACTATTGAGTTTTTAAGGAGTGAGCTTAAAGACTTTAACTTAGAAAAAAGATTAGTAGTAGATTAATGTATGAGTAATGGAATCTAGCTTATTTATTTTAACATATTTTGTATTAGCTATTTATTAACAAAAAATCAATAAACAAATATTAAATTCTACTTTGCTGAAAATGCAATTCAAATTGGTTTAAGCATTGAATCACTTTTAAAAAGATACTTTCTAGTTGAAGCCATGTATTTAATCCTGTATATTATTATTTAATAAGCTAAGCAAACCCTCAGCTTAGAGCTTATTAAATAAGGACTTTAGTTTATAAAATAGAATTAAGAAACTTTAAATTTAGAGAGCTAAAAACTTGAAAAAATTTCAAAGAAGTTAAGTAAACTTAAAAAAGTTATTCATTAGAAAATATAAGCTGAGTAAACCAAAAATTTAAATTAAATATTTGATTCAAAATAAAACAATTCTAAAAAAGATTTTCTCTAAAAATTTAAAAAGAATGATGTTGAAAAGAATGATTTGTAGCTATTTAATTTAAACAATCCATTTAAAAACAATTAAATTAATATCTCATAAGAAATTCAACCAAATTAAAAGTCGCAGCTTATATAGTCCTTTGATAAATTGAAAAAACAAAGGACTCTACTATTTAGCAATCATTTAGAAAACAATGAATTTGATTAAATTTTTTAAACATCTAAATCAATAAAAAGTAGTAGGGAGTTTAGAAAATGTATTTCGTTAAGTGTTAAAGAAAATGATTAGTTTAATGATGCAATTTCAAAAGAATAGGCTCAAAGTTTGAGACCTTCAATTATAATAGAATAAAAATCTAATGATTAAGAAAAATTTGATTTAAAAAAATAAAGAAACTTTTAAAAATAAAAAACTCTTGAAAATAGAGATAAATAAATATTGAAGTATTAAAACATGGATAGATAATCTAATTAAATGAAAGCAAATGATCATTTAGATTAATCTTGCTTCGCTTCCTATGCAAGTATCAATGAAACTAAAGAATAAATCAATCCTTAAAGTAGTCAAAATGCTAATGTCTTGCATTAATCTAGGTTTGATATAAAATCTTTGTTAGAGTTCGATTCTTAGACTATGAGTCTTGAAAGAAATGACTCAAAAGATATAAAATAGTAAGATAATAATCTCAAATAAATGAAACAAAATCAAAGAGAATCTGAAAATTATTTGTTTGATGGAAAATAGAATTAAGATATCAAAAGATTTATTCAAAATTTAAATGTAACAAACAATTAAATTAATTCAAAATTTATAGATCAAAAAGAAAATAATAACCAAACATAATTCCAAAATTTAATTTAAAGAGTAAAACAAGCAACAAAGTCAAAGCTGAGTTTAAATAAAAAAGCCTCCCAATAAGAATATTCTTCTTTAAATAATACCTTACAGACATACAAAACATAAAGTGAAACTGAAAGTACCTTTCCAATTAAAAAGTAGAAATAGCCATCAACATAGCTTTAATATCCAACTTAGTCTACTATACCATGCTCTTCTTAGTCTTCTTTATCCAAAATTCACTTAAACAAATAATCAAGTTGCAATCAAAAAATGGAATCATGTAACAAAATAAAAGTGTTTGATGATTATTAACTTAATAACGAAACAAGCATTTTAAATAAAAAGAGATAAAAATATAGAAATAGTAGTGATACATTTTAATCTAACAAACCTCAAGCAGTTAGACCATTAGATATTTAATATTTATCTGAAACAGACGGTCAATCTCTTTAAGAAAAGAGCGAACTAATTTCACCTACTGCTACTATTGTGTCACCTTAATCATAAACTACATTTTAAAGCCAAAAACAATTCAATAGAAGGCATATAAAATTTTTTTCATAAACTAATCAAGAATTTAAGAAATTTTTAAAATATGAAGATTAAAACAAAGTAATAGCTAATAAAGAAAATATAAATGATGATAAAACAAAATAATACAAAATAAACATAATTAAAAAGTAAGATACATCTATCCAAGTAAGTTAGTTAAGTTCAGAATACAATTTAAGTAAACAGGACAGTAATTAATCAAACTAAACTTACAATACAAATATAAATTCGAATTCAACACTGAATTTAATTGAATTATCTACAAGACCTTAAATTAAAAACACCCTGAGTAGAAGGTAATTGCAAAAAGAATAAAAATAAACTAAATTAGATGAAATGGTAAAGCTAAATGAATAATAATAACCTACTTTTACTACTTTTATGAAGAAATAACCCTCTTCGGCTTCTATTAGCAGTAGAAACATCAGTTAAAGTGATAAGAATATATAACAATATTTATTTTGGAAGAGCGTGATCAGTACTTCAATTGAAAAAGATTTAGAATAATTAAATTTAAATAAATAAAAAAGCTAAGATAGTAACTAATAAGAAAATGCAAGCAATTATAAAACTCTTTAATATCCTTCTTAAATAAATGGCCAAATCCTAAATAAAAAATAGAGTATAAAAGAGATATTATCAAACAGGATTAAGAAAACAGATAATTAATGTTAAGCTAGCTCAACGAAAAGAGATGGAAGAAAAATAGTTAATGAAAATACATACAAAAATAATCAAATTTTTTCTTTTTAAAATTTTTAAAACGAAATAAGCCACCAAAATTCTAATTTTAATAATTTTATGCAATAAAGTAAATAAAAAATTAATAAAAATGATAAAGAAAATGTGAGCCCATTTTAAGTATTAGGCAATAGTAGTAATTCAAAAAAATAAATTAAATTAGTCCTTCAAAATTAAACAAAATATGTAAGTGCCTGTAACTCAAGATCAAATTCTATAAATTTATTAGATGATTTCAATGCTTCTTTAGAATAAATTTAGTTTCCATTAACCGAGCAACCAACTAATAAAGTTAACTAAAGAATTAATACAAGTTAACATAAATATGAGTAACTCTTTTCATAATATACTAAACAAAATTTATCAAAAGAAGATCAATAAATATAGTAAGATTAATTTCATTAAAAATATAGCTCTACTGCTAATCAGTAAGGCAATTCAGAAGATTTTTGTATGTTTTAGAATATTAAAAATAATTTAAGAATGTTTTCTAAAATGGATAAGTATAAAAATTTAATTGAATGTAATCCATAGTCTGAAATTAAAGAAATAGATGAGAGTCAAATGATTTCCTAATCCAATTTTAATATTGAAAACTAAGAAACTTATAAAAAATTCAGTGAAGAAATAGCACTTTCCTAGAAAAAGAGCTAATTTCATTAAAATTAAAATTTAGATGATTTTTTAGAAGAAAGTTGCTTAAATTAATAGATAAAAGATATAGAATTAAAATCAGAGAATAGTTCTTTATTCAAATTAAGTGAGTAGACATTAATAAACAGCGGCATTTAAGAAAAAGAATCCTTTTTAACTAGTTTTAATGAGCGTAAATCATGTTAAGAAAAAGAATAATAAATAAATTAATTTGATTCAAATTTACTTAAACAATAAACTTAACTAAATAGCTCTCACCCAAATTATTAAATTTAGGTATAAGATTTAAATCAAAATAGCAGCAACAAATAAATATAAAATTTAGATACAACAATTTCAAAATAAAGACTAATTAGGTAAGAACCTTAGATCTAGGAAACTGATAAAAATCTTAAACAAAGTGTAACTATTAAGAATTTTTATGAAAATGGCATTAATTAAGATAAACCTGACAATTTTAAAATTAAACTATAGATTTGTGAGAAATAGATAGACAAAAAACACAATTTAGTTGAGTAATTACAAATAAATTACAATATAAATAGTAAAGAGTTTCTTAAAAAGACTATCCTTAATAATATTTAAAAAAAATATTTTTAAAGTTAAAATAAAACTAAAAATTAAGAAAATAAATTAGATGTGATTTCAGTTAATCGGACTAATGTCGAATATAGTCTAAATTTGCCATCTTCTTTTATAGATTAAAGCTTATAAAATTAAGATAAGACATCTCAATAAAATGTTTAAAGTCTTGTTGATAGTGAAGTTGTTCAATAAAAAGATACTTTTGATGGCATCACTGAAAATAAATCTCAAAAATTATCTTAGCAATTAGATGATAATTGTAGTATGATTAACTATCACCATTCACTTTCTAATTCTTTTGCTCAATCTGAAAAAATGAATAATCATCAAAATGAAAAAGCAAATCAAAAAAAAAGTAAGTATTTCTAACAGTCTTAGAATAATTAAATGTAACATTCTCCCTCAAATCCAGGAAATCATACCACAGAACAAGAATAAAATGATAAGGAGAATACTTAAAATCAAAGTCCAAATCTGCATACAACCAAATAAACTTTTTAGAGTTATACAATTGAAGAAGATTACTAAAATGGAATAATTTTAATGAATAGTAACTGTAAAAAACCCTAATCTAAGAAAATAAAAAGACTAAAAAGCTACTCAGATATATTTACTGCATAAAGAGAACATCCTGAAAAATTTACAAAGATAAAAGCAACCACTACTGAATTTTAAAAATAAGCTGCTGGGTAAGCAAATCGAATTGACTTGCAGCAAATAATAGAAAACAGAAATGATAGGTCTTCTTCATGTTTCTTAACAAGCGGCTACAATACACCAGTAAATAATAATTAAAAGGTTGATATTAGTTTTATTTAATCTTCATAATCACCTTAAGTATCAATTAAAAAGCAAGATTTATAAAATTATAGTAATAATAAGAGCCAAGCATCTTAATTTTTCTAAAAATATCAAAGTTTATTAACAAAAGAGCAATAAATTTAGAATAGCCAATTACATTTTCATTACTAATCGCCTATAAACAAACAAAATAAATCATATTTATAACTTTTAAAGCCAAGCATTTCATTTTCATCTTTATTTTAAAGCCAAAAAATATTTATTGAATGTAAAGCCGAATTAGATGATAAACTTAATTAAATAATTGCTTTTGTAGTAATAAATCGCAATCTATCTTTAAGATATTCTATTGAATACTCTCCCTATCAATTAATTGAAGACATTTAGTCTCCTCATCATTCATAAAGCCAAGTAATTATTTTGTTAAATTTAAAACAGAATGATAAAAAATATTTTAAATTTATATTAATAAGTTAATTACTTAAATAAATTATTTATTAACATTATAAAATTATTATAAATAGACAATATGGCCACTCCTAAATGAGTACTTAGAAAGAGATTTGCTGAAGAAGCATGGAGTCTTAATTTAATAGGATTATAACAATATTATGAAATTATAAAAATATGATTTGAAGATTAAAGATAATGGCAATATTTAATTCACAAAAAATTAAGGATGCTAAATTCTAAATCAAAGTGACAAATAAGGTGTAATTGGAATTAAAAATATTGTTGATTGTTTGTTTAAAAATAAAAACTGTCTAAAAATAAAACAAAAATTAGTTGGTAGAGTTTTGATTATTGAAAGTAACCTGTAAAATGAAACAGATAGTTAATTAAAAAAAATAAAATCAGTTTCTCATAATAGTTTTAAAAAAAATATTTATAACTCACAAGAAAAGATTTTAGATAATAAATATGTTGCCGAGTATTTAAAGCCTTAAGATTTAATTGAGACCATACCAATACAGTTTTTAACTTTAAAAAAAAATAAGAGGTTTTTCATAATAGAGTTAAATTTTGAGCTTTTATTAGATAAATCTAAGTAAATTCATAAAGAAGATTAAGTGAATTTTCTAATAAGGATATATAATTCTAAAGAGAATGCCTGCATACATGAAAAAAAAATAAAAATTAAATCACTCTAATTTATAGACTTTAATATTATTTTAAGCATTCTCTAAAGAATAAAACTTCATAAGCCCTTACTAAGGAATTAAAAAGATTATTTGAGATAGTATTTGTAATTGTGTCTCTTAGTATCAGATGATTTAACTAAGATAGACATAAGAGAGGAATGTTATTTAACTAGTGATCAATATAATATAAATGAATGGATTGATTAAGACTAATATTGTCTTAACTAACAAGAATTAGAAGAACAATGTGATGATTAATCTTCAAATTTTAAGTTTGGTCTTTTCAACCAAACTTTTAATTAACTCAGAAAGCAATTCTATCATGAGAAAATTGTATTAAACTTAAATGGTAAAGTAACTTAGCAGAATAATGAATAGCTTGAGAACTTTTAGAGTTAAATTGTAAATAATCAGAAATAACCTATTATTGAATAAGAAGAAGAATTTGTAATTTTATTTAATTATTTTAATTTTAAAAATATTAATTTTTTCTATAAATAAAAAACAGAACTTAAACAATTATGTGAAATATAGAAGAACAGGTATTAGAACTGCAAATTATCAAAAAGATTTAATTAATTTAGAAAATTACTTAAAAGACAAAGTTTTGTATTTGGAGTTTTCTGCTTAAAATTTTATTTAACTAAACTACAGGGTTATTTTTATTTTGAATAAATAGATTAATCCCAAAACAAACAAAATATTTACACAAGTCATAATGAAAAAATATTCTTCTTATTTGAATGAATCTTTCTTAGTTTACAAAACCAGTTGCAAGAGGGCTATACAGCTCTTCAATCTTGCATACACTCAAAAATGTTATTAAAAAAAAATAAATCTGCATTCAATAATCTACAAAAACTAAACAAACTTCACTTTCTTCCTAGCTAATTCTTAAAATAGGAATCTTTCGTTTCATTATTAAAACTTTTATAAGTCTCCTGTATACTTTTAAATACTCCCCCCGACTCCAGCTCTGAAGGCAATGCTACTTAAAAACCAGCCTACACTTAAAAGTTTCTTCTTTCATGTATTTATAATTTTTTATTTAAAATTTTTATCTTAAAGTTTATAAATTTAAATAAACTGTAGAGAGAATTACTATTTTTAGAAAAAACAGAATACTTAGGAAAGTTAACAGTAAAAGTAGATATTTATTAAAACTATGAAGATTTATTTATAACTTTTACCTTGAATGAGTATTCAAAAAGAACAAAATCTCATAATATCATCATGTCTAAATAAGATATTGAGATGATTTTAAAAAGACCATTAGTTGAAGATGTTAAATATATGAGAAAAGAATTACTAATAAACATATCAAAAACGATCATATCCAAGATGCACTTACAATAAAATTTCATTAATAAAACTCTCAAAATTAAATTTGAAGGAAATTCTTACAAAAATAACTTTGACCAATCATAATACTTCACTTCGATTTAAAAGCAAGCTGAAATTAAAAGCAACCTTAATGTTTCTAAAAATTTATTTTTCCTTCAAAAAGAGCATAAAATTGAAAGAACTATATTCCATTAAGCTGTGATTCATAACAATGAGTACAGTATAGCAACTATATAAAGACACCTCCACTTTGATGCCTTTATTTTTAATATCTACTTCCCTAAATCTTCTAGAAAAATCAGAGCCTACTTAACCCTTAATGAACTAAAAGAGTTAAATTAAGAAGATATGAGGTAAATCATGAGAGATATTTTATAAAGATTGAGTATAGTTGAGTCTAAAGATTTTTCATTCTAAGATTACTTGAATCATTCAATTAAATCACATAATTCAAAGCTCCTAAGCAAGCCATCTCTAAACTTTGATTCCTATTTTAACTAATCAAGTGCAAGTAATCAAATTAATTTCTTTTTTAAACATTTTCAAAGCTTTAAATTATATTTTTTATTAGCTCTTTTTCATAACTAACTAAGGAAAGCTACAATAAAGTTAAAAATAAATAAATAAAAATTTGATTTTTTTTATTTAACTTATTTTTTTTTAATATTCATTTAATATCTAAATTAGTAAAATTATCTAAATTGGAATACAAAGTGAGTAAAGAAATAAAAGAGTTCGATAAATTCACGAAAGAAAGAAATAGAAATACTTAAAATCTTCACAATTCACAAAGCTAAAAATACAGGAAAAGAAGAGAGAAATTAGAGAAATTTAAAGAAATTAGAATTTGGGAAAAAATCCTAGGTTTAATTTAAATTGTATAAAAAGGTGAATAATACTTTGTTGAAATTGGTAGCAATGCAGTTATTCCTACTATTGAGTATTTGAATAGTTAGGCTATTAGGATAGATTCTACTAATGATAGCTACTTTGCAGAATATTATTTTTCTTCTAGAATCAGTAATCCAAATACAAATTCTTCAATTTCTAACAACTTTCCATATATATCATATACAAATTCAGAGGATTATGATATATTCCTTAGATTCTTTTAACTAGGTTAAGATAAATTTATTCAAAAAAGATTAAACACGAGAAACCTATTAAATTTGTAAGTTGCTGATGGTTTCTTTAAGGATTAAGCCAATTTCTCCTAAACAAAAATATTGCTTTGTGATTTATATCAAATAACTTACTTCATTTCACATAAAATAAGCAATATGGATTTCCCAGAAATTTAATCTCACCTTCCATTCAATAGAGATATGAGTACAAAATCATCATCCTCTTAACTTATAAACAAGAGAAATATGATGAGAAGATTAGTTTGCCTAGTTGTTGATGAAGATAAGCTTTACTAAAGTAAATTTACACAAGAAAGTAGCTCATATACAGAAATAATTAGCTGTAATCCTTAAATAATTGTCACATATTCCTTCAGCACTGGTGAGAAATAATTGAGAATCTGTATATATATACCTAATAGTGGGTAGCAGTATTTTTCTTAAATCTACTTTACAGAACTTGAATAAAAAATTCCTTTATTCTAAGTTTATTACAATTCCAACTCTTACAAAAAATTATTTAGATAGATAACAATATTATATAAGCAATAGCTTCTTGATATAGTGAGTCATTTTTTATGACTAGATACTATTAATTTTTTCAATTAATTGCTAAAATAATACAATAAATTTTTATATTATTTGCTAACAGTACTTTTTATTTTATATTAAACTATTATTAAATATTGATAAACTATTTATTTAAGTAGGTATAAATATTTTTTAGAAATTGAATTTTTTATATTAAAATAAGTTAAGTTATTTTTTTAGCATTTATGATGATTTTTAATTTAAGAGGATTTATAGTAATTAAAGATCATGTTTTATGTTTATTACTATGAACCAAATTATTATTATTATTATTATTATTATTTTAAACAAGCTATTGTTTAAAATTTGATAGATAAAAAAAGACTTTTATGAAGTTTTCTAGATTATTTAATGCAATGTTCTTGAATTACAAAATTTATTTTATTAAAATTTAGCAATCCTATAAGTATTAAAAATAAGCAGTAATTAATAAAGCCAGTAAACATAACGCATAAAAAACGATATATTAAAAAAATAGCCAATTTTAAAGTACAGTATAAGTACTGACATAAATTTTTTACAAAAAATGTACTATTCATTATTCATTTTACTGAAGTTGAATCGCAAAAGGTGTAAAAGTTTTCACTGAATAAATCACAATAAATTTAAAATAAGCAGAAAATAAAGAAAATCATATAGATTAGACTAATAGACCAGTCAATATTCAAAGAATTTAAGGGAAATTCATATTTAATTTAATATGTAAATATAATTAATTTATAGATAATTTAGAAATATTTTCTATTAAATTGAGTATTTAAAAAAAAATCGTAATAATTTAGAAAGGAATACTAAATATTTAACTAAGCTTGCTTTAATTTATTATTTAAAGCATATGAATTCATCAAAATTTGATTATGATAAAAATTGGTTCATTTAATCTTTTCGAATCTATAGCCAGCCCTAATCAAAATTTTGTAATCTAATTAGAAAAGGTTATTGAAGAAATACAACCTAAAAGTGATCTATAAAAATTGATCCTCTTTTTTTATTTTAAGAGATTTTTAAACCTAATTAAGTAACAAATAGTAAAAAGATAGTAGATGAGGATAATAGATTTTGATTATATTTACTTATTAGATAATCAAAAGCAAATGAAAGATTATTTTTATTAAAGAAACAATTTTTATCTATTTTTTAATGAAAATTCATTCCAATTCATGTGTTTATTACACATTTCAAAATTTATAATTTAATTTAATTCTAATCTTACTATTTTAAACAATTTATTATTCTTTTTTGAAATAATATAAATTATATTTTACAAATTATAATATTTATTAGCTTTGTCTTTTTATATACATTATTATAATCAATGTAAACAATTTAAGTGTAATCTAAATTATTTTAGATATAAAATTTTATCAAGAGAATTTGCATTTGAACTTAATGAATAGTCTAATCTATAAAATGCGATAGCCTTTTTTTAGATATTATAAAATTGATAATATATCTATAAAATAATTTGTTAAAATAAATATTTTTAACTTTAGTAATTAATATTCTAAATAGAGTAAAAAATAATTCGTTAGAAAGCAATATATTTACAATTTACTTAATTTAATTATATGAACGATTCTAAAAAAAGAAAATATATGAATTAATTTTGATCTAGAAATCTATTTGATAATATTGTAAATTAAGTGATATAATAATACAATAAAAGAAATAGGATAAAAATAAAATGGATATAAATTTAATATTTAGTGAGTTAAATCTAAGATAACTTTATTTGATATAGGATTTTTCAATAAACAAACAAATATAAATAAACTTAATCCTTCTTTAGAGAGATGAAGATTAGAAATTTTTTAATATATTCTAAAGATTAGCTCATAGCCATAGGATCTTTGAAATTATTTAGTGTTTGTAAATAATAAAAAAAAAAATGTAATTAATTTAATATAAATGGAATCTGATTAATTTTAATCAAAAATCTATGGATATTTTTGATAAAATATATAATAATCTTTATTAATAGGCAATTAAAATTTATGTATTTTTTATGGTTTGAAAATGCTTCGGAAATATAATATTTCAAATAATTAGTGTGCAATTTAATTATTTTGTTAGGTTTTAAATTTTAAAATAAAAAATTATAATTTGCTAAACAAATCAAAGTTGTTGTTCTTCGAAGCATAGTTTGCTAATAATTGTCGAACCTCAAAACAATGGAATAGAAATTTTTAATTTCTATTAAAAATTCATAATTTATAACGTATTTTTTTTTGAACAAATAGCGCATAGGGGCATGCTGAGCAAAGTTTATACAAGCAATTAATTTGAAGCTGGCTTTAGTTAACAATAAACAAACTGAATTAAGTTGTTTTTAATATGAGGTGGGAAATAGATTAAATAGAAAGCGTTTTTTTTTTTTTGAATTAATAAAGAAACAATGTTGAATTTGTAGTTAAGTTAAATCTAATTTATAAATTCGCTTTGTGTGGATGAATCTAGATTTAAATATCTTACGACTTAAAGGTTATGAGGGTATTTTTTAAATTTCTTTTTAATTTAAAAGTGATAAAAAATATTAATCATCCATCAAATTACTATCTTGAAAAGTTAAGCATAACTCTTAATATTTCAACAAAAAATTAAGAGTAATTAACTTCGACAAAGCAAAATATAACTTAGCTTCCTTATAGCAACGTTTAGTCTGATATTTTAGTGATAAATCTTTATAATAAGCCAAGTCCAATCTATTTTATACTAGAAATTATGAAGAGATTTATTAGAAATCATAAAAGAATTAATTAAGGAGGATTTTGAGAAATTTATGGGTATAATTTGATTTTTACAAAATTTAAAAATTGGTAAATTAATAATTTAGTTTATTGTTATATGTATGTATTTTCAATCTTAAATTGAGAAAGGGAAATTTTAAATAATTAAGATCCTAACAAATTTCTTTTATTAACAAAAAGTTAGAAAGTTGAATACTTTTATTTAAATTTTACAGGGCGGGCAAGCTCTTTTTTTTTGTTGACTGCTTATTTAACTTAATTCATATACTAGCTACAAAATATAAGAAATTAATCAATTTTAAGGGCATTACAAAATTCAATCAAATTACATGAAGTAAGATGTTATCAGATATGCGAAATTTACTTCAAAAAAAAAAAATCTTTTTTATTTAAAGCTGACTCTATTCTTTATTTTAAATAGACTCAGCCTCGTTTTATGGATCCAGCAATGCTAAAAGGATAAATTCCATAACTATGGCTTCTTTATTCGTAATATTCTTATATAATTTCGTGGAAAGTATTTATGACCTACAATAAAAGAATATTAAAATTAAATATTTCTTTTATTTTAAAAATTTGTCTATATAAAACTAAAAATCATAGTAAATTTTAAGCATGTGTAAATGCCCAATCAGACAATTAAGCAAATTATAAACTTCTCGCTGAGCTTTTTATGGAAGTAAGATCTGCATAAATGGAGAATTCTAAATGAAGAATTAAATGTTAATTCAATTTCCAAAAATATGAAAGTAAATTAGGGCAGCTATTATTAAGTAATATTTTAGCTAGAGAATTAAGTAATTAGTATATCAGTAAGGCAATGAGGTAATAAATAAATTAAATCATTTCAGACAGAAATAGAGCGAGTAATTGTATTACCTATACCTAGGGGTGAAAGGCTGACCTGCCTATCAATTAACTAAATAATATCAATTATAAAAGAAAGAAAAAAATTATTAATTTACTATATGATATATGAAGCATAATTAATTTGATTGTATGTGTATATGTATGTATATATATATATCAGTCTGCCTTTCTTTCTGCCTTTCGTTTTTTGAATTTAATGAATAATGAGAAAAGGTAATGAATGACTTTTTTTAAAAAGCTAATGTTCATTCATTTAATATAAACATTTAATTATCAAAAAAATAATTAAATAAAAGAAATAATAATCAAACTATCAATTATTTAGCTTTCTTTTTAAAAAAAGAAAAAATTCAATCAAAATCAAAGATTAATTCAACCAAAATATTAAGCAGTCTGCCAATCCATCCAATTTTTTTTTCATTACACCTACTTAATATAAAAGCATAACTTATATCACAAGGCATTAGCTCACAATACAACTCTCAATATTTCCTCTAAACACTGTTGAGTTTACTGCTGCTTAAAAACTACTGATTACTAAGCTCATTTTAAATCATAAAACTTTTTGAAAAAAAAAAACTTTAGAATATAAAATACACTCGAATAGAAAGTATATAAAAAATTAATATTAAAGAATGGCTCGTACAACAATAGATAGTGTCGCAGATTTAAAAATATACAAAAAGATTGGTCATGGGAAGACTGCTGAAGTATTTTTAGTTAAAGATGTTATGAATAATAGCTATGCATTAAAGAAATTCCGTAATGAATACACTAGCTAATAGTAATTGACTTTTAAGGATTCTTCTTCACCCAGAGAAAATAGCTATCACTCCACAAGCTGTTTTTCAGACCCTGAAAATGAAGTCAAAGTACTTAGTGAATTAGGAAATCATCCCAACATTACTCGCATTCATTTCTTTGATGGATAACATATTTTGATGGACTTGAATAGAAACGGTGAATTATTTGATTACATTTCTCTTGGTTCACCTCTTTTTGATGAAGAATTAGCTCGCTTCTACTTTCGCCAGATGGTAGACGTGATCGATTTTATGTAATAATCAAGTTATGCTCACCGTGACATCAAACCAGAAAACATCCTCCTCGATGAACACTTCAATCTCAAACTCTCAGACTTTGGTTTCTCAACTAAATAACAAGAAGGTGAATAGCTTACCCATATTCTAGGTACTGATGGTTATATGGCTCCTGAGTTGCTTAGAGGTAGAGGCTACGACGGATTCAAAGTAGATATTTTTGCTATGGGTGTCGTTTTATTCTGCATGGTAAACGGTTTCCCTCCTTACTACAAAAAAGCTATTGCTACTGATCCTTACTACCGTTTCTTTGTAGAAAAAAGAACCCATGTTTATTGGTCTTGCTTACAACGCAAGTACAATAAGAACTACTCAAATGAATTTATGAGTCTAGTTACTGGTATGCTTGCCTACAATCCTCAAGAGAGAATTGACCTACAAATGATAAAGAGTCATCCCTGGTACCAAAAGCCTTGCTCTCTTACCACAGAAGAAATAATCTCCCGCATGACCCAAATCCGCTCTCAAATCAACACTGAAGCAAATGTTTGAGATATAAAACTATTTAGTTAGTTCATTAATTAATTAATTATTAAACACACACTTTCAAGCAAGAGCAACATTTTTAATGTATAAATAATAATCTCAATATTTTAATAGCTATATTAAATTTAATGAATAGATATATGCTCAACTAATATTATGCTTATAATAAACCAATAATAACTAACTAACTAACAAACAAACATATATAAAAATAAGCAAAATTAAGAATCATTTTTAATCTGTATAAAGGTTTAATTTATTAATCCTCCTTTCTTTTCTTTCTGCTCTCAGAAGGAACGAAATTTGAAATAAATTCTGAACTTATCAACAGAAAGAATCCCTTTAACAAAATAATTGTACACATGAACGAACCAACAAACTCTTCTTGTATATTCATAACTCAATACTGCCTAGAAAAAAAGATTTGAAATTATAAACAAATCTTGACTTCTTGTTAATAAACTCTATATTAAAAAAGTTAAGCAAATCTATAATTATTGTTTCATACTTTTATACTTTATATATATACTTCATATGTCTACTTATTAAATTATACTATTTAGTTCAACTAAAACACAAAACTCTTACTCCAAATAATCACTTTATTCAAATTTATTTCATACATTTTTTATTTCAAATTTAAACTTATCATCTTAAAATTTGCTTTGATTTTTCAGATGAAATAGTACACTCACTCACTTAGTACTCATTGTATTGATAATTAGTAAGCTTTAAAAATAAATTACTTTGAAATATATTTAAAAAAGAAAAAATAAATAATTCAAATATAAAAAAATTCATTAAAATAGAACTTAATTTCGTGTCATTTTTATATTTATTTTAGTAAGTAAAATAAAATATGTAAAAAGCATTAACATAAATCTATATTTAGATTGCTTAAAATAATTTTAAGTGGTAAAGATGATATTTTTTTTGTAAAATACTGTTATTTATATCAAAAATAAAGCATAAATTCTCTTTTAATACAAATTCAAATTTAAAGCTTTAAAATTAGAAAATAATATGAAAAAGTTTCTCAATTTAGTTTATTGCAATTAGAAAAAATCAATGTAGAAATTTAAAATTTTCCTTTTATTTATTAAAAGAAATAATTAATTTTTTGTATCGCTAAATATGAAATTCATATTTTTGTTAAAAGTGTAATATTATAAATGTATATACTATACAAATATAAGTTAAGATTCTAACCAATAAAATATTAGAAATCTCTAAAAATGATAAGCAATTCAAACAAATACTTATATCTTATAATTAACTTAATGGTTTTTTATCTCAAAACTACAATCAAGAGTTCTAATCTTCTAATAGAATTAAGAAAAAAAGTAAAGAAATTTGTGTTTGTTAATGAGAGAATACTTAAAATTTTGAAGTGAATTTCAAAAAGTAAATACTTTTATGCTGAAATAGAAGAAAAGACTTTTAATAAAGGAATTATGATTAATTCTGATACCAATTGATTAAATTTATAGTTTTTGTTATTTTGAAATGTGGCTTTGTAATTACACAAAAAACTCAAAACTTACTTTGCGTTATTTTAATTTAATAACTTATTTACTCATTCAATTAATAAAATTATTATTTAAGGATAGTGATTTAACTGACAACTATAAAAATATATTATTTTAAGCCAGATATCATATTATATTTTATCTTAAAAATAAAAAGACCAATAAAACAATATTAATTTTACTATATAAAATATAAATATCAAAAAAAGGCCTTTTAGATTTAGTAAATTTCATAGGTCGTTTCTTTCATAATAAATATAATTGTTATAAATAAACTCGAATAGATTTAACATTTTTAAGACATACTTCGAGTGTTAAAACTTCCAGCGAAAAATGATATACTTATAAAATATTCTGATATAAATAGATTTAAATTAATTTATGCAAGTGAAATAAGCTTGTGTTTAAGAAATAAAAGCATCTTTATGAGGGGATACAAAAATAATTATTTTCTTTATTATAAAAATACAATCACTTAAAACTGTAAATCAAAAAAAGGGAAGTCTAACAAAGTCTTTAAAATTTTAATATTTAAAGTAATCAATCTTTAAATGAAATTATAGTTTTGAAACATTAACATAGAAAAATCTTAATCTAAAATTTAATTTCATTCTGAAAATCAGAATTCATCAAATTAAGCTGAATTACTATTTAAATGTAATTGAAAGCAACTATCTATCACAAATATATAAAGTCTGATTCAATAAAATAATTCTTTCTCTATTAATGTATTTGATTCTTACTTATCCTATGTAAAAATTATTAATTAATTTTTATTTTTAAATTTAATTTAATTTAATCGCAAAAAATTCTAAAGAAAATTAAATATAATATTATTTTTTAAAAATTGATAGAGTATAAAATAAAAGAGTATAATACAAATTGTGAGTTAAATTTTAAAATTTTTGAGTAATAAGGCTAAAAATAAAATGGAAAATACATTTTTATAAATTTTAAATTAATAATAAATTTTGAATTAAACAAAATTGAAATTTTCAACTTCAACTTTTATTAATTTGAATTGAAATTAATTTTAATTAAATAATTTTTATTGTGAAACTGTGATTTTTTAAAAGTTTTTAGTTACTATTATTAATTTAAATTATAAATTTATGTTGTTTACAAACAAATAATATATAAATATAAGTTTGTCAAATTGTTTATGAGAACTCTATTGGTTATGTTATTTTTTAAATTATTAAATTATAGAAATATTGCGTTTGTTATAATCAAAGAGGTTAAATTGTGTTTATGTTGATTTATTTACTTTTTTTGCAAATAAAATTTATTAGTTATTATGTTAATGATTGTATGTATACCTATCTACATTAAAATATTATTTTAAACTTATTATTAAAATTTTAAGATAATTTATTCAAATTAACTTTTAATTAATTTCATTTAAATCATTCATAGTATTCATTCCTATTAAACTTCCTTGCTAGTTTATTCCCTTTTAAGTAAAATTCTGGCTATGAGTTTGATAGTACCAATCGCAAAGTAGTTTTTATATATCGTTCCTCATGATTGGTTTGGAAATATAATCATCAAATCCAGAATTTTTAGCTCTCACTTGCTCTTAGTCACCTCCATGAGCTGTACAAGCTATGATGTAAGGAAAATCCTCCTTATGTATTTTATGTTCATGAAAAAAGTCTGTTAATTCTTTCATAACTTCATATCCATTTAATATTGGCATTTCGATATCCATAAAAACTATTTCATATCTCAGGCATTTAGGGCAACTTTATATTGGCTTATTTTATTAATACCTATAGCAAATCTTTTCAAAGGCTTGCTTTCCATCAAATGCTTTATCAATTGGTGCATTGAAAAATTGCTAATAATAATAAATAAATAAATTATATTTAATTTACAAAAACAATGTAATTAAAAGTAATATTCATAAGATAAATATAAAATAAAATGAATCATTTATCATATAAAAAATTATTTGTTTGTTTGTTTGTTTGTTTGCTTGCTCGCTTGTATAATTACTATCAATAAAATTGCTTTAAAATCTTTATTAATTGAAAAAAGACAAATTATTGTTTATAAATTTTGTAAAATTATGTGAAATATTTACTTATAGCATTCTACTAAGAGCTAGTATATTAAATTGATTATCATCAACAATTAAGATAGAAGCACATTTATTCTCACAAACGGAATTTTCTATGTACTACTAAAGATGTAACATAAGTTTTGCTCCTTCTACTTCATTTAGATTACTTTTAGAGTGATATCCATTAAAACCTTAGGCTGCAGTGGAATTCATTTTAGATAGAGATTTATTAGTTAAAGTGCGTGATAGATTTGAAGTAAGCCTTGAACTACTAGGAATAATTTTTGAGGGTAATGAAGAGTTAGAGTGATTGTTTGATATAGAATTAGAAGAAGAGTATTTCATTTAGGAAGTATCATTTAAGAAATTCATTCTGAGCTAGCTTGTGGGTGTAGAAGAAGAATTCTTTTAATTTTCAATCTAAGAAGATATATTGTTTTTAATTTATTCATCTGGATCTATTGTAACCATTATCTGATTGCTGTTAATTATTTTTTAGTTTTGGTTATTATTGATGATAGAATTTAAGCTGTTTATATTGTTTGAGAATTAAGTATTTTAATTCAGTTTATTAAGAGATTGTTATGTTGAAGTACTAGTACTTTACATTGAATGAATATATTGTTAATTTTCACCAATTTTAGTGATATTTTATGGTGAGTTTATTTAAGTATTAGTCAAATTGTTGTGCTAGGTAGCTGTTTATTAAATATATGGCTTATGCAACGGAGATCCGTTATTACTAGAAGCAACATCACTGATTCTGTAATGGATGTCAATTATCTGTCCAAACTCCATATACTAAGGAACCTTATTTTGATATGTACTTCCATCGTTTATACAAGCAGAATCTGCCATCAGGGAATGATCTTTATCTTCCTTTGGATTCTTTGACACAATTTCATTCTAACCGATAACAACAACTTACTGCTAAGTATTTTATGTAATATTTTCTGGGTTTTCATTTTTTACTGAAATATAAGAATTGGCTAATTCTTCTTCATTAATCATATCTAGAGGTAAAACTGAGTGAGTATAAGAATTATTATGAGTATATTAAGGATTTTATAGAGGCTTTGGATTCATATCTTAAATAATAAATGAAAATGAACTTCCTTAACCATATTAACTTTCTACTTATATTCCAATCCAATTCTAAGGTATTTGATATTCAGATAAAATATTGAATTAGGTACTGTTTTAATTTTAAGTGGTGCAAAGACCTTTCGAAATACTTTAGCTGATAGCCAATCCAAGACCACATCCCTGACTATTCATTCCTTATTATTTTAATAAATAATTCATAAAGATATTATTAAAGAAATTTAAAATCTACCTTCTGACTCATATTCGGTTTTGTTAAAGGCATTAAATATATTTTATACAGTTTCAGGCTTCATTCCTATACCTGTATCTTAAACAACGAGTCTAATATATTTCTGTACTCTATTAGTCTCGTTAATAAACATGGGCTCTGCTATTATTTTTATTGTACCGTTTTCTGGAGTAAATTTGAGAGAATTACTCAAAAAATTTAACAAAATTTATCTTATTCTGTTTTAGTCTGACTTGACTTATAAATTTAATCTCGCATCATATATGAGCTGAAGATCTATAGACTTAACGGTTGCTTGCATTTAAATCAAAGTTTAACAATCTTGAAGTAATTTTTCTAAGTTAAAATCAACAAATGTGTATTTAAATTTTCCACTATCAATCTAAGCAAAATCTAAAATATCATTAATTTAATTGAGTAAAAGCTTCTGAGAATGAAGAGCTGGATAAAGATAACTTTATAATAATAAAATTGAAATATTGAATTTGTTATGAATAATTAGAAGACTATTTTGATATAACAAAAAAATGCTAAAGGTTACAATATTTTCTCAATTTGCTTCTTTTAAATACTTTTTAATTAAAATGCTTTAAGTAATCTAAATAATTTTGATTACTTGAAGCTTTTATCATGAGTGGTTAAAAATGATTTAAATGTTTATGTTTAATTCTTATATTTCTTTAATAATTAAAAAGGTTGTTTGTAATAAAATTTGTCTTGATTGCTTAATTAATTTATTTATTTATTTATTAAATTTTCGAATAATTTTTAGATTTCCTTTGACTATCTCATATAAGTATTACTGGCGTAAAAAAAATCTTTAACTTTTTGTGCTGGGTGGAATAATTTAATTAAATTTATAAACTTAAATATATTAATTTACTCATCAATAAGCTAAGGATCTGTAATAAATTACTCAAGTCCCTCTAACATGGATATAGTGCAATTTAGAGGAGTTCTGAGCTCATGAGAGAGAGAAGCAAACATCTTCATCTTATATTTTTAAACTTCTTCCATTCTCTTATTATAATATTCTTGCCAAAGTGGGTCCACTAAAACAAGAATGAAAATTTCTGAATTATTTTCAGAAGTCTCTAATTCCAAGAGCAAAAATTTAAGTACAAAAATTTGATCTTTCCACTTTACTTAAGCTTTAATCATATCTTCCTAAAATTGCATGTACCCCAAGTTAGTGTTTTTGTTCATTTATGAAAAGAAAGTCTTCGATTTTCCATATTCTGGTTTTTTAATAGATGATGGAGTCAGAGGGATATCTTTGTTGTTAGAATTGTTACCATTTTGGTTTATAAAAGAAATGACGTTTTAGTTATTCTGAGATTGAATTTAAGGATCAAGATTATTTGTGTTATTTTAATTATTATTTCCTGTGTTCAAATTTTGTGAATTATTTCTCCCACCAACCACTTCATTAAACAAGTCTGAAAGAATATCACCTACTTTAGTTTCTCTTTAGATGATATCATTACTTTTCTTTTAGTTAAAAAGTTTTTTTTTAAATATCTTTTACCCTTCTTACTGGTAAATGTAGTTATTAAATATGTCAATATCACTTTCTTCTTCGTCGTCGTTTCTATTAGAAGAAGCATTAATTATAGCATGAGTGGGTTTCTTATTTAAAGATAGCTATTTTCTGGGTGAAAATTATTATTATTATTATTATTGCTAGATACTTTGATTTATTAATTAATTATTAGATACCACGGACGCTTCATAAAACATTTACTCATTATTGCTATTGGAGTCAAAACCTCTTACTGATTTGCACACTTCCATATAGTTATTAGAATTAATTCCTTTTTAATCAAATTAAAAGCCTTACTGATGTTGTTGAGTAGGAGATTACAAGGGTTCTTAAAAATTGTTTTGATTTTCATTTATGCACTGATAAGAATTTGGAATATTACTGTAAATTAAATTGCTGTTAACTATTACGTTACTCTTTTAAGGACTAGGAAGTGAAGAATTAAGCTAATTATTTTGAAGAGTGTTAGTATACTTTATACAAGCTGCTGGCGATTATTATTCTTCAATAGATGGTACTTTACCACTTTTTTTAGAGTCAATTGGGCTTGGAAGTTCTTTTGTTTGTATTTTAGAAAAAGTAGGATTATTTGAATTGTCTGCATTATTAAACAAAGATTCAGGTCCTTTAAAAGATGGGGTTAAAATGCTTTTTTATTAATCAAGCTGTTTTGTTTTTTGTGATTTTTTATCAATTTCTATTTACATTTATTCACTAAGTTCATTGCTCTGTCTCTTTAAGCCAGAAGTGTTAATAGTTTTAATATTATTTTCATTCTTATACGAAATCAATCTATTACTGCCATTGAAATTAGATTGCTAAGCACTACTTTATTAATTAATTAGGATAGATACCTCATCTTTTATATTTTCTGGATAATTAAGTAAAGAATTTATATCATTTATATTGCTATTATTATTTTAAATATTGCTAACCATGTTGCTATTATTTTAATTTGTTGGATGTGCTAAATTTATATTGTTGTTGTTGTTGTTGTTGTTGTTGTTATTATTGGTTAGAGGCTTTAAACTTTATTACTAATTTAAAAACTGTTATGAAGATTATTACTATTCTTTTTGTTAATTAATTGTTGCGCTTTTAAAATATTATTATGACATATTTATTAAGTTGTGATTTGATCCATTAAATTAGTTGTTGTTATTGTTTGGAGATGGTTGTGGCGAAGGATTGTGTTATTAGTTTGTAGATAATCCTAAGATTATAGAGTTTAGTTAGTCTTTTTTACATTTAAAAATATCCTTTATTGTTTTATTACAAAAGATCGTAGATTAATTCTTGTCAAATATAGCTACACCTTCAGGAATCATACCAAGTATATTATAATAAAAGTTATTGAGTCGGTGTGCCTTCTTATTTGTGGATAACATTTTTTTAGTTTACTTGTAGCTCTCCACTTAAAGTTTTTCTTGATGAACAACAATAATTGTGCAAATTAAAATACTCTGGCAAAGTGATTACCATTCCCATTCCACTATAAACTAAAATCTAACGATTAAATAAACAGTTGAGACACCTATGTAGATAAGATTGAATAAATTAACTCGACTTATGCTCTATATATAACTCATTTAAACTATTGTCACAGTAATTACCCAAGAATCTGAAATACTTTTCTTTAATGCAAAAGCTTCTATGACTAAAACTTGACTTAAAAGAAAAAAAAACATCATAACCCATCTGTAAAAGCTAGAAATCTCCTCTAATCTAACTTTCTTTTTTATAATAACAAATTTCCATAAAGTTAAACCAACTAATCCCATAGTCATAAGCAATCCACTTATAATATAAAGCTTTAAATCATCACTACTTGAGCTTTCGCCATACTTTTCTCGTAAAATAAAACATAAGCCAAAGAATATCCAAGTAATATAAATAAGAGCTAGCTAATAAGGAGCTTGAAATTTATATTGTATTTGTTAGCTGCTCTGTTGCAAAACTTCTAAGTTTATCATATCAATAAGGTTTTTTTTGTTATCATTAAATTTTGACATAGTCTTCATTTAGCTTTTATCTTCATTTATATTAAAATTGACCTTATGACTTTGTGTTTCTTATGGATTTTGACTCTTTAAATTAAAGCTTTTTTCGTTCTATTGCTAATTATTGTAGTAGGAACCCATGAAATCTTCCTTTAATATTCCAGTAGTATTGTTAGCCTTTGCTTATCTTGCAAGCTATTAATTATTTTGGTGTAAATTATCTATAAAATTTGAGTCATGACTTTCAGATATTTCAGCTAATTCTTCTTATCTGTTTTACTTTTCATCGCCATTTTATTATATTTTTGTAATCTTAGATCTATCTTCTTTATTTTTAAACATATCAATCGTCTTACTCTAATAATAACTATTTTACTCTAATGTATTTTTTTTTAATTCTAAGTTTATGGAAATTAAATTGTAAAATACTTCAACAAATAAATGGTAAAGTACTTGATGTATGTATCCCAAGGAGATAATTGAAATATTATTTATAGCTCTATAAATAGATTAGAATTAAATTTATATTCCTATAGTTGTTGAAATGAGAGAGTACTATAATAACTAATTAATCTATCTACTTTTTTGTAAATATTTTGGTTAACAAATTTTTGCTTGTTTCCTTTAGTATTAATAGTAATATTATGCTATTATTGTTTAATCACAATTCAGATATTTATTCTTGTTAATCAAACTTTAAAATGCAATATTTATTAAAATATTGAGTTTCTTTTATCATGTATTATCTTTAAATTATCAAATTTTACCCATATAAGTCGATGAACTAATTTCTTAATTAAAGTTTTTTAATTTCGTCAAATGAATTAAAATTTCATACAAAGATTAATTAATAGTTAGATCTTCATTTCTTAAGCTTTTCTCTGCTAAAATAGCCTAGTTGTTTATAAAATTGAATTTACTAGTTAAATATTATGTAAATACTTAATTTAAATATTTAATTGATTCTCAATTAAAGAATAGTAGATTATTTTTGCTTATGTATGCAAGCAATATCAACAAATAATTCTATTTTCAATTTAATAATATTTATTTCCCTTATTTCTTTTATTTATTTTTGAATACTGGCTAACATTTTATCTAATTTAAGCAAAAAGATTTACAAAAAGATAAAATTATTATAATACTATTTTACTTTTTTTTTTATAAATAAATATATTATTTATTCAAACACTGCTGTTTAAACAAACAATCAAACAAAATAAACAAACATAATAAATAGTAATAGTATTTTCTATTTTAAATTAGCAGTGAAAGCTAGGAGATTTTCTTTAAAATTTGTATCACTAATGTACATGTCATATTTTTTTATTTAAAGTTATTTAGTTGAGACAAAATATTATTAAAAAATTTATATTTATTCTTTCAAAATCATTATCATATTTCAACACTACAATTTAAAAAATAAGTTTATTTATTCTCCACCAATTAACTAAATATGAGCGATTCGGGTTTCTTTGAAAAAGTTAAATTGTTAGATATGTTTGGTAAACCTGTAACGTTGAATGTTTTTGGTAAGAAGAGACATAAAACTATTGTTGGAGCATTTGTAACATTGTGCTCTGTAGTATTTTTTATAAGTGTCATCCAAAATAGATTAGTAAATTTTATCTTAAATGAAGACATAATAGCTCAATAACATGTATTGCAAGAATAAGCAAGTGAATTAAGTATTAATCCTTCAACATTAATGATGGCTATTAAATTCGATATTGCTTAGGGAGCTTAGAATATTGAAGGTTAACCTTTTACATTTAAGATATCTTAAGTAGAATAGAATTTAATTCATCAGACTTAATCTACGCGTATGCAAATAATTACTAAAAATATAACTACAGGCATGGAACCTTGCACTTTAGAACATTTTTCATCCTAATAAAAGTCTGAAATGAAGACACTTTTAACTTTTTTTTAAGATTATGGTGTATAATCCTACTATTGCCCTAATATAGAATTAAATTTTACATTGTAAGGAAACAGAAATACTGAGCTTTACAAATATATACTGTAATGAATTGCCAAAAATTATCTAATTATTTAATTAAAATGATGGAAACAAAAAAAAATTAAATAATTTTCATAAATAAATATAGAATTGAGATAATTAGCTGCGAAGACTAACCAGGATGTTGGACAAAGAAATAAATAAATGACTACATATAAAATTATGAGTATTTCACTATTTAAGTTATATTTAATAGCTATATACCAAACTACGACTCTTAAGATTATTTAAAATCATATATTTATGATAAAAAAATATTTAGAATGATACCTTACTCTGTAAATTATTTTATTTAAAATTTATCCTTTTATTCTCAATATCCTATTAAATACATATTCTTCCATAAATGATTAAATAAATACCTCATAATACTATTAATTTTTATGGTAATCTCATTTAAATTTTTTAGATAGAAATATATTTAGATAGTTGTTTTGGTTATTTAATGAAATTTTGTTTTTTGGCAATTTTAATTTACTTAATTTTTTTTTTTGAAAATTGAATAGATGAAGCCAATAGCTGAAATGTATTTTGAATAAAACAATATCGAATCAGATGAATCTTGGTTCTGGTTCTCTTCTTCTAGATTTGAGTCTTATGTCATGTATTCTGAAGAGGAGTTTAGAGAAAATTTAATAAGCTAAACTTAAACTGCTACAAGCTTAAAAAACTATGGATAGTTTTATTTTCTTAGATCACAATATACAATCAATACATAGAGAGCATATGAAAAAATAGATGGAATATTATCTTATATGGTATTTATTGCACTCTCTTTTATTATTTATTTAATTTTAAATTCATTTTTTCCCTCCCTCCATGTTAAAATTAGTTATTAATCATTTATATATAATTTACTAGGGAGGGAGTTTAAAGTTTCTTAATTATTTGATCTTAAATTATTTTTATGCTTTCAGAACTTGTAATTAAACTAAAATATTTAATTACTTAGGGTGGTTTTATTCAGATGGTATTTGTGTTAACAGGATTTATAATGGAATTTTATAATATGCAGAGTTTAATGATATAATTAGCTAACTAGCTCTATTCATTCGAGACACCAACTGAACTTAAAAATGAGGATAAAGACATTTTACAATTTCACACAAAATAAGATTTTTTGAGGAGCATATATTCTAAAATATTTTCTCAAGTAGAAAAGCTAAGTATAAATATAAAGTATTTTATTTATAAGATTAGTTTTAGACGGTTATTCAACAATGGTAGAAATGTGCTAATTCATGAAGTTATGAAATAAGTAAATATTAAATTTTTAATTGAAAAACAAACAAACACAAATTGAAATACCAATAAAAGGTGGATAAAGATTTGAACATTTTTGAAATACTTGATAGATTACATGAAGTTGACAAAATGAAAAAGGTTTTATTTACAGAGGAGTAAAAAAAAATATTTGAATTTTCTTATAAGCCTACTTTTAATTTGGAGTCTATTCAAAACAATATGAAAGTACGAAAGATTTAAGAGATAGAATAAAAAAGAATTAAAAGAAATAAAAAGATAAGAGATAAAGAAGAGAAAAAACTTTAAAAAAAAATATAATCGCAGATTTTAAGCCAAAGAAAATTATGCTTAAATTCTTAAAAAGAAATTTTGGCAAATAAAAACATTCCTCTGCAAACATCAAACTAAGTAGAAGCCTATGATAAAAATAATCTCTCAAAAAAAAGTTTTGTTGACATAGTTGCATAAATATAATATCTCAAAAATCAGGATAATCTTAACAGAATTTGTTAGATTTCTAATTTGCTTTTGGAAGAAGGGCAGATTGCACAAAACCAAAACCAAATGACATTAAATTTATCATCTAGGCCAGATAAATTTACTGAAACATTTTATTGCTTTAACAATCTTAGCAATTAAAATTACCATAACAATTATTAAACAACTTTTAATAACATAAATTAGTTTCATTCCTAGTAGATATCACCTTTAAAATAATATTTGTTGTAAAACAAGAGGAAAAAAAATGATAATTTTCTACTCAATCTCATATAGGTATTGCGTCCATAAACATTTTATAGCTAAAGAATGGACTATTCTTAATTTTCAGCTTTCTATGAGTTATATGAGGCTTATGAGTAAGCAACTAATCCATAACTAAATAATAGGAATCAAATCAAGTAATAAATACTTAATTTAAATTATTTATAAATTAAATTAATTATTTTATTTTTAAACAAAAGAGTAACTTAGAAGATATTATAATTTCTTGGTTAAGACATAAGAGATGTTTTTAAGCTCGCTGAAAAGCTTCCTACAGAAGAATCAATATTAAGGCAAGAAAGGATCAATATGTTGGTATAACTTTTTATTCATAACTTGAAATAAAAAACTGGAAAGGAATCCTTGTATTGCTTAACAAAAGTGAATGAAGAAGTTTCAGAAAATGAATAAAAAGGATTCGACATATAATCTAATTATTAGTTTAGGATTAATAAAATGAATTAATTGAATGAAAAAACAGATTAACTGCTAAGAGGTAAAAATACATAGAGTCTTATCAACTCAAGCAACTTATCTTCAATCAATTAAAATCCTGAAACGCTTATAACTGTTTTGGATTAGTCATCAAATAATCCTAAATATATTGATAGGTCTAATAATGCAATGCTAAATAAGCAAGACTTTGATAATTTATCTCAAATTTCTCCAACTCGATTCTCTCAGAATTCTCCCAATAAAAATTCTAGTATGAAGAAATTAAATGAATATAATTCCATCTAAAATAATAAAGGAAAGAGATTTTCATTGTAGTTTTAATATATACCTAGTGACAAGCATGGAATTACTTAAAACTAAACGACAGGAGTTAAGACAAATAGTAACAGTAGCATTTTTAGATCAAATTTTTAACAACAAAAACAACCAAAAAGCATAGTTGAACTATCGAAATTTGATTAGAATGCTACTTCTTAGTCATCAGATGAAATTCACAACATTTATAAACCAAACCAAACTAGTAGCAGTCATCACAATATAGATAAAGCACTAAAAAATGTGAAATTCTAATTAACAATAAATGAAGATTAAGCTGAATAAGTTCATAGCTTTAATAACATTAAAATTAATAATGTTGAATAGAATAACTAGAATGAATAGTGAAAACTTTAAAAAATTTAATTGAAAATTATTTCATATATCTTAAATAATTATTTTTATTTAATTTATTTTTAAAATGTAATTACTTAATGAATTTATTTTAATAAATGAGCCCTACCTAATTTTACTGAATCTCTTTGCAGACAGTTCTAAATTTTAAGGTATACTAAAAGTAATAAAATTAAAACTCTTACAAAATACGTAAATATTGTATATTTTAAGTAAATATTATCTTAAATTTAGGAGTGAATATTTAGATATTTTTAATACATGAAAACCTTTCCTTTTGAAATTAAAAAGGGATGGGGATTAAAATATAGACAATATGTTGAACTATTTTATAAATTAATTAAATAAATGTTCACAATATATTAGTTGTTAATATTAAGTATTTTATATAAATAAATTTTCTTATAAATAAATAATGAATATGTGGTGATAGATTGGTTAATATGCTTAAATGATTTATTTAAATAATTTTAAATGAAATACCTTTGATTCAATAGTATACCTTAAACAAGATAGAAATCAATCATAAAGATTCAGTCCGAATTAGCTTACACTTTTTATATTGGGGAAATTAATTAATACTTCACAAAACTTGGTTATTTACTGGTTTGTTATATAATAAAATTTGCATGCCTTAAAATTGAGAAGTGTGTTTTGCATATAAAGAGCGGATACCGATTGCTTTAATGATTCCAAATATGAACTTGTATAAAAACTCAATAATACATGCTAAGATGTTAATGACTAAAACAGTTGTTTATCCATTTTATTTATTTCTATATCCTAAATCTGCATAGCCTAATATCTATGGAATCAAAGAAAATACCATAAAGCCTAAATAAACATTAATATATTTTAGGTTAAAATTCGATTAGGATTTTATAGCAGCTACACAAGCTCCAAACCAAAAAAGATAATCAAGAACAAAGTAATAAACATTATTTGAGACTGATGAATCATTATTTTAATTTTTTTTATCGTTTGTATTATCATTTTAAGAACCTTAGGTAGCTATCTGTATAACGTAAGATATTATTAATATAATCATAAAGACCATAGAAATCTTATTATGCCTTATAAAACTAACAAGGCTATTGTTTATTAATTTTTCTAGTTCATATTTTTGGAGTCTTAAGTCATCTCCATACTAGTTTTGGTTAGTGTTATTTCTCTCTAAGTCAAACAGAGTATTCTATACAGGAACTCCTTACACTATCTAATGCGAGTTTACCTACTCTCCATTAATAGGCAACACGAAAGGGTATTAGTTATTATTTAATTTCATTTAAGTAACTTCAATTGATGGTTACTTAGCTTCAGGTAATTTATTTTAATTTGAAGTACTTTAAATCTAAGTTTAAATATTAACAAGAGGCATTTTTATCCCTCTTATGGTTGATGAAGATTATTAAAAATGTTATTTTTTTAGATTATGCATTTTTTTTTAGTATTTCTGTATATTTTTATCAAACTTCTTAACTTGTTAATGGCAATTATGATTGCTAAAAGGATTAACTTTTATAAGTAATTAATAATTTTACTATACTCAGTATTGAATACTTTTTTCTTCACTCAAATTTTGAAAATGGAGTTATAAAAATTGTTATCTATTTTGCAATTGAATTGAATGAATATCTCTTTGAATATATTTGTTCTCTTATTTATTTAATCAAAATTTTTTCTAGTTTAATTACAAAATCAATATCTCAGAATTAGAGCATTAAAAAAGCTAAAAAGCTTTAAATAGTTTAAAAGTCTAAGTAATTAAGTAAATATCAATCTAACTCTCTCAACGCATTATAATTCCTTTTACTATATTATTTAATTTTTGGATGGTAAATTTGATTCCCAATTAATCAGCCTCAAGATATTAATTTACTCTATCAAATACTTTTAATACTCTCCTTCATATTTAATAGAACATAATCAATATATAAGTCAATGGAAATAATATAAAAATTATTTTATTTTAATTCTCATTTAAAATACATAAAAAAATATTAATAGACAGACCCAAATTATAGATCAAATATTTTTAATATAATACTAATATTTTTATTTTTGATGATTAAAAAGTAATCAAGTTAATTTATCTAAAAATAAAAATTCAAATTTTTTTCAAACTAATAGCAAGCAAAACCATGATTTTATGTTATCTTTTTTGATTATATTTTTACAAAATTAGCTTTATTAATAAATTATCATCATTAATATCTTCAACAAAAATAGATTTAAAACTAAAAATAAAGTTAAAATAATTTTAACTAAAATTATGATGATTTAAATAAAAAATGAATCATATTTAAAAGCATAAAAATGTTAAAATATTAAAACAATTAAGCAATCAATAAATCTCGCTGATAACATTTTAAAATAAAATTAAATTAAATTAAAAATAATTTTAACTAAATTATCATCATTTTTTTAAAATATGAATCATATTTCTTAGAAAGAAGACATTTTTAAAACTATTGAAATAATTAAGCAATAGATTGCGCCTACAGTCTTTACACTAAAAATAATTTTTTTTTTTATTTTTAAATATTTCAAGTTTTTAATAAGTTTAAATTAAATTAGTAAATTTAAATTAGTTGAAACAAAATATTTAAATAAATTAATTGATTTTATATACATGTTAAAGACAGATTAAGCTTTTTAATATTTTAATACAGTAAAAATGCTTTTAAACCAATAAAACTATTGGACAATTTTCTTTTTCAAAATTTTTACTTTATTTTAAATATCTATCATAGCAATTAATTTCTTTACTGGCTTTAATTAGATAAACAAATTAAAAAATAAAACTATTGGGTAATTTTTGTTTTTTTTAAATTTATTTACTTTATTTTAAACTTTTATACTAAATAAGCGGTAGTTTAAATCTAAAACCTTTTCATAAAAATAATCAAATATGATAAAGGAATATTTATAGCTTTTTAATGCTAATTAAAAAGAAAGATGAATTATATATGTGTAAAAGGATAAAGCTATCAATTAATCTAATATTAATTTAGCTAAACTCAAGTATTTTTATTGAATTTACAATTAATTGTTTCAAAATTAAATTGGTTGCTAATATAAAAGTTTGTTTAATATAAAATACATTTATTTTTATATAAATAATAATATATTTTATTGGTTTTTAAGTATTTTTATAAAGAAATAATTAAATTTTTATTAATATTTGTTGAAGTTTATTTATTTAATTATAATTTTTTTTTAAGTTTACTTTTAATAAATAAGTTTTTTTACATGAAGAAAGCACCATTTTATTATTATTATTATTTCAAGCTATATCTACATTGATTTCTTCATCATCTAAATTTGCGCAAATTTAAGATGGATTATTTCTTTGAATATAGCAATTATTTGAAGGAAGTGTAGTTTAAGAACCTTGTGCATTGCTGCTTAATATAGTTTCTTTACGCTCTATATTGATTTTTTTGTTGTGGGTTGATTTTAATTGGTTTAGCTGTAAATTCTTTTCGCTGGGGTTTGATATTACATCTTGATTAAAAATTTCTAATTATATATTTTACTCTTCCTGGTCTATGCGCTTTTCTTAATTTTTCTCATATACAGGGAAGGATCCTATATCTGATTTTTTTTACTGAAAGCCTCTCTCTTCATCTCCCTATAATTCTGCTACACTAAAAGCAATTTTCTTTTCTTTTTAATTTTTTTGTTGTATAATTTACTACTTAAAAGTTTGTTCTTTTGATTCTTCACTTTTATTAGACTAAGCTTTGTTTGCTAACAAAAATGTCTGAACTTAATCTGAAATGCACGATGATTATTATTTTAGGTTATTTAATTGATTTTAAGTTGAATCTGATTAATTATTGTTGATACAATTTTTTTATAAATTTTAAGGTAAAACACTTTTTTAGTCAGTTGAATTTTATTCGTCTACTTGCGCTGGATATTATTTCATATTAGAAATTATACCAAAGGGATTTTTTTCATCAATTCTACTTTAAAATTGTAATCCTTAATTAAAAATGATTTAATCTTTCTTTTTATGTTTAATTTGGCTTTTTGTTTGTTAATTATTAGAGGTTTATTAAGAAGCAGTTTCATCATGCGAAAAACTCAGTTGATAATGATAGAGAATAGGTATGTATCTTTCTCTGAAAGCTAGCATGGCATTCTATACAATTTTACTGGCAAATATAAAGAATAGGTGGAAAAGAATTAAGGCAAGAGATTTTGCTAAGGAAATAGGAACAAAGTTTAAAATGAGTACATTTGTGAGAATCTCAAAAAATATGGTGATAAGAACAGCTATTTAATATATTTTCAAGCACAACAATGAGAAATTAGCCATTCCATTCAAACCAACTAAGATATTTATGATCCATACTACTAATTGGAGAATTGTAATTCCATCAGCTGTTACTAAAAGTTGCAGAGATAAGTTGTCTAATGTTTTCATTTTGAACCAATTTTCAGATTAAATATAAGTTAATCCTATAATAATTACCCAAATAACGTTTAAAATTAAGAAAATTTAAGATCTCCTTCTCAAAGAGAGGACCAAAAGATCTCTCTACTGTTTTTATCTATCAGTTAATTTAAACTCTTGATCTATTTACAGAAGAGATTCATTCTCCACAATCTATCCATTTCTTCTAAGTTTCCCAAAGTGTCTGCTTAGTGTATTTCTTACAAAGTTGACTTTTGAGCATATTTCTTCTAATTTTTCGTTGTTTGTTAAATTAAAATACTCAGGATATTTTTATTGCTACTCATCATCTTATTCTTCAATAGAGTCTATATTTTTTTTCTCTAATTAAGTTTCTTCAGCATTTAAGACTAACTATTTGGAATTATTTTACTAATTATTAAAAACTTATTAATTTATATTAATATTCTTGGTTTATAAGCCTTTGGAATTGCATTCAAGAAAATTAATTTGGTCATTCTAATTGTTTATATTAATAACCATTTTTTCTTCATTAACCCTTTAATTTTAAATATATGAAGATTTCCTGTTTGGAAATTATAATTTGTTCATTTATTAATCTTCTTCCTCAATATATTATTAACTTTATTTTTTAACATTATGTTACTAATGCTCCTCATTAATAACTTTATTATTATTATTTTACTTGAATTCGTTATGGTGAAAATCTTTATAAGAATGATCCTTAGCTTAATTCTCCAAAGATAATTAGGCCATTTTATTTTAATGCTTCTCATTTTATTATTAAATTTAAAGAAATTTAATAGTTGGGCTATCTTTAAAAATCTAGTTAGATTCAAATTTTAAAAAGCATAAATTATTATTTAATGATTAATCACAATTATCTTGTATGTTTTAACGTTGCTTAATTGGCAGTAAATCGTTATCCTGTACTAAGCAATCAGCCTTATTGTCGTTTTCTCTTCGCAAGTCTGCCATATAGGATTGTTATGGTTCTTATTACTAGCTGCTCTATTCCTCGATTTGCTAGGAGTTTTTATTTTTTTTACTCATGTATTTATAATGTTATTATTTAGCTACTCTGTAAGAATAATAATTGTTTGGTTATATTATGTTTCTACTTATTATATTTGTCAAAATAATGCGAACTTTTATTTTATTAAACAAGCAACCAAGCAAGCAAAAAAACAAAGAAAACAGCAATCAAAGCAAATTATAATACATCTAAAATTTTTGTTAAATAAAAGTTGATTTTTTAAAAGAAATTTTGATTTCATATTAATACAAAAGAAAAAAAATAGTGTAAGTCAAATAAATTCTTTTTTATTCTCTCTATTTACTCATTTTTCGTAATTTATTATCATTTTTTATATTAATCTATATTAAACACCATCAAATATTTGAAAGTAAAGTTGCTAGATACCTAAAATTTGCTAAAATCTATATTTATCACTAAAAAGAAAAAAATATTTATATTATATTGGTTAATGGACAAATATTACTAAAAAATTAAATTATTTATTTATTTATTTTAAATATATTGTATCTTGATTTATCGAGCATTTCTATTCTACTAACATGAAAATCTCCCAATTAAATTTAAATTTATAGCAATATCTACGCATTATTAGTTTTATAAATTTTGAATTACAATTCCTTAATTATCTTATTATACTTGGTAGATTAAAAAAGAATCACGATCATATAAATGCAAAACCAATTAATATTAATCATACTATTTTTCATTAATTTTTAAAATTAGTAAAAATATTAAAAAAGAAAAATAAATTTTGTTTTTTTTGTAAAATATTATTGAACATTAAAAATATTATTTTCGTAATCATTCAAAAAATAAACTTATTTAATTTTCTCTTTTCATGAAATAAATAAATAAAATTAAATAAAAATAAGAATAAAAATTTTCCAAAATAAATATTTTTATTAAATAAAAACTTTTTAATTTCTAAAAAAATTAGCAAGATACGCTATTCATTTTTTTAAAATATGCCTTGCTGTCTTGATTTATATGTTTATTTTTTTATTTATTTATTATTAATTTTATTTATTTATTTTAATATTTATTTGTTTATTTGTTTAATTACTAATTTTTATTTGATTATTTTTTAATAGATTTTTTATTTATTTAATTAATTAATTTTATTTATTTGTATTTATTTAAATTTATTTATTTTTTAATTTTTAATTTTTTTTTTAAATCTTGATAGAGAGGAATCGACTTTGGTTCTATTGCCTAATTTTAAACAATATATTTTATATATTTTAAAATATGATTGCAAAGACATAAGAATGAATATCTCGTGGTTTTAAAAACTTAAATTTTGGCATTTGCTCAAAATTGGTTTGAACATCATAGACTGTGATTAGCTAATTCTATTTTATTAAACAATAAGTGTTCTAATTAGATCTGTTTGAATACTATTATCCTTAGCCTCAAAAATTTATTATCGACGTGAGATAATTTATTTATTTTATTTTATCTCCTATGAATATATATTACAATAATCGTTCTAATATTATATTAATATTTTATATTCATAGCGGGAATTAGTATTAAAAAATTTATAATAGATTCAAACAGCTTCTGGTCTTAGGCTTACTGTTTTTTTATATAGAAATCAGCTTTTTTAAGTCTATAAATGGATCGAAATCGTTTTATGCATTAGGAGATATATGAGCTTTGTATCCTGTGAGATAGAGCATTATATTTATTTTACTTTTTACAATATCGAAATAGTTTAGGAGAATAGATTTAACATTAAAAGAGCTTAAGTGTAGAGTGTGTGTAGTGTGGATGTGCGAGCAATTTTCATTTTTGTAGATAAGTAGCAAAGCCTTTCGATATTGTAAATTTCAAAAAAACTAAAGTTTCTATATCAACATTTTATTTTTTCTCAAATACCTTTTTGTCCTAAATTATAAAATCTCTTTCCATTTTTGTTAATTTAATCATTTACTTTTTTTTTTTTTTCATTGATTTTATTTATTAATAAATTATTATAAATTATTTGGATAAAAGAAAAAATAAAATTTGAAAACTTTGATTTAAATATCAAAAATTTCCTCTTTACTAAAGTAAATATCTAATTTCATGAAATAAACAACAATAGCAAATTTATTTTTCAAAATTTTAAACAAAAACTAGTTCAAACCTTTCTTTTCATTTGCTTAATATAAACTAAAGCACAATATAATTTGTTTATTAGTGAGATTTTGGATTTAAAAATGATTATAAATATTAATAATTTATTTTTTTTTGTAAGAAAATAATATTATTTTTATACAAAACTTTTTAAAAATAATTAGATTTAATTATAAATAATTTTCTTTAATTTAAGCTTTCAAAAAAATATTATGAATTATATAAGTAGATTATTAATTTTTTACTTTTATGAGATAAAATATTTTTAAATTTAAATTTAATATTAGAACTAATTTGAACAAATAAATATATTGGATATTTTATTCTAGACAATAAAATTATTTGATTTTATATTTCATCAATAATATTCTATTAAATATTGAACTTAAAGTAAGAAAAACAGGCTTGAATACTTTAATAAATTTGGATATTTATGGGAAATAAAATAAAAATAAAAATTTGAAAGATAATAAAAAATAGTTGAAAAATAAATTGATTCATTTTCAATCAAAAAAACAATCAAAACATACATAAATACAAACAAACAAACATAACAGCTAATAAATGTGATAATGTTAATCATAAATTACTTTTCATATTTAATTTTTCATTAGATAATTTCAAACAAATTAAATATTTTTCTAAATGATAGATAGATAGATATCTCTTTTCTCTTCAAGATTTTAATTAAATCTGAAGCAACCAGACAAGTAAAAAATTATTTATTAAGTTTTAAAAATAGGTAATTTGAAAATTAAAGAGAAAATAAAATAGAAACAAACAATTTCAGTAAAGAAAAAATATAAATCAATTAATAAAATATTGTTAATTTAACAAAATAAATCAAAGAAACAAACATATCAATCAATAAAGCAAGTATAATTAGTTATAAAAAATGATCTAATAACAACCAGTATATGGATCTTAAGTTTACCAAAACTAAAATTAAGTCAAGTACAGTATTACTTAGCTTCAAGGCAAGGAGAGTAGACCTATGATTATACAATAAAGTGTCGTACCAGTTGAATCACGCAAAGAAGTTAACATCCAAGAAGAGAATAGAAGAAATTTAGAAGAAAAACAAATCGTTATTAATGAATTCGTTGCACAGTTGAAGGGTTTACAAACTTTTGTTAAGAATTATAGCGATGGATCCAGATATGAAGGTTAGTTAAATGGAGAAGCTCGTCACGGCAAGGGTATTTATTATTATGCAAATGGTGATATTTATGTTGGCGAGTGGAAAGACGATCTCTTCCACGGTTAAAGATGCTACTATATCTTTTAAACAGGCGAAAGATACGAAGGCTAATTAAAGGAAGGAAGAAAGGAAGGTTTTGGCAAATATACTTATCCTAATGGTAATTTTTATGAAGGAACTTGGTTTAACGATAAAAAGCATGGCTAAGGTGTTTACTTCTATTTGTCCTCAAATGAAAAATATGAAGGTATTTAATTAACTTTTAAGTGATTTTAAAAACAGCTTTTAAGAAAATGGAATTATTTCTTTAAGTAAGTAAATAAGTTGCCCAATTCAATAGTCTTTAACTGATTCTATCTAGATTTTTATTCTTTAGTCAAGTTTTGGGTAGATAAATAATTTTATAATACCCTATCAGAACTAATTTAACATTATATTACATTAAAAAATATCAGTTTTTGATCTACTTACAAAAAAATAATCTTCTCTCTTTGAAAATCATAAATAAAATTAATAAAAAAGATAGATAAGCTTTTAAATATCTTTTTAGAATTTTTTTAAATTGCTAGCATTCCAATAATTAAGCTAAAAAATTTTATAAATTAAATTAATAGGTGAATGGATTAATGGAGAGAAATCAGGAATTGGCAAGTATTTCTTTAGCTATGGAGATAGATACGAAGGATAATGGTAAAATAACTAAAAGAATGGAAAGGGTATTCTTTTCTACTCTTCAGGAGCAGAATATGAAGGAGATTGGCTTAATGACAAAGTTCATGGCTATGGTGTTATGATCTGCCAAAATAGAGATAGATATGAAGGAAATTTCTTCGAAGGATAAAAGAGTGGCCATGGTGTTTATACTTATGTAGATGGATCTAGATATGATGGTGAATGGGCCAATGATGACAAAAATGGTATTGGTACTTTCTAATTCTCTAACGGAGATCTTTACCAAGGTTCTTTTGTAGATGGTGAAAGAAATGGTCCTGGTGTTTATCAATATGCAAATGGTGATACTTACGATGGTAATATATATATATATATTTATTGATCGTTTTTAAAAATATTTTAAAGTAAAAGAGATAGTTTTAAAATATATTTAGTAATAGTTTTTTAAATTATCTAATGATATCTCTAAATAGACCCCATTTATAATTTATAAACTAATAATTATTTTAACTAAAAAGGTGAATGGAAAGCTGATAAGAAAGAAGGTCTTGGTACTCTTGAAATGGCTACTGGAGATAGATATGATGGTGAATGGTAATTATTAAACAAGTTATGAATTTTTTTGACTGATTTTTACTTAAATTTAGGCTCGATGGAAGAAAAAATGGCAAGGGACAATATACTTTTGCAAATGGTGATGCTTATGAAGGTTATTTTGTTGCTGGTTTAAGATAAGGTAAGGGTATTTACACTTGGGCCGATAAATCATACTACAAAGGAGACTGGGAACAAGTAATATTTTTAAATTAAGGCATTTCATATTTTTTTGAAATTTAACATTACTCATAATAACATTTTTTTTTGAATAACTTTAATAGGATAGAATGAACGGTAAAGGTATTTACTGCAGTGCAGACGGAAAGATAGTTGAAGGATACTTCGAAAACGACAATTTTGTTGGAACCATTTGAGACTAATAAATTTTAAATTAATAAAGGCTTCATTATAAATAACCACTCTCTATAAATAAATAAAAAAGTTTTTAGTGGTTTAGCATAGAAGCACAAAAAATAATTTCAGTAATAAGAAGGCAGAAAATAAATATGCAATCTAAATTTACTCGTAGATTTATTAAACAGCAGCTTAATTAATATTAAATTCAAAATATGAATGTTTATTATATATATACTTTTTATAAAATATTTTCTATAAATGCTTTTGTCCTCACAAAAATCTTCTCAATCCTAAATTTATGCTTAAAAAATAGAATTAGAATTAAAAGGCTATCTTATTTATTTCTAATAAAATTCCGTTAATAAATTATTAAATCATTTCAAAAAATGCATTTTTTGATACTATGAATTTATTTATTTAAACTAAAATATGACAGATTTGAATATAAGAAAGATATTTTTTGATAAAGTTTTTTTATTTCTAACATCAATAAATAATTTGGATACATTTAAATATAATTATCATATAATAACACTTTATTCAATTAAACACTATTTTAGTTTTTAATGTTTATTTTAAAATAATAAATTTTTTATATTAGATAATAATGATTTGTATTTTGATCCATTAATATTTTTTATATTTTAAATACTAAAACTATTCTGATTATCTTTTGACTATATTTAATTACTCTTTTTTATCAGAGATTAAATACTTATTTATTTTTTATGTGTATTTGGCTCATTTTTACAAGTAATATTTTTATTTATTTATATATTTTCTTAGATAAGATTATCACATTCCCAAATTCCATCAATTAATAAATCTCCTTGATCACTATAAAATGAGCCTTAACCATGCCATTTACTATTTAACCAAAATCCAATATACAATCTTTTACTTTAAGCATAAAAATATTTTCCAAATCCTTAAAATTATCCCTAAAAAAATTCTCCTTAGTAAAAATCACCAGTATTATATTTGAAAAGACCAATACCATCTTGAAGATCTTAAGACCATTCACCTTCGTAATAGTTTCCATTAGAATAGAATTACTTTCCTTCACCATTTCTTTTATTATCCTTTGTAGAACCTAAATAAATCCCTCCGCATTTAAAACCAATTATTGAAACTTAAGATTTATTCTGCGTTATTTATAATAACTTAATTTCTTAAATATTTTAATTTGTTTAAATTTTATTGCTTGACATAGTAATTTGTTATGCAAATAATTATTATTTTTTGTTTTCTTGCATGTTTTTGATAACAAATAATTTTAAGTTTACTTAATTAAATTTTAAATACTTCGTAGATCTAATTTATGAATATTAATTATTGAATCTTCTTCTTCTTCAATTTATAAAACAAATAAATATTATTACTTACAAAATTTATTTTGAAAGTTGAAAAAACAAAATTATTGTGAAATTCTTTTAAATTATTCAGTTTCAGTTTCGAGTAAATTTACACATTTAAAAAAACAAATTTAATTTCGATATTTTTTAAAAATTTGATTCATTAATTAATAAGTTATTTTAAAATGATTTATTTATTGATATATTAAAATTTTAGAGGTAAACAAATGGTTCTGGATTAACTGTACGGACTTTCTTTAAAATATTCTTAGAAATACTGGTTAACAGAATTTTTTAAATATTTTGAAGAAAAGAAATAGAGTCAAACAAAACAAAAAATATTAATATAAGCAGGAAAAATTTTTTTTAATAATAAGTTTGTAAGCTATATGTTATTTCTAAATTTAATAAATTAAATTCTAAAATAAGATACATCTATGATAATAACATTAAAGGGGTAACATGTAATTACTTTTCATTATATCTACTATATTATTTTTTTAAAATAACTCAAATGATATTTGAATAATTTTCTACTGTTTTAAAATGAAATTTCTTTAAAAAATAAAATATTTAAAAATATTTTTTTTTTACAAAATTGAAAAACATTCAAACAAATAAACAAATATTTATCAAATCTAAGGAAAATGATCTACAACTTTAAAATACTTGATAATAAAACTTTTGATATTAAAACCTAAAGTACCTAATGTCAGTGAGCTATAAAGTTCTATTTCTTTAGCATCATCCTCAATACTGTTGATGTTTTAATAGCCTGGGTAATCAGCTACCATAAATATTTTACCTTTGATCCAAATTCTAAACTCTAAATTTCTTGCTTTTAATGAAAATCTTAGAGAAGGGTCATTAAGTCTTTTTCCTTTTATGACTTTTGTTATACCATATGAATTTTGATTACAGTAGCAAAGATTATCAGCAAATATTCTATGAGTATTCTTATTGAAGGATCTAATCAAACCAATCCTTGAATAGTAATTAAAATTATTCATTGGTTCAATCTCAATCCTAACAACATATTTTAAGTTTGGATCCAAGTCAGCATCAAATACTGTTTGAATAGACTGACTCTGATATTAGAAATGGTCAATCACTAGCTCTTGCTAAGGATTTCTCCAAATTTTGACATTTTTGTCCGAATCATTATACAACGATGGAGTAAAGTTTACTTCTTTTGTTAAATCTTTATAAGGATTTGCTATATCTATAGTATCTAATATGGGATATTTATATAGAATATCTCTTATTTTGGTTTTATCTGACTCATTAAAGAATTTAAAGTCTATATATTATAGTACAATAAATGTGTTGTTGGTGCTTTCATTTAAGTAAGTGTTATACAAAGGATCTTTTACGGGAGATTTATGCAAATTATCAACTTATAAATGATTTATTTCAGAGTACTTTTTAACTAAATTATTTATTAATTAAAGCTAGTCATATGACATATATCTAAAATCGATTGGAGTAGAAGTAAACATATCTTCATCGTTAATTTAAATCTCATCTATAATTGCTTTTAAGCTATCTAACTTCTCTTCTATCTCTTAAAGGTACTTTGATCTGACAAAATTAGAATTGTTTGATATCAATCTCAAAATTCTATTTACATTTTCAGAAGGCTAATTCATATATTCAATATCTTAATATTTTTTAGCAAGTTTAAGTATAGTTTTGTATTGAGATTCTTTTATTTTATGGAAATCTTCAACTTCTCCATCTAGCTAAATTATATCTTTAAATAGTGGCTCCACTTTTTCTAAAGATTGCTTTATTTTGTTGATAGATTATTTACTAACTTAATTGCTCCTATTAGAAATTAAATTTATCATTTATTCTATATAAGGAGAGCATTAAGCTTATTTTCCTTCTTCTAATAATTTATTTTTGTAAGTTTAGTTTTATACTATCTCCCTAATATCTTCTAATTGAGGAATGCTTAATGAGCTAAAATCTATTGGTTATTTTTATTCAATAAAAAGATCTTCCATATCTTCTTTATTTATCAATACTGAGTATTTGTTCAATATTTATTCAATTTTCGAGATAAATCTTTAAGTGCAAAAGTTAGATTTATTTGATATAAGCTGTATTAGCTTGTCTACATTGCTTTAATCAGAATTAAATTTCATTTAACGAAAATTATAGTTCAATTCTTTATTATTATTTTATTTGTAGTTATCTTCTTAAAAATATAAGCAAACTTTTTCTAAAGAATGAATAATATCTTCTTTTATTTTCTTAGGTAAGTCCAAGTCTATTTCTTGAATTGATTAGTTATAATTGCCTATAGATTTGATCAACTCTTAAGAAATTTAACTTCTTTATTCTATTTTATCTTTTAAGAATAAAGTAAACTACACAGTAGATTCTTACGTGTTTGTTTAAGATGTAAGTAATTATTTAAATACCTATTTTTCTGCCAATTTATTGTATACATCAAGTAAGGTTTAATTTGAGTTTTAATATTTATTAATTTGTATGTTAATAATCTACTATAAATTTGTAAGCTATTCATTTAACTCTCGCCTAAAGTTTTCAAAAAAATCATTTAATATTTTTATTTATGATTTATCTGAGTCTTTATTTACTATTTGTTCAACTTAGCTCAATAACTAAGAGTCATTTACTGGAGGCCAGTTAGATATTATAGATGATTAGCTATACTAATTAACCTCCTCAACTAAAATAAGCTAATCTCCACTAATTTTATATTAAGTGATGCATTTAGCGCACTTAAAGTACTAATCATCATCTAATTTTATGTAAATAGGATGAAATTACTGATGCCTATCACAATTAAATTGCATAATCTTGAAATTAAATTTATCGTTTTTACTTTGTAAAATTTGCAAATAATTTAATTGTTATTAATATCCTGTTTTAAGATATTTAGATAAAAAATCCTGACAACTAATTTAATCTTTTGTTGAATTTGATAATTTTAAAATTAACAATTAAAAAATAATACGCAAAATACAATAGCGTAGTAAACTGAATCATTTTTTGTCATAATAAAGTGTCTAATTTATTCAATTTTAACATACTTTAAAAATAATGAGTAGTTTCTACTTTATTAGTTATTTGACTATCATATATAAATATTTTTTTTTAAATTTATTTTAACTTAATAAAATTAAAACCTAAAAATAAAGCAAATATAAATTTTCAATTACATAGCAATTTACCTTATTTCATTTACTATTTTAAAAATAAAATAGATTTGTTTTGTTAGTTAATAAAACACTGTTTGATTATAAAACATATTAAACTTTCTTTTAATTTCATCAAAAATCAATAAAATATTTTAATATCAACATAATTTAATTATATTAAAATACAAAATTATAATCACTTTTTAAATGACAATATTTTATAATCAAAGATTAGGAATAAATAGTAATACTTAAATAAATTAAAATAAAAAATTATTATAAAAAAAATTAAAAATAAAATATAACACAATTATTTAAGAATGTAAATTTTATTAACTTATTTTCATGAATTCATAAGTTATAATATTTTCCTTTCAAATAATTATTTTAATTAATTTCTAGATGCAACATTAAAATATTAAAAGTAAATTTTGTTTTCTTTTAAGAATTAAAAATATTTAGAATTTTTAATGTTTTTAGATGTATTATAAAAATATTAATTGCTTATCTTATAAATATTAAAAATAATTCTGATTTTCTGGTAATTTATGATATAATTTGCTAATTATGTTTAATTTTGATGATTTCTTAGGCTGATTTGTAAAGAAATTTCTTTTTTTCTTCTATTTTTTTCTTTTATCAAATTTTACTTATAATTAATTATTTTTTTAATATTTCTTTAATTATTTGAATTAATTAATAAGTAATATTCTTTCTTTATTTTTTCTATTTTACCTCTTTTATTAAATTTTACATTTATTATATTTTTTTAAGAATAATTTTGGCTTTAACTTTCATTATCTTTAAAACTTTAAAACAATTATGTTAGATTATATCAGCCTATTTTAAGTTTGATATATTTTTAAATGTAAAACTCTCTAATATTTACCTATTAAAAAATTTAAAAAGCCATAATTACTTAGTGTTTTTATTATTTAATATCTAAATTGTTTTTATAGAAATTGAATAATATTATGAAAAAAGAAAATGCTCAAATTTAGTAAAAACAATTTATTTGATTTGGATTGTGATATTAGTTATAAAAATAAATCTAAAACAATAAGTTCTCAAAAAATTTTAATGATACTTTTATACTCTTTGATTTATTTAAAAAAACAAGTAATTTTGATAGAGAGATCTATTTTAATCACTTAAAATAAGGACATTTTAATAAATTATGTTTTAATAATTGTTATGTAATTAAATTTTCCTAATTTGTTCTATTTACTTCTATTTATAATAATTACAATTAAATAATAAAAATTGGTTTTATTATAATTTTAATGGTTAAAACTAATTAAATTCACCAAAGCAAGCTGAAGATATAATTAGTTACTTTAAAAATTTAACTAAAGGATTAATATAGTTAATTAAAGTAAAATTTTTAAACTAAATTATAAAAAAAAACACAACAGCTAAAATGTCAAAGTAATAAGCTAATTAAAAAGAAACCCCTTCTTAAGATTCTAAAATCAAAAGTTAATCATCTCCAGAAGATTTTTACAATAAAGAAGATTTTGAGTAAGGATATGGTTTTATAGGTAGACTTTTCCTATTAAATTTACTCTCTGTCGCTGTAAAGATTAAAAAAGTTTTGAATAAAGGACTAAACGTAAACTCTATGCATACTCCAAAGCTGAAAGAAAATTAATTGTCTTAGAATAACTCCGAAAAATTCAGACAAAACCTCGATAAAATCTTATTAAATGGAGAGTTAAAAGTAATTTTTATTACTTTTTTTATTTAAATAATTATTTTTCTTCATAAAATTAGCCTTTGAAGGTATGGAAAGCATTACTATCTGTGTTTAAATAAAAAATATATACAATCTTTTTTTACTAAATATTTGACGTCAGTCTCAAGCTATTTAATTCTGTTTGTTTAAATTTTTGTATTTAAGGCTTACTTGATAAAGATAATAAAACAGCTTACATCTGGGGTGCTATTATGGTAATTTCTATGCTATTTTCTAGTTTATTTAGATAAAATGGGTGGGAGTTAGGTTTAAATTTGAATTCTGAAGTTAGGAGTGTAATAATTAACACAACTTATAATAAAGTTAGCTAATTGAGTGCTATTTCAATCAAGTCTGCTAATGTTGGAAAAATCGTTAATCTAATTTCTGGTGACCTAAATACCACTGAAGCTAAGTTCTTTTATTTGTTTTAAATGGCTATCGCTCCATATACACTTGCAGTAGCTTGTGTTATTCTTGCTTTTAGACTTGGTTTTTATGGTAATTTATATTTATTTTTTCTAAAAATATTTTAATTTATTTAATTTTTTAACATGCTGTTTCTGCTTTCAAATATAAAAAATAATTATAAGCTAATTTTAAATCTTTTTTCATTCAAAATTACTGTAATCTTACTAAAATTAAATCAAATAAATATTATTTTACCACTTTATTTTTTATTTAATTTAAAAAATTTTTTTTGCTAAATTTCTTTATTAATTAATTAAATATTAAATAGGATTACTCAGTATAGTTTTTTTAATATTTATCTTTCCAACTCAGAAGTTCTTCGGTAAAAGAGCTTCGAAGCATACTGCTAAAAGAATATTAAAAACAGATGAAAGATTAAAATTGACAAAAGAAATTATTGAAGGAATTTAAATAATTAAGATGTATGGATGGGAGAAGGCAATCTAAAATATTATTGAAAAAATTAGAAATGAAGAAGTCAGGGAGATATTCAAAGTTCAAACTCTATAATATATAGAAAAAGCTATCTCTACTTCATATGTTTTAGTAGCAGCCACCTTAACATTTATAATAATAAATTATGAAGGTTCTGTTGAACTTAATAGCGCTAAAATTTTTTCAACTATTGAAATGCTTCAGTATATTAAAACAAATATATTTTTGTTTTCAGGTATAGGTTTTGGCTATATTTTTGAACTTCAAATATTCTTAAGAAGATTTATTGATATTTACAGTATTAAAAATATTGTAACTCAAACTAATCAAGGCAAATAATCTAATGATTTAATTTAAAATGGAATTTTTGCTAGTTTTAATAATTTTAGTGCTTATTTTAAAGAACCAAAATAAGCCTAAGTTGAACCAAAAAATTAAATCACAACAAACGTTGTGACAGCTGAATAAGTTTAAACAGAAATAGATGTTGCAGCATTAAAATAATAGAATGAAAAAGTATTTCCTATCCTTAAAGATCTGACTTTTGATATTAAATAAGGAGAAATCTTAGGGATAGTAGGAAAAACTGGAAGTGGAAAAAGTACACTTCTTTATAGCTTCTTAAAGGAAATTCCTTACTATTTAGGCTAATATTAATTCAGAGAGAATGATGCAAATGGAGAAAAACTAAAATTTGCATACGTAGAATAGGAACCTTATATTTTTTCAGCTACAATTAGAGAAAATATTTTGTTTGGAAAATCTTTTGAAGAGAAGTGGTATCACACTGTGGTATAAGCTTGCTGCTTAGATCATGACTTTTAAGTTATTGATAAAGGAGATCAAACATTAGTTGGAGAAAGAGGTGCTAATTTAAGTGGTGGTTAGAAAGCTAGAATAAGTTTAGCAAGAGCTTTATATAGCAATGCAGATGTCTATTTGTTGGATGATCCTTTAAGTGCTGTTGACTCAAAAGTTTCAAAATAATTAATAAATAAAGCTATATGTGGATTAATGAAAGGTAAAACAGTTATTTTGGTTACCCATCAAATTCATTTTACTAAGAATTGTGATAGAATTCTAATTTTAGAAGATGATGGATCTCTAAAAGTAATTGGAAGCTTTGAAGAAGTGTTTGAATAACTTAAAACATTGGCAGCAAAATAAATAAAGTTTGAAAATGAAGAAGAGAAGTCAATCAAGAGTCTTGAAAAAACTTAAATTAAAGAAAAAAATGGAAGTTAGAATAGTCTGAGTAGTGAGGAAGTAAATTCAGATTAAGAAATAGAAAAGAAATAAAAAATAAAAAACAAAATTGAAGAGAAAAAAGATGAAATTGTTAATGTAAGCTTCAACACCTACACTAAATTTTTGAAAATTATGAATTCTTAAATACTGGGATTACCAATTATAATTGTAATACTTTTTATATTAGCAGAATGCCTTTTCACAGCATTTTAGAGAGGTCTTGGTTTGTATGATTCGACTTCTGATGATGAAAAGTCAAAATTATTTGGCTTTTTGATCTTGTTTTCTTGCTCATATATGATTACTAATGGATTCAAATAAGTTCTTTTTTCTTATGGTAAATTTTAATTAATAAAATTCAAATGTTAATTATAATTTTATTTTGTTATAAAAGGAATCATTAAAGAAAGCAAGTATTTGCATAATTAAATGCTCTACTCTATGCTAAGAGCACCTTTGCTGTTTTTTGACAAGGTTTCTAGTGGAATTCTAATTAACAAATTTTCTAATGATGTCAGCTTGCTTGATAACTTTTTGCATTTTACTTCAAATGACTCCTTAGATATTTTATGCAATTTTTTTAATTTGCTTATTACATGCTGTGTTTTTAATTACTATATTTTGATTCCTAGTGCAATTGTCATTTTTCTTTTGTATAAATTTTTGCTTTTCAATAAGGACATCATCTTGAAAATGAAATAATTGGATCTAGCTAATAAATCTCCTGTCTTTGCTTACTTTTCTTCAACTTTACATGGAATTATTCCTATCAAAGTATATGGCTAGAATTAAAATTTCTTAAACAATATGACTGATTTGTGCAACAATAACTTAAGAGCTAATTTGGCTTACTGGCTTTGTAGCAGATTTTTTGGTGGATTTATATAAAATATAGCTATAATATGCACTGCTATAGGTGTTTTTATTATTATATCTTTACCTTCTTCTGATCCAACACTATCAGCATAAAGTCTCACTTACTTTATGCTCATGGCTGATTCTGTTTAATGGTGTCTGAGATAAATGTTGGCTACTGATTCAGCTATGTCTTCTGTTGAAAGAATATAAAATTTAATAGATTAGCCCTCTGAAGCTCCATTGGTTACAGATCATTTAAAATAATAAACAAATTAGTTGGAAGTGAAATGGCCCTAAAACGGCTAAATTGAATTTAAAAATGTTAAGATGAGATATAGATAAGAACTAAATCCTGTTCTAAAAGGTATTAATTTTAGCATCAAGCACAGTGAAAAAGTTGGTTGCGTAGGTAGGACTGGAGCAGGAAAATCTTCACTAATTCAAGTAATTTGATAGCTAATAAGAAATTTAATATTTTATAGATAAAATAATTTAAAATATAAAATTAATATTTTGTTTTAAAAATAGGCTTTGTTTAGACTCACTGAACCTGAAGCGGGGTCAGAAATGCATATAAATGGCATTGAAATTCAAAAATTAGGTTTACACACATTAAGATAAAGTATTTCAATTATACCCCAAGTACCCTTCGTATTTGGAGGAACAATAAGAAGAAATCTAGATCCTTTAAGCTAGTACACTGATGAAAAACTTTGGGAAGTTCTTAGATTGGTAGAATTAGAATAATTTGCTAAGCAAAATTGTTAAGATGGATTAGATACTGATATGGGTAATTTATTAAAAATATAAAAAATTTATTTACTTTTATTTAAATTATAAAGGTGCTTCTTCTTGTTCTTTTTCAGTTGGATAAAAATAATTAATATGCTTAGCAAGAGCATTGCTGAAAACCAATAAGATTCTAGTTTTGGATGAAGCTACCTCTAATGTTGATATGGAAACTGATTAATTCATTTAAAAAACACTAAGAACAAATTTTTCTGATTATACTATTATCACAATAGCTCATAGATTAAATTCAATAGCAGACTATGATAAGGTCATAGTCATGGATAATGGATTGGTAGCTGAATATGATTCACCATTCAATCTACTAGCTAATTCTACAGAAGATACATACATAACAAAAAATACAATCTTTGCACAAATGGTGAAACACACAGGAGAAAAAAATTCATAAAATATTTTCTAAACTGCTAAAAACAAATATATAAATTCTTAACTAAATAAATGAAATTGTATTGTAAATTAACTTTATAAATATTTTTTGTTTAAAATTAATAAGTATTGATTCATATAATAATTTAAAAATATCTCTAAAACTCAATTAAGATTTAAGTTTAAAATATAAATAAGAATTGAAAATAAAAATATTTTTTACTTTAATTTTAATTTTTAATTGATAATAAAAATTATTAATAAATTTTAAATAAATTTCTTTATTCAAACTATCTATAAAAAATTATTTTTTCAGGTATTGATAAAATATTTAAATAGTTTCATATTTTCTTTCTCTTTTAATAAGTTCAAATAAGAATAAAATAAATAAGAAAGTTTTTGATAAGTTTTATTAATTAGATTTAATATTTGTTTTTATGATAAAGTTTTTATGCTGAAATAAATGTTATGAACTAACTATTAAAATAATAAAAAAAATATTTAAATAGATAGATGATATTTTAATTTTTAAAAGAAAATAAACTTAATAATTTAAACTATTCAAATATTTCAAAATAAAAATTGAACAATAGTTTTATAAAAAGATGTTAGTTACGATTAACTAATTGATTATTTGTTCAAACTAAAGCTTATTGAATACTTTATCAATAGAATAAGTAACAAATTTTTTAATATATATTATATATTTTTATTTTAAATCAAAATATTAAATATAAAAATAAGAAATAATTAATTAGTTTATAGATAGATAGATATTAATGTAATATTTTAGTGAGTTGATGCTAATACAAAATTTTAGTTTATAGACATTTTTTCGATATAATATTTTAAAAATCTGAGAGGTAAATACAAGTGAGGTGGTATGTTTTAATGCATGATGATCTGTAATTTAGAGTTAGACATCAAATTTTCAATAAAAATATTTATGATTTAAAAGAATAGTAAGTTACATGCTATTAACCTAATATTTAAAACTATAAAATTTTTAATTTTATTTGAAAATAATTTTCTTAAGTAAAATAAATGAGTTTTTTTAATTTTATTCTGAATTTTTCTAAATATTTGGAAAATATCTTTAATTATTAGTAAAAATAGACATGCATAATTAGATGTTGTAAATAGATAATATTTTTAAATGAATTAACTATTATTTTGATAAAATTAAGTACAATAAATTAGCAAATAGATAGTATGAATGGTAAATTCTTCAACCAAATCAATCATAAAATTGTAAATAAACATCAATATTTAAAAGCAATACACAAAAATAAAGTTTGAATCTAAAATATCATAAATTCAATTAATTAAAACAAATAGGATCAATATTATATAAAATAAAAAAAAGGAAGAGTAAAAGACTTAAATTACATAAATTTTTAAAGTAAATTAAAATAATTAGGTGAATTTAAGAAGTTATTATGAAAATTGGATTGTTTTTTTTATACATAAGTTATATAATCTGCAAGTAATGTCCTCAAATTCTATCATATTTCAGTAAAAAAGATTATTTTGATTTTTTTATAATTTTGAAAATTTATTAATGGTAAGGTCTAATCTATGACGATGGATATATTCCTAATATATTCTTACAAATACCCTAAACAAATATTATGGTAATATGTACGAGTAGTATAAGTACCTAAAATAAGGGATAAAGTCAATTGTATTTTGCCGATCTTAGGTCTCCTTCTCGAAGTATAATTAATCAAGTTAGAGGTAAATTGTAAAAATGTTATTTATTTATTTATAATTCGTTTTGTTTAATTAAAGCTGAATATACTATTAGTGGAATGGAATACATTGAATACTCAAACTAAATTCTGATTTTAAGCTCTGGTAAAATCATGATTGTCAATCCTATTTCGTTTTAGTCTATTCGCTTTCTTGACATAAATAACATTCAATCTATTTTAATGATATCTAAGACAAAATATGGTCTGCTTTTGAATTTAGTCAATAGGATTTACTTATTTGATACACAAACAGCTCAAATTTTAAAAACTCTTGATTATTTAAACGATTATAGAATTAGGAATAAATAACAATTCTATTTTAAAATGTATGATTTTAAATGCTCAAAAAATAAGATAATTATTACTAGTACTGAAATTGGATTAACTGCATCAAGTATAGATGTAAATACCTTAGAGCTTAAATATCTTGGCATCATCGATTATAGTATATGATTTTGATTTTTTCTTTTTTTAAATTGTTAAATTTAAATAGCATAATAATATTCTGATGGTGGAAATTATAGAGTATTTGATAAATATCCAGATGACGATGTAATATTTATTGGTGGTCGATATCTATAATTGATAGGAGTATAAATATTAAATTTTGAAACTGGTTAGTATGTACAAAAGTTCAACATATGTAAAATTTATTATGTTTAAGAAGTTTCTGAATTTATCTTTTTTTATATTTCACTAAACAGATCTATATGAATACTATCCTGACTACTATGTTTAAAATTTAATATTTACATATACAAACGGTAAGCCAGTAATTTATGTAGGGACTCCATATTTTCTTTATTATGTAGATATTAAAATTGGTAAAGATTTGGACATGTAGCCTGATGCTTACTGTAAATATATCTATGAATAACAAACATTTTCATGGTATAAATTAGAAGGAACATCTCAGATATATATGGGAGAAATATATTTTGTACACATATTCGACTATAACTCTGACACTTTTTACTCATAATTGTGTAATTTTTTTTTTTAGTTTCAAATTTATTTATTTATATTAATTTATAGATATGATAAATGACTACTTCTCTAGAAGATTTGTTTATGAAGATACTGATCAAACATTTATATTATTTTATTGGACCAAAAATTTATATTATTCTAAAATCGAAACTTTATAAGACTTATATCACATATAAACAAATAAATTTACTTATGGTTTCTATGTAAATTATAACAGTTTCTACAGAGTAAAAGGATGTGAATTATGTCTTTTTGCTAAACTAAGAGACACTGCAGATTATGTTAGTACAACCTTAATTTTACCAATGGACTCTAGAGATAATGTATATTTTTAATTATTGTTTCAAAATAACTAATATTTATACCTAAACTAAACTAGACTCAGCCTATTCAAACAAATAACTTTAATTTTACTTGGGATATAGTAGGACTTACGCTTGATCCCTTTTGGCATGTAAACTCAACATGGTTTGTTTTATCTTTTCCAGATAAATCTAAGCTGAGTTAATAAATAGATGGTTTGTTTTATTTAATAAACGCATAAAATACATCTTAATTTTATACTCTAACTTCACCTTATTAGTCAGATAATTTATAAAACACTATGTACGCAGTAGCATCATTAGAAGATGTAAGTAATCCAGAAGTTATTGGAATTGATGAATAAGGGAAAATATATGTATGGGATTTAAATTCCCCTACTTACGAGTTTAAATACAGTCTTCAGTTAAGTAAAAATATTTTAAGAAATTAATCTTTAAAAAATAATTTTAACTCTCTTATTTACAATAAAACTTAAAACAAACTAAAAATATAAGATTTGCTCAATATTTTTTATTGATATTTATTTCTTAATTTTTTTAAATTTCTGAAATAGGGAACTGTCTTTAGGCTTAAATAGCAGAAACTTTTTATTACAACACAGTAAAAAAATTAATAATAATTTGTGGTGATCGTTCTGTTTATAGTTTTGATCTCAAAACTTAAAATTAATAGTATTTAATTAGTCTAGTTTCTATTCCAATATCATTAAGGGCATTTTCAAGTATATCTGTTATAGCAGTTCCTGATATGGTTGCAAGTATTACTTATCTCTATAAGTATAATTCTCAATCTGGTGAATTTGATTTTTTAATTTCTATTTACTAAAGTTAATAAAAATTTGATATTTATCATATTGAATTACTCAAAGATAATACTTTATGGATCTAATATAAGTATAATTTTATATTTTATCCTCTCCAGGATTGCTTAGATGATCCTTCTTTTTGTACGAGTTGTCAAACAACATTTTATTTCGATATAACTAATCAGTAAGAATCAATTACTGCAACTTATGGTTAAGGAACAGAGCTTGTTCCTTTTACAAGTTCAAATAGCTACATTGAAGCCTTATTAATTGTAAAATATATCTATATTATCAAAAAATATTAATACTTTTTAATCTAAATACTAATTAGGCTTCTCATTATAAAGATATTGTTTTTAACTTGACTAATCTTGAAATAAATATTATTTTAGATCCACGCAATACTATTTATTTAAATACATAATTTTTTGATATTTCGTTTTAGAATTTAGTAACATTAAATATAAAAAGTAAATCCAACGAGTTAGCTTAAATTTAGTATGATAGTTTGATGTAGTTTAATAACTATTAAGAAATTAATTTTGAGAATATATTAGTAAGCTTTATGAAGTAATCTTGTGGACTTTAGTTCTAAAACGTGATTAATTCAGTAAATATACTGAATGTGTAGTTAAAATCTCAATACGATTCTTCAATTAGTTGTTAATAAATTATAGCAGACAATTCTTTTATATAAATTTTAAATTATACTTTAGATGATTAAAACTTTAAAAATAATAAGTTTTTCATATCTACAATCAATACAGATAAAGTAATTTAAATAATTAATATTTCAGAAACTTATTATTTTTAATATTTTAAATAAAATAATAGGTAAGTATTTCAAATTTAACTATCAGCAATTCTAATTTTGGGGAATAGTTCAGTATTTTATATCAGTAAACAGATGTTCAAGCTTTTATATCAAATTTAGTTTTACAAAATAATTATTGTTAGATTAAGACAAATAGTTAAAATACTGTTCCTTTATTTACTGCAGGTCATTTTAAAGTCTCTAATGTCCAAATTTAAAATAATACATTTTGCTATAATGATATATTTTAAACAATTACTTCATTCAGCCATCCTCCTTAAACCTTTACTTTTAAAGAAATACAAGTATCAAATAATACATTTTATACATAAACTAATTACCTTTTTTTCAATTCCCTCTATTCTATCTTGTCATAACCAAGCCACTAACTGATAGTTTAAGATGCAAGATTTTTTAATAATTCACTATAAATTAAATCTAGCTCTGACTTAAATATTGCTTCGTTTTTTTAAACAAATAAAATTTAAAATATAATAATGAGTAGTGTAAGCTTATTAACTCACTATAATATATCTTTAGGAACATTTGAATACTCTAATTTGGTCAATATCACACAGTTTAATTGCTCAAACTAGCAAAACTCCAATAAAAATTTTCTAAGCTACGCTACAGAAGGATGCATTCATATTAACGAAGCTATTAGTGTGGTTATAAATAATATTAATTTAAATAATAAGATTATATAAGACAATTCTTTAATAGTAATTAATAATAATAATTATAAACAGTTATAATTGTCCATTACGATGGGATTATTTTAAAATTTATTATTAAGCTAAACATAACTCAATTCCTATGTCAATCCAATCCACATATAAAGCAGCTATAAAGCAGATATTTAAATATCTAACTTGACATTTTAAAACAGTTAATTAAATAGTATAGAGTATTCACTTACATATTCTACAACTGGTATATGGATAGAAAATCTAGTAGGAATAGTCAATTTATATAATGTAACATATGAAAATAATTTTAGTAATTCAAAATACAACAGTCTGTATATCTAAAGTGATACTCTTTAAATAGTAAATAGTACCTTTGCTAAATCTTCTTTTAACAAAACAAAAAGTAATTAAATAATAAATTAATTTAACTAATATGGAGGTATGGTAAATGTTGTTGTAAACTAGTTATAGGTGTTAAATTCTAATTTTAGTTAATCTGTAGCATAAAAGGGTTCTTTTTTCTATATTTCGTCTTTTGGAAAAAGCTTGAAAGTTTTATTTTCAAACAGTTCATTTTCTGAGGGTTATGGTTTCCTTGATGGAGGAGCTATTTCAGTAGATTCATAAGGAAATTTATTTAATCTTACATTCCTTTAATGTTATTTTGATAATATTTATACATTCACTCCATAAGCTTCCTCTGTTAGTATTGAGTAAATTTATTTTATTTTATAATTCAAATTAATTTATTTTAGAAATAGACTAAGATAAATTGAATTTTATTTATTTATCCAAATTACATCAAAAAAATAAATATTGAAAAATAAGATTTTATAAAAAATAAAATAAATATTTATATTTTAAATAATTTAATAATAAATCTAGGTATTATTCTTAAAAAGGAAGCAATTCTTAAATCTAAATATTTGGAGGTTCTATTACGAACATAAATGGAATATAAGATAACTATTTTATAATTGCTTAATATATAAAAGTAAATATTTCAAATGTTTCTTCTATAACATAAGGTTACTTCACATCACAATCGCTATATTATGAATTGTATTAAAAAACTTCTTAATCTTAACAAGCAACTTTGTTGAGCAGTGAAAACTCTTAAATTTAAGTTGAGAGTACGAATATTTCAAATTTAAGTCTAAATAATTAAAATTCAAAAATACCATTACTCATAATTTCTCAAAATTCAAATATTGTATTAAAAAATACAAATATAAGTAATTGCTAATTTGAAAAAAGTCTAATTTAACTTCAGTTGGGACAAATTTAAATATAAAACTCAACATTTAATAACATAAGATAAATTGCTAAATAAAGAAATATATAATAAATAAAAGAAGTAAATCCATCAGATATTAATTACTCTATTATTTTGGCCAATAATAGTACAGTTTTAGTCTAAAATAATTCTATCTTTTCTAATATAAATTGTATTAACTGTAATGGAGGAGCATTCTTTGTTGAAAATGGAAACTTAAACATATAAGACTCTGTTTTTAAATAAATATAAGTAAGTTATTTTAATTTATAATTTTAAACATACTTATTTATTAAATAGTCTAGCTTTGGAGGTGCATTCTTTATAAATGGATTGCTTGGAACAAATTTAATCAAAAATTCTCATTTTGAGGATTTGTTTGCAACTTATAATGGAGGTGCATTAAATATCTTGCTATAAACTTCTTAGGTATCACATTTCTTTATTATGTTCAATAATCTTTTAAGCATTCTTATTAAACATCATAGTCTTTACAATTTGATATTACAAAATTTTTTAGTGCTTAGATTTTTAAATCAATTACATTTAAATTTTTGTTAAAAAATAAATTTAAGTTTTTTTGATTTTGCTATTAAAATTTAGATTTTATTTCTTATTTAAAAAAATAATATACCCTCTAAAAATACTAAATTTTTCAATACTATTTATGTTAAAAAAAATATTTTAACCTTCCTTTTTTCAAGAAAATTTAATATTTAGTTTAAAAAAAAACAATAAAATTGGAATTAATTAATTTATTAAAAAGAAAATAAAAAATATTATTACCTCAACTAAAATTAAAAGTAAAATACAAATTATATAATTATGAACCTTTTGAAAACTCTACAACTTAAAATTTACATCTCCGATTCAATCAATATTCAAGATTTATTTTAGTTTTTGATATCAATTTTAAAGAATTAATTTTTGTTTTACAATTTTTTAATCTTTTTACAAATTATTTTTAAAAGTTTAATAAAATATAAAAAAAATTAAATACCTAAATTTTAGATATGTTTTATTATGAGCTTTTAATTATAATCTATGATAACTCCTAAATTTAAAATAAAATAATTAAATTATTAATATAATTTATAGTTTATTTAATATTTTGCACAAAAATTTATACTTTTTATTATAAATAAGATATTTAGCTTAAATATTGTATCTTCAGTATTTATCTAAAATTAGTCAATTAATGGAAGAGGTGGTTCAATATTTGTTTTCTCAACAACCATTAATCCTTAGTCACAAATAATTGGTATTTCAGAAACAAATTTTATTTAAAATAAGGCGTAAATTGGAGGAGCTTTATTCAAGTAAGGAATTTCTCCATTATTGATAGACTGTAAATTTGAGGGTAATTAAGGATATATTTTTGGTGACGATTCATTTTCATATGCCACTAAATTAAATCTAGTAAATGCTTAGGAATTTTTAAATAAGCATCATGGAATCTTTGATAGTGGTGATTTAGTTATACATAGTTTTAGAAGTGGTGGTACTCTTACTGATCTTAAGTTTTAGTTAATGAATGATTAAAATGAAATAATCTATCCTCTTACTTAGAATGAAAAGGAAATGTTCAGTGTATAAGTGAAAATTGATTTGTCGACACAAAATTACAATAGTTACTAAATAAGAGGAAATTAATATATTTACTATGATTAATTGCAAAAAGTTTTTCGGTTTGATTAGCTTACAGTTGTTGGAACTCCTGGATCATCTACAACTATTCAATTTTTTTCAAATCAGATTTATAATCTCGATGCAGCTTCTAATCAATATTCATAAAACTACACTTTTAATATAAAAATAAATTTTAGGTAATGCATTTCAGGTGAACAAATAAAGTCATATAATACTCTAACTGAGTGCGATATATGTCAGAAAGGATAATACTCATTTCATGTTTAGCAATGTTAAGATTGTCCTACTGGAGCTATTTGCTCAGGAGGAGATAATATAGTTACTAAGTTAGGTTATTGGAGAAAAACTGTTGATAGTAGTCTGATAATTTAATGTGAGAACTAGTAAGCTAACTGTCCTGGTGGTATTTATGGAAATTTTGTTTGCTATGAAGGACACATTGGAGCACTGTGTGAAGAATGTGATGTAATAAAATAATTTTTGTAACTTCTTTTAATAATTTTTTATTTTGAAAATAAAGTTATATGGAAGTGTTTGGGGGAAATCTTATTCGGTTTCTAGTAAATACTCTTGTGTAGAGTGTGATTAAGTCAAATATAATTTATATGGATTGCTAGGTCTAACTATTTGGACACTATTTTCAATGTCCATTTCTATTTAGTCAAATATTGTTAATATAAAATAGCAAACAGCAAAAGATATATTAATTAGAGCCTTTTCTAAAGGAGTTAGTTATCAAAATAACAAAAATAGATAGTCTTCTATATTATTTACAAAAAATGAAAACGAAAATACAATATTTAAACAAACCACATCATAAGTAAGCAAGAAAAGTTTAATGAGAATGTTTTATGATAGAAAGAAAAAGTCTTAATATTAAGAATCTAAGCAAAGTGTTTTTATTAAAATTTTAACTAATTATTTTCAAATAATCTGCTCAATAGCAACATTCAACCTTAAAGTGCCTTAAGGTATAATTATAATTCTGTATTTTTAAATACTTTTAATTATTTTACGAAATACTAACTTATTATATTATTTACCAAAACAAGTTTGTTTTGTAATTAATCTTTCGAAATTTAATCTTAGAATTTTAATCAAAATTAAATTAAAATTATTTTAAATTAATTAATATTATAAAAATAAAAAATGAAGGTTTCATGGTATTTTCTTTATCTATAGGATAGCCAATTAAATATACTTTGAGTTCTTTAGGCTGCTTGTTAGTAAAATTAGATACAAGTATACCGATTATATTTGTGAATTTGATTTTTTCTCATATTACTATAATTGCTTATTTTATGATATTTCTATTAGGATTAATATTTTAGAAGTCAATTTAAAATATTAAATAACCATTTCCCACTTACAAATTGGTAACAGCAGCAATGTTTTTAATAATCTACTTTTAACCTGATTTAATTTAATAAATAATATCTTTGATGTCTTGTAGAACTATAGGCGATACAAGCTACATACTGTCAAACGTTGCTTATGAATGCTATACTAAATAACATATTCGTTATCTATTAATGATATTGTTACCATTTTTTATACTTTGGATTTTAATATTTCCAATTTTATTCTATGTGTTATTAAGAAAAAATAAATAATAATTAGATGATCCATAAGTTAAACTTAAGTATGGATTCCTTTATCATGAATACAAGTAAAAGGCTTATTATTGGGAGCTTTTGAAAATGGCTTAGAAAATAATCATAATATTATTATTGAACTTTTATTCATAACTAATTATAGTTAAAGGACTTCTCGTTTTTATTGTTATTGCAATATAGGGAATAATATCTTAAAAAATTAAGCCATTTTAAGAGGATGAAATAAATAAAATTGATGTTATATCTACTTAAATATGTGGATTTACAATATTGCTTGGAGTATTCTCATATTAAAATCCTTTTAGCTACTTTTACTATTGCTCTTTAGTTTTGATAGCTGTTATAAATATATCTTTTATAGTATTTTTAATCTACAAAATTTTGAGCAATTACATTAGTTAACTAAAGAGATTAATAGTGAATTTTGTAGATTATGCTTCAGAAAAAATCAAATTTGTACCATTTTAATTTAATAAAAAAAAGAAAAAAAGAATATTGAATCCAATAATCAAAGCTAAAGTGTAGAAATCATTTTAAAATTATTTAAATTTAAGCTAAAAGTAAAAAATGGAATTTTATATGAACATCTTTGAACATGGACTAAGTAGCTACAAAATTTTTTTAAGAAATTACATTTATTTATTTAATTTATATTTTATAATAATAGAATCAAAGTTTTAGGAGAGGAATGAGAAAAACTTTAATTCTACAGCTTTTAGAAAAATTGAAATAGAAATGTCATAAAAAACTAACTAGCAATAGATACAAAGTTTTTTAACATTAGATCCTGAAAGCAATACAGAGTCTCTAGTAAATAATGTGAAGATGAATTGCTTCTAAACATTAAATAGTAAAATTAAAAATTAAAAATTTAATTAATTAATTTTATAAATTTAAATAGATTGCAGCGGCTACAACAAATCAACTTCAAATATTCTATAAACATAAAGCTAAGAATAATTTTTTAGATCTCCTTTAATACTAAGTAATAAGATAAATAAATCTACAATAAAATTTGAAGATATTAAAGAAATATGATTCTGTATTAATAAATGGCAGAATATATCTTGGTTGCATATTTTTTTTCGTTAAATAAACTATTTTTCTTAAATTTAAAAAAGATAAAAAATAAGATTTATAATTTAAATAAAAATTATAAATGAAATTATTTTCTAAATAAAAAAAATTTCTTTTGCTTGTAATTAATATTTATTTATTATTTTTAAAAATAAAATCTTAAATTAATACGTTCTCCTAATATAATAACTGTTTGTTTGATATTTTCAGATTGAGTTAAATATAATTTGAAATTTTATATACTAACATATTCGGTATTTCAGATAAAATTTTATCAAATGGACATAATATTAATTTGGCCTTAATTTTGTTTAAGTAATTGAAATATTATTTTAACTATTTTTATACCCTTAATTGAAATTTATGAATTTTAACTGAATTAAAGTCCTTATCAGAATTTTAAACATATTAGGGAATGTCTATGCTTTAAAATATAAACCTTGACATAATTATTTGGAGCATACTTCTTTATAATGTCTACAATCAACATACTGGAAAATATTCTAAGTAAAAATTCTAAGCTAAATTTAAAGTTTTCAGTAAAAAAAAAATTATTAGAAATTGACCATTTACATTCATTTTAACATTGATTTATTTAATAAATATATTTGTTAAATTAAAAATTTTTGCTAACTTTATTATTAATATTAAAGTATCAGTTAATTAATCTAATTTGCAAGATGTATCATTAGGATTTACATAATGCCCCTAAAATATAGAAAATAATTTTTTTTAAAGTATTTAAAATTTATTGTGTAGAAGAAAAAAAAAAATATTTTTTATCCCTTTATTTATATTTCATGTCTTATATGATGTAATTTTTTATGTTAAATTAGTATTCATTTTTATAAATATTGAAATTAATATGTTATTTGATGTTAAAAAAGTCGATAAAACAAAACCATAGAAATTATAATTACCATTGAAACAAAATGCTTAAAGCCACTTTTGAAATAAGATATTAACCATAAATACTAAAAAGGGAAAATTAAATTATTTTGGAAAATTTAGTAAGCAAAAAGAATTAAGTAGTAATCACTTATTATTAATAATCACAATAAGATTGAATTGTAATTAAAGATACTTAAAAAACTTGAGAATAATTAACAAATTAAATAGAAAATGAATAGATTTTATTTAAAATTATAATTGGTTTTTTTATCAATTATTTGTTCTATGTGCTAATAATGCCCTTAAATTCTTTAGTATTACAGTAAAATTAGAATTTTTGAATTTTTTGTTTAGTTACCAATTATTGATTAAAATTAATTATGATTAGGTCTTATTTATGATGATTAGTATGTAGCAAACGCATTCTTAAAGATTCCTCAAACGAACATAATGGTAATATCAACTGGTAGTTCACATTAAAATAATATGGGATAAAGTTAACTATATTTCGTTGATCTAAGTTCAGCTTCTGGAACAATCATTAATCAAGTGAGGAGTAAGATTTTTAAAATTAATTTTCAATTAACTTAAATTTTTTTGAAACAAAAAGCTGAGTTTACTGTAAATTAAATGGAGTATATAGAATATTCAAGTTAAATTCTTGTTTTAAGCTCTGGCAAAGTTATTGTAGCAAACCCTATTACATTTTAATCAATACGATATCTTGATATAAATAATATCGTATCTATTTTAGTAGTCCCTTAGACGAAATATGCCCTTCTTTTAAATTAGTATAATAGAATTTATTTGTTTGATACATAAAAAGCTGAAATATAAAAAACTCTTGATTACTAATATGATTATTAAACCAAAAACAGTTTATAATTTTATTTTAAAATGTATGACTTTAAATGTTCTAAAAACAAAATAATAATTATTTCTACTGTAATTGGACTAACTGCTGCCAGTTTAGATATAAACACTCTAGAGTTAAAGTATTTAGGCATCATTAATCCTAGTAGCTACTAATTATTTACTTTTATTTTTTTATTAATTTAATTTTTACTAAATTTTTATTAGCAAAGTAAGATTCCTCTATTTATACAAATTATAGACTATTTGATAAGCATCCAAATGAAGATATTATCTTTGTGGCAGGCGTAAAAATTTAATTAATAGGATTAGAGATTTTAGATTTTGAAAGCGGATAATATGTAGAAAAGTTTAACATCAGTAAAATTTTTCAATGTTAACTAAAATTTGTATAAAAATAATAAAAAATAGACCTATATAACGAGTAGCAAGATTCTTATTTTAGCTATATGTCATATACTTAAGTAAACAATAAACCAGTAATAATTGCTTAATCTGATAATTGGATATATTTTGTTGATATTATTATAGATGATCAATATAATATGAAACCTAATGTATTCTGCCCATATATTTCGTATGATACACCATATTCATGGTATAAAGTAGAGGGTACTACATAAATCTATATGGGATATCAATGGAGTGTGTAAATATTAGACTATTCAACCAGGACATTTTCTTCTTAATTAAGTAATTTATAATTAGATATTAAATAAAATTAATACTGATTTTTCTAATAGTAATATATACTGATTTTCTTTCAAGAAGATTTGCGTATGAAGGAATTGATCAAACTTTTATATTAGTTCCATAAAATACTAATCTTGTTTATAATAAAATTGAAACTTTGCAAGAAAAATTTTACTAAAAAAATAATAAATTTTCTTACAGACTATACTAGAATAACAACAGCATTTATAGAGTAAGAGGATGTGAATTATGCTTATTTGCTAAGCTAAGAGACACTACTGATTATGTAACAACTAGTTTAATCATTCCTATGGATTTAACAGATTATGTATACTTTTTTTTTTAGAATCAGAATAAAAGAATAAAAGAAAAAATAAAAAAATTTTGATTTATTTTTAATAAAAAATATATTTATCAAGTTCTATTTACAGAAATTGGTTTTCTTTATACTATTTAATTAATAAAACATAACCCAAAGACTTTATTCAAATAAATATTAAATATAAATTAAATATAGCCTCAACCAATTTAAAATACTGGTAACCATGATATTAATTGGGAAGTTGTAGGATTGACACTAGATCCATTTTACCATGCAAATTCTACATGGATGGTTTTATCTTTTCCAGATAAATCTTTGTTGAATTAGAAAATTAATGGTTTGTTTTATCTGGTAAACGCTTAGAATACTTCTTAGTTTTATTTGCTTACTTCTCCTTTGTAAGAAGATAATTTTTAAAATACTGGTTTTGCGTTGGCAACAATCGAAGATGAGAATAATCCAGAAATAATAGGTATTGATGAATAGGGGAAAATATATGCATGGGATTTAAATTCTCCCATTTATTAGTTTAAATATAGTCTTTAGTTAGGTAAACTTTATATTATCATACATCACTAAAAATTTAACGATTTTAAAAAATATTAAAATTTTTAAATCAAGAAGCAAAATATTTAGCAATATTTTTAAAACATAAAATATAAAATTTTCTCTTTCAAATATAATTTGAGCTAAAAAAACAAACTTTATTTTTAAAGATTAAATTTAAGTAATTACTTTAAATTTTAATATTTTTTAAAAAAAGCTAAATGTTTAAAAGTATTCTTAGCAGATATATTTTACTATCAGTTAGTAAAAAAGCTAATTGTTATTTGTGGTGATGGTTCTGTTTATAGTTTCGATCTTAAAACCTTACATTAACAGTATCTGATGACTCTAGTTTCTATTCCAATTACTTTAAGAGCATTTTCAAGAATATCTATCATAGCTGTCCCTGATAAAGTAGTCAGCATTACTTACCTTTTTAAGTATAATCCTCAGTCTAGCGATTTTAGTTTATTCATGTCTTTATAATAAAGCTAATAAAAATCTGATATTTTACACATAGAACTACTCAAAGACAATACTTTATGGATATAATATTTATTTAGTTTTATTTTTTATCCTCTCTCAGATTGTTTAATAGATCCATCTAATTGCACAAGTTGCTAAACTTTATTCTATTTTAATGTAACAAATTAATAAGAACTAAATACATCAACTTATGGAAAAGGAACTGAGCTTATTCCTTTCACAACTTCAAATAGCTTCATCCAAGCTTTATTAACAGTAAATAATGTTTATGTCAAAAAAAATATTTATTTTTAAAAAATTTTAACAACAGGCTTCTCATTATAAAGATATTGTTTCAAACTTGATTAACATTGAAATTGATATAATCTTAGACCCATCAAATACTATAATTTTAAATGAATAATTTCTAGATTTTTAATTTTAAAATATGGTTACTTTGAATATTAAAAGTAAATCAAGATAGTTGGCACAAATTTAATATGATAAATAAATGAAATTTACTAATTACTTTTAAGTCAGCTTATAAAATATACAAATTAACTTCATTAATCAGTCTTGTGGGTTATCATTTTTAAATATAATGAGTTATGCTAATATTATCAACCTTTAATTAATATCTTCAAATGATAACTCAACAACTTGCTAAAATATTATTACAGACAATTCTTTTATTTAAGTATTTAACTATACTCTTAATGGAGAGAATTTTAGGAACAACAAGTTTTTCATTTCTACAATAAATATAGATAAAGTAATTTACTTAATTAAACTTTATATATATATTAATATAAATACAATAATAAAAAATAGGTCAGTATTTCTAATTTAACTATCAGTAACTCTAAATTTGGGGAATAGTTCAGTATTTTATCTCAGTAAACAAATGTGCAAGCTTCTATATAAAATTTAATTTTGGAAAATAACTATTGTCTGATTAATTAAAATAGCTAAAGTAATGTACCTCTCTTTACAGCTGGTCATTTTGAAGTCTCTAATGTTTAAATATAAAATAATACTTTTTGTTATAATAATATTTTTTAAACAATCACTTCATTCAACCATTCTAATTAAACTTTTACATTTAAAAATATTTAAATGTCCAACAATACATTTTATACCAAGACAAATAATATCTTTTTTAATTCGCTTTATTCAATATTATCTCAACCTAATCACTAATTAATAGTTCAAGATACCATGTTTTACAATAATTCTCTTTAGATTTAATCAGCATAAGACTTAGTTACAGCTTCATTTTTCCAAACAAATAAAATTTAAAATATAATAATGAATAGCATAAATTTAATAAACCATTATAACATCTCAGTTGGAATATTCGAATACTCTTAGTTTGTTAATATTACAAATTTTAACTGCTCAAATTCATAAAATATTAATAAAAACCTATTAAGCTAAGCTCATTAAGGATGCCTTTAATTAAATGAAGCTTTAAATGTCTTCATGAAAGACTTAGATTTTAATTAAAAAATTGTATAAGATGCTTCTTTAATTGATATAAAAAACGATAATTATAAACAGTTAGTATTCACTTTATATATGGGATTTTTTTAAAATTTGTTTTTAAGCTAAATATAATTGAATTCCTAGGTGAATCCAATTCACATATAAAGTAGTTATGAAGTAGATATATAAATATCTAATATCACATTTAAAAATAATTAACTTAGTAGTGTTGAAAACTCGCTAACATATTCTACGACTGGTATATGGATTGAAAGTCTTGTAGGAATAGTTAATTTATTAAATATGACTTTTGAAAATAATTTTAGTAATTCAAGGTACAATAATATTAGAGTTTAAAGTGATCAACTTTCAATAATAAATAGCACATTTGCAAAATCATCGTTTAACTATGGCAAAAGTAATCAAAATGAGCAGTAATTTAACTAATATGGAGGTGTAATTAATGCTGCTATAAACTAATTGTAGGTGCTAAATTCGAATTTTAGTTAATCTGTAGCTTAGAAGGGTTCTTTTTTTTACATATAGTCATTTGGATAAAATTTGATAATGTAATTTTCAAACAGCTAATTTTCTGAGGGTTATAGTTATTTGGATGGAGGAGCTATTTCTGTAGATTCAAAGGGAAATTAATTTAATCTTTTAATTTAATAGTGTTAATTTGATAATATTTATACATTCAGTCCTTAAGCTTCCTCCATTAGCATAGAGTAATATTTATTTTAAACTTAGACTTTATTGAAAATTTTTTTTGAGTAAAGAAATTTATTCAAAGGATTTACATATAATATTAGCTATATATGAATGTTTTAAAAATGAATTAAGTAAAATATTTATTTTAAAAATTAAACAGATATTATAATTAGAAGACAAATTAATCAACAATCGAAATTATAGGAGGCGAAATTACAAATATTAAAGGAATTTAGGATAACTTTTTTATAATAGGATAATATTTATCCATAAAAATTTAAAATATTTCTTAAATTACATAATAATACTTTGAAACGATTTCACCCTATTTTCAAAAAATCTTAAAGAATCCTGAAAGTCAATAGTCAACATTATTGTCAATTTTAAGCTCCTAAGTTACTATAGAAAATTCAAATATATCAAATTTAAATATAAAAAATAAAAATTCAAAAGCCCCTTTGCTCATTTCATCTTAAAATTCAAATATTACTTTAAAAAATACATAAATATCTAATTGTGAGTTTAAAGAAAACCTTATTTAGCTATCATAAGGATAAATTACAATAGATAATTCTACATTTAAGGAAATAAATTTGACTAGTAGTCAAAGAATAATCTAAAATATTATAATAGAAAACCCACCAGATATAAGTTAATCACTTATCTCCTTAATAAATGCTAAGATTTAAGTTTAAAATAATTCTCTATTTTCTAATATAAATTGTGCAAATTGTAATGGTGGGGTTTTTTACATTTAAAACGGGTGTGTAAATATTATAGATTCTATCTTTAGATCAATTTAAGTAAGATTTTAAATTTTATTTTCCACCTAATAAATTATTAAATTTCTACAGAGTAGTTTTGGAGGAGCTATTTTTATTAATGGCTTATAAGGAGAAAATATCCTCATGAAATCTCGATTTGAAAAAGTTACTTCACTATACGATGGAGGTGTTATAGCTATATTTTTATAAAGTGCTATAGTATTCTATTATTTTTAATACAATTGATTTATGATCATAAATTATTTTTTAAATAAATAGGTTTTTAATTTCAATATTGAATCTTCGAAATTTATATCAAATAAATCAGTAAATGGAAGAGGTGGTGTGATATTTATTTCTTCTACAATACTTAACCCATAAGATGAAAATATAATAATTTCATAATCTGATTTTTAATTTAACTAAGCACAAATTGGAGGGGCTATATTCTAGTAAGGTATTTCTCCTTTATTGGTAACCAATAGTTTTAAAAATAATCATGGATTTATTTTTGGCGATGATTCATTTTCATATGCCAACAAATTAAATTTAGCAAATTTTTAAGAGCTTTTAAAAAAATACAATGGAACATTTGAAAGTGGAAATATAGTTTTACAAAATTTTAGAAGTGGTGGAACTCTAGAAGATCTTTAGTTCAAGTTAATGAATGATTAAAATGAAGTAATTTATCCTCTAATAGATAAGGAATAAGAAATTTACAATATTTAAGTTAAAATTGATTAATTGACATAAAATTATAATAGTTACTAAATAAGTGGAGATTAAAATGTATACTATGATTAAAAATTAAGAGTTTTTCGTTTCAATTAACTCAAACTAGTTGGCACTCCAGTATCATCAACTACTCTTCTATTTTATTCAAACTAAATTTACAATATCGATACATCTACGAATAAATATTAATAAAACTATAATTTTAAAATCAAAGTATATTTCAGAGAATGTATTTCAGGAGAATAAATTAAATCATATAGCACTTTAATTGAGTGTGATATTTGCTAGAGAGGGTAATACTCATTTCATGTTAAACCATGCTAAGATTGTATTACAGGTTCAATTTGTTAAGGGGGAGATAATATTGTAACAATGTAAGGTTATTGGAGAAAGTCCATTGATAGTAGTCTGATCATTTTATGTGAAAACTAATAAAAAAATTGTGCTGGTGGTAGTTATGGAAATCAAGTTTGCTATGAGGGACATGTAGGAGCTCTATGTGAAGAGTGTGATGTAAAAATTTAATTAACTACTAAAATAAATTTAATTGATTTAATTTCTATAATTGTTAATAAAGCTGTATGGAAGCTTTTGGGGAAAATCATATTCAATTTCGAGTAAATATTCTTGTGTTGAATGTGATAAAGTAAAATATAATTTATATGGTTTGCTAAGTTTAACTATTTGGACATTGTTTTCGATGACTGTATCAATTTAATCAAATATTTAAAACATAAAATATCAAACAGCAAAAAGTATTTTACTAAGCGCATTCTCTAAAGGAATAAAAACGCAAAGTAACAAATATTCAACTTTAGAAACAATAAAAAGTTAAAATGAAAATAAAACATAGAAGAAAAGCCTCTTAAATTTGAAAAGTATAACAAGTTGTAAGAAAAACTATAAAAGCCAGATATAATATTAAGAATCTAAGTAGAGTGTTTTTATTAAAATTCTGACTAACTATTTCTAAATAGTTAGTTCAATAACAACATTTAACTTAGAAGTCCCAAAAGGTAAAATAACAATTTTTTTAAATTACACATACAAATATATTTATTTATTTATTTAATTATTTTTTTAGGGATACAAGTATTTTCTTTTTCTCTAGGATAGCCTGTAAAGTATACTTTGAGTACTTTAGATTGCTTATTAATATAATTTGAAACAGAGATACCTATTATATATATGAACTTGATTTTTTCTCATATTACTATAATTGCTTATTTTATGATATTTCTAATTGGTATAATCTTTTATTAGTTGATTTAAAAGGAGAGATAACCTTTTCCTACTTATAAACTCTCAACAGCAGCTATGTTTTTAATAATATATTTGCAACCTGATTTAATTTAGTAAATTATTTCCTTGATGTCATGTAGGACTATAGGTGATACAAACTATATCTTATCAAATGTTGCATTTGAGTGCTACACATAATAGCATATTAAATATCTCCTGATTATTTTGCTACCATTTTTTATTCTGTGGATATTGGTTTTACCAATTTTATTATTTACGATATTAAGAGTAAATAAATAAAAATTAGATGATCCTTAAGTTAAGATTAAATATGGATTCTTGTATCATGAATATAAGCAAAAGGGCTATTATTGGGAGTTTGTAAAAATGATTTAGAAAATAATCATAATTGTATTATTAAACTTTTATTCATAGCAAATTTACATCAAAGGTCTCCTTGTATATATAGTAATTGCAGCTTATGGGATAATTTCTTAAAATGTAAAACCATTTTAAGAAGAAGAAATTAATAAAATAGATTTATTATCTACTATCATATGTGGATTAACAATATTGCTTGGATTATTCTCATATCAAAATCCTTTTAGCTACTTTTATTATTGCTCATTAGTATTAATAGTTATTATTAATATAAGTTTTATCATTTTCTTGATAAATAGGATTTTAACTTAATATATTTATTAACTGAAAAAATTAATTACTCAAATTATTAATAAGCTATCTAAAAAATTAAGTTTTTTATAAGGAATATAGCTTAATAAAAAAATAAATTAAAAATAAATTAATCCAAATATAAAAGATAAAGTAAAGAAAGTATTTTAAAATTACTCTAATATGAGTGATGAGTAAAAGAAGTAAATTTTAATGGATATTCATCAATACCAATTGTGTAAATATAATTTTTTATTATTTTAATTATAATTTATTTTGTAAAAATAGAAACAAAATTTTAGTTATTTACGAAAAAAACTATATCTTCTGTAAAAATGAAAGAAACTAATTTTGAGTTTTCAGACAAATTAAAATTTTAACAAGAAATAAATTCTTTTATTTTAGATCCTGAAAGTAATTCAGATTTTGTGACAAATAATGTAAAGACCAACAACTTTTAAACTTTAAACAGTAAAGCTTTTTATTTAATTATAAATTTTAAATATTAAGAAAATTATAAAATTTAAATAGATTGTAATGGCTACAACTAATCAGCAAGAACTCTATAATAAACATAAAGTTAAGATTATTATTTATAATCCCCTACTTTATTAGGAAATAAAATAATTAACTTTTCCTCTTAAAAAGAATGAACATATAAGTTGTGTCTTAGTATGCAGATTTAAATTTAATTTAATAGATTTTTTTATAGAAAATGAAATATTTGTTTTTTATCAAATTTTCTTTATTTCAAAGTTATCAAAATATAAAAGATTTTATAAAATATAATCTTAATTAACTAAAAGATAATAGGTGAAAGTGATAATTTTGTAGGTTTCATTAAAAATAAAACTAATATAAATAATTAAAAATCTTAATACATTTTGACATTCGTTTATAATTTATCTATAATAATATAAAGAAAATTAAATATTTTTTTAACTAATTATTGAATTTTAGTAAAAAATATTCTAAATATTGTTTATTTTAAAAGAGATTATTTGAAATTTCGAGAATTATTTCACATGTTTAATTCACTTTACAAATTTTCATTTTATGAAACAGAAACAGTTTCAATCCATTTAGTAATCAATTTAATTTGCTTTGCAGGTATTTATTCACCTTTGATAATATTTTAATTCTTTAATTTGGTTGAAGAATAATTATTTATATGTCTTTTAATAGACTACGAAGATCCAAAAATTCTTTTAGCTGTTGCTAAAGTGGGATTAACTTTTTATTAATTTACTTTTTCTAGGTATTAATTAATCTTTTGATTATTGAATTAAGTATTTTATTATAAATTTAAATTAAATTTGTTTTATTCCTAGCATTAAAGTAAATTTTAATTTTATTATGTATTGTTATCTACTTTTTTGTTATAAACAATTTAGATTCTTGGAGGAGTTTAATATCTAATTTTTTTGCCTATGAGTTTAGAGAAATTCTAAAACCCTAGACATTTTTTGAGTTTTTCTTCGTCTATTTTGTTAATTTAATTTATTGACTAAATACATTCAGAGGGGAGAAGATCATCTTTAATATTATGAATACTTTTACTATTCAAATTATTTTAGGAAATTTCGTGATCATTAAACTCACTATTATCTTCATTTATATAGCCTATTGTTTTCAGTTTTTCTTTAATTGAGTTTCTATTAAAATAAGAATAGTATTTATCCAAATTTTATTTCAGGTTGCTTTTTTCAGTGCTGTTAGGTCTAAATTAATCTTAATTTTCTGCTATTTTTGAATTTATTTCAGGGTATTTTATTTTTTCTTATTTTTTATATAATGAATAATTTTAATTCTTAGAATTATTATCTGAAAGCATTTACTATTGTTATAAATTATATTTCTCTTTTGCTTTATCAACAAAAAATTTAATTCTATCACTTATAACAAATTAATTTTTAGTTATTTCGGTCTTAATTTTTTCATTTTATTAAAGCAATTTAGAAATGCTTTTATCTACTTCTGCTAAATTACTTACTTGCTACGATTTCATAGTTTCTAATGATAACAAATGTTATGGAATTTTTAATGATTTTTCTGATTTATTGACTAATAATTTTGTTAAACTCTATTCTTGCTGCAAAGTAGTGCTTCTTACATACTGCTTTCTTTCCTTATAGTCTAAAGGTATAGGTTCGCTTTGAAACTATTCATAAGATAGTTAAATTAAAAATTAAATTATAATATGAAAATATCATTTCAAATTTATTATTCTAATTTTGTTAGAATGAAATCTATTTTAAAAATTATAAGTTTTATATTTATTTAAAAAATTATAAACTAATTACCTAATTTTATTATCTTCTCTAATTTGCATCAAAAGGGACCACAGTCATCCTAGAAAGAAAAGAATTTAAATCTTTAAAATTCCTAATTGTAATTCTCTACTTTTATTTATTATCAATACTTATGCTTCTTCTTTATCTTAAAAGCTCAATTTCTTATTTTTTAGAGTTCATGTAGGAATCAGAATAATCTTTATTGCAATTAAAAAGGTCTTGAAAGACCTTAAACTTTTGCTTCACCTCCTATTAAATTTTAAGTTTCAGCTTAAAATTAAAAAGGAAAGACATGAATTAAATTAAATTGAATTTACATTAGTTTTATTAACCTTATCTAGAATTTCATCTCTGTTGGAAAGATAGCTCAAATAGCTGATAACTTCGAGAAATCTTAAAGGTATGTAATTAAGTTACATCTGAGGTGTCTCTTCTATCATTATCAGTTAGGCTAGCTTTTATTCTTTTTCTTAATTAAGCAAAGCTTATTCGTATTACTCATAATTATCCATATCTTCAACTTTAATATCTTAAACTACTTGTATTGGTCTCCTTTCTGTTTTATTTTGATTTGCTCTTTCTCTAGCTTTTCTCATCATAAAGTTAAACACTTTTTAATTTAATTATTTTTAAGTAAAAGTAGCTGTGCAGAATTTATGTTACCTCTTGTTGCATTATCGTTTAGAGCACATTTTTTAAACTCTTACCAATTTAAGGCATCTTAAAGTAAAATAAGAAATATTAATTTATATCCATAAAAAAAGTAATATACTATCTTGATCATCATCTACTATCCTAAAAAGCTAATCAAGGTAGTCAGGATCAATATAGAAATCATATTTAGAAAACATCTCATTTATTTCATCTTTATCCAAAGATCCTGTAATAAATAGTTTAAATAATTAAAAAATAATAAAATTTAAAATTAATACTGGAGCCATCTTTATCTATTTATAGAAATACATTTTTTATTTCTTATATTTTTTTCAAATCTTATGGGTAATGCACATATTATTTTTTAATAGCAGAGAGTGACCTTTTTTTAGCCCAATCCATGACTTCTTTATTCATTAAACGAGATCTTTTTAGCTTTTTTAAATCTACATCTTCTTGATCAAGAGAGTCATCTAAATTTTATTTAGTTTTAATTGCACTTAAAGATGTTGATTTCATAAACTATATATTTATTTATAGTTTTACAAAAATTTTTGATAATAAAAAAATCAACTCAAAGATAAATTAAATTAATGCTTAATTATTCCTGATTATTTTAGAAGTATAAATAAAAACACAAATACCAAAACCATAAATCTTTAATCCCTGAATGATTGGTCAAAAAGAATTATTTAATATTTTAATTCATGCATGAACTATTTTTGTTTTAATTGAAGAGCTATTAACAAAAATATTTTTTAAATATTAAAATCTAATAAAATTAAATTAATTTTATGTTAATTTTTCAATATTATTTTAATTAATTAATTATAATATCTTAAATTATTTAAATTTTCTTTAAGCATAAAGAAGAAGAAAATAATTTATTTTTACATAATGCTTTAATATTCAATAATAAATAAGGACATTGAATAATAAATGATAAATTTTATTATTCATAATATTAAATTAAATGAGAAAATAAATAAATAAAATAAGTAAATAAATAAATATTGTCTTTATATTATATTTAGTTATACAAAAGATTATAAAATAAATGGATGAATATAAACCATACTTGTTTATTATAATCTTATAAGGATAATTAAATGGGAGTAAATTTTAAAAAAATCTTAAAAAAATAAGCCTTTCTTTATAATTAATATTCGAAGACTTATATATATACTTCTTAATCCTCTTTCATGTTGATAATTAATATTTTTTAGCTAATAAAATATCAAACATAAAATTTAAAGGCAGAAGAAAATGGTATTTATTAATATATAAATAAATTATTATCGGTTTAAATAGTTAAGATTTTTTTAGTATTCACATCAATTATATTATTACTAGCACAATTGAATGGAGAGAGTGTTTTAGATAGATATTTGGTTGATTGTGTTTTGTGTTTTTGCTTTCATAGCTAAATTCAGTTCATTGGAGTATTAGCATATTGCATATTTTGGGAGAAATTTTGGAGCATAAAAATAAAGTTCAATTGCTATTTTTATATTTAATAAAATAATTATTAAAAATGTCTATTCATTCATTTAATTTATAGTCAATATTTTTCCGCTTTAGACAGACAGACTTTTATTTATTTGTTTGTAAATTCATTAAGAAATGCAAAATTTTATAAAAATATTTTTTAAAATGATTTTTTTTAAGTATTTTGCAAACTTTTAAAAATAAATAATTTAGCTTGAAAAGAATAATTACTTGAGGATCCATGGCTTAGTTGTTCATCATCATTCCATATTTATTTTTTCTACCATTATTGTATGGTCTTTTTCTTGTAACTTTTTAATCAAGGTTATTTCTATTTTATAATTTAAAAAATTTTAATGTTAAATTTGTAAAATTTTTAAATGAGAGCGGGATTTATTTAATAAATTAAGAATATTATCTTCATCGATAGATTCGTTTTTTTCTCTTATTGGGCTGAAATTAAGTATGAATTTTTATAAATTTAAATAATTAATAAGTAAATTAATTTTTACCTTTTCTTCAATTCATTTTCACCATGTGCATATCTGCATTTATCTCCGTTTTCGCATTTTCCTTCTTTATTATTATTATAAAGATTATAGCATTTTTTTAATGACTAATTGCTAAGTTATTACCTTTGCTAAAGTTAAAGCACAAAGATGTTTTGTAAAAGTCATCAGTGTGTCTTAAATCATCGATTCCATGAGCAAAACAACAACTTTCATTATTGCATACCTTATTCTTTTCGAATTCTTCACATAACTTAGTTTTATTTAAATCAGGCTTTTACTTCAATTCAGCTTCACTGTGGGCGAAAGAGCATTAATCACCCTTTAAACAGTTACCAGACTATTTTTATTTTTAAAAAATTTGTCATTTATTATTTGTTGATTGTAATATTTTATAAAGTATCAATTAGCCTTTCAATTTAACTTTACTATAATATTTTCTACTATCTTTTTTACTTCTATAAAATCGCTAAATGAAAAATTTCCTATATTTTACTACCTATTTTCATTCATTTTTTATATGATGATTATTTTTACTTATTTAACTTAAAGATTTGCATGAATTCTGCTAAAGAACCAGCAAATTCTTAGTAAAGTTGAAAATCTATAAAAATGCGGAATCTATGAAGTAAAAAGATGAATAGATAAACAGAGTAGCAGAGTAGAGTATAAATAAGGATTCAAATATTTCCTTTATAAGCAGCTTGTAAATAAAAATTTATAAACAAAAAATATATACTGCGAAGTTAGCACACATTTTGGTCTTTTTTAAATCGATATAGGCTTTCTTCTCTTGCTTTACGAAAGGTTGATTAAATTTAAAAGGGTTAATTGGTGCAAAGCTACCGTAGTTATTATGAACCTTGTTGTTTCTTCTATTATTAAATTTGTTATTTTTGTTTTAGTAATTTTAGGGATAGAACTAAGGGTTGTTAATGTTGTTATTGTAATTTCCATTTTAATTATTTTTGTGATGGTGAAAGTGATTCATATTATTGCCATTGTTATTCATCATAATATTGCTATTCTAGATATTTGGATCTAATTAGTTGACTCCTTTGGGTCCTTTAAGAGCCTTTAAGGGCATATTATCTCTTTGGTTTACCCTACGATTATTGCTAGCACTGTTGTTTTTGCTTCTTCTTGCTTATTAATTGCCGGGTTTGCCATTTTGCTACTATTGGCTATTACCAGCGTTATTAGCTTCTTATTAAATATTTGATTAAGCTGACATAATATTTGATATACTGAGGATTTCTTTCTTGTCTTTAGATTTTTTTTTTTTCTTTTCTTTTTCTTCTTATTTTATCTTGATTTTCTTTTTCTTCTAAAAAAAATTAAACCTTAAAAAATATTAGATATTTAATTTGATTATTTATATATTTTTTAGTTGATTACTTTAATCCCTTTATTTATTTTGTAAATATTTGATAAAAATCTAAGCGCAAACTGCATGTAGGCAAGCTGCTAATCACTTTCAATTTATTCATTTGATGAATACTTCTATGTAAATCTTCTAAAGTAATTAATATGTTAGTTAATAAGCTGTGAGACCACATTTTAATATTGCACATTCTAATTTTTTAAAAAGATATTTCGCATTTTTAAATTTTTCGCAATTTTTTCATTCAATAATTGATCTATGATAATAAAATTAATTTCTATTAATTAGCTGTTATTTTTAATAAAATTATGTCTTAAAAAATTATTTTTGGCAATTTAATACACAAATGAATATAGTTTTTATGTAATTTAAATTTAAAATATTATTTATTCAATTAAAAAACTTTTTATTTTATTTTTAATTTTATATTTGTATAAATCCTGCTTATCAATTTAAATTTAATGAGTACTAAATCTGAAATACTAGTTGAGCGAAATAAATAAATAAATAATCATAATAGAATTTGTTTAAAATGGTAATTTGAAAAATGTGAATGGTGATTGACAAATATTTGAAATAAAAAAGAATATATTCATGCATGAACTATATAAATGAAGGATAAAGCTTGCTTTAATTATTGCATAGTATTGTATATTTATTTGTATTTATACTTAATATTTTATATTTATACAAAAGACTACTCCAAACACTTGCATCTTGAATCAAATTTATGTAAGAGCTTATTGAAGTTTTTATGTATACTTATGTCTGTCTGATTTATTTTATTAATTTCATTAAACAATATTATTGGCGAACCACTTTAAAGTGTATTCATCACACTCTAAAATACGGAAGGAGTAGCCATTTATAATGACATCTTTTCCAACAACTAAGTCGGTTGGTTAGAAGTATTCGTTATTAGTTTAAACATTTTTGTATCTGTTCTTTTCTAAGAATTTACCATCAGGAATACCTTTAAATATGATAATATAAAAATTAGATCATCTTAAATCAAAGCACAATGCTTAATTTAATTAATTATTTAATTTTATTGAATTTAATTAATTAAATAAGTAAGTACCTGAGTTTCTGATAGCAGGTTCATAAACTTAGAGAGAGTCATCGTTCAAGTAGTAAGTAATAATGAAGCGTCTATTTTAAAAAATATTAATTAAGCAATTATTTAAAAAAAATACTATTTGTATAATTTATTCTGTAAATTATTTAATCTATTACTACAACATAAATTTTGAACTTAATTAATCTATTTAAAACTAATAAATTAAATAAGATTAAAGTTTTTTCTTTTTTAATTAAGCTTAATCTCTTCTCTTTTTTTTAATATGTTTTAATTATATTTAAATTTGTTATTACCTATGAATATCTTCAGGCTTATTAGTATTAAACTTAGCATTGAATCTTAAAGTGACTTGGTTATCAACCCACTTGAAGAAGTCCTTTCTAGGAGGCTTAGGAATTAATCTATAAACATATCCTAATGAATCTTCTTCATCACCAAATCCATTGTAAGGAGGAATTTCTCTTTCTACAATTATTTATATAAAATTATATTTAATAAAATGAAAATGTTAATAAATATATCATTTAATTACTAACTATGTCTCTATATTACATCTCGTAATCTTCTCCAAGAGGGAAGTCAATGTTATACTTTTCTCTATAATAATCTTGGGTGTATTTATCACAACCATTAATTCTGAATTTCTTTCCAAAAGCAACTAAATCTTCACCAAACTTAATATCAGTTGGCTTAACAAAGTTTTCAGCGTATGTTTAACCAGGTTGGTTCAAAGCAAACTACTTGGGAAGTTTTTGTCTCTTAAGATATAGAGGGAAAGGATCTCTACCACTGTTTTAACGATGAATTTCACGGATTTCTAAAGTGTCATCAGCCAAGTAATAATGTAAAAAGAAAGGAATTTCTGAGAAGACAAAGAACTTTAAAACCTTTCTATCGTTTTCCAAAAATTACTTTTATGAAGGAACACGACCACCACCTATTTTAAATAAAAATAAATATTTAATATTTTGATCACTTATTTCACTTTAAATATTATTCTATGAATTTCTTTTAATAGAAGAAGAAGGATATTTTATATTTGAATTTGAATTCTACAGATAAACATACAGTGTCTCTTTCATTTAAGTTTTGATTAAAAATTATATAATGTATTTATTTAATTACCAAGTTTGTGCTCCATAAAGTCTTTAAGCATGTGATCTTTAACAGGTACAAATTTATTCAAAGTTTTTTTTTCCCAGTTATCACTATCAGGGAGTTCAGAAGCACCTTAGGGAATACCCAAATTTTCGTAAAACTCTCTTGTATAAATATCACAGTCATAAATATGGAAAATTTTGCCGAAAAATTCAAGATCTTAACCAATCTAAAAGTCGTATAGACTTAAATAAACACCGCTTCCATCAGCCTTCAATACTTTTTAACGCTTTAAGAAAGAACCCTATGGAATACCTGAATTCATTTGCTTGGGTTCAGAAATTTCAATAGAGCTATCTTCTAAATAGAAGAAAAGAACGACTTTTCTTACTCTATATGCTTCAAGACTGCTTTCAACACAACTTTCTTTAAAGTAAGCATTGAATCTAAGTACCTTTTATAAAAAAATAAGTTTGCTTTCACATTCGCTTAATTATCAAATTTATTTTTAATATAAATTAATGATTTTGAATTTCACATATTAACTAACTAACTAACTAACTATTTATTTATTTACCCTCATAAATATAACTTAAATTTTTAATAATTAATTGTAAACAATTTTTTAGTTCTTTAAAACTAAAAACTATTTTCACTATGGCTTTTAGATTGCTTTATATTTTTGCAAATCATTCTATATTAAATTTGTGTTATTTGCATTCTTTTAAAATGATTTTCAATTCAACTTATCAAATTATATCAAATTTTTTTTCGTTTATTATTATTTTAAATTTTTACCTATCTGTCCATCTTTACCCAAGTTGGTTAGTAAAGTTCAGTAACATCATTAGGGCAGTTTACTGGTCTGTAAGTATCATGAGTAGTAGACATGTAGTTGGGATTGAACATTCCCTTTTATGAAGGGGGTTCCTTAGGAACTTATCTAGGAAGAGGATAGACAACTGGAGGAACATTTTTCTAAATTAATTATTTTGAAAATATTTAATATATCAGTTGATATAAGTATTAATTATGAGTATTCCTCCATATTAAAGATAACATAATATCATCTTTATGGTAATTTTATGGTAAATAATACTCAAAATTAGATATAGAAATGCTTTAATTAAATCTTACATGTAAATAATCTCTATTATATTCTTGTTTAGCTGCACTAACTCTCTTGAAGCTAGTTTACTTTTATTTATAAGTTAAAAGAATTAATATGATTTAGGTTTGATTGAACAAAATAAATGATTTTAATATATTTATATTGTTTTATATTTTGTTTTAAAAGAATCTCATACTTCTATGGGTTAAGTAGGTACAAAACCAGGTAATTTAGGAAATCCAGAGGCCATTTATCAAATATGCTCTAATTTTATTAATTTTATTTTATGTCATAAATTTTATTTAAGTATGAAATAATTAAGATATATTTTTGTTTAGTGAAGTCATGATCTTAAAAAACAATCACTAAGATAAACAACTTCTAGGCTATCCAATCTAAAATTCATAAAAAATTATTTTATTGAAAGTTTTACCTTTTTTCTTTCTTATTTGCTTGCTAATGTTTTTTGGAACTGAATTAATTAATTAATTAAATTATAAACTGTTTGTTATTTATCAAATTAATAACTCTTTTTTTATTAATTAATTTCTTTTAAGAATATTTATTATTCATATTATTTATGATAAATAATTTTGAATGAATGAAAAAGTAATTCCCTCTCATACATTCATTTTTTTATTCATTCACATATTTTTTATTTACTTATTTATTTATTTACGAACAATCTCTTTATCTATCTATCTATATATCAATCTATTTATCTATTCACTTTATATTCTTTATTTCATGTCATATCTATATTTATCTATCTATCATTAAATCATTTAATAAATTATTGACTGAAATTATAATTTCTTTGAAACCGACAAATCAACGATTAAACTCAATCTTTCTTTTTTACTAATGTTTTCAATAGCTTTGTTAATAATAATCAAACAAATTAATTTTTTTCATTTCCAGATATGGTTTTCTAAAAATAATTACTATATTTTATTTATATTTTTAACAAATTAAAATGATGTTTGTAATTAAAGATAATTTATTCATTTTGCTTATTTCAAATAATATTTTTTGTCCTACTCAACACTTTTTGCATTTACTTTTTAATTTTATTTTAAGTGAAGAAATTTGAAAAATCAAATTAAATTTATTTAAAAAATGTTGAATTTAATTTAAAGTTTTTTATGTATCCTTAAGTAAAAATATAAAAACTATTAATTATTAAAGAAACATCTACTTCGATTTAAATTCATAATAAAATTTTTGTTTTTTTAATCTTTAAAATGGATTTTTAATTTAAAGTCAAAATTTATGAAATTAGAATTAATAATATTTACATTTTTAAATTATTTTATTAGCTAATCAGATTAAAATTTAAATAACTTTTTTAAATAAGATGAAGAAAATTTAAAATTCCTTGAAAATATTAGTGCAAAAAATTAATTTTTAAGATTAAATTGGTTGATTTATTAGACATATATATTAAGTAGAGAGAAAATAAATTTTATTTTAATTTAAAGTGTAAGTCAATCAATACTGTTTATCTTTTATAAATATAATTAATTTATATTTAAATCAACATATATATGCCATATTTTGATAGCCTTAATGCTGTTTTAAGATACAAATAAGTTATTTATTTATTGATTGATTTATTTATTTATTTACTTATTTTAAACATTTACAAAAAAATAGAATGAAGTATTTAAAAATTGAGTTTATTTTATTTCACTAATCAATTTTTTCAGTTTAATCATACATTTATTGGGAATAATCTTGCTAGTAACCTTAATCAGCTTATGTGTATTCAGCAATTGGCTCTGTTTATTAGGGATAATCTCCTAAATTATTAATTGGTTCTTATTAATCATTTTAACTAAAATAGTTTTATTCTTCTATATTCATTCCTTAGCTACTATCATATTGCCCTTATGGTACAGGAGGTGCTTAGACTGGGATTTATGGTTAACTGCTTAAATTGTGTTATCCAGTAGGACCACCAATTATGCTTTGGGAGCTTGGAGCTTAGTTTACTGGAGCAGTTTAAAGCACTTACTATGGATTTTAGTGAAGCATAGGATTACTGTTTGTTGGTGTTGATTCTTAACTTAAACCTCTTTAAGGATTACCATAGTATCCTCCCTAGTTTTATATACCTTAGGGATAATGTTAATAATTTTATTGAGTATTAGGTATTTGTGCTTATTGTTATTATTAAATAGGCTAGATTGGTGGATTTTGAATTGGAGGCTGTTACTGATAGCCTGGAGCACCATACTATTATGCTGGAGGCTTATGATAAGCTTGATTAGGGGCATAAGGAATATTTTATTAGGAGCCACCTTAGTTTTAAGGATATTACTATTAATAGCCACTTGCATTTACCGGTTAGCTATTGGGAACATTTTATTAAGGATATTATTATTGTTATGCCTAATTAGATGGAGATGTTCCAGTAATTGGTGCAATAGGAGGTACTTATTATCCTTGATTTTAAAATGGTACTGGTGGCATTCCAGGTTGCTACTACTAATTCATTTATCTTCTGTGTTATTCTTGATATGTTCTTGTGAATTCTTTATTGAATTCATTTCTGCGATAAGCAAGACTAACTGTTTCTGCAATGTGATTACTTTGTGTGACTTCTAGTTAGTTACGTTCATACCAAATTAGCTTTTCATACTCTTCTAAGTAATTTAATTTGCTCTCTAATTTACTCAATTAACAATAAATCAAACTTTGAACAAGTTTTTTAATTTTGCTTTCTTCTCTTTCTTGTAGCTTTTTAGCTCTCTCTTTTGTGATATTTTCAATCTCTAACAGATCATCAGCGTTTGAATTGCTAACTTCTTCAATTAATCCCAACCTCTTATCTTCTTTTTTTTTTAAACTGTCCTAAACTTGAACTTATTCTTCTACTTCTTCTTAAATTACAGTTTCGCCCTTAGCAACGCCGTTCACAGCTGATTATGAAGGAGCTTATTCTGCAATTTCTACTTCCATATCTTATCCTTCTTTACTTTAATTTTATTATTTTTATTCTTCCTATATCTCATCCTCTTCTTTTATCTAACTATTTGTACCTCCTTCTACATTTTCTTCTTTTTATTCAATTTTTTAAGGTTAACTTGATTTAGCAGAAGCCTTAATACTTTGTTTTTTTTATTTGTGCTTATCTAATAAGCTTTTAAAGATTGCTATCTAATCATGATTATTCATAAAAATAATATTAATTTTAAATTGCTAAAAACTGAGTTATTAATAAATTAATTTTTTGTTTTCTTACATGCTAAATTAGAGGATTTGAAAAATCAGAAAAAACAGTTGGTTCATCATCTGCTATTTCTTCATAAGGTTATCTACCAATATTATTGTCATCTTCGTTTTCAAATAAGCGTACTTATGAGATATTCTTAAGAGGAAGTCTAAGGAAGTGAAGGATGATTTCTTCTCTTGTACGGCCATCAAGAGACTTTACGATTTCATCCCAATTCTCCTTATATTCTTCGATTTTTTCAAGAAGTTTATGAGTTTCTTATGGAGTCCAAGGTCTCTAAGAGAGATTTTGCTTAGAATCATTGCTAGAAAGTTTATTTATTAAATCTGATTTCTCAAAGTCTCTATCACTCAAAAAACTGGGATAGTTTCCTTCGGTGTAACATTTTATGCAAAGAACCATACAAGGTTAGTTTTCTTAAACTTACTTTTATTAGAACCACACTAAACCACAAATAACTCCGCAAAAATCACAAATGGGTCTATTTATCAAAATTTTTATTTACTAAATTTACTTTAATATTAACTAATTACCTTTGATTTTTTGATAGTAATTTAATAGAATTAAATACTAAATCTCCTTCACCTCCTTCCTAAAACAGATCCCTGTCTTAATCTAGTAAGTCTATCTTCTCTAATAAGTAATTAAAATAATTTTAAATATTGCTTAAGTAACTAGAGAAAATATTAATTAAAAACTGCTAATTCTTTCTTGATAAAATTTAAATTTCTTACTTGATTAGTTTGTGAATTTGTAGATAGATTGATTAGCAAGAGTTGGCTTAGAGAGAAGAATAGATTAAGGAGTGAGTTTAGGATCACAGTTGAAGTTAATTATACCCCAATGTTCTAAAAAGGCATGCACTCTAAGGATAGCACATACATCACCAGCTAAGTTACGTCTGCATGCAGTAGCAGTCAAGTAAACTCTAGGATTTTCTCTATACAAGGCGACGATAAAGTTTCTGTATCTCTTGTATATTTCAGGAGTTTTAGAAGGTTTTCCTTAGAAAAATTCAGGAAGACTCTCCTTTTCAATTTGATGAATCTTTTCCATTTCAAACCTATTAACATTTAAAATAAATAAATAAATATCTGTTTAAATAAGTTAAATAATAATTTAAAAATATATTTTGAGGCGTCTAATATTAGAATAAAATACAATTTAGCATTTTATATTATTTAAATTAAACCTAATATCCGAATTATTTAAACTAATTCAAATTTTGTACCAGTGAGAGCAAGAAGGAAGCACAACTTAATACTTTTTCTATGATTTTTCCGACTTATTTTCTCCCATATTTTAACCACCGTTTCCCATGCTTTAATGATACTTTTCTTGTGCAAAAGAAGTATAAGGGAAAATATCCTTTGAATTTTCTTCACCTCTGATAATTAAACTAGGAGGAGCTGCAGTAGGAATACTTTATTAATTCAAATTAAAATTTTTTAATACATTTTTGTCTAAAAACAATTTTCAAATATTTTGTTTGATTGATTGTTTATTTTATCTAATTCAATTTTCCTAAATCTAAATTATTTTATTTACAATGTTGGATTTGCTTTAGGTGGCTATTATACCTAAGGTGCAACTGGTTATTGAACAGGAGGCTATGCTTACTGTACCTATTAATTAACTTAAGCTTAAGGAGCTTGTAAATTAGATCCTCCTTGCATGGAATTTTATGGTTATGATTACTGATTAGCAATTTAAGAATTAGCTTATTAAGAATTTTATTATACAGATTGATTTTAGCTTGTTTAAGGAGTTTATTAAGCTGATAGAGAAAGATTTGTTGGAGGAGGATTTTAAGGAATAATTGGATTGCTAGATTCAGGAGAAAGAGGAGGTTACTAAGACTACTACTTTGATACTTGACTTTTTCCACCTTTCTTTGATGAGGATGTTTGCTGCTGACTAGGTTTTGTATCTTCTATTTTTTATGTTTAATTCAACTTAAAATACTTTCAAAAAAAAGATTTTATCTCAGAAATCTCTATAAAAACAATAGATTTTTTCAAAGAGCATAGCTTTTTATTTTTTAAGCGAATTAGCCTTAAACCAAAAATAATAATCATAATAATTTTTTCTTAAAAACTCTTTTTATAATAACATTTTTTATAAACTGTTTAATGAATTAAAATAACTATTCGCTTTTTTAAATAAAGTGCTTTCTAAGATTTCCATCTAAAAATTATGTAAAAATGCTAACCTTGTTCTTAATCGATAACCTAGTATGAATTGTTGGGTAACTTTAACAAATTTATAACTATCTGATTTTTTTTTTATTTCATTTGCTAAAAGGGATGGCGTTGATTTTTCTATGTGTTTTCCTTTTTTTAATTTTCTTTAAGGTATAATATATAAATAATTATGTACTTTCAATGTTTTCGCGCTTTAATTTAAAGTTTTTTTCTTTTCATGTTTCATTACAAAGAAATATACAAGCAAGTATTAACTAAAAAACAAGAAACAAACAAATAAACAAAGAAACTACTTTAACAATCTCACCCCCCATCAAATAAAATAAAAAATCAAAAGAATAATTAGCTAATTAATTAATTAATAAATTAATAGAAAGATAGATAGATCCTTTGAAATTCAAAGAATAAAATTTCTTTAATGTATCACTAATAATTTTTTTATTGTTATTATTTTTAGAATCTTTATTTATTTAATTCAACTTCTTTCTTTCATATCTTTACTATAAATTTTTATAAAATTTAATTGAATTTCTTTATCTTTTTATTTTCAATGAAATGGATGTAAAGGCATTTTTTAATTTTATCAGAAATTAACTATCATTCATTGCAATTTTATTAATTAAAAATAAATGTAACTAAATTACTCGTTAAATTAATTATAAACACCTAAATTTAAAATTCTAACTCTTAATATAATCACATAAATTAACAAACCAAAATACATTATTTCCTTTTATATTTTATTTTTCTGAAAATTAATCTAATGAAAAATAAATAATATTTGTTTCTCTCTATTTTGAGTAGGAAAATAAATTTATTTAATTAACTAAATTCACTTTTATAATTAAAAATGCTTATAATTAAGACCTTCAGTTTAATTTCTACGTTTACTAAATTAATTAGGCTATTATTTCACTTTTCAAAATTTTTTAAAATTTATTACCAAATTTAATTTATTTATTTTTAAAGGCAATATCTTTTCAAAAAAATTTAATTTATTTATTTATTTATTTATTTTTTAATGACAATATCTTTTCAAATAAATAATGAAGTAATCATGTTGATAATTTATATTTAGATTTCCAAATTTATAAATAATAAATATAGTTGTAAAGAATTGATTATAATTAAGTATTTTGATTCAATTTAAAAAACTGTAACGCTCGATTAGCTCAGCTGGTTAGAGCATGCGGCTGTTAACCGCAAGGTCGTAGGTTCGATCCCTACATCGAGCGCTTTTTATCTAAATTGCAATAATTCATTTTAAAATCAAGATTATGTATTTTAATTTACAATTTAAATTATTGAGAAAAATGTTATTTTATCTTTCTAGACTCTCAATGAGAAATGAATTTAAAAAATAAGTTAATTTTAATAAAAGTTATAAAATAATTAATTTAATTTCCAAATATCTTCTATTTTTATTTTCCTTAAAAATATTCAAGAGAACAATCAAAACAAAAAAAATTAAACTTTTAAATTATTTATATTTAAAATTATTTGTAAAAATTTTTAAATAGGTTTTTAATCCTTTTATATTTTGATTTTTATTGTTTAAAACTGTTTTATTTAGAAAACCAAATATTGAAACAAAATAAAATATTAATAATAAGAATGAATGTAATTATTTTGAAAATAATTTTTAATTTGATTTATGAAATAGAATTTTTTATATAATAGATATAAAAAACATGAACTTATTTAAATAGGCGATTTTATATTAGTAAATTTTGATTAGAATTTTTTTAAAAGATTAAGATAAATATTTTGATAGATGGTGATATATTTATTTATATAATTATTATATATTTTTTGCTTAAGATTATTTGGAATGAATGAATGTATTGGATTTTTACATGTTGAATATGTTTAAAAACTAATTTTTTGGCATTAGTAATAATTTTAAATAAAATTTTTAGGTTTTTGATTAATGATCGATCAATGCTATTCATTAACTATTATTTAGCATTTTTCAAAATTTGCATGCTTTTACTTTTTATTATTTTTTAAAATTTCTATTTTTGGGTCTGGATAAGATTCTGGTTCATTTGGATTATTCTCATCGTCTCCATCTATAGAGCTATTTTATTTTAGTTATTAGATTTAAGATAAACGAGAGTTTGAAATTTGTCTACTGTTGTTATTTGTTCTAGCTATAAATGTGCTTCTTTTCTTTTATTTTTGCTATTAAGGTTTTAAAATTTCGTCTTTTTCAAAAGGGGGTATTTCATTATTTTCAATTTGAGAGCTCTAATCAGCATTTGATTTCAGACAGCTACTTTTTTATTTAGAAATCGAAGAGCTTGTGTTATTATTTAAATTATTTTTTGTGTTAAGAACTATTGTTGTTGCAACGTCTTCGTTATTTTCAAGTAAACACAATGAATCATTAATTGAGTTTAAGAAAAAGGGATTTTAATCACAAGATAGCTCTAATAGTTTATTGTTTACAACTTTTATGTTGCAGCAAGGGTTTAAGGTATCATGTGCTTAGGTGTATTTTGAGGTATAAGTTTCTAAAAGCTCTTACCAATCAAAGCCTTAAAACAAGGGTGTTTATTAAATATCATAAAAAGACTTAGGTCTTAAAGATTTATCTTATTTTAGACAATATTATATAAAATCAATAAATTCTGAAGGAACTGGCTCACTATTATATGAGAAAGGAGGATATGAAACAGAAGAAGCCGAGCTATTATGAATATTATTTAATGTTTATTTTCTATTTTGAGCTTTAAAAGGATGCTTTCTGTATATCATTTGATAAGCTATAATTCCAAGTTACCAATAATCGCTAGATGCTTCCTAATGTTTTTGTCTAATTTATTCAGGACTTTAATTTTCTTCTCTTAAATCAAAAACAAAAGATGTATTTATTTATCTTTTTGATTTAATAAATTTAGAATTGCCAAAATCGCAAAGACAAACATTCATCAATTCATCAAGCAATATATTATCTAATTAAAGGCCTCTATATAAGATACTTTACTCTTCATGTAGATATTACAAACAAGCAATTATTTAGGCTAGTATCCTTTTAATTTCTTGGAGTTAAAGAACTTTTCTAGATATAATAAACTGCTTTAATGTTCCGTGAGGTTTATAGTCTGTTACCAAATATATATTTTCTTAGTCTGTGAAGGCATATTCTAACTTAACAGTATAAGAGCTATCTAATTTTTCTAAAATTTTTCTCTCTCTCCATATATTTTCTAGTTGATTAGTGTATTTTAGATCTGATTTTTTGATAACTTTCATAGCAAGAGGCACTTTGTCCTTTTGACATAAGTAGACCTTACTTAGTTTGTTTTCGCAAAGAGTTTTTACTATTTCAAATTGAGAAAAAGTAATTTTTTCATTTTATAAAACACTCTGCTTAACATTTTTTTAGCTATTTTATCTTAAATTCTAGCTAGCTTTTCTTTAATTTTTATAAGTAGTACTGGTAGATCTTCTTTGAAGTGAGTTATTTCTTGATTAGTTAGCTTAGAAAGCTATTTTAAAGTTTCTAGGTTTAATTTCCTTTGGGGTATCTAGTTCGTTTAACTAATTCAATAAAGAGCCACCACTCAACTAACTGATGTTAGTATTTTCATTAGGTGCTTGTGTGAATTCAAATTGATTTTGCTTAAGGTCATCATTGTAGGCCTCTAAGATAGATTTTATGATTTGTTGTTCTCTGCAATAATCAAAGTTGGAGAAATCATAAGAAATGGACTAAATATATTTACATCCAAAAATATAAATTAATAAGTGGTCAAAATATTCTAAGCATGAATTAATAGGGAGACTATTATTTTTTTTAAATTTGATCAAGATAGGCTAAATCAACTACAGTCATTAATTTATTGTAAGTTGACTGATTAAAAATTATTACGTAAATTTAAGCTCCTTGAACAAAATTATTGCATATCTTAGATGAATTTAATCTGTATAGCTTACAGAAAATTTAAATTTTAATAAAATTACCTCAGAGGTCTTCTCACTTGGCTTAGCTTCAGTTACTTACTATCTTATTTTAGAGTCTTTAAATTCTATTTTAGATTGCAGCTAGTATAGCTTGCCTTCTGGTTATTATTCTTATGTCTAAGATTAATAAAAAAAATTTTATTATATTTTCTTCAATTAATGGTGAAAATAAAAATAAAAAACACAGTCTTTAAACAATAAAATAATCTGTAAGTTCACTTTGAAAACTCATGCTTTGCGAATAAGAGTTGTAATAATTAAATTAAAAAAATTTATTTTAAGAAAATTATTGGGCTTTGCTAAAAATGTTTGAAAATGTAGCATGATGTCCAAAATTAAAAATTTTGATTATTTTGATTGATTTGGAGTAAATTCTACTATTTCAATAAAAATTAAATAAAATTAATATTTGGGTTAAAATATCGAACTAAGCATAAATTAAAATTATATGAAAATGCCCATTAGTAATACTTGAATTTTTGTTTCTCAAAATTTCAGATAGATAGTTTGTTAGTTATTTATTTATTTAGTTAGATATAAAAATAACAAAAGTACTTTAATTTAATTTTATGAAAAATAGGATGAAGAAAGAGAAGAGCCATTAGATGATGAAGAAGAAGAAGAACTCATGAAAATTCCTCCTTTTACCTTCCTTCTAGACTAATTGAGGTCTCCTCTATGTTCTTGTGGATTAACACACATTGTACAAGATTGATTAGCTCCCATTATGAATTTGAGTATAAAGTAATTGATTTGTTTTACTTCTCTCTGAATGAATGATTGATTGATTTATGAATGTAATTATGTACAATTAAAATCTATCAAGTTTTTACTTTTTATTTTATTTTGATTGAATAATAATCAATTTTTTCACGAATCAATATTTTACAATATTTACTTTGATATCATGTTCCGCAAAAATCTAAGGTCCCCCTTTTTAATACTGTATTTTTTTTTCAATCCCCCACCAAATATGTAAATATGCAATATTAGTTATTTAGTATTATTTTGATAAACTTTTTAGTTGAATGAAGAAGTTACTCTCCTAATTTTTCAAAAACCAACAACAAGTTAAATATTATAAATATTTATGATTCATTTTATGGCTAATGGATAATTTAATTCTTTATGCCTTCATCTATCCAAGATTTGGATTTATTATTTAATGAAAATTTATATGTGGTTAAGCAATCAGAAATCTATTTATTTGCACTTAACTTCTTCAATCCTTTAAATTTTTGATATTTATTTCCAGATGGATAACTCTTTTAAGTTGATTAAAATATACGGATAATATCCTAATTAATTGCTTCAAAAATTTAAAAATATATTAGCTTTTACTATTTCAAAAGAAAGTAAACTGATTTAATATAGTGAATACAAACAGAATATTTCCATAATTTTAAAAAATAAAAAATACCGCTAAATAAAATTTCAATTAGCCATCTACATAATAACATAAAACAATCAAATATTATTTTTTCTGATAGATTTATTTTTGTATTAAATATGTGAGATGTTTCTTTGATTATTTATCAGAAAAAAATAAAATACATAGTTTGCTGATTAAACTTTTAAAAATACTAGTTGCTTTAAATTACAAATATATTCTTCTGTTGATCAATAAAAGAGCTAAAATATAATTGCATTTTTTATGATCAGAATTCATTTTAAATATTCAATCTTTATATATATTAAAATGAATGAAGGATATTTGCTAAAATTGTAACAAAATATATTTAAATCCCTTCAAAAAATAATAAAATCAAAGAAATAGTTTTAAATATTGATTATTTTATGGAGAAAAAAAACTATGAGAAAAAATATTTATTCATTTAAAGACTTCAGTATATATTTTATTTATGTACACAATTTATAATTTTAGTTAATTTTTATAATAAATACTTTTATTAATTAGCCTAATTTATTAAAGTAAATAAACACTCTCTCTTTCAAACCTATTTTATGAAACTTATTTTTTAAATACTTTAGCTTAAAAAAGGTTATTAACCAACCTCATTTGGCTAATGTAATTTCATCAAGAAAAACGTCAAAATCTTAATCTTTGATTTCAATAATTGATGTTTCAAAATCGTCCTATTTATATTGAAGATTTAAGGCTTTTGCAGCAGACTAGAATTTAAAGGCAAAATCACTAATTTTAAATATAAAAAATATTTAGTTTAATTAGAATTTAATAAAAATAAATATTTTTGTAGTTTTTAAATTTTAACATACTTTTTAGTGCTAGCAGAGTAATGGTTTCCAACAACACCTATAATGGTCTGAGTCTATGTAATAGAATTTTTTATACTTAAAACAATAGGCTTTATTGGTTGGTTGCTTTTTTGTTTCTCCTTAAATATACCCATCAAAAATAGAGCAAGCTTTTATAAAGAATAAGGATGCTAAAAGTATTAATTTTAAGAGTATGTATCGTTATTTAGCTTTAAAAATCTAAAATCACTGCACTGAGTTATTAAATCTCTATCTATCACAAATTTTGCTATTTTAAAATAGTAATAGTTATTATTTGCTAAAGAGTAATATTTTGTCTAGAACTAAGCTTTTTTTCTAATATAATTTACCTTCATTTACCATAGCTTTTTAAAATTGAATTGCGATATCAATTCCCTTTAATATTAATACAGCTTCTTTTGAAGATATAGTCTCATATGCCCACCAAAAATTCTTAATTCTATCAAAGATATCTTTTTCATTATAATTTTTAGATCCTTCCTCGCTGTTATCTGAAGTCTTATCTGTTTAAATGCTTTACTTTAAGGAAAAATTTGTTTTTTTAAAAACGATAATTAATTGAACCCTTATAATTTAATTTTATTAATTATAAGTAAAAAATTACACCAACTTTTAAAGGGTCTTCGAATATATTTTGCAAAATTTATTTAGGACATTCTAAAATAGCAGTTAAACAGTAAACCATATCCGTTGAAGAGACTTAAGTCTTTTCATCTATCTATCTAACAAAGGAGTTAAATAGCACATTATACAATTTATATTTAGTTGCAACGCTGTGAATATTATCCTTTAACTTTTCCTTGAATTAAGCCTTTTATATAAATATATTTTTAATTTTCTCAATCAATATTTGCTCATAATATTTATTTTAAGATTTACTTTCATAAATTTATATTACTACTTAGCTTCTTCTAAAGGTATTCCGAGCAATGCTATTAATCTAGTTATTTTTTAATCTCCATTTTCATTCCAAATTTCAAGTTTAGTTGCAAAGTAATTAGAATAATATATACTCTCATATAAATTCCAATTTCTTAAACAAATAAATCTATATCTATAAATAATAAAAAAAATCTACAAATCTATTACTTGGCTAACTAAATATTACTCATTTGATGCTTCTATAAAGCCAATATTTTTCTATCTTTATTCATTGGCGATGGACTCGTTCAAATCTTAGCTAAATTCTTTTTATAGATTTTTATATTTGATTAAGGAAAAATAATTTTTCAAAATTAATAATCAATTTTTATTTTTATAAAGAAAAATAAAATATTACCTTATTTTTAAATATTAACTTTCTCTACTTCAATTACAAGCTCTTCATACATTTGATCATATTGTTATTATGTTATTTTTCCATGAATTAAAAGATCAGTTGCACCCAAGATTGTGTACCATAAATAATTGTTGTTTTCTTTATTAGCCTATTAGCATATTTTATACATGAGCATACTAGTTGCTTTTCCATAATAAAAACCTTCATAGTAATTCTCCATTTTTTCTAAATATTTAACAGTTTTGTATTTATTTGCTAAGAAATTTGCTAAAAATTTGATATAATTTAAAATTTTTACATTTATGCTATTCTATTTTAAGTTTTTTTTCCATTTTCTTTTCTTTTAGCTTTTTATCACTTCTTCTCTTTCTTCTATTTTTCTCTCTTCTATCTTTTTTTCCAAATTCTTCCTCTTCTTCATCCTCATACGCTAAATCTTTTCTTTTTTTATCTAATTTGTTCTTTAATTTATTCTCGCCATTTTCATCAAACCCTTCATCTTCATCCTCGTATTCTTATAAATCATCATCATCTTCTTCACTATAATCTTAATCTTCATTATCATTATCTGAAATATCTTCATCTTCTTCGTGCTAAGCTGTCATTTGTAATATTTCATCTTCTCTTTCTGGACAATTTTATTGGTTTTATGTCCCATCATCAATTATAACAATCTGAAATATTTCAAAAGATTAAATTTTAGAGTGTTTATTATAAGCAATTCTCAAGTAATAGAACACATAAATGATTAAGAAAAAAGAAATCCATGCAATTACATTATTCTTGTCTGCTATATTATGATGATGAATAGGTCTATGATTATCAAAAATGTATGCTTTAATTTTGGTTTTCTCTGTAACAAACCATTTTTATGTAAGATCCAAAACACCTCCACAATTTATAAATATCATGCTTTATATCTATTAATAATAAAAGAAGCAGCTATTTGTAAAAACCCATTTTATGCTGAATTATTTACGCTTTCACTAGTTTAACACTCATCAATAGAAGCTTCTAGTTAACTAAACCCAGTTACAGGTAAAACTTTGTATGCTATATTATCACTCTTAAGTAATCCCTTAATATTTTAATAATTGTTGCTAATTCCTACTAATTTTTAATCCTAATTTAATTTTTACTGTTAATATTTTTAAAGAGCATAGCGAATCAGCATCGAATGCTACAAATATAAACACAGTGACACAACCATTAATTGCCTTTTTTTATATTTTTTCGTAGCAATGAATAATAGATGTTTAATCAATCAGCATTTATTCCCCTATTTTCAATACTTGTTTGCTTTAAATACTAAAAAAAACTTTACAAACTCTTTTTAATAAATCTAAATTTATATTTTAACATCAATTCTTAAAAAATGATTTGTTAGATTCTTACTAAGTTTTTAATAAATTAAGTTCGCAAATTATAAATTTCAAAATTTAAGCGCTAATCAACATCTATATATTATTATCTAAGTTTTTTCCGCAAAAAAAATTAATTCCAATTGGTAAATATTTAAAGGCTTTAAATAATTATTAATCTTAATTTTAAGGTTACAAATGCAGTTAATATTCACCAATAAGCATACAATTTTTAGATTTTAGATTTAAACAAATAATTTGAATCATTTTAAATAGTTATGAAAATATTTGTATTATTTAATAAAATAAAAATATCAATCATTCATTATACTTGTTTTGATTTTTAAGTAATTTAAATTTTAAACTTCATTTTTATTAAAATTTTTAATCAATTAAATTTTTTTTTTCTTTTATCAACAGAAAATATGTTTTAAAATTTAACATTTTGTGGAATTAATCAAAATTATTTTTTTAATTTCATAAGAAAATAAAATTAGAAATAAATTGGTTATTAATGAATAAATAAATTTATTTAAATCATAAGTAAAGATCATTTATTTCATATTGAGATATACTAACTAATTTTAAAGTATTTTTATAATATTTAATGTAAGTAACATTTAAAACTTACAGTTACTTGATAATCTTTTAAAAAACAAAATTTAAACATCCATATTAAATCCTTATTAAATATTCAAAAAATTATTATATAAAACTTTTTCTAATATTCTTAGTTTTTATTTTAAAAATTATTTTTTAATTAAATTTCTAATAATATGTTTAATAATTATCAAATTTCAATCAGAATCTGTATTGCTTAAAACACAAATATATTCATCAATTCTTTTATGTGGTAAGTTTTATATCTATTTGATACAGTAAAAAATTTTGATTTAATTATATTCTTTTTGTAATATTTCTTTTAAAGACTTTGAATAATTTTAGAAAAGATAAATGTTAGCAAAAGAAGACTCATGGATTCCTTTCCATGTAGTAGCTTGTAATAGCGAAGAGCATGGAACTTAGGCCGATTTACTTTCCGTTCAATCGCATTAAAGTTAGAGGAGTTGGGAAAGCTCGAGAACAGGTTAATTTCCTGTTGAATTAGTTTTAAGATTTCATTATAGATCAGAACTTCATCATATCTTATTATGCTGCAAGCCAGACAAAGGAATTCCAGTGGTTGAATTTTATATAGGTGATGGTTTGAATGGAGGATTTTTAGATGCAGAATACCGACTTGCTGGGTATTAAACTTAATTTTATAATTTAGAAATAAATTATATTTAAGCACCAATAATAATAAATTAATTGCAATAAGATAAAATATTTTAGAATTTATTAGCCTAATTTGCTTTTGAATTATTAAGCATAGAATTAGAATATTTATTTAAATAAATCCATGTTATTTTTATAATAGAAAAGCAGAGTTTATATAAAATTTACCAAAACAAATTAAGCTGATGGGAATAGGTAATTATTTGAAGATACGTATTCCTAAACCCAGTGGAAGAAATCCATAGAATCCTTTTGGATAAGTTAGTTTATCGATATTAAAAATATGGGGAAGATACACGAACTATATGTCTAAAATTAAAAATGAAGAGTTACAACTAGTTGATGATAAAACAAATATTGATAAAATTTTAATTGGAATGGGAATACCAGTTGATATGATTAATTGGTTTGATTAAGATGCTAGAATGTATGAACACGCTCCAATTGATGAAAATACAAGAATTACGCTTAATGATATGATCAAAATAAAGGATTTGGCAGTTAAATAAGAAGATTACGAAGGACTAAAATCTCTAGCAGAAGATATCAAAATTGTTTTTGAAATAGGTAAAGAAATATGGTCATTGAAGAGAGAAATAAACTTCTGTATTGCCAAAGAAGATTTTCCAAGAGCGATGGAGCTTAAAAAGAGATTAAAATAATTAGAAGGAAAAAGAGACGGTTATGATGCACTTTACGAAACTTCGAGATATGTAAGTTTTATTAAATTTTATTTAAATTGTATTTATAAATTTGAATACAACAGGAAAATATGATAGTACTCGAAAGACCAACTACTGCTGATTATAATAAGGTGAGTATATAATTTCTTAAAATATTAATATGAGGTTGTTATAATATAAAAATAAAGATTATTGGAGCGTTAGATGATGATGAAAGGAGAAGAGCTGATGAAAGAAGGAGATAAAGAGAGTTAGAAGAAGCTGAAAGATAAAGATTGCTGGACGAGCTAAGAAGATAGTAGGAACTTTTGTATTAATAAAACACTTAATAAACAGAACCAGAGCCAGAACCTCCTAGAGAACCTGTATATTATTCTATAAAAATAAAGAAAAATATTATTATTAATAATAATAAATTAGACTGTAGAAGATAAAGGACCAGCTTGGTGGGAAAAGAATGCAGGCTAGGATATGAAACTACTCAAAAAGAAAAAAGTCAAAAAAGAGTAAAAAGAAGAAGTAATTGATGTCAATTTCAAAAACCCATTAGCATTCAATGAAGGTGATATAGATTTGGAGATGTATTTAAAGCCTTTATTAGCGAATGCAGGAGAGAAAGTACCTGATGTATCTAGTGAAATACTTCGTAGATTATATCACTTAGGTTACCTCTAAGTATTTGGTTCTAAATGTTGGTGCGCAATTTATTCTGAAAATTGGAGACACAGAGAAGCAGCAGCTTAGGCTGTATTGAATTTCATTGAAATGCCTCTTCCTGAAAAATATTTAAACGGAAATTCTAAAAAGCTCTTTGGTGCTTGTATGGAAATGGCTAAAATAGCTTGTGAAGATAAAATTCTTCAAATTTATTTTATTGGTAAACACATTCATTTTATACGTTTAATTATTAAATGTAATTTTTATCAAATCAGGTTTAAAAATTTTATCTACTGCTCTTGCTCCCCCTGTATGTGGTACAGATGTTTCACCTAAGATGATAAATTAAGTACTTAAAGAATTCACTCCTATGCTCATAGAAAAAATATCAGAATTAAACTTTAGGTCTAGAGATATTTCTTTGCACACACTTTTATCAATATACCGTCATCCTGTAGCTGAAATAGGATAGCTTATTAATTCTTGTCTTGAAATATGCATAGAGAATCCAAATTTTAGTTCACTTTATGTTCCTCCTTAAAAGTAACCTCATAGAATTATGATGGCTAGATTAGAAATTATTTTAAATGTTTTGCAGGAATCTGGATACGATGAAAGACAGTGGAATTGGTTGGATGTTTTTAATTTTATGCTATCTCCATGCTTATTCCATCCTTCTAATGAAATAAGAATGGTAGCTATTGAAATTATTGTTGCTCTTTATCAATTAATCGGTATATATCATCAATTTGAATAATAGCCTATATCTTTATTAATCTTTATTATTTTAAAAAGGTTAGGAAGTGAGAGATGCTGTTGATTTAATTCAAAACCTAAAACCTAATTTAGTTTAAATGATATATGAGCGTCTTGATTCAGTAAAAGAAATAGCCGATTAAAATCAAGTAAAGTTCTTTTAGTGATAAATCTAAACATACTTTTAATATATATATATTATTTAATCTTAAAAGGCAAAGAGAGAAAATATTCTTTCTCTTGTTAAAGAAATGGATCCAAGATTGGAATAGACTCCTTAAGGATCCTACCGCCCAGGATCAGATGGCTTTAATGAATTTGTTAATATACAATAATAGTAATAAAATTAATTGTAAACCAGTTAATTTGGAAATAATTAAAATTAATAAAACTAATCCAATGTTCAATAAAAACCACCTGTGGAATAAAAGCCTTAATACCCAAGTATTTATAATTTAAAAAATTATATTTATTTATTTTTTGTCTATAATAGGTGTTGCTCTTTTTGTTGATGGAATAAATAACATTTAAGAAAACAAGTATGCTCATACTGTATTTGTTACTTAAATGCCAGGAGGAAACTTTTATGCAACTAAGAAATTAGATTAATTTAATAAAGTTTATAGCAATTTAAATTGGGATGGATACTTAAATTCGCCACATTTCATACCTGAACATTTTATAGCAAAAGACAATCTGACTTAAAAGTCGTATTTTATATTGGAAGTAAAGCAAATAAATACAAGCAAACCATAAGCTGTCTTCAAAACAATTGGATGGACTGCTATACCAATGTATGAAGGTGATAAAAAAGTTGTTAGTGGTTCCTTTTAAGTACCTTTATTTTAAGGTGAAGTTAATACATAAGTTTTGTAAGAAATGGTAAACAGAGCCCCATGGGATGTGTTTGCTGAAAAAATAAGTGATAAAAAAAATCCTCTCAAATACTAGGAATTTGTTTCTATTTTGCTTAGAATTGACTCTTCAGAGAATTTAGTATAATTTCATTATTTATTTCTAAACTTTTTATTTATTATGTTTTGTTTAATAAATAAGGCTGTTATGGGAAATTAATATTCCTTGGAAAAACTTGACTAAAGATATCTCCCTCCAAACAAATTTAAAAAATGGGTTTTAGATGCAGAGTTGGATGGTAAACTTTAAAAAGAAAAGAAAAAGTTAAATTCTATTGTTCCTTCCAAATAAGATCCCTTACAATATAATTAGTTAATAAACGAATAAATAAATGCAGCTTTCAAATGAATTATATTAAGCAATGTAAATATAAAATATTATTTAAAATTTGAAGAATAGAATAGAAGAATTGATATAATCTTCTGTTATTTTAGTTATAAATGTAATGAATTATATAATTGATTATAAGAAAAAAATCATTTTACATAATTTGTTTTATAAAAATAAAATGTTAAAGACAGACCAGACCAACTTAATAAAAAATAATTTCTTTCAAATGATACTTTCATTAATTTTTTATATGAGTCTTTATAAGTTACTAAATTTAATTATATCCTTTCATATGAGTTAGAGGTGAGTATTAATTGAAATTAAAATCAACTTCATATTCAGAGTCAAATAATTTTTATGGGTTTTTGAAGTAAATTCTACTTCTCGAATTTTCGTTGATATTTAAATTAGAAATTTTATCAAATAATTCTTTTTTTAATTATTGGTCTTATTCAATAGCACATATTTTATCTAAGTGATATTTAAAGTCACCTAAGTTTTAAATATAAAATTTTCTAAGATTATTAATATAATTTTATCTAAAATACCTCCAACTGTAGCTGTGAATGGGTATTCCTTTGATAAATCAGGATTTACTTTAGATGTACTTTGCAGCCCTAATAATTAATTATATCAAATAAATTACTTTATAATATAAAAAATTTACCAATTAAATATGGGAAAGAGTAAGGATCTTAGTCCATAGCATCAATTTTAGGGCTATTTTCATGGTTTCTTAAAAAAGTTTATAGATCTTCATATTTTAGGAAAGAAGAAAGAATATTTAGTATAATAAATTAAGGTGGAGCTAGCAATAGTTATTTTTTGTAATACTTATCGATACATTCTAATGGATTCATCCATTCATATTTAACACCTTCATCTTCATTTAATATAATATTTTCATCATCTTAAATGCTTTCTTTTTTTCCAGTTTTAAAATACTAAAACCAATTCACCATATTATTCTTTTATATTTAATGCAAATAAAAAATACAATCATATCTATGCTTTATTTGAGGGACAGTTATCAATCTAATAAAAGTTTAAAACTTATCTTCGTTTAATTCAGCAGGTATGATTTTTGTTAAAGATTTAAAGTCATCAGTCCTTAACCCCTTTAGTTTAAATTGATTAACTGCTTCATTTAAAATATTTTCATTTATACTATTCTTAGGGAAATATAAACCTATTTCTTCAAAAGTTTCCCTAATAGCGCAATACAAAAATTTGTTGCATACTTTATTTTATTCAACATCTATATCTTGTTATTCCAACTATCCTCCTGGAAAGGCATACATATCAGAAAAAGATCCTTTGCTGTGTCTTTTGAAAAAAAAAATATCATAATCAAAAGGACCTTTCTTTTTACCATCTTTTCTAAATAGAATTAGCGAAGAGGACTTTTTAGGAATGCTTCCAACATTATTTTCAGTCTTCACAGAAGAACTAAATTTCACATGAAGACATTAAGTTATTCTATTATTAACAATCTTGCAGTTATATTTATTTAAACGAATCATCATATTATAAAATTAAGTGATTTATTATTAATGTGTTTTTGTAAATTTTAATAATGCTATCTATGCAAATTATTTTTTTATAAATTAAGACAATAAAAATTCAATAGATATTATTTGCGTTTTTATTTTATAATATGTATCATTTTTAATGAATTGTAGATTCTTATTACATCATTCTTCAGTAAACAAAAATAGTATCTTTCTAATTCTACAAGTAATAGTAACTTACAAAAAATAAATTTATTTGAGATTTAAATTAGTGATTTTATAAAATTAAAAATCTAATTCTAGTATTTATTAATAAATTAGATTGAATACAATTAAATATAAAATAAAGATATTTAAATTTATGATTACTAATATTTTGAAAAAATTTAAGTTTTATAAAATTTTAAAAATTAATTAATTTTCAAAAAAATAAAAAATAACTGAAAAATATTTTTGATTTTTGCTATTTCTATTGTTTTTTTATGATAAAAATAGAAAAATTAAAAATAAATTTACATCATATATTCATCTATCATAATTGAAAATTCAGGATTAAAAATGTTAATTTATTTACATTAAAATGATATGACTTGTGCAATATAATTCACATTATTTATATTTTTTATAAATAAATATAAAAAATAACAGATTTCAATTAATTGTTAGGAGTGATGAAATATATTAGAAATTTATTAAGTATTATCAATATATAATTTAATAGTTAAGGATACACTGATTATGCTGCTTTTAGCCAGTCTATTATACTCATTTATCCAAACTAAACATAAATTTATTGGGTTATTGTTAAGTGTTACTAAAAAAATAATGATTTATGTGATCTATATTTAATTATATTTTTTAACTAATTCAAAGGTATTAACAATTATTTCTAATTAAAACATTTAATAATTATTATAAAGTAATAATTTATAAACCTATAGTTTTTTAGATAAATATATAATATCAAGCAATCATGGCTAAATAAATCAGTGAGTTCAATCTAACTTAATAGGAATCTGATCTTTTAGACTAGCTTAAATATAAGGTTAACTAAAACTCAATCAAAATATAAATTTAAGCAACATATCCAGAAAAAAGCGATGAAATTTTTTATAGTGATGATAGGCTTGTTAGATTTTTATTTGCTAGGGAGATGAATATAGATAAAGCAGCGTAGATGTGGTTTGAATGGGCTAAATGGTACATAGAGTAGCGACCTGAAAAAATAACATAGGAAGAAATATAAGAAGAAATAGATGCTAAAAAAGCTTTTTGGTTTAAGCAAGATAATAAGAAAAATCCTTGTCTAATAGTTATGATTAAAAATCATAATCCAGTTTATGAAAAAATAGAGTAGGCAAGAAAGTTCTTTTTATGGACTATGGAATAAGGTATTAAAATGGCAAAAAAGAATGGAACTCATAGACTCACAATTATTTGGGATGGGAAAGGATTCTAAAGATCTTAAATGAATTCTGCGTTTTTAGATTTTATAAAAGTTGTTGCCAAATCTTTGCAAGATTATTATCCTTGCAGATTGGCAGCAGTATATGTTACAGATCCTGATTTTCTCTTTAGATTAGGATTTACTCTCCTAAAACCATTTTTAAGTAAAGTAATTACCAGCAAAATTCATTAAATACCAATGAAGGACTTAAATAAATATTTTGATGCAGATTGTATTTTACCTGAGCATGGAGGAGACGCAAATACGATAAGCCCCCTATCTCCTGATTATGTTTAAGCTAGTTAGAGAACAAATAATTTAAATTAGAGTTTTCAAAATATTCACCATCAATAGAATAATTATCTTCATGTAGAAAATTTTTAAAGCCACAATGGTGTTAATCACCATAATCATTAAGTGAATAACAGTTTTATTACTGAAGAATTCCATTCTATTGCTAATGATAGTAAAATATTCTTTGATAATTAGAGTCTATCATAATTTAAATTAAATAATCACGAAAATCACAATCAATAAAATCATTAATAAGAAATATTGATTGAAGGTTCAACAAATCAAACTAAGTCACTATGTTGTAACACTGATTGCTCTATTTTCTGAAAACAATTTTAGGAATAGGTAGAATCACTTATTAAAATTTATCATTTTTGAACTATTATATTAAACTTATGAATAAAAGCAATATTTATAGATTAAACAAGTAAAATTGTTGTTTCTAAATTAAACAAATAATATTTTAACGAAATAACTTATAAAAATTTAAACTTAAATATGAAATATATATTTGTAATTAAAACATTTTATTTTATCTTTTTTCTTTGTTTTAGCTCTTTATATTGATATTTACTAAGAATATTAATTAATTCTAAAACAAAATATTCCTAGAAAAGTTAAATAATATAATTTTTAGTAAAATATTTCATATCTTTTAAAAAAAGACCTCAATATTGGTTTTATAAAAACTATTCAATTAATTCGGGAACAGAGTATCTTTAAAACCATTTGCTTAAAAGAAATGATAATTTATAATATTTTTCAAAAAATTCGTAAACTTATAAAATTTAAAAGAATTATATAATAAATATTTTGATAACAAAATCAACAAACAAAAAAATTTAAGTTTAAATTAAACTTGTTTATAATCATACTAAATTATTTTATTTTGATTATTTGATAAATTTTTCAGATTTAAATATTTTAATTTTAAAAACTAACAGATAAAAGTTTAGACTATTATTAATCTTAATAATAATTATCAATTAAAATAACCCTAAAAATTATATGATATTCAAGGATTTAAAAATATGTATAAATATTATCTTTTAAAAAAATAAATATATTGGTAATATATTCTAATATATTTGAATATATTTTTATTCTTATTTATTACAATCTATTTAAAATTATTATAATTTCTTAATTATTTTTGTGACTAATATTTTAAATTCGAAATATTTTCTTGATAAATTTACTATCATCATTTTGGGATTTACTCAATAGTTATTTCATAAGCAAATTTTTTATTAACTTTTTTAATTTATTTACTAATACATTAGAACTTAGAAAAGAAAGGAAATAAAAATTCTTTCTAACTCTTATATTAAGTAATTAATTCCAAATCTTTAGGTCTTTGATGATATGGAATATTATACTATTTTTTTACATAAATCTTAAATAATAGATAATAATTTTTTTTATCTATCCATCTTTAGCAAAAGTTTATGTCAGAAGAAGATGATGTAAATGCAGGAAAATAAAAAATCTAATTTTCATTATATTAATTGTATGTCTATTCACTCTCTAATTAGCTATCCATTCCCACTGCTCTGTAAAAAAAAAGATCATCTTGTTATTAATCATAAATATTTCCATCATTAATACTTTAAATAGAGTAATTTAGAAGTAATATTTATCTTGAAAGATATTAAAATATAGTTTCGTCACCTAAATTAATTCCTATATTCAAAAAATAGCAAAATGGTCCTTCAACATAAGAATTTATTAAGCCAAATTTTTCTTATTTATTAATATGCCAATCTTCATATAATTTTTTTTCTTCATTTATACTATCTTTCCAAGCAATAACATTTGCTCTATACCAATTTATAGATTTATTATTTTTACGGAGGAACATAGAGATATTAATATCTTCACAAATTTTTTCATTATATTATAAGAATTCTTTGTATGTTTTAAAAAGCTCAATTTCATTTTTGCTAATTGGAGTGCTTCTTAGTACTATATCTAAGTTACTTGGATTATTAATAAATGTAAATAACATTTCAGATGATATCATTCCTAAAAATTCCAAATCTTTGTCATCATAAAATAAATGACTAATGACCTTTGAGATTTTACTTACACTCATTAATTTTTAGTTTAATTAATTAGGAACATTAATATTTGTATGGTTTCTTTCAACTAAAAATATTTTTCTCATTGCTGGTTAATTGTATTTATTCTACTTATTCATCTAATCTAAGATATTAATCTATTACTAATTTAAATCTGTATTTATCAATAGTGTGGAGTTCTAATTGTGTTTTTATTGTATACTCTCTATTAGTTATTCAAATGTTTCAACTTTTTTCAATTAGTAATTTTCAAAATTATGTAAACTTACTTATTCGTATAGATCACTTGATTAACTACTCTCAAATATGATAGCAGGATATTTAATTAACATATTAGTGTTGTTTCTAAGCTAGTTATAATTGTTAACAAACAAATCCATCAAAATGTTTTTTTTCTCTACATTTTATGAATAGAGTTCTGTCACCCTTTCTTCAAATTACTCAAGATACTTTTTATAATCTTCTACAGTTTTAATTTTTTTCTATTTGATATTATTAATTTCTCCACATTTATCAAATTTTACTTCTTTTTTCATTTTCTGAAGTATTTATTGAAGCTCCTTTGGGTTTTCTCCTAATTTGTAAATGTCTGAAATCATTTCCTTACATTTTTTAACAATATTTCTTTGGTAATTATTCACTTAATAGCTAATTCTTTCAAATATTTATTCTACCCATGAGGATATTTCAGCTATTAGATCTTTTTTATTCATTGAACCATTATTAATCATGTTTATTAAGTCACTGCCATATTATGAATCTTGCATTTCCTTCTAGACTATTTAATCTATAAATGACTTAAAATTATTCAATTTCTGAACAACTGTGTTTTATTTAGTTATGCATTTATACTCATTTATCAGTCTTTCTTTTACTTTTGGATTTTGAGCTAATTGAAAAGGCTTTTTATTATTCTAATCAACTAAATGTATATCTGCTTAATTCTTAATTAAATAATCTAGCGTATCTTAATTTCCAGCTTCAGCAGCAATATGAATCGGAGCTTTTCCTAAGTTTGGTGGAATATAATTAACATCATATTTATAAACCTTTATTAATTTTTCAACTGATTCAACTGCATCTTATTAGGCATAATTGCAAAGTGCTTACTTATTGAATTCATCATCTTTTTAACCTTTTAGATTTTAAGGAATTTCACCTCTTAAGAAACAAACAAGCTTAGGAGATTTTTTCTTAATGTAAACTGAATCCAAAGTTGTGTATTCTAATTCTTCTTTAAATCCAAGCTGCTCCATTTTTTTCTTATCAACAAGCAATCCTGCTACTGTAATCTATCTCTAGGCTAAATTACATTTTGTTTTTTATTTTTCTTATGCCTAAATTAATCGATACTAGATTGGCTCTAAATCTTTATTATTTTATTTATTTATATTCAAGAAGGTTATAGGATTTGGTAATTATGCTTATAATTGTTCTACCATTTTTAAATGTTATTAAATTTCTTATTGTAATTATTTCATCAATTAAGCTTTATCTTTTTTCACTTTCTCCTAAACTTCTCTAATTACTTGCTTGTGTGTCTGATTATTATGTTAGGTGTACTCATGTTTGCATTCTTTACAAAACCAACTTCCATTTCTTTCCTCCATGCAACAGCATGATTTTTTATCATCTCCCACACTACAGTCTTCATGACAAACTTTTGAAGAGCATCCTGGATATAAGCACTACGTATTATCATAACCTAGTGGAACTAATTCAGCAATACGTTTAGTTTCATAATAGTAATCCTAGCCACATTTTACTTTATTATATTACTCTTTGCTATAATTTAAGTTAATTACAGCTGTATTAAGCTTTTATTATAAATCATATCCACTCAGTTAATTCATTTTTTTGATAATTTTTTTTTTCTTTACTTTTTAATTTTCAATATTTCATTTAATTAATATTTAAAAGATAATAAAGTATTTAATTAAAAAATAAAAAAAAGTATTTTATTGAATATAAAAATATTTCAATTATTTTTGAGGAGCCAATTTTATACCTTTTATAACTTTTATTAAATTATACCATAGTTAAATCATACTTATAAAATTAAACAAAATCACTATAATTAAAAAAAAAAAAGCACTTCATTTTAAAGTATGTTTCATTTTACCTTTTTATCTTAGCTCATTTATCAAACAAATATAATATTTTTCTATATTATTAATTTTCACCTTTTTTTTCCAAATAAAATGACTTTTTTATTATCAATTTATTTTGTTAAAAAACGGGTTTAATTGAAACTTGTAAGTTATATGCTATTCATAAACTAATTATTAGAATTAGATTTAAGTATATTTAATAAAAATATTTTCCTGTTTGAAAATCTTTTATGGTAGATTAACAATAATTTATAAATAAGAAGATTAGTAAATTGACTAGTTAATTTTTTAATAAAAAAGTAAATATAAATAAGTAAGATACTTTGAAAAAGTAGAGACAATTATTTTAAATATATCACTGAGTATAGTATAATAGAAAGGGTTTTTTTGTTATTTGGGCAAAAAATAAATTATTTATTTATAATTATATTCTAATTTATATATGTGAGATAAAAATGAGACGGGTTTAGGTGCCTGATTGTATATTTGATTAGGAATAAAGAAAAAAACTGATAGCCAACTAAAAATTTTAGAAAATTAATATATCTTAGTTAATGATTATCTACAGTATGCATAAGTTAATTAATAATTTCTTTTTTAAATTAAAAAAATGGTTTTTTTCCTTCGCTTTAATATGATCTTATAAAGTATTTTATGTGAAAAGAGTAAATTTTGTCTAAAACTTACTATCAATTTTAACAAGTGTTTATATATTATTTAAAATAAAAAACATAAAAATTTAGTTTAATTTCTTAATTTATTTTGAACAAAAAAATATAATATTTTTACTCATATAAATTTATTTAATTCAAATTTGGCTCACTTTTGATTTCTTTAAGTATTAGTGATACTTAGATAGATCATTTATCTTGCTCATCAAGTTTTATATCTTACTCATTCAAAATTTCGTCATCTTCAAACTGAATAATATCATCTTTTGAGTTATATTTAGGGATAGAACTTTATAGCCTCGAGAAAAGGCTTGGACACATAGATTTAGTTTCAACCAAGTTTTAATAATTTTGGCTATCTTTGACAATTAAATTTGATGATTAATCTTAAAAAATAGATAATCTTTAATTTGACTTGTTAATAGAATCTCTATGTTTCTATTCTTTTCTTTAACGTAGGACTTCTCTTAGTTTTTAAAGTTCTTGCAAATCTTCTTCTACTTAGAGTTCAAACTACCTAATAATGTACCCCTCTTCTGATATGAATCTTATTAAAACTATTTCTGTGTTTTAAAATTCAGGTGTTCCTTTAAGCATAACTAATCCAGGCTACAAGTCCAGCTTAAGCCAACAAGGAAGTTACATATTTCCTTATGGGCCATAAGGTTTATAATCTAGTCCTAATTTGCTTTCAAAACAAAATCCTGAGGGTAAATATCTTAAGGCTATAACACTGTTAATTCCATGAGGATTTATATGGATAGATTCACCACAACTAGGAAAAAGAGAGCTCGGATTCTTTTCTATTATTCCAGCTGCATCTGAAAACATAACCTTTTCTATTAGAAACAAATTGACTTTGTAGTTATTGTATATCATTTCAAATATTTTGTCTTTTAATAAATTATTCATATCTACATCGGTTATTAAATTTTTAATTTCTTCATCTATTTCAATTCCTAAATAATTAACAGCTTAAAATAATTTTTTAAAATAAAGAGAAAAAGTTGGAAAAGGAATGGTGTGTCCTGATGGGTTCAGCTCTTCTGTCGATTCTAGTTTTACCAAGCACTTATACCAGTCGTTATTGGTTAGTAAAGGATCTTAAATTTATGAATATTTTTTTATAAACTCATAAGCAAGTTAGCTTTTTGAATCTTGTTATAGTATTTTTCTTGCTAATAAAAATCTTAAACATTCATACAAAGAATTACTTTCATTCTTTATTTCATCAATATAGCTTTTTGTAGATTCTGATTTATTTCCAATTTAAAACTTAACATCATATTTAGATAAATCATTATAGAAAGCATCATAATTTATATCTCCATTTGTATTTAAATAGAGTTAAATAAATTTTTTATTTTTTTTATTTTAATTTTAAATTGAACTTTATAATTACATTCTTTACTTATATAAAAAAGCTATAGAGTTTATATTGTTTGTTACAATTTGCTAAATTTTTCCTACTCCTTCAAATACCTTAGCCATGACTCTACTTTTTCTTTTATCTTTATTTGTTTGTTAAGTTTTTTCTGTTTTAGTTTAAATTTTTTAAACAGGAAGTTTTTTATTTAATTCATGACAAATTTAAAGAGCAGCCTAGTATTCTTCAAGTATCAAAGGAATTTTAAGAATAAATTTTTCGTTTGGTTTGCAAATTATTTTACTGTACTAGTTTTTTTTACTATAAAATATATTGTATAAAGTACTTCTATTCTTATAAAGTCCCAAAAATCCAGTAAGAGGACCCAGGATAGTTATTATCCACTATACAACAAACATTACTGGTAACTAATTTACATTTATTGTAAATAACTATTTAACTTTAGTATAGCCATCAGACGCGGTTACTTATATAGTTAATTTAGTTTTGAAAGCATTTTAAGGAGGAGTTCCATAGAATTTTTATGATGCCTGATTATAAGCAAGCCAATCTGTATTATCAAATTATTAAAATTTATCTCCTTTCTGAATTAAAACTTCATAGGTAATTACTGCTTCGAAGTCTGGTACAATAAATGTCTATGGATCAATTGTAAATCCAAATTCTGTTAATATCTAAATATTATCAGTAAATTAGCTTTGCAAAGTTTTTTAAGGATTATTCTAAATATTCTACTTTTTTGCTAAGAATGGAAATTAAGTTACTGAATGATTAGTCTAAATAGGATAGTTCATTTAATCACTAACAGTTATCTAGGCAAGCATATCTTCATAATTTTAAGGTGGGATTGGATAAATGATAATTTTACTTGCTAAGAATTAATTAACATTTTAATATATTCCACTTATATTCAGAACATTTTAATCACTGTTTATTTATAGATTTATGCTTGGAGAATTTTTATAAATTAAATATCCTTATAATTTATGTATTTCAATTTATATGCTAACATTTGTTGCTTGAGTTGATATATAGTCTTTAGTTGACCCATCTATCACTAAAAATAAAGAGGGATGTATTAATAAATATATGGGTGTATATTATATAGAATTTAAGAGAGTATTTTTCAGAAGATTGCTGATGCAAGCATTATAAATTTTCTAATCTGCACTCTAATCAGGAAAAAGTAAAGTATCTCTGATAAAAATCTATTGGTCATTGTTAAAAGATAAATCAGGAGAAACTAAGGAATTTTCATTTATTATTCCATCTTATTTAAATTAAAGAAATATAGATGTTGCCTGATCTTGTGTTGTAGTGCATCTACCTTAGTTAAACTAAAAATCTTTTTCGAATAAAGGCCTTATAGTAGTAAAAAGTATTGTGTTTAGAAGTGGTTTGGGTAGATTTGTTGGATCTACAGCATCATTTGTTATTGTTATCGTCAATGAAATTTCAACAGGATCAAAATATATCCATGATGGCAAGGCTCTTTAGCTCTACTTTTGGTAAAGAGTTACACTGCTAACTACAATGTCTAGAGGCTAATATAACATACATGTGTTAAGCTTTATTGTTTAGCCAACCTTAAATTTATAAGTATCTGGATCATTAATTATATTGAATACCATATCACCAGAATCAGAATAACCAAGAACTTCAAGATAGTCAGTATGTATAAAAACTGAAATAGTCATAGGAAACTATCTCACTTAATTATTGTTGTTGATAAATAATATGCTATAATCTGGTTTTGAGCAAGTAAACATACCATTTTCTTCACCATATTGGTAATTAGACACGATAAATGGATTTTTATTATCAGAAATATCAAGTAAATAGATTTATCCTTACTGCATTGTAGAAATGATTACAGATTTTTCTTATGCCAAGAATGTAATGTCATTAGTCCATCCATCTACTACTAATTAAGAAAATTAATTTAATTATGGTAATTTTGTCTAATCCATTATAAAAAGACCTTATAGCCCATCTACCAAATAAAATTAAGAGCTGTATGTTAATGATTTATAAATTTGCTCAGCGCCAGTTGAGTCTTAGTAGTTTACCATCTAAATGTTAGACATATTCCTTATGTCAAGTACATAGTACCCATATCCCCTACAAGCTCCTATAAAATAATTTCCATCATATGAAAGCATAGCTCCTGTTGTAAAACCTTTCATATTTGTCAAAAAATTCCACTTTGCCTTCACATAATAGCTTCCTAAAGTTTATGTATCAACGAAAATTATAGATCTATCGATTGCACAAGCAACTAATGTATCTTCCATATTATTGTCTATATCCTTAATGTATCCAGTAAAAGGTTATCCATAAGGAATTTTTTATATCACCTTTATATCTCTGTAATTAGAAATATCAAGAACTGCCATAAAATTAGCACCATCATTAATTGAGGTTATCATTATTTTATAATCATTTTTGGTATAAAAAACATCAATATTTGCATTTTAACCTGGAGGTTTATATTACTTTTGAATAACATCAAAATATAATGGATTGCTAACATCGATAAACCATAGTCCATCAGTATCAAATGCTCCAATATAAACTTACCTTTTTGAATCATAATCACATCTCCAGTAGTATCTAGTATTTGACTAATCAAATCCTATTGAATGTGCTCCATTATACAGATTGACATACTTCAAACCTAAAATTGGCTTCATTCTCCTAAAGACCATAATAGATCTAGAATTAGAGAAGTAAAGATAGTTAGCTGTTGGAGATAGAGCAATAGAATTACCATGAAAAGGAAAATAAGACCACATGTATGTCTTAGGTGAAGTTTTATCAGTTATATCTATTGTGAAGATACCAAGAGATCTGACTCCTAAAAATAAAAAGTTATCGTCAGCTGATAAGCAAAATGAAAATGGAGAAGGAACTGCTACATTTGAAGGCCACCATTAAGAGAGGTAGTAAAAGAATTAATGAGGAATTTATTTTGGATCAGAATTAGTAACTTAAGAAAAATCAGCTAAGCTAAGTCCGTTTCTCTCATCTAAACTTATGAGGTATTTTTAATCTTTTGTAATTAACACATCATGTGAGTTTCCTTAAGTGATTCCTTAAAATTCACCAAGCAATTTCCCAATAATTTTTCCATTTTATTTTGTTAACTAAAAAATACCAAGCCCTGCACTGTCCTAGCATAAAATTAGATACTTATCATCAGGTGTTATAAGTCCTCCATATATTTACTGTTATTACCAATTGATATTTCCAGCCAGCACAGGATTGCTTTTTATCGATATGTCTAGAATTCTAACATTTCCATCTATTTGGAATAAAAATAATGTGTCTTCTTTCTCATTAATTTTAACATCAACAATGTAGACATTAACCTAATCTTAGCCTAAATATATAAAATCCTTACCAGAAAACTCGTATACAGTAAGAAATTGATTATTGCTCATGAATAAATACTTTGAGTCTTTTGTACAACCAAAACCTATGATATTGTCTGATGATTCTACAGATGTAATAACAGTATATGCCTATTAAGGATCGATTACTAATACTCCTGAATCTCCTGCAGAAACAAAAATTAAACCAGTTAATGGGCTTACGCATATCTTTGAGAAATTACTTTACTATCCTTTTGATTTTATTATGTAGCTATACTATGGAGAATAAATCCAATTTTATGGAATTTAACCATTTATTGAAACTAATAAAAAAATTACTATTAAGATTTAAAAAACTTATTTTCTCATTATTTTTGAGTATTTTGAAATAAGTGATACTTTTCCAAATAAAAAAATACTATAATTATCTGTATTTCAAATAATTAATAACTTTATTATATTCGATTAATATATTAACTAAGTTAGTTGTATAAGCAATAAACTTCTACTTTAATTTAGTAATTCAAATAAAAAGAAATCAGTATATAATCTTTAAATTATTAAATTTTGTATTTAAATACTATAAATGACTTGTTTTAAAAGCATAATTTTTATTTATTTGAAAATAAGGTCAAAAGTTCAAAGAGTAAAATTACAAATCAATTTTAGGTTACCAATAAAAAATTAATAATTTTTGAATGAAAATTATTTTATCAAAATATTATTTTAAACAATTTAATTATTAAGGAAAAATAATTATTTCCATAAATATTTAAAAAAAATAAGTTTCTTCTCTAAAATTAATATCTCCAATACTTTTATTTTAGTATTCTTTTACTATATTTTCTAAATTTAAAAAGTTCTAAAATATTATTTTACTTTTTTGAAAGAATTAAAGAGAAGTTTTTCAAAAAAATAAATGTGATTTTATATGTTTATTTTTAAATTAAAATAAATAAAAAAACAAAGTTCATTTTTTAATTCTGAGGTTTTAGTTTAACTCTTAAAATAACTAATTTATCATTTCTAATATAAAATTTATTTTTTATAAAACCTTCACAAAAAAGCATAAACTTCTAGATGCATTAATCTAATACCTAACACTATGAAAAACATTTATTAAATTTTTTTATTGTTTATATAATAGATAGAAATTATTAAAAGAGATAATAATATCATCATCATCATCATAATAGATTAAAATTTTTATACAATACTAGAATATTTAAAATGTATATGAACCTAGAAAATTAGGAAAAAAATTGGTAGAAATTGTTGAAAATCATTTTTTTAAAATGTGAAATTAAATAAAGTTTTGCTGTTCCTGCATTTGAAATATCACGAACCATGATATCATAATTTGTGATATTTCAAATAATTTTTATTTTCGTAATGAATATTTTTTTTCTCTAAATCTTAATTATTTTCTAAATATTTGATTTCAAAATGTTTACAAAAATTAACAATAAAAAATTAAAAAATAAAAATCTATTTTTAATTAAAAATTTAATATCTAAAATTACATATTTATTAATAATAAAAAATCATAAAATAAATATTTATTTAAAAAAGATAAAATTATTTAACTAATTAATCTAATGTGTAGTTACCCCAGGAATTAAATTCTTATTTTTCCACATCCATAAGAATTTAATACCTGGAAGTACTATATTAATTTTATCAAAATGTAACTTATTGCTTTTTTAACAATAAATTATAAATATTTTCTTGATAAATTTAGTATCATCATTTTGGGATTTATTCAATAGTTATTTCATAAGCAACTTTGTTTTGATTTTTTTTTATTTGTTTACTAATACATTAGAATTTAGAAAAGAAAGGAAATAAGAATTCTTCCTATCCTTTACATTTACTAATTATTTCCAAATATTTAGGTCTTTGATAGTAAGGAATATTATACTATTTTTTTACATAAATCTTAAATAAAAGATAGAAATTTTTATTTGCCACCCATCCCTCACAAAAGCTAATATCAGAAGAAGATGATGTAAATGCAGGAAAATAAAAAATCTAATTTTCATTATATTAATTGTATGTCTATTCACTCTCTAATTAATCATTCATTCCTACTGATCTGTAAAAAATAAGATCATCTTATTAATCCTAAGGTTTTCCATCATAATAATTTTAAATGGAGTAATTTAGAAGTATAATTTATCTTGAAAGATATTAAAATATTACTTCATTACCAAAATAAGTTCCACTATTTAAAAAATGGCAAAATGGTCCTTCAGTATAAGAATATATTAAGCCAAGTTTTTCTTATTCATATATGTGCCAACCTTCATACCTTTTTTTATCAATTATACTTATCCTTTATATCCATTTAGAAATATTAGCTTTATAACGATTTATAGCATAATTATTTTTACGGAGGGACATATAGTTATTAATATCTTCTGAAGTTTTTTGATTATATTATTAGAATTCTTCGTATATTTTAAAAAACTATATTTCATTTTTGCTAATTGGAGTGTTTCTTAGTACTATATCTTAGTTTCTTGGATTGTTAATAAATAAAAATAACATTTCAGATGGTATCATTCCTTAAATTTTCAAATTTTTGTCATCATAAAATAAATGATTAATGACCTTAGAGGTTTTACTAAAACTCATTAATTTTTATTACAATTTCTATGGAACTTAAATATTTCCAAGATTTCTTCCAACTAAAATTATTTTTTTTAACTTAGATAAATTTTATTTATTCTACTTATCCATCTAATCTAAGATATTAATCTGTTACTAGTTTAGATCTGTATTTATCAATAGTGTAAAATTCTAATTGTGTTTGCATTGTATATCCTTTATCAATTATTCGAATGTTTCAACTTTAATCAATATATGTTTTTCAAAGTTATGTTAACTTGCTTATTCATATAGATCACTTGATTAACTACTCTCAAATACGATGGCAGGATATTTAATTAACATATTAGTTTTGTTTCTAAGTTATTTATAATTTTTAACAAACAAATCCATCAAAATGCTTTTTTTCTCTATATTTTACGAATAGAGTTGTGTTAGTCTATGTTCAAATTACTCAAGATACTTTTTATAATCTTCAACAGTTTGAATTTTTTTCTATTTGATATTTTTAATTTCTCCACAATAATCAAATTTGACTTCTTTTTAGATTTTATGACGCATTTATTGAAGCTCCTTTGGATTTTCTCCAAATTTATAAATATCTGAAATCATTTCTTTGCATTTTTTTACAATATTTCTCTGTTACTTATTAACTTAATTGCTAATTTTTTCAAATATTCCTTCTACCTTTGAGGATATTTTAGCTACTAGATCTTTTTTATTTGTTTAACCAGTGTTTATTAAATCAGCATCATAATATGAATCTTGGATTTCCTTCTTTACTATTTAGTCTATAAATGAATTAAAGTTATTGAATTTCTGAATAATAGTTTTTTCTTTAGTTATGCATTTATACTCATTTATCAGTCTTTCTTTTACTTTTGGATTTTGAGCTAATTGATAAGGTTTTTTATTATTATTATCAACTAAATTTAAATCTGCATAATTCCTAATTAAACAATCTAATGAATCTAAATGTCCAGCTTCAGCAGCAATATGTATTGGAGCTTTTCCTAAGTTTGGTGGAATATAATTAACATCATATTTATGGACCTTTATTAATTTTTCAATTGATTCAACAGCATCTTATTAGGTATAATTGCAAAGAGCTTATTTATTGAATTCGTCATCTTATTAACCTTTTAGTTCTTAAGGAATTTCACCTCTTAAGAAAGAAACAAGCTTAGGAGATTTTTTCTTAATATAAACTGAATCCAAAGTTGTGTATTCTATATCTTCTTTAAATCCAAGTTGCTCCATTTTTTTCCTATCTGCTAGCAGTCCAGCTACAACTATCTACTTTTTGGTTATATTACATTCTGTTTTTTGTTTCTCTTATGCACAAATAGTTCTGTACTAGCTCGACTCTAAATCATTCTTATTTTATTTATTTATATTTAAGAAGGTTATAGGATTTGGTAATTATGCTTTTAATTATTCTACTTTTTTTAAATTTTATTAAATTTCTTATTCTAATTATTTCAACTATTAAGCTTTATCTTTTTTCACTTACTCCTTAACTTCTCTAGTTACTTACCTATGTGTCTAATTATTATGTTAGGTGTATTCATGGTTGCATACTGTACAATACCAACTTCCATCTCTTTCCTCCATGCAACAGCAATTTTTTTTATCATCTCCCACACTACAGCCTTCATGACAAACTATTGAAGAGCATGCTGGCAATAAGCACTAGGTATTATCATGACCTAGTGGAACTAGTTCAGTATAACTTTTAGTTATATAATAGTAATCAGAACTAGATTTTACTTTATTATATTCATCTTTACTATTTTTTAAGGTAATTAAAGCTGCATTAAGCTTCTATTATTGGTCATATCCACTCATTTTAATTAAATTTTTTGATTTTTTATTTAGATCTTTTCTTTTTAATTTTAAATATTAGATTTTATTAATAATCAACAGATACGAAAGTTTTTAACTAAAGAATAAAAGTATTTTATTAAAAATTAAAAGTATTTTATTTATCGAAAATAAAAATTTTCATATATTGATGAACCAATTTAATGAGTTATCTTACTTATCTTAAATTTACCATATTTAAATTCTACTTATTAAATTAAACAATCTCAAATGTATCGAAAAAAAAAAAACACTTCATTTTACAGTATGTTTCATTTGATCTTTAACTTTTTAAGACTTTATATTATCTTAGTCCATTTATTTAATAAGAATTATATTTTTCTATAAAATATAATTAATTTTCATATTTTTTTTCCTCATAAAATGAGATATTTATTATCAATTTATTTTGTTATAAAATTGGTTTGATTGTAAAATTATTAGTTAAATGATATCCATAAACTAATTATTAAATTTAGATTTAAGCAAATTTAAAAAAATATTATTGCTGTTTGAAAATCTTTTATGGTAGATTAACAATAATTAATAAATAAGAAAATTAATTAAGTGACTCATTAATTTTTTAATAAGAAAGTGTAAAAAAATTAAGAAAGATACTTTTAAAATGAAGAGATGATAATTTTAATAAAATAAATATATTAGTGAGAAGAATAGAAGGGGTTTTTTGGTTAGTTGGCTAAATTATTTATTTATTTACAATTAAATTCTAATTTATATATATGAGATAAAAATGAGATCGGTTTAGGTGCCTGATTAAATATAAGCATAAATAAAAATTAATATTAGAGAGTTGCAATTTTAAAAATTTTTTAAAAAATACGATAAATATTAATTTTATCAATATGTAATTTTTATTTTATTGACAAATATTTTAAATTAGAAATATTTTCTTGATAAACTTACAATCATCATTTTGGGATTTATTCAATAGTTATTTCATACACTTTTTTATTATTCTTATTTTTAATTTCTTTACTAATACATTAGAATTTAGAAAAGAAAGGAAATAAGAATTCTTTCTATCCCTTAAATAAACTAATTTCTTCCAAATATTTAGGTCTTTGATGATATGGAATATTATATTATTTTTTTATGTAAATATTAAACATAATATAATAATTTCTATCATTTTATTTCATCCATTTTTCACTAAATTCAGCATTAGAAGAAGATGATGTAAATGCAGGAAAATAAAAAATCTAATTTTCATTATATTAATTATATACTTAATCAAGCTCTAATTAGCTATCCATTCCTATTGTTCTGTAAAAAATAAGATCATCTTATTAATCCTAAGGTTTTCTATCATCATAATTTTAAATGGAGTAATTTAGAAGTAAAATTTATCTTGAAAGATATTAAAATATTTTTTCGTCACCCAAATTAATTCCTACATTTAAAAAGTAGCAAAATGGTCCTTAAGTATAAGAATTCATTAAGCCAATTGTTTCTTATTTATTTATATGCCAATCTTCATATTATTTTTTGTTTTCACTACTTATGTAGTTTATCCATCTAGAAACATTGGCTTTATACAAATTTATAGCACTGTTATTTTAACGGAGGAACATAGAGATATTAATTTCTTCACAAATTTTTGTATTATATTATAAAAATTCTTCGTATGTTTTAAAAAGCTCAATTTCATTTTTGCTAATTGGAGTGCTTTATAGGACTATATCTTAGCTACTTGAATTATTAATAAATAAAAATAACATTTCAGATGGTATCATTCCTTAAATTTTCAAATTTTTGTCATCATAAAATAAATGATTAATGACCTTTGAGTTTTTGCTTACGCACATTAACTTTTCTTACAATTTCTCTGGAACTTAAATATTTTCAAGTTTTCTTCCAACTAAAAATATTTTCCTCAATACTGGTTAATTTTATGTATTTAACTTATCCATCTAATCTAAGATATTAATCTGTTACTAATTTAGATCTGTATTTATCAATAGTGTAAAATTATAATTGTGTTTGCATTGTATATCCTCTATCAATTATTCAAATGTTTCAACTTTATTCAATTTATAATTTTGAAAATTATGCAAACTTACTTATTTGTATAGATCGCTTGATTAACTACTCTCAAATATGATAGCAGGATATTTAATTAACATATTAGTGTTGTTTCTAAGCAAGTTATAATTTTTAACAAACAAATCCATCTCAATGTTTTTTTCTTCTACGTTTTATGAACAGATTCCTCTCAACCTTTCTTCAAATTACTCAAGATACTTTTTATAATCTTCTGCAGTTTAAATCTCTTTCTATTTGATACTTTCAATTTCTCCACATTTATCAAATTTAACTTCTTCTTAGATTTTCTGAAGCATTTATTTAAGCTCCTTTGGGTTTTCTCCTAATAAATAAATATCTGAAACCATTTCCTTACATTTTTAAACAATATCCCTTTAGTAATTATTCACTTATTAGCTAATTCTTTCAAATATTTCTTCTACCTTTGAGGATATTTCAGCTACTAGATCTTTTTTATCATTTGTATCAGAATTAATCATATTTATTAAATCAGTGTAATATTATGAATCTTGCCTTTCATTCTACACTATTTAGTCTATAAATGACTTAAAATCATTCAATTTCTGAAAAACTGATTTTTATTTAGTTATGAAATTATACTCATTAACCAATCTTTCTTTTACTTTTGGATTTTTAGCTAATTGATAAGGCTTTTTATTATTATTATCAACTAAATTTATATCTGCCTAATTCTTAATTAAAAAATCTACAGTATCTAAATTTCCAGCCTCTGCAGCAATATGAATTGGAGCTTTTCCTAAGTTTGGTGGAATATAATTAACATCATATTTATAAACCTTTATTAATTTTTCAACTGATTCAACTGCATCTTATTAGGCATAATTGCAAAGTGCTTATTTATTGAATTCGTCATCTTATTAACCTTTTAGTTCTTAAGGAATTTCACCTCTTAAGTAAGAAACAAGCTTAGGAGATTTTTTCTTGATGTAAACTGAATCCAAAGTTGTGTATTCTACATCTTCTTTAAATCCAAGCTGCTCCATTTTATTCTTATCTACTAGCTATCTAGCTACTGCAATCTACTTCTAGGTTAAATTACATTATTTTTTTTATTTTACTTATGCCTAAATTATTTTTTACTAGCTAGGCTCTAAATCTTTATTATTTTATTTATTTATATTTAAGAAGGTTATAGGATTGGGTAATTATGCTTATAAATGTTCTACAATTTTAAAATTTTAGTAAATTTATTCCTGTAATTTTTTCAACAATTAAGTTTTATCGTTTTTCACTTACTCCTTAACTTCTCTAATGACTTGCCTGTGTGTCTAATTATTATGTTAAGTGTACTCATGTTTGCATACTGTACAATACCAACTTCCATCTCTTTCCTCCATGCAACTGCATGATTTTTTATTATCTCCCACTCCACAGCCTTCATGACAAACAATTGAAGAGCATCCTGGATATAAGCACTAGGTATTATCATGACCAATTGGAACTAATTCAGCATAACGTTTAGTTACATAATAGTAATCATCACTACAATTTACTTAATTATATTAAGTTTTGCTGTTTTTTAAGGTAACTAAAGCTGCATTAAGCTATTATTAAATGTCATATCCACTCATTATTATTATATTTTGATTTTTTTATTTTTTTATTTTATTTTTAATTTTAAATATTTCATTTAAGTGATATTCAAAAAGGAAGCTGTTAAATTAAAAAATAAACTATATTAATTAAAAGTATTTTATTAATTAAAGGTGTTTTTTTAATAAAAAGTATTTAATTAATTGAAAATTAAAAGTGTTTTATTAATTAAAAGTATTTTATTGATAATAAAAAGTATATAATTAATTGAAAAAATTAAAAGTATTTTATTGAAAATAGAAATATTTAACGTTTTGTTGAGGAACTAATTTTTTCCCTTATCTTACTTATCTAAAATTTTATTAAAAAAATACTCGATTTTAAACTAAGTTTCATTTTACCTTTAATTTTTAAGACATATAGATAATCTTAGTTCATTTATTTATTAAAAAAAATATTTTTCTGTAAGATATAATAAATTTTTATTAGCCATATTTTTTGAAATTTCGTAATTTATTTATTAGAAACGGTTTAATTTTATTTTGCATATATAAGAATATAAAGAGAAACAGTTTAATTATTTGTTCAATCTTTAAATTAAATAAATAAAAAACGGATTTTGTTGGTAAGAGCCACCTTCATTTATTGCATAGAATAAAACTCCATTAATTTCCATATGATCCATCATAATCCTTAAAAAAATTAATTTATTGTTGACATTTAAGCATTTCAGAGTATGAATCAGATTAAATTTAATCTTAAAGTCTATTTTATTTTTTCAAGTCTCATCTACCATTTAGTGTATGAAAGATTTTTTTATGATACAATTAAAAATAATGTAATAAAAAAATGAATTGGATCTATCCCAATGAGATAGTTAGTTATCTATAATTATCTTTATTATAAAAATATTTTATTTGTTTAATGAGTTAATAAAAATAATTAATTTAATTAAAAATTTATTTATATTTGTATTATAAAACATAAAAAAGCATATTTAAAATCCTAGTAAAATAAGATTACAAAATCTATTGGATAATTAAAAATTATAACAATAAATATCAAATATAATTGTATAAATTTAATTATAAATAACATACTAAATAATTGTAAAATCAACAATCTTACCTATTGCTTAACTTAATTCTGAGATAGAAAATCAGCTTTATTTTTATTCAATAATCATTACTGAATCCATTTTGTGTTGAAATTTGATTTCTCTTAGTATTAGAGTTATTTTACAAGGATTCTTTTGGTTGGATATCAAGCTTAATTTCATCGTCTTACAAAACTTCATCGTCCTCAAAATTAAATATTTCTTCATTCAAATTATACTTTAGAGAATCACCATATGGTTTTGAGAAAATACTAGGACTAATAGATTTAGATTCAATCATTTGCAAACAATTTTAATTTTCTTTTATTATCATGTTTTATGATGAGTTTAAAATGAGGGTTTAAGCTTAATTTAATTTTTTAAACGAATCTCTTTTCTTCAGTTATATTTTTGAATGCATCATTTGTCTAAGCTTTTAAAGTTTTTGCAAGTCTTCTTCTACTTATAGTTCAAACTATTTAATAATATATCCTTCTTCTGAAGTGAATCTAATTAAGACTATTTCTGAATTTTAAAATTCAGGTTTTCCTTTAAGCATAACTAACCCAGGTTACAAGTCTAGCTAAAGCCAACATGGGAGTTATATATTTCCTTAAGGACCATAAGGTTTATAATCTAGACCTAAATATTTTTCAAAGCATAACCCTGATGGTGAATATCTAAAGGCAACAACACTTTTAATTCCTTAAGGATTTATATGGATTGATTCACCACAGCTTGGAAAAAGAGAGCTCGGACTATTTTCTTTTATTCCAGCTGCATCAGAAAATATAACTTTTTCAATTAAAAATAAATTTATTTTATACTTTTCGTATAATACCTCAAATATTTTTTCTTTGATTAAATGATTAGTCTCTCCGTCAGGAATTAAATTATCAATTTCTTCACCTGTTTAAATACCTAAATAATTAACTGCCTAAATTAATTTTTTTAAATAGAGTGAAAAAATTGGAAAGAGTATAGTATGTCCTGATGGATTCAGTTCTTCTGTTGATTCTAGCTATACTAAAGACTTATACCAATCATTATTTGTTAATTATGGATCATTGATTTAAGAATATTTTTTTAAAAATTCATAAACAATTTGGCTTTTTGAATCTTGGTTTAGTATTTTTCTTGCCAAAAAAAATCTTAAACATTCATATAAAGATTTACTTTCATTTTTTATTTCATCTATATAGCTTTTTGTGCTTGTCGTGGTGTTGCCAATTTAAAAAATGATATCATACTTAATTAAGTCATCATAGAAAGCATCATAATTTATACTTCCATTTGAGTTTAAATAAAATTAAATAAATTTTCTATTTTTGTTATTTTAAGTCTTCAATTTCAATTTTTACTTATAAATAGATGCTATTGATGACAAATTATTCTTAACAACTTCCTAAGTTTTTCCTGCTTCTTCAAATAAATTTGATTTAAGAGCTGTAATTTTTATTTTTTTTTCATCTAGTTCTAAAATTTTTTCTGTTTACTATTATTCATTTTGACAAGGCAGTTTTTTATTTAATTGATGACATATTTTAAGAGCAGCCTAGTATTCTTCGAGTATCAAAGGAATTTTTAGTAAGAACTATTTGTTTGGTTTGCAAATTATCTTACTATACTAGTTCCTTTTACTATAAAATATATTGTATAAAGTACTTCTATTCTTATAAAGTCCCAAAATTCCAGTTAGAGGACCCAAAATAGTTACTATCCATTATATAATAAACATTAATGGCAATTCACTTATATGTATTGTAAATATTTATTAAGTTTGTGTATATCCATCAGATGCAGTTACTTATATGGTTAATTAAGTTTTGAAAGCATTTTAAGGAGGAATTCCATAAAATTTTTATGATTCTTAATTGTATGTAAGCCAGTCAGTATTATCAAATTATTGAAATTTATCTCCTTTCTGAATCAAAACTTCATAGGTAATTACTGCATCAAAGTCTGGGACAATAAATGTTTATGGGTCAATTGTAAATCCAAATTCAGTTAATATTTAAATATCATCATTAAATTGGGATTAAAGAGTCTTTTATGGATTATTCTAAATATTCTACTTTTATACTAAGAACGGAAATTAAGTAACTGAAAGATTTGTCTAAATAGGATAGTTCATTTAATCTGTAACAGTAATATTCGCGAGCATATCTTCATAGTTTTTAGGAGGGATTGGAAATATTATAATTTTGCTTGTTAAAAATTAATTAACATTATTTTATGTACCACTGATATTCAAAATATTTTAATCATCATTTATTTGTATATTAATGCTTTCAGAATTTTTATAAATTAAGTATCCTTATAATTTATATATTTCAATTTAAATGCTGACATTTGATGCTTGAGTGGATATGTAATTCTTAGTTGATCCATCTATAACTAATGATAAAGAAGGATATACTAGAATATAAATGGGAGTATATTAGATTGAATTCAAAAGAATGTTTTTCAGAAGATTACTGACACAAGAGTTATAAATTTATTATTCTCTGCTTTCACTTGGAAAAAGTGAAGTATCACTAATAAAAATCTATTAATCATCATTAAAAAATAAATTTGGAGAAACTAACCTATTTTCATCTATTATTCCATCTTATTTAAATTAAAGGTAAATAGCTTCTGCTTAATCTTTTGTTGTGGTGCACATTCCATTATTGAATTAAAAGTCTTATGCATATAATGGTCTCAGTGTTGTAAAAAGAAGTGTATTTAAAAGAGGCTTAGGTAGATTTGTTGGATCAACAGCATCATTTGTTATTTCTACTATCAATGATATTTCAATTGGATCATAATAAATCCAAGATGGTAAGGCTCTTTGGCTTTGCTTTTGATAAAGAGTAACGCTGCTAACTACAATGTCTATAGGTTAATATAACATACAAGTGTTCAGCTTAATTTTTTAGCCAACTTTAAATTAAAAGGTGTCAGGATCATTAATTATATTGAATTCCATATCACCAGAATCAGAATAACCGAGAACTTCAAGATAGTCAGTATGTATATAAACTGAAGTAGTCATAGGAAACTCTCTCACTTAGATATTATTGTTTATAAATAATATACTATAATCTGGTTTTGAGCAAGTAAACATACCATTTTCTTCTCCATATTGGTAATTAGACACTATAAATGGATTTTTATTATCAGAAATATCTAGTAAATAGATTTGTCCTTGCTGCATTGTAGAAATTATTACAGTTTTTTCTTATGCCAAGAATGTAATGTCATTAGTCCATCCATCTACTACTAATTAAGAAAATTAATTTAATTATGGTAATTTTGTCTAATCCATTATAAAAAGACCTTAAAGCCCATCTACCAAATAAAATTGATAGCTGTAAGTTAATGATTTATACACTTACTCAGCACCTGTTGAATCTTAGTAGTTTACCATCTAAATGTCAGACATATTCCTAATGTCAAGTACATAGTACCCATATCCCCTGCAAGCCCCTACAAAATAGCTTCCATCATATGAAAGCATAGCTCCTGTTGTAAAACCTCTCATATTTGTTAAAAAACTCCACTTTGCTTTGACATAATAGCTTCCTAAAGTTTATGTATCAACAAAAATTACAGATCTATCGATAACGCAAGCTACTAATGTATCTTCCATATTATTGTCTATATCCTTTATGTACCCAGTAAAAGGTTATCCATAAGGAATTTTTTATATCACCTTTATATCTCTGTAATTAGAAACATCAAGAACTGCCATAAAATTAGCACCATCATTAATTGAGGTTATCATTATTTTATAGTCATTTTTTGTATAAAAAACATCAATATTTGCATTTTAACCTGGAGGTTTATATTACTTTTGAATAACATCAAAATATAATGGATTGCTAACATCGATAAACCATAGTCCATCAGTATCAAACGCTCCAATATAAACTTACCTTTTTGAATCATAATCACATCTCCAGTAGTATCTAGTATTTGACTAATCAAATCCTATTGAATGTGCTCCATTATACAGATTTACATACTTCAAACCTAAAATTGGCTTCATCCTCCTAAAAATCATAATAGATTTAGAATTAGAGAAGTAAAGATAGTTAGCTGTTGGAGATAGAGCAATAGAATTACCATGAAAAGGAAAATAAGACCACATGTATGTGTTAGGTGAAGTTTTATCAGTTATATCTATTGTGAAGATACCAAGAGATCTGACTCCTAAAAATAAAAAGTTATCGTCAGCTGATAAGCAAAATGAAAATGGAGAAGGAACTGCTACATTTGAAGGCCACCATTAAGAAAGGTAGTAAAAGAATTAATAGGGGTATTATCTTGGATCAGAATTAATTACTTATGAAAAATCAGCGAAGCTCAACCCGTTTCTTTCATCTAAACTAATGAGATATTTTTAATCTTTTGTAATTAATACATTATGCGAGTACCCTTAAGTATACCCATCGAATTAACCAACAAATTTCCCACTAATTTAGCCATTTTATTTGGTTAACTAAAAAATACCAAGCCCTGCACTATCTTGACATAAAATTAGGTATTTATCATCTGGCGTTATTAGACCCCCATATATTTACTACTATTGCCAGTTAATATTTCCTACCAAAATCGGATTGCTTTTTATAGATATATTTAAGAATCTAACATTCCCATCTATTTAGAATATAATTAATGTATCTTCTTTCTCATTAATTTTAATATCAACAATGTAGATTTTCTCCTAATCTTATCCTAATTATGTAAAACTTTTACCAGAAAATTCATACACTGTTAACTATTAGTCGTTACTCATAAATAAATATTTTGAGTCTTTTGTGCAAGCAAACCCTATGATATTATCAGATGATTTTATGGATGTAGTAACTTTATATTCTTATTCAGGATCTATAACTAAGACTCCTGAATCTCCAGCAGAAGCAAAAATTAAACCAGTTATTGGGCTGACATAAATCTTAGAGAAACTATTTTCCTATCCATTCGCTTTTATTATATAGCTATACTATGGTGAATAAATCCAATTTTATGGAATTTAACAATAAATTTAGAAAAACAATAAAGAAGCTATTAAGATTTGAAAAAGTTGCTTTTACATAATTTTTATTATTTTTTAAAAAAGTGGTATATAATTGTAAAATAGTCCTTTAGTAATTAGTTCTTCAAATAATTAATTGCTTAATAAATATATTTTGTTTTCTAGTTACTTCTACTTTAATTAATTTAAATTAATTTAATTTATTTCAACATCATAATTGTATTAAATAAACACATAGATTTCTATTTTAAATAATAAAGAGTTTTAAAAGCAATTTTTTATTTGTTGGAAAAAAAGTCAAAAAAAAAAGCTTTTCTTAGGTGAAAAACTGTTTTTTATTTAATTTTTACATAAAGAATTTTAAACATGAATTATTTCCAATAATATAAAATATAATCTAATCAAGACACATATTTTAAAAATTTCGAAACATTTAAATAAATTTCAATAAAAATTTATATGAAAAGAGCTAATTTTATCTAAAATAATAACTTTCTACACATCATTCTTAAATATTCTTTTTTGATTAATTTTCTGTTAATAAAGTTGGTTAGGTTATCTAGTTATCTAAATTTTACATTTTTTAATCTACAATTACTTTTTATTCTGAAGATTTAATGCCTGATATTTGATGATCTTCTTCTTAAATATCTACATCTGTAATTAAAGTAATAGATTTTGAATTTTATTTAGTTAAACTGCGATGAGTAATCTGCTAAAATGGTAAATTTTATTTAGGGTTAAAGAATATGCTATCTTGAGAAGGCTTTTCTCTATAAATACTATATGCCAATAATTTCTGCTAATTATTATAGGAATCTAACTAATTAAATTTTTGATTCTTACTATTATGGATATACTTTTTTTTATATAATTATTATTTTAATTTTTTATATTCTACCACATCTTCTTCGACATTTAAAATGAAATGCTTAATTATATAACCTTCGAGTGTAGTTATTCTAATAAGTATGCCTTCTGAATTAGAAAAATCAGGTATTCCTTTTAATATAATCAATCCTGGTTAAGTATCTAGCTCAAGCCAGTTAGGTAGCTGTATGTTCCCTTAAGGTCCATAAGGTTTATAATCTAAACCTAGAGTTTTTTCTATACAAATACAAGGTCCAGGTGAGTATCTCAATGCTACTAAAGCGTTAATTTAATAAGGATCGATATGAATAGATTCTCCTGAGCTTGGAAAAAAACTACTTGGGATAGTTTTTACAATTCCTGAAGCATCAGCAAATATTTATTATTCTATTAAGTATAAATTTACATCATATTTTTCATATATTTAATCATATATTTTCTCTTTTTGTTGTGATTCTAAATCATCAGAATATAAAAAATCCACATCATTTATTTTAAAATCTAATAAGGTTAAAATGTCATATAACCTTGTAAAATAAAATGAAAACTCAGGAAAAACTATTTAGTGACCAAAAGGATCTAAGTCATCTGTCGATTTTATGTTAACTAAAAATTTATACCAATCATTTTTTGTAAGATTTGGATTCATAACTTATGAATAATGTCTTAAAAAACTGTAAACTGATTAACTTTTTATATCGAAGCACATTAATTTTATAGCTAATTAAGATTTAAGACATTAGAATAGAACACTATAGTTTGTACTAAGTTCTTCTTTTAAAAGTTTCGTTGATTTTTCTACATTATTCATTTTAAATTAAATATCGAATTCTAAGAGGTGATCTAAATATAATTTATAATCAATTGATCCATTTTCTTTTAAATAAAGTTTTTCAATTTAAGATGTTCTTTCAGATTTCTGTAATAATTCAAGTCTCTTTTTATAGCTCTGAGCAATAGCAGTCATGTTTGCTTGCATCATTTCTTATATTTTACCAATACCTTCGAGAATTGTTGTTTTGAATTTTGTAATTTTGAGTAATTTATTCCAGCTTTATCTTTTTTTACTTGCTGGCTAATTTATTGGTTTCTTTTTTTAAAAGATTTTTATAATTTATTACTTTGTAGTTTCTTACCTTTTTAACTAAGCTTCAAGTTCTTTCATGATTTGTATTGAAGCACTATTTTCGTGAAGTATTAAAGGTATTTTAAGAATAAAGTACTAGTTTGGTTTACAAGTAATTTTGCTGTATTTATTTCTTTTGTTAAAAAGTATGTTATATAAGTCACCTCTAAACTTATAGAGGCCAAAAATACCTGTCAAAGGGCCCAATATTGTTATTATCCATTATATTACAAACATCAAAGGTAATTGATTCACATGTATAGTAAAATTTTATGATACTTTAGTATACCCATCAGATCCTGTTACTTGAATAGTTAAACTTGTTTTAAATGCGCTCGCTGGAGGTGTACCATAAAATTTAAAAGTATCACTATTATATTAAAGCCATAATGAGTTTTCTAAAGGGATATATTAATTTCCTTTTTATTATAAAACTTTATATGTAATTGTTGTATTTAAATCAGGTGCAATAAATGTTTTGGAGTCAATAGTAAATTCAAAAGCTGTTTAAATTAAAATGTTATCAGAAAATTAGGTTTGCAAAGTTTTTTCAGGGTTTATTTAAATATTCTATTTTTCTGCTAAAAAAGGAATCTTATTTGATGCTTAGCTGTTTACTATTGGATAATTAATGGAATCCATTACAGTTATGATTGCTATTATATCATTAAAATTTTGTGGAGATATAGGATAAATTATTATTTTTTTATTAAGATATTCATTAATATTTTGCACTTTTCCAGTAATATTTAAAATATCTTAATCTGCACTTATTTAAATATTAATAGACTCCTCATTTCTAAAAATAATCTAGCCATAAAATTTTGTGATTTATATTTATATGCTAACTGAAAGGGCAGTGGTAGAGATATAATTTGAAGTAGTTCCACTTGTGTTTAGATTTAGCGATGATTTAATATTGAGATATATGGGAGTGTTTTATATAGCATTAAGTAACTTATATTTTAATTATTAACTTAAACAATCCATGTAAACTTTTTGGTTGATATCTGGGAATAGAGTTGTGTCTTTTATTTAAATAGTCTATAAAGAGTTGTATTATATGTTAGTAGAAACATAATTATTATCATCTATAATACCATCTTCCTAAAATTAGAGGTAGATTACACTTGCTTATTCTAAATTAGTAGAACATTTATCTTAAGAAAAAATAAAATCTTATTTATATAGAGGTGTTATTGTGGTAACTAGAAGAGTATTTAACAGAGGTTAGCTCAAATTTTAAGGATCTACTGCTTAGTTTGTAATAGTTATCATTAAAGAAATTTCTACAGGGTCAAAAACTATCCAGCTAGGTAGCGGATACTCTCTCTATTTTTAATAAAATTTTATGCTACTGAAAACTATATCAATGGATTGATAGAGCGTACATATATTGAGTTTGATAGTTTGTCCTACTTAAAATTAATAAATTTCTGGGCTTTCAATTATGTTGTACTACATATCTCCAGATTGAGTGTAACCTAAGACTTGTATATAATCTACATGTAGCATTACAGAAACCGTAAGTGGTAATCTTCTTACTTCTAAGTTATTATTTATAAATAAAGTTGTAAAGTCCTATTTAGAGCAGGTAAACATTCCATTCTAGTCCCCATACTAATAACTAGAGACAATAAAAGGGTTTTTATTGTCTGATATATCAAGTAAATATATCATACCTTGCTGCATTGTTGATATAATTACAGTTTATTCTTAATTTAAGAAAGTAATATCATTAGTCCATCCTGGAACTATAAGCTTTGAAAATGAAACTAATTAGGGCAACTTTGTTTAGTCCATTATGTAAAGACCATCAAGTCCATCTACTAAGTAAAACTAATAGCTAAATATTAATGATTTATATACTTATTCAGCTCCTGTTGATTCTAAGTAGTTGATCAAATTTATGTTCTTCAAATCTTATATATCTAAAACAAAGTATCCATAACCTCTGCATGCTCCTATAAAATATTTAGCATCAGATGAAAGCATAACTCCTGTAGTAAATCCTTTCATCTAAGGTTGGAAATACCACTTTGCTATTACTTAAAATGATCTTACATTCTAAGTATCAACAAATACAATTACCCTATCTAAAGAGCACACAACCATTTTATAATCAAGCGAGTAATCTATGTCTTTAATATATCCATAAAAAGGTTCTCCTAAGGGTATTTATTATATAACTTATATATTTTAATAATTGGAGATATCAAGCACAGCCATAAAATTGACTCCATCATTCATAGATGTAATCAAAACTTGATAATTATTTAAAGCTAAAAATACATCTATATTTGCATCTTAATTAGGTGGTTTATAAGAACTTTAGAGCACATTAAAGCTATTAGGATTGCTTACATCGATCAACCAAAGTCCATCAGTATCAAATGCTCCAATATACACTTATCTATAAGGATCGTAATCACACCTCCAATAATATCTAGTAAGCGATTAGTCAAAGCCTATTGAATGATTACCATTATATAGACTAACATATTTCAAACCTAAAGTAGGTTGCATCTTTCTAAAAACCATAAAAGATAGAGAATTAGAAAAATAAAGATAATTTGAAGTAGGAGATAAGGCAATTGAATTACCATGAAAAGGAAAGTATGCCCACATATATATCTTAGGTTTTTTCTTATCAGTAATATCAATAGTGTAAATTCCTATTGATCTTACTCCTAAAAAGAGAAAATTTCCATCTTAAGATAAGCAAAAAGAATATGGTGAAGGTAAAATGTTTTAGGAAGGCCACCATTAATTTAGATAGTAATTAAATTAATATGGCTAATTTTGAGGTATTTTAGTTTATACTAAAGAGAAATCTGCAAAACTTAACCCATTTCTTTAGTCTAAACTAATAAGATAATTTTAATCTGGAGTCAGTATGACCTAATGAGAGTTCCCTTAACTTGCTCCAGAATATGATCCCAGGAAAGTACCAGTAACTTACTTATTAACTTTTGTTAAGTAGAATACTCCTACTCCCTAATTATCCTAGCTAATTATTAGAAATCTTTCATCAGTTGATAAAATACCACCATAAATTTGTTAAGGAAACCATAAAATTTAGCCAGCAAAGCTAGGATTAGTTTTTTAACTAATATCTAAAATGCGAACGATGCCATTAATTTAAAATAAATATAAGGTATCTTCGTTTTAATTAATTATGATGTCAACAATATAAACAGGTGTTGAATCCTGTCCTATGGAATTAAATATTTTTCTATTAGAAAATTCATAAATATTTAATACCTTATTATTTGTAGCAAAGACATAATTAGCATCTTAGGTGATAGCAAATCCTTCTATGTGATCATTTGTTGATAAGCTTGCTGTTATTCTGTAATTTTAATTTGGATCAATTACTTAAACACCTTTATATCCAGCTGAAACAAAAACTAATCCAGTTTATTTACTAACTAAAATTTTTGAGAACAAATTTGATTACCCCTAAGCCTATACAATAAAACTATATTACTAAGAGTAAAGCCAATTTTAAGGAGCTTAGCATAAAACCTATTAAATATAAAGTTTTATGATATATATTTTAACTAATAGAACTATTAATTTAAACATGTTTATTAATTGAAAAATTTATTAAGTATTTATATTGAAAAATTGATAAATTAATTCTTAGTTATTCACTAAGGTGTAAAAATAATATCTAATTCTCAACCTTACACAAATTAATTAAAATTAAAATGCTTAATTTCTTTAATATAAAAAAGAACATTTTGCATTTTTCATTTTTAACATAATTAAAAATCTAACTAAACTGAACAATTTACTTTTGAATAATTTCTCCTTAATAGATATTTCCTCCCACAAGTATCAACTGGAAAATTGAATTTTAAAATCTACTAACTTATCTATTTAAAATATTGTTTTATATTCTCAAACTTTTTTTAATATTTATCTAATTCATAAATATTAATTTAGTTGGATAAAATCAAATATTTAAAATATTCTCAAAAAATATTTGAAATTTGCTATTTAATAATGTTGTTTATTTCTTATATAGTTATAATTTATCCTAAAATAATTTTTTTAACAAAATTAATTAAATTTACATATAAAAATGAAGAAATTAAAAAAAACAATAAATAATAATCTGTTTTTCATATTTATAATAAATAAAATTATAGTTTAAATTTTAACATTCCTCTTCTTTATATATCTCTAATGATAAAAATATTTTTTTAATACATAAAATATCTTGCCAAATTTTTAAAATAAAATATTTTAAAGTTATAAAAATTATTATTAATAGTAAAATATAAATTAGAAAAAATTGATTAAAATAAAAAATTTACTATTTTTTTTACATTTTTTTATTTTTTAAAATAACATATATTTTTTTTAACTTTATTCTTTATAAAATAATAATATTAATTTTTGAAATTATATTAAAGTTAAAATAAATTTTATTAATTAAAATGAATAATTATAAGTACTTATCAAATTATAAAACAACAATTTTAATTTTTAAAATAAATGAAATGAATGCTTATAAATTAAAATTTTTGTTCTTTTTGAAACTCTAATAACTTAACAGATATTTTTTATTTATAAAATATCTTGTCAAATTTATAACTTAAAATTTATTTTTGAACTATTATTCGCCAAAAAAATATACATTACATGTTATCTTTTTTACTAATATTTGAATTTCGTATAAAAAAATATAATTTATTTGAATTATTTTTGCTAAATAATCTTAAGAATTATTGAAATAATTTTAGAAATAAAATAAATCGTTTAAATTCAAAATTAAAATAGTAAGTTCTTATGAAATTGTGCTAATTTTAAATGAAGAAAATTATTTTTATATTTATAATTGAGATTAAGATATTTTTAATATGATTTTTAATTATTATAATATAAAATGCTTAATCTGCCAATTATTGAATGCAAAATATTAAACAGGATTGATACTCTTTATATTTATTCTTAACAAGTCAAAAATTGTATTTATTGTTTTTATGTGCTTTAACAAAAATTATTTAAGTAAATATTAATAGATTTTAACTACTTCTATCAACTTGTTAGATACCCTACAAACAGCTTATAAAGAAATATAAAATGAATATTAAAGAATAAATTACTGAAAAATAATCCCTTCTTTCTGTAAGACCTTAAAGTAAAATATTATGCTAAATGAAATAGATTTTACTCTAAGCTAAATATAAAAATCAACAAAATATATTTCAAAATAATTGATGTTATAACTAATTCAAACTTAAAAATAGATTATATCTAGTTGCAACAGGGAAATTCTAGTGCAAGATGTTGCTTGCAAACATAAGATTCAAGAATAATTTGCTCAATGTAATTTATATATTTAATGAACCAATAATTTAATTAAACTTTAAATATCATCAAGAATTGGACCTTATCATGGCATTAAAGTTCTTTAATAAGATTGCGAAATTAAGTGCATTATAAATTTTCTCAATAAAAATGACTCAAACATGCATGAAGAGACAGTAATTTAATTTTTAGACATAAATTTTACAATATGTTATTTTAAATGTGGTTTTTTTGAATCAGTTTTATAACTAAAATGATCAAAAATATTATTTTGTTAAATAATATTATCCATCTTCTTTATTTAATTGCTTATGTGAATGAGCTAACTAAAATAATAGCATTTTAAAGAATGAATTAGATTATCTTGAAAAATTGTATGAAACATTTATCGTCGATTGATATATTATTAATAACAAATAAATTCAAAATATAGAAAAAAATTTAATTATTTTTGTATGCTATATTCTGTCTAAAAATACTTTGTTACAAGATATTAGTCTAAAAATCAACAAATATTACTAGCTAAAATTGAAATAATCACATTTTCCTTCTAGAAAAAAGTTAATATAAGCATAGTTTTGTTGAAAGAAGTATTTTAATTACAGTTTATTACACTTGCTTTTAGCAACTTGGATTTAGCTTAACTATCATTTGATCAATAACAAAAAAAAAGAGATATTTAAAAAATTTTAGCTTCATTTACAAGTGGCCAAATTAAATTTCAAATTTTAGAAACAATTTAATAGCATTCAATCATTTTAAAATATTTAAGAATAGTTAGCCAATTTAAACTGCAAATTATTGGCAATACTTATGAGGAATGTAAACTTAACTAAAAGATTAAAAGCAGTCTATTAAATTTAATTCAATAGATATACTTTATGTTATTCAATTCCTATTTGAAAGCTCGGCATTTAAATACAGTCTTTATCATTTTTTTGGTTTTTCAACATTACTATTTTGCAAGTATAATTTTTAGTTTTTGTAATGTAGATTTAAATTCCGCGAAAAATTATATGTGTGATGCAAATTTTTTAGAACAACTTTATTAATTTAATTTTTTTTTTACTGGTAATAGGAGTAGGATATAATATTAAAGAGAGATCTAGTTAATATGCTTAGTGAAATTGTGAATATCAAATAATACCCAAAAAGTATTTTGCAGCTTACTTTTGATATAATATAAGTTAATGGACCAGTGTTCCCATATTTGGTTAACGTAGCTTGCTTTGCTCTGTCCTTAGCTGGAATCTAAATTTTAGATATATTTTCAAGCGCCTATATGGTAAACCTAAATTTTAATAACCTAATTTTTAATTGTACTTTACATAGATCATTTTATTAAATCTTTTACTTTAATTAATAGGGTTTTATAGGAAATAATTTAATTATCGATCCTAGCGACAAAGAGTTCGCTCTTATGAATAAAAAATTATGTATAGTGTAAATGAAAAATTCCCAAAAGATAATTTACTTGGATATGAATGGTTCTTTAGATTTTGAAGAGATTTAGAAGGTAAATATTATATCTTTAAATAATTTTTAAGAAATTTCTAGGAGTTAATGATGATTTAGTTCTCAAATACTTTTTGATTGCAATTTCAATCACAAAAAATTTCAAATACTATTTTAATTCCAGTAGGCTCTTTTATTGCGCATTTAATAGTATCATTTTAAATATTACGAATCATAATAAAAAATTATTTAAGATGCATTAATAAATCATCCGAAAAGATACTTTTTTTTTCTTTGGCATATCTTTTAACGAATTTTTTCAGATCTAAACATAAAAGAAATAATTAATGGGTGAAAAAAATCTATTAAAAGCTTGAATATGAAATTAACATTAAAATGTCATTAATCCTACACATGAATCAAATTAAAATTTTTGTATTAATTAAAATTAGCTTCTTTCACTAGGCATTAGTGGATGTAATAAAATATCTACTTTGATGAGTACGTTGTTGATAGAGTAGAACGCAGTGTTAAGCAATTGATATAAGACTTGTTAGCGAATATCAACTAATTGCGCATTAATTTTGAACTAATCTAATAATAGTTTGATGTTGCTAAATAAACTCATCTAACTTATGTTTTCAATTTCAAAGTATATAATTTATATCTTTGTTAACTAAATATTATCTATATACACTACTTATATTCTCTACTAATTCCTTATAAATATGTCTATTTTTATCATTCTTTATTTTAAAATTTTCCTTTATATTGTGTGTTAAATTTATCTAATTTATTCTACCTGCCCAGTTCAGCAGATTTAATCCCCTTTATTTCACAATAAAAAAAATAAATCCCCTCTCTCTACTTTATTTTTTATGTGATGAAAAAATGAAGGAAGAAAACTCTTTATATTACGATTTATGCATGTATGGGTATTAAATTTCACCAATTTGAATACTCACACTAAAAAAAAGATTATGTAAGCAACAAACATGCAAGTTATTAATTGTAGTCAAAGATATGAAAAGAAAAATAAGAAAATTTAAAAGAAAAAAGAGAGGAGAAAATGATGATTTGATGTGGGAGAAATTTAACTTAAGCACTAAATGAATAGTTAAAAGCTTGCAATATCTTTTTTTGATATCATGGGAAAAAAATATAAATAAAAAATTAGTAAAAAATCATCCAAAATCAAAAAAAAATCAATAGAGGTAAAAATAAAAATTATTATTAAAAAGTTCTCTCAGATTATCAACTATAACCTACTCGTTTCGTTTCGCTGACTCTTTACTTTATTTTCTATCATATACATGCACTCAACATCTCAAGCAATCTCTATATGCACCCAGAGTTTACCAGAACGTTAACTCTCCACTAAAGGAGCAACGCATATTCTCGTTGAGGTACTTACTTCAGGGTTCTTTTGGCAGTAAGCCCACGCTGAATACTTTCTTCAGAAGGATAGCACACATTTTATTAACATGCAATAATTCATGCACGTCAGTAAAAATAAAGATACCTTAAATTTCTTCTCTTCATTTTCATAGAAACCATCTGATTATCAAGCATATGAAAGGCAGTTAGATACCCTCATACGGGCTTGACTAATCTAAAAAATCTAAAAGTTAGGGAGATTAGCCAGCCTAGATATGACCTATCGTTTCACTAAAGTCCTTCCATCTTTCAATAAAAATTATTAACGTTAAACTGCTAGTATTTCTATCTTCTATTCCTATATATGAAATAGTATAGCTAACTTATACTATTTATCAATAAGTATAGGCAAGTAGGTAGTAAAATACACATGTTTTGTTTGAAAGATGGTTGCAGTTGACTTTCATCCAACTGATTGGATTCAAAAAATAAATTAGAATAAAGTGAAGAAGAAGAAGAGGTTAGAAAGTTTTAGGTAGAAATTTATTATTGATGATGCATCATACATATAAGGTCATGTAAATTAATAATTTCTCAGATGTAATTAGAGATTATGGTGTATGAGTGAGTGTGTAAGAAGATGTTAAGTAATAGAATTAAGAGAACTAATTAGTAGTGACACATGTTGATAATCTGAATCCAATATAAATATATCATTGAAGTGTTTAATTTAATATTTATAAATTTTATTATTCAAATATTAACAATAGCATTAGCTGCAAAGTTAAACTTTAAAAAAAACAAAGACAAAAACTAGCAAAACAAAAAGAAATGGGACAAGGAAAATCTAAATTCAACAACTCACCTTTATACAACCCTGCTGAATACACCGAAAGCAACGGTTTCAACGATGAAAGATATGGCACCATGAAGCTCTGGATTAACAATGCTACCCAATAAAAGTATGCTGAAATTTCCAAGACCTTGAACGACGAATCTGTTTTGGAAAAGAGAGTCGAAGAATTGAACTTCAGAAAGGAATTAGATCACCCCAGCATCGTCAAGTTGGTTTCTTTCAACTCTTAAAAGAAGGACGAATTCTGCTCCTCCTTCTACAAGTTGGGCTTATTCTACGAATACTTCAGCAACAATTTGAGAACTGAAATCTCTGAAAGACAAAAGGTTAGAGCTGCCTATAAGGAAGGTGAACTCTGGTATCTTTTGGATACTCTCCTTAACGTCGTCTACTACTTGAAGTCAAAGAACGTTAATCACGGTGATATCAGACCTTACAATGTCATTATCACCCCTGAAGGTCAAGTCAAGCTCGGTGAAATCTTCATCCACGTTCAACCTCTCTCTTCCTACTCCCAATTGTTGAATAACAGTTTGGAAGAATACTACATCTCTCCCTAACTTTTCAGATGTTTGAAGGAATTCAACGCTTCTCCTGTCTTCGATGCTAACAAATCTGATATCTACTCTATTGGTATGACTGTCCTCGAAGCTGCCACCCTTGAAAACGTCAGCCGTGTCTGCTACGACCAACAAAACTACGTTGTCAAGACCGACGAAGTTAACAAGCTTTTGAACCAAGTTAGAGCTCAATATTCCTTATCTCTCTACAGTTTCCTCTAAAAGCTCCTCACCGAAGATGAAGTCTTGAGACCCTCTGTTGAAGGATTATTCGATGAACTCAACTAATAATATGTCCAATCTATTAACACTCACGGTCTCACCACCATCGAAATCATTTCAAACCAAGTTTCTCAAATCCAAGGTGGTTTCATCTAAGAAACCTACGAAGAAAAGGAAGTTGTTTAAAGATCTGCTAACCCTGCTAGACAATCTTACACTCAAGAAAAAACCTATGAAGCTCCTATTAATTACACTACTACCACCTACACCACCTAAACCCCCGTCATTGAAACCACCAACTACAACAATGATGACCTTAATGCTAGAATCTAAGCCGTTTTAGCTATGAGCAGAGAAACTATTGCTAAGTATGGTAGCTCTAACCTCAGCTACACCAGCGCTCCTGTTAACTACACAACCACCACATATACCACCTCTGCTGTTCCCAACACCACTTATACTGCTACTTACACTGCTCCTATTGATGCTAAGGCCAGCCAAATCGAAACTAGAACTTTCCTCAATGAAAATACCAATAACATCGAAACCAAGAGCTACTAATAATAAGAACCCGTAATTAATTAAACTTTTTCTATTATTTGACAGTTTATTTTCTAGCTACAATAGAAATGAAAGGGAAAAAAATCGATGAATATCTTTATTCAATAGAAAATATATTTGATTAACTCCTTTCGTTAATTTAAAAATTTTTGATTTAACATTACCACTCATATTTTTACTACCCTTTCATCCATATCATCATTATAGTATCCTACCTCCCTTCCAAATCAGTGTTTTGTAATATAAGCGAAGCCAAACAAATCACTGAGAGATATAAATAAAACAAAACAAATAGTAGCAAGCTTAAAAGTTTGTAAGTTAATAAATTGTAGCAACAAACGTAATATGCGATAAAAAAACGAGGATAATTACAAGAGATAATATAAAAATAAATAAAAATTTTTAAGTTTAGTATTAAGAAATGAGTTTTAGGATCAAATAGGACCCAAATAGAATTAATTTAGATATAAATTTTATCTAGCTTCAGCTTATTAAGAAAAATAAAATTTAAAAGTGATTTTATTATCTTGCAAAATAAAATAAAGGACAAGCAAACAAACAAACAAATAAATTAATTATTAGGTTACGTTTCAAATATATCTTTTTTATTTTTCATACATTTAAGAAAAAATAATAAAGAAGAATTCTAAATCACAATCGTAAGAAAATCATCATATATCTAGAAAAAATAATTAATTGACCTTATCTCATATTAAAAACAAACAAATAAACAAAATTCAAAAATAATTCATTCAAAATAAACTAATTTTTATTTCTAAATTTTATTCTTTTTGGTCATCCTAAAACTAACCTTTGGTCTGTCTTATTTTGTTGCTTTTTTTATTGTGAGCAATTAGTCAAAAAAAGACCTTACTTATTTTTAATTTATTCCAATAATTAATTTTTAAGTTCCATCAATATTTCACAAAATTAATAGTCATTAATTTTATTGGATTGAATTTAATGCTCCATTAAATATATTTTTAATAAAAGCAAAATATTTTTTGGCTTAACAAAAGCCAGTTTTTATCAATTAAATAAACCAGTGAAAAATATATTTTAACTATTTCTCTTCTAAAATCATAGATTGAAGAAGTTATCAAGAGATCTAAGAAAGAAACTGCTGAAGTTCCTGCTGCTTAAACCACCTACACTACTACTTACAACTTACCCTCAACCACTGTTGAACCCATTAAAAGCAGTCAATACCAAACAACCACCTACACAACCAACACCCCCGTCTAATACAATTTCACTTCTAACAACGTTTAATTACCTTAATAAACTGAAGTTAACTACAGCACCTCTTATGTTCCCTACTAAAGAGTTGAATAAACTTCATACACAACCACCCTCCCTGCTTCTTCAGTTCCTGCCCAACAAGTCACTGAATACCAAACCTCTTCTAACATCAGCTTCATGAGCCCCGAAGAGAGAGACGCTTACATTGCTAAGATTCTTAACGAATCTAAGAACTATGCTGCTTCTAACACTAACACCACCATTACTTACACTAACTACGTTGATGGAAAGCCCAATGTCTAAGTTGTAAGACTATTTTTATTTATCTTTTTTAACATATCATTTACCCTTAATTTAAAAATAATAGGCCTAATACTGAGCAATCTGAATTTGTGTTATCATTAAAATTTTTGTTGAAGCAATTTTGTAAAATGAGATTATATGCATAATAAATACTTGAGAATGCCATAAAATGAGAGTTGTATATCTATCCAAAATTATATAAATCAACAACACCATAAATATAAACATAAACGAAAGACACCTTATTTAGCTTATTATAAACATTTAATTTTAAAAGTGTATTTATGTGTGTTATTTTTCTGTAAATCATATATCCTTTCATTTCTCATTTTATTTTTAACTTTCTTCTTTTTTAAATTAATTTTAATTTTCATTCTAAAAATTCATTCATTTATTGTAATAATCTAATAATACAATTTCATTTATATTAATTTTTATAAAAGTAAGTCAGTCAATTTGATTTTTTAATTTTTTTAAATTTGTCATTTTTTCAGAGCATTTTTATAAAAGTAAATTAAATCTATCAAAAAAATAATTTTTGTTCATTAATAATTTACATCTTAACTGGAACATATTTGTTCTTCAAACCATACTCGCTTTTTAAAATTTATATGTAGCTTTTTTATAAAAACAAATTCTAATCTTATTCAAAATAAAAACCAATTATAATAATTTAAAAGATTTTTAAAAAAAAAAAAATCTTTAATTCTATTTTATTAAAGAAGATTATTTTTTTAATTTTTTTTTTCATTTATGATTTTTTCTGTTACTAATTTTATTATTTGTTATTTTAAATTTTTTACAGATAACAATCAAGGCTAAACAAAAACTAGAATATAAATTAATATTAATCTATCTTTAAAGCTTAGCTGTATTTACAAATATCTTTATAATCAAATGTTGAATCAAAATATAAACCTTGCTTAGTCCATTTCAAAGGAATAAATATCATGTAAATGACATTCTATTTTTGTTTTTCATAAATAACTTTTTAAAAATCTTATAAAAACTAGAATAGAATCAAGCATAAAAAAATTCTAAGATACCACTAATAATAAGAATAGCTAACAGTAGTAATAATTCAACTCCAGTTAAGCTAGGTTCCTTCTAGGATTTAAGTAATAATGAAGTTATTAATCTTTGTGAATAAGAAAATATAAAATAAGAAATCAATGATTTTAAGCCAAAAAAATAAATAGATTGCATTGTCTTATAAAATGAATTAAATTATTTTGAAGATGAAAAAGAAGAATTTAAAAATGACAAAAAACTACCTCAAAAACCTTAAAGAACAAGTTATATAAGCTAATAACATAAAACAATAGCTCAAGAATAGTATTATAATCCTATTATTCTAGCTGATAATACTAAACACAGAGAAAGGTAGATATAAAATTAAAGAAATTAGTAAAGAAATAACTCATTAGAGAATAAATTCATAGAAAAATCCAATAATTAGCTAATATCAAATCGTAATCATATTAGATAGTAAAATTGTAACAATGCTTCTTTTAATCTTATTAAAATTGACTCTTCCTAATAACTAGATATAGAAAATATATAAAATTCTTCAAGTGATAGCTGTCCTGAAGTTTATTAAAAGAATAAACTAACTAACATAAATTAACAATTAGATTTCAAATAAAAAAAAGATTTATTATAAATTTCAAATTTAAATACTATATAAAAAGAATAATCTATAGTTTAAAGCTAGAATTTAAATAGAAATATAAAGATAAAAAACTAGACTCCTTTACTTCCACCTATTCACCCTTAAAAATTAAAACAAGCACATTAATAAACTAATCATGATTTAAATAAAAATGAAATAAAAACAGATTTTATCCGTAAAAGCAGAAGCAACTCTTTTACTGAAGAAAAAAATATTTTTAAAATGAACCTTGATAAAAGTTAAAGAGTTTCTTCTAGTGAATTTAAGAATCTTCTTAATAATGTTAACTTTTAGTAAATACAAAAAAATCTATCTAGAAACTAAAAATCTAAAACACAAACTAGTGAGTAAAATTATAATGTAATAGATGATAACTCAACAAATGGAGTAATTAAAAAATATCACTAAAAACACTAAAATGATATAAATTAATGTGCTTTTGATAGAGCTTAATACAATTAAAATATCAGATAAGAATAATAAAATAGTTTATTTATTTAAAGATACTAAATACCTTTAATAATTTCATAGCCTGAATTAGAATTTATCTAAGAAAGATCGAATAATATTAAAAATTACCCTAATCAAGTAAGATAGTAAGTTAATTCTCAAGAATAACCCATTAATAATGGAAACATGCAATAAAATTTAGAAAATATAAGAGAAATTAATGAAAGGTAAAAGTCCAAAGATGTTATAAGATTATAAAATCAAAATGTTAGAACTTAATAACAATAACAGCAACGTAATAATAACAATAATGAATAGACATATAACGATATTATTCAAAGAAGAAACTAAATAAATGCTTAGTAAGAAAATCTGAATGATTAATTTTAAAGTAGGTAAAACACAATTAATTAAAATCCACCCCCAAGATTCATGATTGATAACATGTATAATTAGTTTATAGAGTTTTAAAATCAGCTTAGATAGCATTAAGGAATTAAATCAGATAAATATGTAAGCACAACTGTATATAAAAGTTCATAGTCTTAGAATCTTTCTTAAGATGCTAAATAGTGCTCAATTTGTCTGTGCGAATTTGAGGATGAAGAGAAAATAAGTTTTTTGGCTTGCTTTCATCGTTTTCATAATGAATGCATTCACAAATGGTTTGAAACAAAATCAACTTGTCCTCTATGCAAAAAAGATTAAAAAACATTAATAAAAGATGTTAATAAACTATTAGATGAATTTTGAGTATAAAACCTATAAAAATATTTACTTTTTGAGAAGTATAATTCTTTATTAATAATAAATGTATGTATTATATATAATCAGTTATTAAAGTTATGGTTTAAATTATATTTGAAATGTATGAAATTCTTATTTTTCATAAACAATAAATTTATACATTAAATATATTTTGTTAATTAAAGCTATGATTTAAATTATATTTGAATTGTGTAAAAGAACAATTTAAATTATTATTTAATTATTTAAACTCGATTTAGCAAGAGTTTACATTAGAAAAAAATAAAACATTAATAAAAAAAGTCATTTTTTACTTCAAATTAATAATTAAAAAATTAAAATTTCACTAGGACTTTTATTTGATGTTAAAAAATGCCTTCCAATATATGTTATGGTTTGATATTTATTAGCTAAAGTTATAATTATATAATGTGCTAATAATGTAAAAAATAATATTTTTTTTCATTAAATTTGAGTTTTATTCTATTTTACTAAATTTAAAATTTAATGATATAGCAATTCAATATAAATTCAAAATTTAATATTATAGTCATTATAATATAAATATTTTTTTGATTGTGGATTTATTTGTAATTATTCTCTCAAATTTTTTAAGTAAGTGAAGTGATTTAAGATAAAGAAAAATGATAAAATAAAATATAGTTAGTTATGAAAAATTTGTTGAGGAGTATTTGAATTAGCTTAAAGTTCCTTCTTGCCTACCGAGACATGTAGGTGAATTATGTGGTGGATGTATCCAATTAATACAATTATAAAAATATTGACTAATTTAATAGATAGTTTTTAAAGAGTTAAACATATTTAACAGGGACGGCAGAGACTTTCAAGCAAATTATTTAAAAAATTACTAAAAAGAACACTGCGCCTTTATAATTATGGTTTGATAGCTATTAATCTATGGATATTATATCAACAAAAAGAGCGAGCTTAAAAGAAGTGTTTAAAATTTTAGATACAAGAAATATTTGTAAATATAATTATGAATCGTTTTAAAGTTTAAGTAAAAATTATAAAAAAGCAAGAATTGATAGCTGCGAATTATTTTCAGTAATGACATTTATTGCTAAAGGAGACTATGAAACAACAATTACAAGTAGCTTGTATTGATTAATTTTATTAAAATTTATTTTTTATTGATTATTTAGATATATCTTTGGTTTTTGGCTTTAAAAATCCTCAGTGCTTGACAAAAGACGAGTTCTTTTTCTTTTTAGACAGTTTCTTTCGTGGAATCAGCAAAATTCTACTATTAAAAAATAAAAAGGATTATACTGAATAAGATGTTAATAAGAGGTAATATTAATTATTTAATCACTTAGTTTAGCTAAAATTTTTGCCCTCTTTTACTTAAACAGACTTAATTCTGAAGACATAAAAGAAATAACTGACAAAGTTTATGGAAACAAAATAAACTTTACAAACAAAGATTTCGCTAGGTAATTAAGATTAATATCAATATATATTTATTTTTTATAAATCAATAACAAATAATTTTAGGGAATTCATGAAGAGTAAGTATAATTAATTTTTTGAGTACATTTATCAACAACTTTAGGCGAGCAATGACTTCGAAAGGTAATCTTTCAGCATACTTAAAGCACAAACAATATATAATTGCAATTTTTAATAAAAACAGATCAGTTAGCTTGTAAAATATACAGATAGCCCAAGAAGTGAGAAAATGTATAATGGATGTACTAAAATCAGTTGAAAAAAATGTAAATGGCGATGTTAAAAAATGAAATGTCTAATCTTAAAAAAAAAGAAAGATTTCTTTTATTTAATTTTATTTTAATTATATATTGTATAGTATAGTAAAGTATTTTTTTCTTCATTTTTTATGCTTGTATTTTTAATAAACCTTGCTTAAAAGTGTAGGATAAATTGCTTTCTGAATTCACTTTTAGTAAATATGCTTTGTTATAGTCTATGTTAAAAATTTCATAATCGTTTATTTATCTAAAATCTTCATTTATGCATTTTAAATACCATGAGACTAAAATTTATTTTTAAGCTTTAAGCATTTATAAATATTAGAGTGGCTTATTAAGCATATAACCTTATCTTCAGAAAAAATTATCATCAATAAAATTATTATTAATCTTCTTTATATTTTATCAAAATCTTCTGTTTTTTATTTGAACATTTCACCTTACTTTTAATTATCAAACTATGTATGGCACCACCACTAATCGTTATTGATCATGCACGAATCAATATTCCACTTATTGCATAACCCTTCTTTAACAAATTCTAAGCTCTTCCCAATATCTCCGCAAGTATCCAATCTTTCTCTCAAATAATGACAGGCTAAAACTTTAGCTAACTTAAATTATTCAATAATCTAATTATTTTCTTAATATGCTAAAAATCCAAATGTATCAATAGCTCTAGAAAGAGGAGACACATACACCACATCAAATTTTAAATTTTGATAATCTTTTAATACTGAAAGTTGTAGATTTTTTGTCTATTATTATCCTTTATCTGTTAATTCTGGATCAATATTTTCAAGTGTATTTTTATAAAAAATAGACCAATTTAATGGTGATTTTTCTCTCCATTAATTATATTTTGATTCTGCATGTCTTATAAAGTAAATAGATTTATTATCTAACTGCTAACTAATCAAATTTAATAAATTTTATTAATCGATTTCAATGCTGAGTTGCTTTAAAAATAATTTTAAATTGCTATCATAGTGATCTTTTGATTAAATCTACTCTAAAAGTTAATTGTACAATTTTTTTTGATATTGTTATTCCATAAATTTTAATTTATTTTTTGCTATTTATATCTACTTTTTAATTTATTTGTAATCAAATAATACACTAAAACCAAATAATCTTTTAAAAATATAATTTGTGAATAACTTAGTTTATCAATTTTGATAAAAATATTTTTATGTTTACTTTAGTATAATATATAAAACAAAAAAATTATTATAAAATTTAGTTTAACTATGCAGATTTTGAATCAGTCGCTTTCATTATCAAACTCATCACTATCTAATTCTTCATCTTCATCACCTTCTTCTTCTTCAAGATCTTCATCATCATCTTCCTCATCATCTTCTTCGCTTTCTTATTAAATTTTACTAGTTTTTTATTTATTGTTCTTTGTATTTGATTTGGATTTTTGCTTTTATGGTTATTCTTCTTCTTCATTGCTTTCGTATTCATCTTCAAGCTCTAAATGTTCAACGTCATCATCTTCATCGTCTCCATCAGAATCTTCTTCAGAGTATTCTTCTTATTATTCATCTAAGTCGATTTCGTCTAAAGAATCATACTCTTCATCATTTTCTTCATCACCTTCTTTACCTTTCTTTGATTTTTGCTTGACTTGCTTAATTTAATCAATGAATTTGTTAAGGTTTTCTACTTTTCTCATATGCTTAAGAATACCAAGCTCTCTTCTTGTCTTAGATTATAATTCATCGTCATTGTTTAAATCTTAATCTTCTTCACCGTCACTGCTCATAATACCTTTTAATTATTTTCTTCTTTTTTCTTGTAACTTCTTTTCTTTTTTATCTTCTACTTTCTTAATGACGGTATTAGCTTAGGTTTTAATATCAGTTTAAAGTTCTTTTGTTAACTTATCAAATTCATCAACATCAAGGTATTCGTCTGCCTTGTAATTTCTATTATAAATTAGAACAAAATTAATAAATATACACTTATTAAATAAAATATACCCTCTGAATTAAAGCAAATCTCTAATATCATCATATCCATCGTTAACATCTTAAAGTAAAGTTTTATCATCTTCTCTTTATTTTTATCTTTCATATTTAGCTTACTTAGATTTTTTTATAATTTCTTCGTAAATTTCTTTTTTTGACTTCTTCTTTTATGGATTTGAGGGGTCAACTTATTCAGATTATTTTTCAAAGCCTGCAAAGTTGAGTTTATCAACTATTTCAGCAGGAATATTATCTTCAGCATCAGAAAAGTCTATTTAGTCTTTGAAATCATCTAATTCTTCTATTTCCTTTCCCTTATGAGTCAACTTTAAAGGGGCATCTTCGTTTTCGCCATCAGAATCCAAATCAAATTTTTTCTTTTTCTAAGCTCCCTTCATTAAAATTGCAGATAATCTACCATCTGGAGTAGATTGCTTTTATTACTTTCTCATTTCAATAAGTCTAGAGTCTTTGAACTAGTTTACTTTTTTTTCAGCAGTGAGAGTTGCATCGAATAAGCTTTTCTGAAATTATAGAATATTAAATATATAGAGGTTGAATGATTATTATGTTTTACATTAGCATACAGTTTGGTTTCTTTACTAACTTATTTATTGCTAGCATATTTACCAAATGAGTTGGTCTTTGTAATTTTTTTCTTTTAATCAGGTGCTTTATTGTTGTCAATTTACTTTACTTTTCCCATTTCAAATTTTAATATCTATCTATATTCCTACTTTTAAAATATGTATGTGTGAGTATATATTTATCTATCTATTAAATATCTAATATTTATTTTGTAAGTTATTGTTAATAATAATAAATAATTAATTAAAAATCAAAAGAATTTTTTTAACAAAGAATCTTTTAACAATCTAATTAATTATATTGAGCAATATAATTGCTTATCTTAATTTTGGCTTGTTTATTAGAATTAAAGTTTATGAGTACTTAGCAAAGAAAGCAAATTATCTAAATCTAATTCTACTTAGGAGATATCAAAATGAATATGTAATGAATGTCTAAATTAGAATCTTAAATTTGTTAATATTAGCTAGATTGTTTTAAAATAAACTGACAGAATAATAAAAATATAAAGAAACTAACAAGAATACTTTAAACAAACATAAATGTAAATAATATTTATCATAAACAAAATTTAAAAAAACAAAATAAATTCTATAATTTTTGGATGAATTTTTTTTGAACAAACAAATTGTTTTTTCAATGATGAACTTGTAATGTAATATTTTCGTGGCTATTAATTTGTTAAATTTTATTCTAACTTTCACCAAATGTCTACATTTTCTAATATTAATATTCTGGAGATTACTATTAGCCTCTCTACTGATATTATTATTAAAGACGAGCTATTGTTTCCTTATCTAATTATAAATCTCTTAGGAAATACCTTATTTTCTATAATAATTAAAAATGATAAAATAAAATAATTTTCATATTTAAAAAAAAGTAATTAATTATTTTACTCTGAATCCTTGTTAAATGTAGGGAATAACTGCTAAGAAATTTTTATAAACATGAAGATAAGAAAAGCTAGCAAATATTTTATAAAGTATGCCTATATAAACAAAGAATATACTGAATTTATACATTCCTGTGTATAGACTTTGACCAGTGAGCAAATGATTATTTTCATGATCTTGTAAGATGAATATTATATCGACAATTAATGAAAAATATAAGGCTAAAATAATTAATCTCAATAGTTAATGTGTTAGTTTCTCAGCATTCACCAAATTAATTATGCTCATAGCAATCATCATCTAATGAATAAATGAAATAGAAATTAAATAAATCCTCTTTATATTAATTTACATCTAAATAGGTATTCTTTGAAAAGGACTAGAGCAAAAATATAGGAAACATAAGGAATGTTATCCAGTTAATAAATAAACCCCAATTAGTTACTATTAATTTTATAAAAATCTTACAATCATAAACTTAGAAAAATAATTACTTCTTTTTCCTAATAAATCATCAAAGAATTCTAGACATTCTTCTTCTATTTCTGGAATATCAGTGTTTTCATTTTGATTTAATTATTCAGGTTGAACAACTGATTTTAGTTTATTATCTGATTTCATTCTTATTCCAGACAAATCTACAAAACTTGGCCTTCTTGAATCTGGGTTACCTACTTGCCCAATAATTTATGATCTCCCAAAAGAACTTACATTTTTTTTAGCTACAAACTTATCTGATTCTTCCTATTTAATTTTTTATTCATATAAAATACATTTATTTAACATTTTATTTGCAGGTATTAAGTTAATAAATATACCTTAAGCAATTAATGCTAGGTTTGTATACTTTCTCTGATAAGCCTTTTACCCTCATCTGTGTGAATATTGTGTACTTATGGCCTAGTGCTGAAATTATATGTAAACTTAGAACCACAGCTATCAAACAAAATAACAGCTTCTCTATCGCCTGGAATGGTAATCTCAATTTTCTTTTCATAAAGCCCATTATATTTGCCTTGTTAGAATTCATCTTCACCTAATAACGAACAAACGAAAAATATTTGGTAAAACGAAAAGGATAAAGAAAGTATATACTGTAGTAGGGTTCGAGTGGGATATATCCTTCCATTTTAAAATTCAACTCTTCATTTAAAATCTATTGCATTTCTCCATTTTTATAATACATGTAAAATGATCCATACTAAAATCCATATCTTTTTGTAAGGAGAGGGAAATTCCAATTCCTATCTGGTTTAACATAAGACATTATTTTTTAAAGCTCTTTACCAGTTTAAGGGTCTATTTTTTCAGCAGTTTCTATTGAAACACATTTAAAAGCTATTTTCAACATTTCAACAGGATTAACACCTTCTAAATACTCAAATGATATTGGCTTATGCGAATAAGAACCTAATTATTATTAGTTTAGTAAACTTTTAAGATTTATTTTATTTTTATATTACTAATTGAACACTCTCTAATGATATCTTATTTCCAGAAGATTTATGCTACAACAATGTACTCACCTGGTAGGAATTTCTATTCAATATAGAGATTTCTATCTATACCATATAATGCACCTACATACTCAAATTCCTTTTTTTAATTCTTCTTTAAAATGAACATTCTACAGTTTGAATATTGGTACTCCTTGTTACTATGATAAAACATTCTTTCATCAAACTAGTTTATTGAGATGAAGCCATGAGTAGCCTCTTTGACTTTAAATTGCACAACTTTTATTTTATCTTTTGTGAAATCAAGCTTTATAGAATTATATGAATAGTCAGGTCTAACCTTACAATTTCCAATTCCTTACATTTTTTAATATTTTTTAATAAGCTACTTCCTTTTTATATTAAAAACCAAATAAAAAAATACCTTCGAAATATTTTGCAAAGTCATAAATTGACATCCAAAAAGTACCATCATTTTTACTCTCAACATTTAACCTTTACCTCAAAACTGGGTTCCATTTATCACTGTTATCACTCCAATCACCTGTCCACTCTTTCATACTAATTGATTTATTATAAATAATAAAATTTATTTTTTTAAATTTAAAAATATGCTTGCTTCTTACCCCCACGGATTTCTTATTTTTAGAATTTTATGAAACTAATTATCGTCTCCTCTAACACTCTGGTGATCTAAAATAGAATAAGCGTGTCCTGAAAGAATACCTAATTCATTTTCTTCTTCCCTAACATTTGTAGACTTTGTATAGCAAGTAAGTACATTTTGCTAATTATCATTTTATTCTAAATACTTCCAAAATTCATCCGCTGTTAAATTATCAACATTTTCACAAGGGGCTCCTGTTAAATCTCTTAATGCATGTGCTGGATTACCACCTTCAATAATTTCGTAAGACCCATAAGCTTTAGCATAAGCCTTTTCCAACAATAAAACCCACAATTCATCTCCTTATCCTCTACTAAAGGCCGGTTTCTTTTATATATTTTCTTTTTAAGTATTTTAAATTTAAATATTTTTTACATCTCTCTTAAAAGGAATTCTATCATCAATGTTGATATTTATCCATTCTCCATTTATATTCAGCCAGACGCTATATACTCCATATTTTTGCTTTTCTTTTGTGTGAAACAATCTTTCGATTAAACAATCTTATTCTGCAAGAGCACTCAATGCGCATAAAAAGTAGCAATCTAGAAGTTTAAAAAAAAGAAAAATACTTAATCTATAAAAAAACAAAATAATTTACCTCCAAGCAAACCTTATTTAATATCATCTGGTTCTATAACATCAAAGAGCTTAATATTTTCTTCATTTAAAAATTCATTTGGCCTTTTCCAAACTATTTACTGCCAAGCTTCCTATGTTTATCTTGGCAATTTTTCAAAGTAAAGAGATAAAGACTATTTGTTAGCAGGGAATTCAGGATCTTCCCAGCAATTTCCAAATAATAAATGTTCACACTCTTCAATAATATGATCAAACTGAAGTGTGTTTTTGCCAAATTCATTATTAAATGTTTCAACAATATTAGATTATTAAATAATTGGATTTAATGCTACTGTCTTTTTTTTGATTTCGCTCTATTATTTTTTTGGCTACTACTGCTAACTATTTTTAGGATTCATAACTGAGACTGCTTATCTTGGCTATTAACTCTTTTATTACTATTGATTCTCTTCATCATCATCATCCATAGGATTTTTTACTTTGTTGAAATCCTCCATTTCAATTAAACTTGAATAATTATTTAATCTAAATAAAGAAAATTGAAAATAATAATCTTGGGTATTAATTTATAAATATTAAATATTTATTTTAAATTGCACTCTTCTTTATAACCAATATACTAACAAAAGTATTTAGAATTACCCCAATTTCAAAACAATTAATTAAAAAAAACTGAAAAATCTTAATTAAAAAGTTGTTATGTTTGTAAGTCAGTCTGTCTGCCTGTCTGTTTAGCTAGCCTGCATGTTAAGTTTTAAAAATTTTTATAAAAAGGAGATTTAAAGATATCAATAATTTTATTTGATTATATTTTGATAATTATAAAAAAATACAAATTCTATCTAAATAATATATCAATCAGTATTTTTCAATTGTAAAGATCAATTTAAATTTTTTATTTCTCATTATTTTTTTTATATTTAATACTTTTAATTGAGTATTTTAAATATATTATTTTTATTTGATTAACACTTCTGTGTTGAAAAGCATTAAAATATTTTAAATTTTTATTTCTATTTTTTTAAGAAACTTTTGTAATCTAGGGGAATTAACCCCATGATATTAAAATAATTTATATAAATTTTGTTTTTTATTAAAATTAATTGAAGGAATAAAATTATTTATTAAGAAAAGTTAGGAAAATTAATGAATAGGTAGAAAGTAAAATGATTATAAAAAATTAATTAATTATTTGAATTAATATCAATAAAATTTTTGTTTTTTTATTTGTGTGGAGTAAAAATTTTAATTTATTTTATTTTATCATCTAAATCTCGAATTAAATTGATAAAATAAACATAATCTCTATACAAATTTTTAATAAAAAAATATCAATTTGCCTACCATTTAATATGCTTTTGAATTATAAGTTCTACCAGATAATTTGTTAATAATAATTATTTTTGAATTAAATAAAAAACAAAAAAATTACTAAAGCTAAAACCAAAACCAAACTAACAATTAAAAGATTAATAAAAATTTTACAGATTATTACATTTTATAAATGAAAATTTTGTAATTAGATTTATTTTCTTCAGAATTTTTCTTTAATTTAGGAGCAAATTAATATAGAAGGGGTACAATTTAAGGTATGATACTTTCTATTATTTCTATCATCTTTGTGCTATCATATTTTGGCTATTTACTTGATCTCTATGTAAATAATTTAATGGATCCTAAATTCCGATCTCAAAGTTTTATTGTGAATGATAGGATAGAAATACCTCTGAGCTAAGACCTTTTTGGTTTTGCTTTTAACTACAATTAAACTTTTACAATTGATTAATATTAATAATCATAAAATTTAACTTATTTAGTCTACATCGCTTACTTTTAATATGCAGATCCAGTTACTAATGATTATTAGTTCATTTATCTTGACATCAATAATTGCACTGATCCATAACTTGAAGGTTTACTTTGTGTTGATTATTCTAAAATAAAAAATTATACATTAGTTCTTGACGTTAATAATAATATAGGTTCTGAAATCAATATAAATTTGTACGGATGCAATGATATAGACTATATAAAAACTACTAAGCCAAATAACTGTGCTTCTTAATAAGATATAGATGCAGTTATAAATGGTTTCGCAGCTAATTTTTACATGAAGCTTAAAGTATAGTAGTACAACACAACCTCTAAGTAAATCCAGACAAACTATAGAAGAATCTATAATTATGTAATTTCAAACTAATATTTTTTGAATAGTATACACACATAAAAATAAGAAACCGAAGTTTCTAAAGGTTTATTATATTAGACCAAAGAAACTTATTCTTCTCCAATTTAATACGATCAATATACTTAAGCCTTTGATAGATAACTTTCTTTACAAACAGGTCTAGGACCTTATGCATGCGTTTCCTTGTATATGGACGAAGTTGTGCAATAATTTTAAATTTAGTATCCAACAATAACTGAAATTTTAGCTCTTGTAAACAGTGTTGCTGCAATATTTATGATATCAAAAGTAATAGGTAGATATTGTTCTTAGAACCTCATTTAATAAGATTTTTTTATGGTTGCTATAACAACTATTTTCCAAGACACATATTAAAAATTAATCAAGCAAACCAATTTGATAGATTAAAAGGATGAAAATCTTCTTAAAGTTGATTTTTGTACAGAAAATTTTGATTAAGATACACAGGAAAAAAATTAAGTAGAAGAAGTAGCAATCCCTGACTTTCTTACGAAATCAAGAGAATCTGTTGAAAAATCTCAAGCTATAAATCAAGCACAAGAATATTCTAACTTTTTATTACAACTTAGTAATAAATAATCGAATAATAACTAACATGTAGATGAAGTTATAACCCATGAAGAACAAAGATAGTTTTAAACTAAATAAAATAGGTAATAACGAATTGGTAGCTTATAAAATTAAATTAAAGGTCATCAAAACAAACAAATCCATTTATTAACTGAATCTCCTTTAATTTAATCATAAATCCAATTACAGAATTTTACTAAATTTTAACCTTCTGTAATTAACAAAAGTTCATTATAAAAATCAGAAATAAGTCAAATAAAAAGTGACTAAATAAATAGCATATAAGTAAAAGAAGAATTAATCAAGTCTCTAAATTAAAGTAATTTGAAAAATGAAGTTGCTTTTAAAATCAAAACAAAATATGGTAATTCTGTTCAAAGATAAATATAAAATCTAATATTCAAGTTCAAGTAACTTTTAATTTTTTGAAATTAACTTTATTTATACATCCTTTAAAATTAAAGGTGCTTTAAGTCTAAGAAATTTAAGTACTGTGAAGGAGTAAATTAATTATTAATAAATAAGATAAAGCAGGAGGTGAATACGAATCTAGATATTTTTCAATTTTATAAAGATAACCTATTTTTGAAAAAAGCTTTATCCATTCTTCTTACTAAAGATCAGTTAGCTGCCATACAACTTGTAAGTCTTACAGAAAATTTCTTCGATATTGATTTAAGAAAAAAGGAAGTAGAATCAAATTATTAAAGTAATTTGTTTTTGAATTAATCATAAATTTTCTGTTTTTAACAACATATTTATTTTATAGAAACAAAAGGAAAATTAAATCATTTTGAAAAGTAGTATTTAATAATGTAATCCGAATATCTGTAAGCAAAGTATATAGAAAAATTCTTTAAAAAATTAAAGGATGAAGACTAACAATTAAGTTAAGTAGATTTAAGAATAATTTCATCAATAATTTAAAAAAAATAAAAAATTTGAGAAACTTTTTCACAATTTTAAATTAAATAAAAAGTTTGAAATAAGAATTAAATATCTATTATTCTTTTTATTATCTGTTTTGTAATTTTTTTTGATCATTCTAAAAATCATATTTTTTATTAACTTTTAGTTTTATTTTAATAAAATTAATTTTTTAAATATCTATTCTAAAATGAAAAGAAACTTTTATTTTTAATTTTTAAAACAATATCTTTTATTTTCATTATGAATGTTGTAAAGTTATTGACAAAATTTTAATTATTTCTAACATTAATTATTCATAAATAAAGATAAAAAAGAATATACACACAAAAGGACATTTTTTAATTTTTTTAAATTTTTTGATTGATAAACTAAAAGATAAGCAAAAACTCCATCCAATAAAATCTAAAAATAAAAATATCAAAGTAGATTTATTTCCAAAATATTTAAAATTTAAAAGCAACTTTAAATTTAATTTATTATGGCATAGATAAAAAAAGATCCTAATTAATTAAGGCTTATTATAAAATTATGCTTTTAAATAAAAACAAAAATTTTTTTACAAATAATTTATTAATTAATTAAAAAATGCTAATTTTTATGATTATTTTGTGTTTTACTTGAAATTTGAAACATTTTGATTTATTCTTTAACAAACAATTTATTAAAAATTATATTTTTCTGAATATAAAATTTAAAAATTAAAACTTGAAAAATATAAAGTACCAAAACTTAAGAAAGTATTTAGGGATTTTTAGGTGAATTTAATATTTTAGCTAAAAATTTAATTTAATTTGCAGTCAAGAAATTTGTGTTATTTTATTGATAAATTATTAAAAATAAATTTGTATTTTTTGTAGTTTTAAATCACGATATAGAAGTGTGTTTATTAACAATTTCTAAATTGATAGCAGCATGCTTTTATTCTAGGATTGCTGTATTATATTACATCTTTAGCTATAAAATTTTCTGCTGCTAATCAAATAGATATTTTTATTTTTTTTCAATCTCATTAGCTTTAGATGCTAGTAGTATATCTTTTTCTTTAATTTTTTAAAGTTTATTTTCTATATTTATAAGGGTTTACTGCTATTAGCTATTTATTTATGAATTGGCAGATGATTCCACTTTCTCTTCAATTTTAATATCATTTTCTAGTTTTATTTATTAATCTAGAGGTTAGCTTTATTCTTCTTCCACTTCTATTTTTGTTTCATTTTCGACTTTTACTTCTTATTTCTAAATAGATGCTATTTTAGCATTGAGTTAAGGAGTTTACTTTTAATTTGATTGAGAATTTTATTCTTCTTTTTCTTCATCATCGTCTATTTACAATTTAGCTTTGGGTTATTTTCTAGCTATCTTTATTCCATCATTTTCAGATGAATCCTCATTATTTTTTTCTTTTTTAATTGGATTATTAAATTCTTATTCTTCATCACTTTCAACAGTATTTTTGTTTTTACCTACTTTGGTTAGTTTATTTTTTTAAAGTAATCTTCTTCCTCTTTTATTTTTTTATTTCTCTCCACTATCATCCTAGCCATTTTTATTAAAAGAACCTTCTTCTTAATCTTCCTATTCAGAATCATCATTTACTACAGACTTTTTTCTTCTTAGAATTCTTCTTTTAGTCTTTTAGGGTAAACTATTTTCCTAATCTGAATTTTCACTTTACTCAGAGCTTTAATCTTCTTAATCTTCTTCAGATTAAGATTCTGAATCATCACTTTTTATAAAATCAGAATCATCATTATCTTAGACCTTTTTGCTATTATTTCTCTTTTTTCTTAAAATCCTCTTTTGTTGATTCTTTTTTTTCTAAGTAGCACTTTATGGCTAAGATAAAGAGTAGTTTTCACTATCTTCTTTAGATTAATGATAATAATCATCATTATTTTCTTCTTCCATATTTTATTATTCACTTTCTTATTCACTGTCTTCGATTCTTTTTTTTCTTCTACCAGGGCCTTATTTTTTAATTATTTTTTTATTATTATTATCACCATCGTCTTTTTTTCTTGACTCCTTGGAATTCAATCTCTAATAAGAGCTTTTCTCACTCATCTTTATTTCATTTTCTTTATCAATTTTTAGCACATTCATCAGTTTAGATAAATCTTCAACTAAGCAATATACTTTTTTCAAGCTTTTGCTCTATGGTGCCTCTTCTATAATAAAAATTAATATTATTCTATCTACTAATTTTGTTTTAAAATTTACTAAAACATGAAGGGTCTTCAAAGATATCTTTTTTTAACTCGTTTTTAAATTCCGGATTAAAGAACTTTTGTGCTTTTAAATAAAAATTAAAAAATTAATATTTAATAAAATTAAAAAAAGCATAAGTATGTAATTTAGAACGTGAGATGAATGAATATATAGATTTTGCTATGCAATCAAAAATTAGAAAATATATTTAATACGAAATAAGTCTACTTAGAGCTTTGCTGATTCACAGCATTATAGTGAGATAAAGTTTGGTTTTATCTTTGGAATGTTCTCTAGTAATTTTTTTGTATTTTAAATCTTTTAATTAAATTTAATAAAAATGATTAATAAATTGATATATAGATTATATATAATAAGCTTGTACTTTTTCATCTACTTCTTTAGAAATTTCATATTTAGATATGTCATAAACCTTCTGATTAATTGGCTATTTATTTTCTGGCTCTATTTGCATTACTTCTATTTAAAATTAAAAAATAAATATTGAATAATTTTGATTAATAGAAACAATCATCATACAAAAAGCAATAATTTTTAGTTAATATATTCATAAATTTTAAATTAAATATTTATAACTATTTTAAATTATTTTTAAAGCTCTGTTAATCAATGTTTTTTTTTAATTTATTATAAAATTTGTTACCTTGTAGAGTGAGAGATAAATTATCAGTTTTGATCTTTTTTTAGATTAATGGCTGGTTTTCAAGAGAAGTTTGAATCTCGATTTCATTTCTTCTCTTTTGTATATTTTGAGGTTAATTTTTAATCAAGTTAAAGCTATTTTATGCACTTTATACTGAACCTGGAGCCGGAGGTAAAACCCTCAAATTTCTAGATATTCTATTTAAATTATTTAAATTTTTTTATTAGCGAGGAAAAATCAACAAAAGCATAATTAGACACAATTTAATGTGTGATTATTAGTCATAAGAAAATGGACAATAGTCTATTGATTTAATAGAATGTTTTTATTATCATCTACATAATTCAATTGTTTAAAAATAAAATAACAAAAATATATCTTTGTTTCAAATCTATTTAATATTATTTGTTTATAATTTAGTTTTCTTCTATCAATCAATTTCCCTTCTAATGCATTTATATTTAAATGGATAAGTGATTAATTATGATATTTTTATGCCAAACAAACAAATTCAATGAAACTATTATCCTTAAACTTTTCAAATAATTCAATCTGTATTACTAGAAATTAGAAGCTCCTGGTATTATTTAATTCCCTTGAAGATTATTAATCTAAGATGCACTATTAGCTTGCTAATTAATTCCGAATTGAGAAGGATATGTCTATGAGCTTAAACTAGATATCGGAAATCCTGCAGTTTGATTTTATGCATTTTACAATAAATTAAATCCGCTTCCTCCTAATCCTCCAGTCTACTGCAATAAGTTTAAAGCAGCTTATTAGTTGAATGAGTTCTATTAGTTAAATTGATTCTAACTAAAATATCTATTCCCAGGATTGTTTTAATGCATATTATGTCTTATAAATAATGAATTATTTTTTCCTATATTTAAACTATATGAAAGATTTATAATTACTATTTATTATCTAAATTAATGATGTTAAATTATTTTTCCCTCTTATTGATTTTTATTGTAGAGCTTTAAAAACATAATGGTGTTTGTTTTCAGAACTAGCCAACCAACCAGTCAGTTTTCATTTATCAGCCATATTGATATTATTTTAATTTAATATATAATTATTTTTTTATTCTATTTCATTTCATCGAAACACTTTTGTTTAATTCATCTACTAATAAAATATTTCAGTTATTACAAACTCAAAAAAGCATTAAAAAAAGTTAAAAATATTTGATCAAAAATTATTTCAAGAAATAGAAATATACGAAAATGTAGACATTTACGAAAAAATAATTTTAGCAGAAGTAGCATATAGATTATGTATGTTTGGTTTTAAACCAATTTAAAAAGTAAAGTTTTAGTACATGTAAATAAGCTTATAAATATGAATTCTAATAATATAATCAAATTGATTATTACTTTTTTTATATTTATTGTGTAGTAGAAATATTTTGGTTTGATTGAATATTTAATATTAATTGAATTTTTTTAGTAAAATTAATTTATTTGTAATATATTAGTTTATATTATATCTTTTCTAATAAAATTAAAAAATAAATTAGCTATTTTTATTGAATTTATTAAAGTTTGAATATAAGCTTAACTCCTTTATATAGTCTTTTAAGCTATTTTTCAAAGAAAGTCTATAGATTTTGATTATGCACCATTTCGATAGCAGTTTATTTTATTCTATTTACTTAAATTATTTTATTGGCTTTAACTTTGTGAATCAGGTTCGGTTATCACTTTGATTTGAAATGAAGGATGATTACAATCTAGAGTTTTTGAAAAAAATGCTTTTTGCTTTACAAAATTCTGGTTTTCCATTTTTTAATTTGTAAAGGTGAAAGATTAATCTTTCTAAATAGATTCCAAACCAATAAATTAATTTTGATTTTCTTTATTATAGTCAATTTGTTATAGACTTTCATTTTTATATTTAAATTTATTATCATTTAATGTCTACTTTAATAATTCATTCATTTAATGTTTAATTTGCTCCTCTTTTTATTACTGCTGCTGGATATATTCAGAATTTACTTCAGATTTTTCTTGAACTGTTTACTATTTTTATTAATTTATGGCTTATTCGTGTATCTCCAAAGATTAAAGCATTTAATCTTCAGGTAAATCTTTTGATTTATCGAAGAACACGACATCATTATTTGACTCACTAATTTTATACCCAACTAATCCTCTATAATTGCATTAATTAACCTTTTTTTAATCTGGGCTTTTTTACTTTTCTATATTTTATATTTAAAATTATCCATTATTTTTAAAAATAGTTTATTAGTTTTAATTGTTGTTCACATACAACGAAGATATTTTATTGGTTTTTGCATTTTCATCAATAATTTTTTTTTACTGCTTTATATTTTAAGTTACTAAAAGTTGATTTATATCTTGCTTATATTTATTTTAGTTATCATAGTTTTATATAGACACATCTTAAGCTAGCTCATTTGAAAAAGACCTTTTATACGAAATGTCTTTGTACGCATTTGCTTTTAGTCTGTGATTGTTTTCAGCAACTATTGCCTAGTAGGCATTTCTAAGAAGATCTAAAGAATACAATATTATAAAAATAATGTAAACTGCCAATTTCGAGTCATGAAAGGACTCAATTCTACTCATCGTTAAGCTTATAACAGTTACATATGAAACAAATGTTGAAGATAAAATTGCAGACTTAGCAATATGAGCTAAGTAAAGAGAAACAATAGGTCTATGAGACAAATAGTTGGCTGTGTTGACTTAATCCTCCCTACAAAATAGATTATTTGAACATCTTATTATTATTTTAAATAGACTAACGAATGGAACGTTTATTGCAAGAGAGAATTTGGCTAATTTAGGAGTTTCTTAAGAAATAGCAAGCAATGAAGAAAATAAGAATAAGAAAGAAAAGCACATTTAACCAAATACAAAATACCATTACAGTGAATTACAGTAATGTAAAAATAGCATAGGAAGTGCAATATCAAAGCCCATAGATATTATAATTCTCCAAAAGAATATTTAGCGATGAGCAGTGCGGCCAACAAAAAAAGCCAATAGCAAAGTAATTATGTCTACAGTATGAGTAAAGCAATAACAGAAATTTTATTCGCATATTCCTGCCGTATCATAATTTTAAATGTATACATTTTGACTTGAACGAAAAGTATTAATTGCTGTACTTTACTCAAGAGAATGGTTGTTTAAGTTTCCTAATTAATCTGTTTACTCCTTTTACTATCTTTCTGTTTGGTTAGAGCTTTGCTGTTGGTGCTTTGTGATATGAGAGGTTTGGCATTCTTTCTGAGAATTAATTCCTTACAATGTATCTACCTTTATGATATTGATTTAGTTTTATTTACTCAGGTGGATATCAGTTTGCTAAACTTCATTTTGTTTCTCTATAAATACATCGTTTAGCTTTAAAATGTTATTAAAATTGTATTGATTTTAATCATTATCAAATAATTTTTAAGGAACTTCATTATGAGTTTACTAATCCATTCTTGGCTACCTAGTAATAAGTTATGTGATTAGCCAACTTAATTATTTATAAACCTCTGAAAATCAATGCCTTATAGCCTAAAATAAGGATTTTTTATTCTCTTTTACTTAATATGTTTTTAAAATGTTCTTTATGCTAATCTATATAAATGCAATTCTTTTGATATAATTAAAGTAAAAATCAAAATTCTTAACAAATTAACTTTAATATTCACAATTTAAACAAATAATTAACTTTTTAATTGCCATTAATCTGTTTATAATTATTTTTAGAATTTATGTAATTGTTCCTCTCAAAATAAATGACAAAATTTAAGAAATCAAAAGTTTTTAATTATATTTTTGGTTAAATTAAACAAATTTTTAATTTTATTTCATTCCTATTAAGCACTTAAAAGTATTTAATTAGTATTTTTTTTTAACATTAAAAGCAAAATCATTTATAAAATAAGTATTTTTATAAATGAAATAGTTTTTTTACAGAAAATATTATTTTAACTTTTTTCTAATATAATGCCTAATAAAATAATCTATTTTAATTATAAATAAAGCGAGGATGTTTAGAATTTTATTTAAATTATTTTCTCTAAAATTAAAAATTATAAGACAAATCATGAATTTGATTTTATGCGAATATGTGCATCTTTTTATGAAAATTTACTTTTTTACTGAACAATAAATAATTTTTACAAACATATTTAATTAAAAATAATTTAAAAATTTTTTCCAAAATGAGTGCATAAATTTAACAAAAACATACTTGAATGATTTATCTATCTTAAATATATTGTATTAGTCTGTTGCTAAAGAAAAATAGAAGTTAAAACTTAAAAAAGTTTAAAAAACCTTTAGCTTGGTATATCTTAAGTAAAATTTAATAATTCAATTAAAAGTTTTTATTAGACTGAAATGTACTTTAAATCATTTTTAAGCTAAATGATTGGCAGATAATCTTTATTTGACTTTAAATAGAATATTTAAATAAAAGTTGTATCTCAATAATAAATTTCGCGCAAAAATAATAAAATAAAAAAAGAATCTTCAAAATACATTAGAAATAAATAGTAAGTTTATTAGAACAAGATGAAGAAGCAGTAACAAAAGAGTATAAGTGAAATGGAAAAACTGAGTAAAGACTTTCATATTCTAAAGCAAAATTGCTAGATAAATCAAAAATACAGAGAAACTTATGTTGATAAAGCTGACCATCCTAAATTTTTTAATAGATAGTCAAAAGAAATAAAGTAGAAGTTTATTGATCACATTGCTATACTAGGCCTTAATGAAATAAAAATATCTCCCATGAATAGTAAATACAATTTATTCTTTTTCAATGCATAATATAACAATTATATTCAGTTTCACAACTAAAATTATTTTAATTTATTTTGGATTATTTTAGTTAAGATTTCCTAAATATTACACTAATAGTATTAATTGAAATTAATTAATTAATTGTGTCTTTTAAATATATTTAACTAAAAATATTAGGAGAAACAAATTTTAATTATAAAAATGGAAACCCTTGCTCCAGCATAGAGTAATAGCAAGACAGTGATATAAGTATTTAAGGGCTGTCTCCATTAATCTTAAACAATCCTCCAAATTTAGAAAAATAAAAAGCAAACTAAGATAAATTACCTGAAAAAATTTGCTTACCAAGCCACAATGCAAATAGCATGAAAAAGATTTCTTCAAAATAAAATTTACTTTCAAAGGCTAAAAGTAATGTTAGAATAATGGCATCGAATAATTAGAAGAACAAAATCTTGAATGGGTTCAAGCTAAGTATTGAAAGCTAAAAGCAATATTTAGAAAATTAGCTTCAAAATTAATTTGTTAAAAACCAAAATACTAGCAAAGAAGTTCTCAAAGAAGTTCACTAAGACCACACAGCAATTTTGAATAACTTCTTAGTCGACCAAACTATATTTGACTAACAAAAGGCAAATGTATTAAGTGAAATCAGTCAAAATTAAAGCTTTCAAAACTTAAAAGAAAACATAGAATTCATAAATTTAAAGGCTAGTAAAGTAGCTTAATTTAAATTAGAAGATGATGAAGATGAACAAGAAGATTATTTTTAAATTCTTTCTCCTACTACAACCTCAAGCTAGCATTCTAATAGGATTTATTTATTTTAAAACCCTTATTAGACAAACAAAGCAGAAGAAAAAGATTTAAAAAATATGCCACAAGCTAAATATTAAAAATAAACTTATTTTGGATAAACTGAACAAACTTAAGAATCATCTGGCGAAGAATCATTTAACTTAAAAGAAAAAGAAGAGTCTGAAGAAAACAGTGCTCTAAATAATTAAAAAACCCAAATTTTAAACTAAACAGCCAAGTAAAGGGATAAGCTAAATATGATTTATTAATCTCCTCATAACATTAAATTGAAAATAGATAATACTCTTACCTAAAAAAAATGCACTTTCCCCATTTAATTTACTTCAAGTGTTAGCTCTTATTAGTAGTCAGACTCTATTAACAAATCTATTTTCAAAATGTGTTTACCATCAAGCAATAAGACAAAATAAGAGGCTACATTTTTAAATGGATTTATTTAATCTTAGAAAAATAACCAAAGTTTTGGAAATATTCTTAAGAAAGATTCTAATTTCAATCAATAAATTAAATTAATACCCAACTAATCAGAATAAAAAATATTAATACCTAGAAAATCATCTATTTAGTGTAGAGAAATAAAAAGAGATGTTAACCCTTTTAGCTAAGCCTTATTTATGAGCAATAATAAACAAAAAGATTTCCAACCAGCTGCATTCAATAAATAAGCTTTTTAAAAAGCCAAATCTAATCAAAAATTATCAAATATTCTGGTTTGATAATTTATAGCAAAATCTTGAATTTTTTAGTTAGTTATTTAGTCATACTCAAAAATGTAAATAAATATAAAAATGTAAAATAAACAAATTTATATATCTTAATTTCATATATATTGAACTTACTTATTTATAACCAACTGTTTTTTAACCTATTTTAATTTAGTAACTTATATATTAATTGCTTCCTTTGCTTCATTTAAGAGAAGATTAATATAAATTTTAATAGAGGAAATTTGGTATATATTACTTAATTTAATTATTTTAATATTTATTGATATTATTAATAGTTTTTAATTTATAATTTGGATATAAAAGAAAATAGTTAATTTGATATTATTTTTTTATCAAAACTTATTAATTTTCTTGAAAAAAATGTGATATCAATAATTTCTGCAACAATTATTAAATTTTAATATATAATCTATAAAAATAGCTTAATGTAGCTTAAATTGATAATTATTAAAATTTATTTGAATAAATACTTCTTCTACTTATTTTAGTTGTTAAACAGTTTTGAAAAATAAAGAGTTTTGAGATATTATAAATATGTTTATTAATCAATCTTATTTTGTCTATTTAACAAAATTTAAAAATCGATCATCCATCCGTAATTTAAAAATCATTATATATTAAATTCTCTACTTGCATTATTGATATCAGACCTGATAATTAGATGAAGCAAAATTGATGATTTTTAATAAGAAATAATAAACATACAAATTATAAAGAAAATTATATAACAAAAGACTCAAAATAGATAATAATAGTATATTAATAAAACAATAACAGAATTGAATAGTATAAAGAAGATGAGTGGATAAGCTTAATAAAACACAAATGGAGAGTATTGTACTCTTGCTGAAGAATTGGTTAATTATCTAAATAAACAGTAAACACAAAAATAGCACTCTAGTGTGAACATAAACTCATTTAATTTGCTCACAATTATTGGGTAAGGAAATTATGCTAAAGTTTCTTTGGTGAGAAAGAAAGATGATGGTCAAATTTATGCATTAAAAACTTTGAAGAGAAAACATATAAAGCATTAAGTTTAAATGAACCATATATTAACAGAAAGAAATATTCTTGTAAGTTTATTTACTTTTTTGGTTGAAATAACAAACTTATTTAAACTCATTTTAAAAAGAAAGTAGTAGATTCTTAGTATATTGTTAGATGCAAATATGCATTCTAAGATAAAAAAAGATTGTTTTTTGCTCTTGAATTCTGTTAGGGAGGAGAACTATTTACTTTGATAAAAACCAAAGGGTTTTTAAACGAAAATCCGTAAGTTTATTATTTAAATAAATATAAAAAGAAAAATATTTTATAACCATATGGATTAAACTTAAAAAAATAAAGAGAATTAGTATACTAAATAAAGTTGATTAGATAGTCATAAATTTATAATGATCTTTTTATTAAACAGTGCTAAGTTTTATGCAGCTTAGATTGTAAAAGCTCTGGAGTACCTTCATAGCCTAAATATAATTTACAGAGAGTAATTCATTTCAGTTTTAAAATCATATATTAAATATTTATTTTTGCTATTTACTCATTATTTACTTAATTTTTTTTATTGTTTTTTGATGTATTTTTAATTGTAGAAAAACTACAAAAATTAGTAAAAACTAACAATAATTTTGTTTACACTAATTTTAATGTATAATTAATTGACTTATTTTGTAAAATATTTAAAGTTTAAAACCCGAAAATGTATTGATTGATCAAGAAGGATATATAAAGCTAACAGACTTTGGTCTATCAAAAATACTTTAAAATGATAACGAAGTAGCTACTTCTGTTGCAGGAACTCCTGAATATTTAGCACCAGAAATTCTATCAGAAAAAGGACATGGGAAAGCAAGTGATTGGTGGACATTAGGTAATATCATTTATGAAATGGTTACAGGGCTGCCGCCTTTTTATGATCCAAACAGAGAAAAATTATTTGGAAACATACTAACTTAGCCAGTCAAATTCGATCCTAGAATTCAAGGGAATTTGAAGGATCTTCTGAGTGGCCTATTACAAAAAGATCCAAATAAAAGGCTAGGAAGTAAATATGGCGCTCTAGAAATCATAAATCATCCTTGGTTTTCTGACCTAAATTGGGAATCATTAAGACTCAGAAAAATTATTCCACCTTTCAAGCCTAAAGTTGATAATGAAATCGATGTGAGTTATTTTTCTCCAGATTTTCTTGAAATGGAATTTTCCCCAAATGATGAACCAGGCAGCTTAAGTTAACCATCAATTCAAGGTAATTTTATTTTTATTATTTAAAATAATTCATAAATATTCTTCCCAAATTTATATAAAAAAAAATAAAATTATTTTAATCAGAGTAATTTTATAATAATATTTAGGTTTCAGTATTTCAAATACCTAAAATAGTTCAGTGATGGCCTCTTATATAATTGAAAATAATAACTATTAAAATGTTGTAAACAAAGAGGAGTAAGAATAAATGGAAACAGAAAACGATTATTAATTTGTCCATGAAGCTCAAAACACAGCTTCATACTAATAAGTCATAAAAGAAATCGAATCTCAAATCGATAGCCAAAATGATTTCGAATTGAAAGAATGAGGAATTAATATTTTGAAATATGCTTTTCTCGCTTCTCGAAAAATAAATTAAGAGAGCTAAACTTTTAAAAGCAGTTCAATAATTATAATACGATTTCTCTAGTAAATAATTTATCTTTCTAAAGAACCAATTCTAGAGATTTTAATGAGCAATTAACTTATTAGTAGAAATTAAGAGAAAAATATAAAAAAAGAAATTTATAAAGAAAAATAATTAAATCATAATTTTACAAAATAATATTTTATATAAATAATTTAACTAATATCAATTTAATTTATTAAGTATCCAATTATTTTATAATCAAGTTTGTATTTCATAATAAAATATATAAGTTTAGTCATTTCTATTTTGCGCTGATAATTAACATTCTTGATTAGTAAGAAAGAAATTAAATGCCCAAATAAGAATATTAAAATAATCCTTACAATTCCTAAGTTATTGAAGATATTATTCATTTGGAGTTACATATTAAATGAATTTTTTTGAAGGTATTTAATTTTATTTGGTCACAATTATTATTTGTTTTTAGAGCATTCTAATGTATTTAAGTATAATTATTACTCTTTTTCTTTACGTTAATATGTAAGAATGATATTTTTACTGGAAATATAATTTAGTGGGTATGATAATTTGCGAGACCAGATATTTTAATAATTAAAGCTACAAATTTAATTAATTTCTTATTACAATTAAATACTTTTCTTATTCAAAAAAGTAATACAGAACAATTTATCTCACTTTCTAAATAGAAAAACTTTTATAATTTAAAAAAGATTTTATCAATTATTAAAATATATAATATTACTGCATCTAAATCTACTATTAATATTCTTTTTTTATTATCTCTAAATATATTAAAATAAAGTAAATAAAGATTTAATAATAAATATCAGTAAATTATCCTACTTAAAAGTAACAACAAATTAAGCCAGCAAATAATTTAATATATTATCTTTAATAAAATTAAATATATGTAAAGCATGTTATTAGGAATTAGACTTTAATTTTAATTAATAATATAAAAAAGTCAAAGAAAACAAATCAAAATCAATTATAGATAGAAACTATGAGCATAACACCAAGCTTAATAAAAAGTGGTTTTTCTAAAGTAGATATATTTGGAAGTTAGGTATAGCTTTCTTTCAATAAGCATAGCAAATATTAATCTGCAATAGGAGGAATTTTAAGTATTTTCTTAGCAGTAGGATTAGCTGTCTTCTTTTGGACTAATGTAAATACATAAATAAATTTCTACTTATTAAAAACAGCTAATATCCTACTATGAAATGGATATCATTTCAAATAAAAAACTATTAATAATTTATTTTAAATTCTTTTATCTTAAAAATAGATTATTTCTGTTTTAAGCAAGTGTAAATTAGCAATTTGAAACAGACAAAAAAAATATGGATTTATGAAATATTAAAAATAGCTGAAGTTAAAGTGGTCAATCAGAGAACTTTTGATGCTGATCCATCAAATATTTATTTGACTAATAGAAATTTTATGTTTGCTATTAGATTTAATTAAGACAATTTCCTTTAAAACCCTTACTTCAATATTTCTCTTAGCTAGGGTATGATGTTGACAGATGAAAATGGTAACTAATAGAGCTTTTCTGTAAGATTTTATTTTTCATTCAATTAAGTATTAAAATTTTTAAAGTTAATTTGTAATACTCAAATATAAACCACAAATAATTAAGATTAAAAGAACAATCATTTATATAGTTTAAAAATTACAAAGTATAATAGGAAATTGGAGCCATGCACAAAAGAACATTTCATCAATTTACCTTCTTATGGAGCAAATTGGACTAAAATATTTGAATAGAATGCTTTAAAAGACTTTCTTTGCTTAACGTAAATTTCTCTTTTTATTTCTACTTTCAATTAAATAAATAGAGTTTTATATATTTTAAGATGACTAATTGTTTACTATTTGTTATAATAAATAATAGATTAGGGTATTAATTATTTTTTCTAGATAAGATTCAACAAAGCAATCAATAACTCTCAACATATAAATATCTTTAAATATATAAACAAATAATTATTTTATATTTATATAAAAATGCTATTTTAACTTATGCTTATTTAAATAGAAGTGATGAGACTTTTTAAATCGGAGGAGATTATACTGCCAGCAGTTTTTATTATTTACAATTTTCTGTCTCAGATTGTTCTAATTCTACAGGGCCTGATTAGTTATGGAGACCTGTTTGCAAGTCTAAATAGGATATTCAATAATACCTTCAAAATAATATATACAGTACTATAAATCTCTACTTTCCTACAGTAATGGTCAATCCTGATGAACCAAACGACGATGAAAGTATTATCACTTATTTAAATACTGATACCTTCTTTTATTTATAACCTACAAAGGTAATAAAAAGTCAATTTTTTATTAAAAACTATTCTTTTCTATAAGAACATAAATTAAATTTTGGCCTTTTATGAAAAGATTTTACTAAAATATTCTATTAGTAATAAATAATTTAGCATTTGAATGCATTTAAATAAAAAAAATATTACAAATTATCATTATTAAATTTATTTATGTTCAAGGGGATAAAATAGAATTATTATCAGATAAATTAATCTACATTTTAAATCCAATAAGGAAATAAATAAAAATTTACTTTAAAGAGTTTTATATTAAAATATTTAAATAGATGTATAAGACAGCTGATATATTTTTTACTGATTATGAAATCACAACTGATGATAGTCTTCTACCAACAAAATAAATATCAACAAAGCATTTTCCTCTTTACGAAACAAAAGATTTTAGAGAGTAAGCTCTGTTGGGTACCAACGGTAATTATGCTGATTTCTTCATTAGAAGAAGCTATTTTTCAGTGAAAATAAATAGAAGCTTTACTAAATTTGATGAGATTATTGCTTATATTGGAGGGTTCGTAGAAGCATTTTTAATATTTTTATCTATTTTTGGTAATTTATTAAAAAAAATTTTCTTTAATATCAATTTTAAACAAAATAAATAAGTTCACAGTTACAACGAGTGCTTATTTACAGTGGCATTAGCAAACAAATTGTACGACTTTGATATTGATCCTTAAAATAATAGCTATTTTGGGCCTACTCATTCACAAACCCCAAGGAGTAAAAGAAGTAGAAGTTCATTCTAGAATTAAAATGACTAATTTTAGAATAGCAATTAAAAAAATTAGTTTGGTAGGTAATCAATTAGTTAAAATCAACCATAGACTTAAAATATTCCACTGAAAAGTATTTAATTTTTTGGGGCTCCTTAAAAGAAAAAAAGCAATTTACATATTTAAATAAACGATTAAAACGAATAATTTGAGAATTAAGCTCTAGAAGATTTGAACAATCACGAACTAAATAATTCAAGTAAAATTTTTTTTTAAAAAGAAATTTTTTATAAAAATTTCATTTGATTAGAAAATATGGAAATTGATAATTTAGATGACTCAGATGTTATTTACAGAAAGAAGTTATATAATGCATGTATCCGAAAAATGAATCAAAGATAAATTAGTTAAAGTAGTTTATACAATTTAAAGAAAAAGAAAAAAAATTAAAGGTCAAAAAGCACAATTATTTAACAGAAAAGTACTCATTAGGATAACACATCAGAATCATTTAGTATTTAAAATGATGATAATATTTTATAAGATGAAATTAAATAAGATAAAAGCTCAAAAAGTTACATTCCAGATAAATTGAAACACATTTAGCTTAAAAAAAGAATAAGAAGAGCAAACCCTAGTATTTCTAAGAAGAACTCTAACTTAAATCAACTTACTTTTAACAGTCTAAATTCTATACAAAAGAGCGAAATTTCTCATTAATCATATGAGAGAAACAATACTTTAGTCCCATCAATATTTAGCCCTCTATCTTCAACATAAAATTAAAATTTTACATCTGAAAAGAAGCTATTCACTTCAAGTAAATTTAGTTTATTCTCTCCTTCTTAGATGGGATTACTAAATTTAAAAAGCACTTAATCGAATCCTGATGCAAATAGTGAATATAATAAAATAGGATAAAAAGAAGCTGTTGGAATTCAAGATATTAAATTAAATATTAAACCTGAATCTTAGTCTCAAAAAAAATATTTCAAAGCTGTTAAGCCTTAAAATGTATAAATCTTAGAATAAAATTCAAATAAGGAAAGCAAAAATTTAGAAGATTTTGATAAAAAAAAGTAAGCGCTTAGTAGAGTCTTAAACTTAAAAAGAAGTTTTAAAAAACTTTAATATTTAAAGGGGGAATTTAAATCTTTGTTAAGTAAGTCTTAAAGCTAAATAAAAGTCACTATATCATACTTTCTCTTTAAGCTCTCATGCAAGTAATACTTTAGGTCCAAAAATAATTTGCTGATTGAAAAATCTAAAGAACTTTTAGAAGAAGAACTTGATGTTTATGTAATACTTGAAAAACTTAAAGAAGTTAACAAGCTAAAAGAATTATTTTTGGATAAAGAACAACAGATATTATTTAACTTCTTTCCCAAGCCTTTCTTAAAAGTAGATTAAGTTGAAGAATTTTAATTGTCTAAAGATAATCTTATCGGCTTGCATGCAAACACTCCAAAAGATAATAGACTTAATATTTATGATGAATCAAAAAGAGCTGGAGTACTCTCTCCTAATAACCCTAAAAACTTAAAAACTATTGGTATATTTGCTCAAGCTATTTCTAAAATGAAAAAAGGTATTAAACCAAAATCTCATGTACCTTCCTCTATAGACGCTTATAAGAGACTTTATGAATGTTATGTGGTTTGCAATTAAGATAAAAACAAGTAATTTTTTAAAAAAGTAAAAAATATTTTAATTCTTTATAAATTAAACAGAATAAACGAGAAATTGATTAATATGCTTGGAAATGAGGTGAACTAAATCTTCTAAAAGTCTCAATAGTAAATAACAAAAAATACACTTTATCAATTAATTTTAAAAATTAATATAAACATTTTATTTTATTCATAAAATTAATAATTTTAAATTAATTTATTAGAATATAAGATGACTATGATAGAAGTGTGCAAAATTCTGCTAAAAGTTCTCAAAACAAATAGCACTTTACATTTAAAGAAGTGCAAATAGAATAAAATGGATTGAAAGAAGAAGAACCAGAAAATATGCAAAAAAAGTCTTGTGAACTTAATGATAATATTATTGAATAGGAAAACTTTTAAAAGAGAGATGAAAATCAAAATTATCAATTTATTACTGTTAGCTAAAGTGATGAAGTAAATTAAAATCCTATACACAATAACTAAGAATCCAACAAACAAAACAGCTCCTCTGAGAAAGAAAAAGATGATTCTAACATAAAAAATGAAGTTTTAAATAGTAGATAATCTAACTATCATAATTTATTTTTAAAAAGTGGATTTTTAAGAAATAAAATTGAATAAATAGATAACAACTAAAATATTTTAGGAAGTTCACTCTTCGTTAGTACTAATAGAAACAGCGAAATTATTATAAATAGTGCACTCAGAAAAAAAGATCTAACTAATAGAGACTCTAAAAAAAAACTTTAATTTAAATAAAGTAGTAGTATCAAAGACTATTCTGATGCCGAAGATAAGGATAATTAGAATAATTTAAATGATGAAAATGGCGAATAATACTAATAGATCATTACATTAAAAACTGATTATTGTGATGAAGATGAAGAGGAAGGCAATATTTTTAAACCTGCTAATTCAAGATGTGAAATAATAGACACATAATAAGATATTGTTAACACAGAGAATGATAATTGTTTAGCTCCAAGAAATAAAAGCTTTAGCAATATTTAGAATCAAAATAGCAAATTCTAATTTAGCTAAGATCACAACTTACAATTGAATTACAATAATTTTAATTAATAAAATACTAGAAAAACATCTATTGGTTTAATGCTTAGTCATCAAAATTCTAGTCCTTTCGCCAATCTTCTAGGTAGCAATAGAAGTATATCAGAAATAGACCCATAACCAAATTTAAATTTGGATGAATAATACTCCAAGCCTTCTGAAAAAATAATTGAACCATCATAAGCTATAAAAAAGTCCAAAAATACCTATTCCATCTTCAATAAAAGCTCTAGAATAAACTTTTAATAATAATCAAACTATTATTTAGAAAAATTAAAATAAGGAGATGATAACCAAGATAAAATAGATCATTAAATAAATTCTTCATAAAACAACAATAACAATAACAGTAATCATTAATCTTGACTTCATAACCAATTTTCCCTTTTTAAGTCAGAACATCAACAATTTTTTTAGATATCATTTTTAAAATAATTAAATTAATTTTAAATTAGTTTGTTATATATTTTTATATTGTTTTTAAAGTTTATAAAATAATTAAATTTTTTTTTACTTTTTTAATATATATTATAAATATAAAGAGCAGAGCTAAATTTTAATTATCAAATTTATTCTGATTGATAATATAATTTTATCAAAATTAATAATTTTTTTGTTTAAGTTTAAAAAATGAATTAATTTTAAAGTAATATATTGTATATTTTATTATGTTAAAAAGTAAAATTAGTTAGATTGCATACATATTAATATAAAATAATAAGAATTATTAGAAAAACAAAAATATTTATTTATTTATTTAAGTAAAATTTTTATATTTATCAATATTAGTTTTTTTAAATATTTTTGAAATTCAAATAAACAAAAATTTATTTTCGTTTTGATTAAATTGTTTTTTCGCTAAAAAGATTTATCAGTAATTTTATTTTTTAATTTTTTTTTATTTTGCAGCAGCTTTTTAATCTGAATAATACTTTTCAATGAAAATTTCAGAGTAGATTTCAGATTCAAAATTAGTCTAAGACGGAATTGAGCTTAGAGTTTAATCATTTTGGTTTGCTCTTACCTCTTTTAATTTTTATAGTTGCTCTGGTGATATTTAAATTTATAATACATATCCAACCAAATCATCGTCTTATAAAAATTCAGGTTTTTCAGGCCAATCAATAAATTAAACTTTAAACGTGACATTCAAATGTATTTGATCTGAGGTAACTAAAGGCTACTCAAAGATCACACTGCCCTTTGATTATCCAAAAAATTTAAATTTTAAGATTGCCTCTTCAATCCTCTCTTTACCCAAGAGTCTTGAAACTTAAGTGATTTATTGCAAAATCTCATATTAAGAAGGGTTATTAATACAGATACCTACTGCATCAAAAACAGAGTAGCTTACTTTATATTTTTTTATTTGAAGATCTCCTTCTTCAAAATCTGCAGAAAATATTCCTATGAGCAGAAGGTCATCTTCCTTGAAATGCTATTTAGTGTATTCATCGATGTACTATTCATAATTATATAATGCCTACTGAATGTCTTCTTGACTTATAATTCTGGCTTTTAGTTTAACACTTTACTATTACCAATATAGTTATTTTTGATTTACATAATTCTGATAAATTTGCATTTATTCACCTAATTCTTTTAATCTGATATCGCTACTTTAGTTAAAATAATCAATCAAAAATTAAAAATCTTTTAATCCGCTTCCATATTTACTTTCAATATTTAACTCTATTTATTTTTATTTATAATTGTTAACAATAGAGTTGATAGATAGATTTTATTTATATATTGGTACTAATTCTTATTCGTAAATGCTTGAGAAATCTCTGTATTAGGTTTCTATTTAAACATATCCTTAAATTATAAATTGATGGTTTAGAATATGTCTATTTTGATAAATTGGCACAATAATTAAATTCTGGCTTTTAAATTGCTTGCTTTTTGTATTTTTTATTTTAGCCATTTGTTTTTTTAATTTCAACCCAAAGTATTCTTAATCTTTTAAGGAAGTTTACATTTAGATTTCTTAACTTGAGGATAAAAAAAGTGACATATGAATTATTTGTTAGTATTTTTTTATTTGCTCTTACTTTGTTTATTTATTTTCCAGTTATGTTTGATTGTAATTTTTTAAGATAATCTTATATTAGGAGATGTTTTTCTTTTTTACAGTGCTTTACAACAAAATCCTTTATAGCGAACGATGGTTATACACTAAATTACTAATTTAACTAGGACAGTAACTATACTATTTTTAAAATTCATAACGAGTGTCTATAATTTTTTGAGGGTTGATTCGAGATCAATTTGTGGAAATTAGATGATTAAAAGTAATCATTATATTTTTAATTAAAAAGTAAATTATAGAATACATAATTACAATTTATAAAAAGAAGAAATCCCCTTATTATTAATAATAACAAAGTAAGCTACCTTTTCCTTATACTTTTACAATACTTATTAATTTTGTGAAATCATACTTTTTTTGATACGTAAAGTATTTCAAAAAGTAAGCAGATAAAATATAAAATTAAATAAATTATTCATTAGGGTTGATGAATGATATAATCAGTTAACTAATTTATCATCTTATTTTATAGATTGAACTTTAATTTCAATAAGAGGCTGGCTGTTTAATTTCACTTCATTTCCTTTAATTTTACTTACATGGGCTAGCTATAAAATGAAAATAATCAGTATTCTCAAAATTTCATTCAGTGAAATAAAATAGCAAGTTTTCTCTATAACATCATCAATCTTATCTACAACATTTTAGGAAACCGTTTATGTTTTTTTTATGAAATTTTAACCTGTTTGTGGTTGATTTATTATACTCTCTAAAGCAACAAAAACCATAAATAAAATTTTTTTTTCTATCAGATTACCTAAAATATAAAAAATCTTTAATTAAGAAAGATCGACAATTACTTGTGGTGAATAAAAAATTTTGATAGTAACGCAAAAATCTTTGAATTTGTACAAAAATTTTGAACAATTGAATGAATGACTGATTTAATATTTTTATTACAAAAGAGACAATAACAAATATTTAGTCTGGAATACTCATTTAAATAATAAATAAGTTTATTCTGCATTTTATTTGTAAAAAATAATCAATTGAATATTTATTTTTCAAATGTAAAGCTTAACTATTTGTAATCAAAGTGATGTGACAAAAAACCTTGAAATACAAACTTAAATGCGTACTTAAAAGTTCTAATAGGAATTTTTTTAAAATTCGACTTTATAATATTTTATAAAGGTTTTGAGAGAGATAATTTAGAAATATTACAAAAAACTAAAATATCAAATTAGAATTATAAGCAAAGTTTTACATTTGAATTACCTTATTCGTGTTAATCCAAGTAAATACTAAAATTATTTGTTTTTGTTAAAAAAATATTCAGAAAAATTGATAAAATAAGCTTGATGGCAATCTGATTTCAAACATTCTAGCTTATTGATTAATAAAAAATAGTATTTTTATAATAAAATTTTTTATAGACTTTAATTTAGTATTGAAATAAATTTAAGAATGCTAAATAGATATTTTTTGTTTATAATAATTTCAGGTATTATTCGAATTAGCAATTTATTAATTTCCCTTTTCAGCTTTTTTTTTGTCAGAATACCATAAATAAAAATCTTAAATATTACGATAATACTTTATTTAAAATTTTTAGTAAAAATATATTTTATTTAAGCTGTTTTTAACCATCTTTAAAGCATTTTCTCTTAAAAGAAGAGGATAATTTTTGAGTTTATTCAACTAAAACCAAATCAGTAAAATTGATTATAACTTAGAATTGTATTTTTTCTATACCAAGGAAATAAAGATTTGTTTAAAACCAAAAATTTTAAATTTAGAAGTACTTATTGATAAACAAATACACCATACAATTAAGTTGAATTATTTTTTATTATTTAATATAAGTATCAGTAAATAGTAATAAAGTAGGTTAATTAATTAATATAATTTTGTTAACTTGTTTTTTTGATATAATGTAAATTATTGTATCATGAGCTATCTTAAGCAAGAGGATAGAACTTTTCTAAAAACATTTCTGAATGCACTTCGTTTTGAAATTAATCAAATAAATTAGAGTATTAATGATTTTTTTATTGATTTTAAGATTCTCTAGTTTCAAAAATGAGCTAAAGTTATTCTTAACTTAACTCAATTTTTGTAATTTAGGCATAAATATCTCTTTTACCAATATATTCAGGTCTTTATGGCCATTCCACTATTTCGATGTTCATATTTGAAATGCATTATATACCATCTGTAGTTAGAATTGGTTATTAATAAGAAACATAACCATCTTAGAGAAGTTATAATCTTTCAATGGTCCTTTTAAGTCTTTGATGTCCTTGAGTTCTGGTTTCTTTCATTAATGTTTCTAGTAGTTTTTATTTAGATACCTTTCTAATATCTATTCCCATAAAGTTAACTAATGAATCAGAAATGTAGTATTTTTTAATATCCATGTCTTAATTTTCATAGTTAACACCGCAAATTTTTACAATTAAGAAATCTGAATCTTTATAATTTTTCTTAAGATGCTCATTTAAATATTATTCATAATCTCTTTAAGATTGTAAAATATCTTCTTCATTAATTATTCTAGACATCAATCTGTATTAAATGTCCTTGTAATGAGAAATATTTTAATTGCATTAATATTAATAAGATGAGAGCAATTAGCCTAAGTACTGATAATCTTAATTAGGTATATTAGAAAAGTAATCTATGAGGAAGTTAAAATCTTTCAAGCCGCTTTAAAGTTTAGTCTCAAGATTTAATTCAACTCTTTTCTTTTCGTAGTTCATAACAGTTGAGCTTATAGAGAATGCTTATTCATACAAAGGAACGAGATCTTAGTCAAATGGGCTCTAATAATCTCTGTAATTGGTTTCAATCTAGAGGAATCCAAAAATCATAAATTTATCATCAAAGATAAATTTATTATAGGTAATAGGAGCAATCACGAAAGGAATTTGTTTAAATTTTTTACTCTTAGATTTATTCAGTTTTGCAATAGATTTTTTAATATTAATACCAATTTATTCAGGAGCTGAGAATTTATTTTAGTAGACAACTTAGTTTTTTTGAGAAGACATTCTTTATTTAATATTGAGTTTTTTTTATTTTTTTTAATTAAAAATTATTTATTCTTCAAAATGACTGAATCAATTTAAACTAATCAATTAAATCAACTATAACAGCGAAGGCAAGTAAAAAATAATAAATTAAGTTATTGTTGTGTTTAATTTTTTTGAAATAGAAATTAACAGTAAAAGTATAATTTTGAAAAAAATCAACCTCAGTTTTATTAATAATAAAAAGCTTAGTGATAAACTTGACATTTTCTAAATCAAAGAATTAGCTACAAAAAAGGAAAATAAATTACTCATTTATATTATCTTAATAAAGTAAGAATTTATAATACTTAGAGACTGAAATCATTTAATTAATTTGTAAAAATTTGTAAATAGGTATCTGTAAATATATTAAAGTCTGTTAATTAATATTAGTTATACATGAATTAATTATATATTAGATAAATGTAATCAAATTTTTTGCATAAATTCCATCATTTAGGTTTAGTTAATAAATTAGTATGAAATATCAAAAAAATGTATATTTATATAGTCATTTGTTACATTTTAATTTAAGGTCATTAAACATACTTTTCGATTTATAATAAATTCTGTTTGTCTATTTAAACATGTGTTTAAATTTTAAAAAGACATTAATATTTTTTATTAACTCGGAGATCTTGAAAAAATAGACAATATGATCAATTGAATTTATAAATTAACTATTATCAGTAAATCAAAGATATGTTAAACTGGAAAAAAATCTATAAAAAAAATAAAAAACCACTTATTGTTCTTTCGCCATTTTATAATTAGTTAAACACTTATTTTATTTCTCCTATAATTATGGATCTCATTGAATAATTCATAATTACTTAGATTTTATGGAGGAGAGCTAAAATTAAAAATTCATTACACTTAATAATTTTTTTAAAACTTTATAAAAAGACTGTTTTAATTTACGAATAAAACATCAATTGATTAGTTCTAATCAATTTAACAATTTTTTTAATTGTGATGATATTATCCATTCATTTTGAGAAATATTACATTCTACTAATCATTTTTATAGTGAGTAAAATTATTTAAATATTTAGTGCATTAATCTTATTCTATTCGAATTTCTATTAAATATTTGGTAATACTTTTACCAAGTTTAGTGAAAGGAATAAAAAAATTTTTTAAACAATTTTAGTAATATTATTTATTTTGGAAATGAAAATTTGGAATAAAATTAGAATACTTTTTAAATAAATATGAAGTTTTCTCTTGCTTAACATCAGTATTTTGCTTTAAGATAGGTATTGAATATGTACCATGCCAACTAAAAAAAGTTATTTGTGAAATTAAATAAACTACTCTGTATAACCAATACTTTAAAAAAGTGAATTATTATCAGAATATATGGACAAATATTAATCTTTGATAAACATTTATCAAATTCTAATCAGAGGATTACACACTTACAGTGTAAAAAAAATTAAAGTATTTATTTGATCGTCATCTCAGCAAGGTATGAAGAATCAAATCTATATTTTTTGATAAAATACGGGTTTTTATTTTGAAAATATAAAGAGAAAAAATACAATAAAAAAATAGTAATTCAAAAATTAAAGTGCTAATAAAAAATAATATTTGTAACCAATAATATCATTTATTCATCATATTATTTAATTCAAGTTAAATATTCTTTTCTAAGCGAGTAAATTTTTTTTGTAAATGTTTTTTTGATTTTAGTTAATATGTATAAAAGATTAATAAAAAATCATAATCTAATAAATATTAAAATTTATTTCAACTTATATAAAATTATTTGAAGAAAATTCCATTAATATGCCGATTTTTATATTTAATTGCTTAATACCTTTTATAAATAGCTCATTTTTGCTATTCAATATCATTTAAAATTTATTGTTTTTATTTTAACATTTGATAAATTAAGTAGAAAATCTAATTAGATTCCCTGATAGCAAACAACGAAAATAGAAATTTACCACCTGATAAGGGAAAAATATAGATAATTAGGAAGTAGATCAGGGTTCAAACATTAAGCATTAAAATTTATTTTTAAATTATATTTTAGTATTACAATTTAGAATAAGAAAATGTTAAATCATATTGAAAAATATTCAAAATTTTTAAGAAATCATGAATACATTTAAGATTTTTCAAAATTAATAAATTTGGAATTTTTATTTCTTTGAAAGATAAAATACATACCCAATTTATCAATTTCGGTAAATATTTTCAATTGTGAAAATAAATTAAATTAGCTAAATTTGTTAATTTCAATATTTATTTACTGATTTACAGCTAAGCTTATGGTATTTATAAATAAGTCAATGTATCATTAAATATTCATGGAGTTTAATGAATTAATTAAGAATGTTATGCCTGATCCCTAATCAGGACCAATACAATTTAAAAGTTAGATAAGTCAATGAGCTTTAATCTTTATTCATGTAGATTGGTGGGTTTAAAAATTAAATAAATTTAATCAGAAATGAATAATTTATAATAGACAGATTTTTGGGTAGTACTATTTATTTTTAAATTAATAATTCATATTTTAAAGAATTAAGCAAAATAAAATACCAGAAATGCAAATATGCATGTAAATATTTAGAAAGATTATTAAATTTTATATTACAAATTATTTTAAGTAGATATTAATAAAAGTATTTGGAAATTTAGTGATATATAAAGTATAAATTAATTTTTTTTATATGTCATTAATTAAATTGTTATTTATATTTTAAATATGACTGCATGCTTGGGTAAAATTTTTCTAGAAATATTTCAGACTATACCTCTTACTCAAAATGCACTAAATTATTAGTTTGTTAGATATTTAAATTTTTTTTCTTAGCTTCTCTTAATTTTAGTATTGATTAAATTTATTTAGGGCATACTGTAATCTTGCAAACGAACCCAAACAAATCAAAGTTTTCTAAAAAATCAGGTTTATTAGGCCACTCTAAGAGATCAATATCAATTTAGGAATTAAATTAAATAGACTCTTGAGTAATTAGAGGCTATTAATAAGATATTTTTCTTTCGCTTAGGAGCTTCATCTTTTCAAGCGCCTTTTATAATCTATGAACACCTTGGAGTCTTGTTTCTTAGGTCAAAGCTTATAGTAACTTAAGGCTTGAAGAATTTTTCAAATCAATCCCTAAGAGTTAGAGCAAAGAAAGTGATGCTTTATATTTTTTAATTTCGTAATCAAGTGTCTCGTAATTTATTGTGGTAAATATCAATAAGTAGAATTCGTTCTATCCAACATTTTACTGCACATAATTATCTACATAGCTTTCATAATCTCTGATAGAATTCAAAATATCTTCTTCATTTAAAATTCTAGATTTTAGTTTATCTTAAATTTCTTTAAAGTGTTATTATTGTTGAATACAGTGTTGCTAGTAAATCATAAGCTATTAACCTAAATCTCTATAATTTTAATCAGGAATTCTGTTAAAGTGGTTTATCAGAAATGAAAAATCTTTCATGCCGCTTTGAAGAGTAGTTTCAACACTCATCTCAACCATTTTTTTATCTTAACTTAGTACTATAGATTTCACACTAAACATCTAATCATGTACAGGGATCAAGTCTTACTCATACAGGTTATCAAAGTTTTTGTATTACGTTTCGATTTGAACATATCCAAAGAGCATAAATTTATGATCAAACGAAAATCTATTTTAATAGATAGGCACAATAGCAAATGGTTTTTATTTATAAAATTTACTCTTTGTTTTTTTGACTTTAGCAATTTATCTTTTTGTTTTGATTCCATTTAATTCGTATTAATCTTATTGATCAATCATTTTTAATATTGCTTATTTATGTTTTTTGATTAAAGCTCGTTTATCAAGATTTTCTAAATTAATTAGTTTATTCAAAATTGATACTAAAAATTTGCAATTTTATAGTAAAGAATCCACAAAAATATAAATTTATTTATATATTTATAATCACATATTTAATTTTTCTTTTCTAAAAAATAATATAGTATCTAAAAATTATTTACAGTATTACTATTTCATTCTAAAATATATTTTAGACGCTAATATTTATTTTATCAAATTGAAAATTAATGTATTTAATAATAAAAGAATTCTCAAAATCAAGCAAAAAATACTTTGTATTTAACTAACAATTAAAATGGAAAATATATATTCATTCAAGCTAATTAATTTTCTTACAAATTTATTTGATTAAATTATTTTGTATAAATACAATTAATTTACTTAATTTATTTCAAAAACTATGATTTTTATTCTTATTACATCAATATGATAATTTAATAAAAGTTTTGTAATTTACATTATTAAGTACTATTAAACTCCAAAATTATTAGTGTTTTAATATCTATTGATTGATTGCTTAATTGCTTGATCTTCTATTTTAAAAATGATCCTTAAGAGATTATAGCAACTTTTTGCAAAATTAATTTTTACATTTACCATGTAATTAAAGTTATTAGATCATTAATTTCTGGTCAAAAATTAGTTGCATTTAAATCTAATAAATAATTATTAATGTTACAACTTACAAATTCTTTTCAAATACTTACTTTTCAATTATTTCTTATTAATTAGCAACAAATTTTTAAAAATATGAATCTTTTGCAAATTTCTATCAAAATGCAGTTTTTAAACCAAGAAGATAATCACTTCCTTGTCATATATATATTTAGTATTAATAAAAATACTATTTATTTATGTCAGTAAAAAATAAAGTAAATGTTATTATAAATCTCTTTAGAAAATTTTTTTTGTCAAATTTTGATACTCTTTAAGAAGCTTTTCACTTTGAAAATTAGAAAAAATGAATATAAATTCTAAGTTAACTTTTTATAGAATATTTTATATAATATATTAATTTCTCAATAATTAAGATCAAAACAAACAACTGGGAATAAATTTTTTCATTCAAATTTTATCTAATTTTTCTAAATTTCTTAATTTATTCATAAGTAATTTAGTATTTAAAAAATCACAGTATTTTTATTTGATGATTTTGCTGATTATTTAATTTAATTTAAATATAGTTTTATAAACACTGTTTTATCAAGATAAATTAGTCATTATATCATGAATGTTATTTTTAAATTATATTTAAATTGATTATTTATTACATTTATTATTGATTATTTCATATTATAATTCATTTGATTTTTAAGAATAATAACTATTTGAGTGAATAAATTAATTTAAATTATGAAATTTAATAATTAAGTTAGTTAATAGTTCTTGATTAAATTGGAATAATAATCGTATAAAAAACAATTTATCCAATTCTTATTAAAATACTATGTTAATATTTAAAAATTAAAAAATTATTTACTTGCTAAGTGTTAATAGACTTTTAAATCAAAAAAAATAGTTTTTAAAAAAAATTTTTTGAAAACTAAATTAATTTTAAATATTTTTGAAAAAGTTTAATAATTCATAAATTCGTAAAAAAGTCTTTTTTTATTAATTAAAATACAATAATTTTCATAGATAACATATTATAGTTAGTTGATTCTTTAATATTAGTTATATACAGACTGACTTATAATCAAAAATTAGGTTCAATAAAAATAAGCTAAATTATTAAAATTTTTATAAAATTGAATGTAGAAATTTAAATGTTATTTAATTAATTTTTCTTAATATTTTTGAAAAATTCCTCTTTCTTTCCATCTTTCTTTATTTTAAATAAAATTATCATTTAAATGTTTATTTTCATCTTTTCTAATTTTAAATCATAAATCTTCTTCTACTTCTTTTCAATAATCTGGTTCATCTACATTACCTACATCTTAATCCTCATCTTCATCTTAATCCTCCTCTTCATCTTAATCCTCCTCTTCATCTTAATCATCATTTTCATCTTAATCCTCCTCCTCCTCTTCTTCTTCATAATCGTCTTCATCATCAGTATCTCCAAAATACCCACCATGAATATCATTTAAATGACTATAAATTTCATCGTGTTCTTCAGAATAAAAATAACAACGATAACAGTAAGATACTTTGCAGTTAGTACATAATATATTATTACACCCATCTATCCTCTCAGTTAAGACAGAACATTTAGGACAAAATCTAAAACCCTAAGATTATAAATCTTATCTGTAATCTTTTTGGTTTTCTATTTTCCAAGCTTAATAGTCTGAACACGAAAAACCTTCATGTAAAGTTTCACAACCTTTAATGCAAAAATGATATTTACAATATTAGCATTTATGTGAGATTTTTTTAATATTGTTGTCTTAAATAAATGAGAAACCACAATCAACTAACTTCTGATTTGCTTTTAATGTAATACCACTCTATTTACTTTACCTAAAATTTTCTTGTTCCTCTTATGTTAAATATATTTTATTATCGTTTTCAGTATCTAATATGTACTTTCCTTAACACTGAACAAGCTATTCAAAATTATCAGAGTTGCCAATATTTAATTTTTCATATTAAGTTAGAATATTTTTTTACTCTAGTTGAGCAATAATGTTTTATTCATCTTTAAGTATAAATATTATGTCCTCAAATTCTAAAACTTTTTTACAGTTTTCTTATGGACATATTATTTAATTTAATTCTAAATTTTTATTGCTCCTTAAACTATTTTTTAGGCTCAATTTTAAGCAATCTAAGCAAAACTAGCAATTACATTTTAAATTGTACATATCCTCACTATTTTCAGGGGTATCGAAGCATATTTTGCATTCATAAATTTCTTTTTATAGTTTTTACTAATCTTAAATAGCTTTCTTTTGAAACTCCTATTTAATTTTTAATTATTCTTAAAACTCACTCTAAAATATTGAAATATCTCTTTTTGAAATAACACTTTATATTAATTAAGCTGTGAGGAGATTCTCGCTACATTTGTTTGGGCATCTAATTTATTCATTCAGTATATCTTGAATTACTTATAAGTTTTCGAAACTTTCCTTTCTGTAAATAATTTATTATTTTAAGCAATCATTATGAAATATATGTTTGCATTTACAGCCTAAATATTGAGTAAAAATTAAAACTTTTTCTTAATTAAGTATATGTTGATGGCAAAAATAGCAACACTATTTTACTTTTAACTAAACTCTAGCTCTTATCTAGCAAAGCTACTAAATTTCCTATATTGCATTTAAAAAACTATCAAGTTATTCGTTTTGATTATTTTAATTTAGTAACTTTTCAATTACTTTTTTATATCTTTAACTTTATTCTAACATCTAATATTTTTTCTTTTTAGTTTTTTCACAAACTTTCCAAATAAAAAAATATTAAATATTATTTCAATATTCCTGAATATTAATTAAGTTTGATATATAAACATATATATTTATTTATTTGTAAAATCTTTAAAAATAATTTAGAATTTTACAGTATCTCAGATATTTAATAATTCTTTAAAAAGAATTCATTTAAAAAATGCAATATGATTTAAAAATTGAAGAAGATTTTTATTTTTTTGTAAGAAAATATTAAAAATTTTTTTTTTAAAAATAGTCAAATATTTATTTATAAAATTAGAGATAAACTATTAATTAATTTCTTTTTTATTGAGAATTAATTTTAAATTTATAAATATATAAAATACTTCATATAAATTCATCAATTCTAAGCCATTTATTTTACTCAATTTATGTTTTTTAATAGTTCATAATAAATAATTTACTAATAACAATGAGATTTAGAAATTAAAGAAAATTTTGATTTAAAATTATAAAAAGTTAAAATTGTTTATGAAAAAATAATAAAATAATTATTAAAATATGCAAGAAAAGTTATTATTTAGTTTTATTAATTCATTACAAGCATTAAATTAAATGAAATTATAAAATGCTCAATAAGAATAGATTAAATTATTTAAAAGAAAGTCAGTAAGATAATGAGTTATTATTAATTGTATAAAGTAATACGGCTGTAAATTTGTAAAAAAATTTACTAAATTATAAATTTGATTCATTGCTTTAGATAGAAAATTTAATAAATCATGAACATCTATTTAATTATTTATTTAAATGTCTTAAACTAAGCTCTTTTATTTTTTCTTATTCTTTTACTAATTATGGATAAAACTTTTCAATAAATATTTCTGTTTAAATTTAATAGTCTAGCAAGTTTTACATACTTAAAAAACCTTAAGATTTATTTGTTTGCTCTTATTTTCTTATTTCAATAATAGATTTTAATTAGTTTAAAGGAACATTTATTTTTATAATAACTCCTACTAAATCTATCTTTTATAAATAAGGTGGTCTTTATGGCCAATCAATATATTCATATTCAACTTATGGCGTAAAGTTGATGTAGTCTATGGTTGTAAAAGAATATTCATATGTTCTTTTAATTTCAAAATTTGAAGAAAATTCAAGTAAAGAAAAAACAGCTTTGAGCCTTTCTTTACCAAAAATATTAGAAATATTGAATGACTAGTGCAAAAGCTCTTATTCTTGGCTCATTTCTATTCCGAACAAGCTCAATAAAGCTCTAGAGATTATCATATTTCTTGGCTCAATATCTTAAGTTTCTATATTCAATGCGCTAAAACTAGCTAAAATGAACTCATCCTAACTCAACCGTTGTTTTACTTACTCAAAGAAAAAAGCTTGATAATCATCGATAGCTTAAGCGATATCTTTTTTTGAAATTATCTTTTAGTTTATTTATGATTATAAGTATTTTTAATTTTTTGTGATTTCATTTAATAGTTTTTAATACTTAGACAAAGATTAAGATAATATACAAAAATCAGCATTTGGCTATTGAGAAAAATAATCAATTAAAGTCTAAAAGTCCTTTAAGCCGCTAGATCCATTACACTACATGTTCATAATAATCATATCCAGGTTAGTGCTTTTTTCAATAGATTTTATAGAAACTATTTAATTTTAAATGCTTATCATATTTATTTCTTAATGATCAGAGTAATCTCTGTATTATGTCTCAACTTCAATAAAACCATGTATCATAAACATCTAATTATGATTGAAAACATTCTAGAAAATTGGAACAACAATTATTGGCTTTTATTTGAATGATTTATTATTGCTTTTTTTAAGCTTAGCAATATACTTTTTTATTTAAAAACCTTTTATTTCAGATGGTTTAACTAGGGTTTATATATTGCTATAACCCTCATTTTAAGATTAATCCTTTTTATCTTTTGAATTGTTCATTTTTGGTCAGATATATTTATATTTTGATGATAATTTATTTCATAAATTTTTTTAAAAAATCAGAATTATCTATTTTTATAAAAAAATTGATTCATTGAATGGTTGAATTGCTTTACTTTAATAAACATTGATAAATGGAAATGTTAATAAATGTAAACTTTTTGATATCCTTTATTTAATTTAATTTAATTACTTACTTTTAAATTACATAAAAATATTTTAGAAATTAAACATCATAATTTTGAATTAAATTAAGATTAAACAAACAATACTTACTTTAAATTAATTATTTAATCTTGAAGAAAGAATAAAAAATATTAAATTTGTTTGCAAAAATGATTTAGTTTTTTAAAAATTTATTTAATTTTTTAACAACATTTTGATAACTTTACTGACAAAACAACCAAATTATAAAAATATTTATCAATCATTATATTTCATAATAAATGCTCAAGTGGATTCTGATCATTTATACAAAATAGGCTTTTTTGAAATAAAGTTTCTGTAGATTTACTGCTTTTCTTCTACTTTTTATAAGATTTCTTTAGGATAAGCCTCTTATACTTCTGTAAATTTGGTGAAAGTACAATGCTTTTTAGCATCTTAATAGTTTAATAAAACAAAATTTTCTGGCTTAAATGGCAATTCAGGATTCCAACGTACTACTAATCCTCCACAAACCTTTTTATCAGTGACAACTTCTTTCCAATCATAAACTTCTCTTGCAACTATATAGATATCCTCCATATCAAACTCAAGATCTTCATATGATATTCCAATTTTACGAGCTTCTTATTACAAATGATTAAAAAGTTTTGCATAATTTGCTTGTTTCACTTCATCGATTAAGAAGGGCTTGTAAAGTTAACCAGCTAAATCACAGAGCACATACGAACTTAAAGAATATGCAACTAAAGCAGGCATAGTTCCTAAAACAGGAACAATACGTAATCTGTAGTTTGAAAATACTTTATATTCATCTGGATTGCTTTCTTGGTGTTCCTTTAAAGGTAATAATTCTCTCTCACTACGCTCAACGCTAAGAACTACTTTAATCCCATCATGTACTTTATATTTTTTTAGTTTAGTACGAACTGCTCTTGATAAGTCATCATAATTAGTTTCAGAAATATCTCTGATTTGAATTCTGGTGGGATCAGCCTTCATTCCAGCTCCCATAGATGAAATTACCTTAATGCCATTTAATTTACAATATGCTAAAAGAGATACCTTAGCATCGATATTATCAATGCAATCAACCACATAAGTTGGTTTTATTATGGTTTTACCATCTTCGGCTAAGTCTTTGAAAAAGGTTTCAACATTATTTTTAGTAACATAATCTTCAACTATATCAACTCTAGTATGAGGAACTATTCTTTTAATGTAATCTTTAACGCATTCACATTTAGAGCGTCCAACATCTGCATGAGTTGCAAAAGCATGTCTGTTAAGGGAAGATAAAGATACTTAATCAAAATCAACTATTTTTAAATGTGCTACTCCAGAACGAGCCAAAGATGCAGCTACGTGAGAACCGACTCCTCCAACTCCAAATATTATTATGTAACTATCCTATATTTTTTTTTATCCTTCTTCACCAAAAAATTAAATATTTCTGACTAATTATTCCTTCATCATATTTTAATATTCTTGAGAAGAAAAGTTGTTTAAGTGTTTCTGATTACTTTCTTGAATCTCTATCTTCTACTATTTCTTTTTTTCTTTTAGCTTATCAATATCTATTTCATCATTGGCTTTCTTGTTGAGCAATTTGCTTGCTTGCAATCCTATTAGCAAACCAGCACCTAAGCCTAGTATAGAATAAGTTATTTTTTCAGACATGATTATGATTCCTAAAATAAAATGGAAAATTAAAAATTATTATTTATTATTTATTCAATAAATCAGTAAAGATTTAGATAAATAAGTATACAATTAAGCTGTGGAATAATTTGATCTTAATCATTATTTTTATCTATTTAAAAAATTCATAAGTTAAATTAATTCCAGAAAAAAACAATTACAAAAATTAAATTATCAAGTAATTAAAAATCTCTCGTAGGTTTAAATAAAATTCTTAATTAATAATTAAATTATCTCTTGTTTTAATATTGTTTAAAATATTTAAACAAGTGTTATTTAAATTAGATTTATATAAATTTTAATGGTATGTTAGTTAAAAATTAACATACAATAAATCCAAATTAATTAACTCTAAAATTTCAAAATTTATTAATCAACACTAAAAGCAATAATATTTGAGTTGGTATTAATTAGCTAATGAGGAAATTATTTACATGTATTTTCTTTGAAAACAACTGAATTTTTGTTTGAATTAAATAATTTTTTCTGAATCAAAAACTGGAAAACACTATTGGTTATATTTATTTATACCTTTTAGTCAAAATTTACATAAATAATCTATTATAAAAACATAGTCTTCTGGTAAATTAGCAAATTGAGGTGGGAGAGGCATCCATTAATCAGGATTATAGATATTTATTATATAAAATAAAAATATTTACTTTTTAGATAATAAATTATTTGTATATTAATATGAAAAATCAACTTAAAAAATGTAAATTAAGAGTAAAAAATACAATTTAATTAAATTTTAACCTATTTTTATAATATTTTATATTTTTACTACAAAATAATAAATAGACTATGAAGCATAAAGTTTTAATGAAGTTTTGCTTTAATTTTTAAACAATTTTATTCATTTTTAATCAATAATAAAAGAGATGTAGTTGTATTGTTAAAATATCGAAAGTAGAATGATTTTTTATAATAAAAATTTAGTGATTTTTTTATGGAATATAGAAGGTAGGTTAATTATTTTTATATTGAATAATAACTGGTAAAGCATTTTGATAATTAAAAATCACTTAATTAATAATTGTTATATTAAAAGTAGAAGCTGTAAAGTAAAGAAAAAAATCAAAAAGCCTTTTAATTACATGAAAGCTAAAAGCTAGCAAACGGTCTAATATACGTTTTCTGGTGTTGTAAAATATTTTAAATTAAAATTATTAAAGAATAGCTATATTTTTCATTTTTATTGATTATTTTAGGATATATTTTAAACAAGAGGTCCCTAATTTAATTTTAACAATTAAGTAGAAGCTTCTAAAACAGGAGATAATGATGATTATTTATCTAAATTTCCAGAAAGTTTTAAGAAAATAGATGATAGCGCTAAAAGAGCAAGTAAAGAGTTAAAAAAACGATTATCTTCTAGTAAAAAAGAAGATCATAATAAGGTTAGCATGCAAGCCTCAATTGAAGAATTTAAATAATATAATTAAAATTTCTAATCAAACAGTTAAATACCATCAAATTAGGAATAATCATTTACTAATGGATTTGGCACTAATAAAATTTTAGCATTAGATTGCACTCAATCATTACTTCCTATTCCAAAATAGTAAAGCAGAGTAAGATAAAGAAGTGAACTGAGTAATTCAATAGCTTCAAGCGGAAGTCTAGCTGATGATGATGCTAATGTAGATAACTCTAGTTAAGCTAATCCTTCATCTCACTTTAAAAAAAAAATAAATAATGCAATTAACAAACATAAAGAACTAAAAAATGTTCCATAAAGGTTGTCAACTTAAAAATTTACTTTTTTAAATAACTAAAAGAAGAAATCTTCTTAAAATATTCAAGATAAAGCGAATATAAACACTTCTACTTACGATTAGGAAATAGTTTCAATGAAAAAGAATAAAAGAAGAAATAATGTTGTTATGCTTGATAAGCGTAAATAGATTTGGACTAAAAATTGGGTTTAAATTATTTATTACATTGGAAAAATGAGGCAATTAATGAATTAAGCAATTCTATTTTTTAGGCCTTAGCTACTTACAAAATGGTAGCTAAATGCGATTAATGATCCTTCTTGTGATTTTTCAAATGTGTACCATTAGCACTAAAATGCTGATTATGTTAAGTAATACTCTTATCAGAAGTATTAAAGATTCCTCTCTTTCAGAACATATAAAAAAGTTAAAAAATTCACTTTACAAAATTTTAGTTGCTTAGTAAATTTATATTAGAGATTCTCATTTTATATAAGAAAATTTGAAGTTGAGCTCTTTTAATTTCTACCAATTTTTAATCAGCTTTAAAAATTTTATGTTTTTTGGGAATTAATCATATTTGTGTGTGCTGTAATCAACATGATATATATCCCTTTATAGATTACTTTTGGGTTTGAAAGAGGTCCTTTTTTTTCTATTTACTTTGAGTATGTTTGCGTCTTTGTCTTCTGTATAGATATATTCATTCGTTCAAACACATAATACAACGAATAAGGAAATAAGATAGAAGTGCACAAGCAGATTCTTTAAAATTACATTAAAAAAAGATTAGTGATTGATATAATAAGTCTTATTTCTCTAAATAGAACATATTTTAAATCAAATTTTTGCAGCTTATTATTTTTTTTAAGAATCTTTTACTCAACTAGAATCGTAGATATATTTAAAGAGTAATTTTTACTGAGAGTTCATATTTCAGGTATATTTAAATTATTTCATCTATCATTTTTATAAAAAAATACACATTTATTTTTTGCATGTATCTTAGGTATAATTTCTCTGATACTTCTCTTCTCTCAAGCTCTATACTTCTGCCACATATTTTCATGCAGTTTTCTTTACTTGGGTTTGTATTAGAAGTCATTTGGAGAAGGATGGCTTGTTACTTTTTAGTTGGATTAGTCTAGTAATCTTGAATAATACTTACATAGCTATTACTTTTCTGTTGTAACGATGACTACAATCGGTTACGGAGATTATACAGCTAAAACTTCTATAGAATATTGCTTTATGATCGTCTTTATGATTGTTTCATGTGGTATATTTGGATACACTATAAATTCTATTGGTAAATTACTCTTGAATAATATTATATTGATTAGTGATTGTTAAAGAAAAAAAATAAATTTAAAAAAAGTATTCTTTGAAATTTAAGGAAATTAGCTTTTTTTATTTTTCCATGTTTATTATAGCTATGAATTTAAAAAGAATATTTAAATATTAAATAATACAATTTTATAAATTAGGTAATATTTTATATGATTTCAAGCTAAAAAGAGATTAGTTTTTATAGTAGTTAGCCTAAATAAATAAATATTTTAAATTCTATAACACTGATTTAACTTTATAAAGCAGAGCAAGAAAATATATTGAATATACATACAGTGATAATATTTAAGACACAAATATCTCTGCATCTTCTTTAGATTCTTTGTCACCTTACCTTCAATTAGAGATCAAATATGATGCTTATAAAAAAGCGATTGTTAAATGTTAGATAATCAAATAATATTTTTCTACTCCCTTTATTGAATCTCTAGCTACTAAAATAAAGGAGACTATTCTTTCTCCTGATTAGCTAATCCTTGAAGAAGGATAGAACAAAGAACCTCACATATATTTTGTAAACTCAGGTATGGTAAAAATATTTTCAGCCAAAAATGATGACTCTCCAACAGAATTGAAAGTAAAATCGTTTTTATTTGTTACTTTAGGTTATTTAAATAAATTAAAATTCAGAAATTAGTAAACGGAGATGTCTTTGGAATAGAAGAATTCTTTTTAGAAAAATATGATGTTCCTTTTAGTGTTAAAAGTATTGGAGTTACTAGTCTCCTTTCATTTACTTTAACTGATTTTTAAGATATGCTAAAGAAATACCCTGATCAAGTTGAAATGTATTGCTATCTTAAGGATTCACTCCAACACAATAAAGATTTTAGTAAACTTCAGCTTTCGTGCTTTTCGTGCGCTTAATATAATCACTGTGTAAATGAGTGCCCTTATTTGTTTTATGGTACCAAACCATAAAAAATCATAAGGCAATATTTAAATGATATTGATAAAATTATTAGTACATTTTAGAGATAGAGTAGACCACGTTTTAATTCTCGCTTCTTGAATGAAGAAGTTAGAGAAAGAGCTGACTGTTTCTTTATGGATTACTAAGATGATTTATCGTTTATTGGATACACTGATTCAGAAGAAGAAGATGATGATGAAGAAGATGATGAAGATGAAGTAGATGTAAAAACTTAAAATGAAAACCATTAAGGAGTTTCTGTGCAAAGTACCAGTCAAGCAAATTTATAGTCATAGCAGTTAAAGTAGCAATCTAATCCTAATTTAGAAGATAAAAAACAAAAGGACGATAGGAATCAAAAGGAAGATAGACCAAGTGGTCTTCCATTACAAAAAACAAATTCCTTATCAAGCTCTGTTAAAATGGATTAGGAGAGTTTTTTACCACCTTAAAAGTAAGCCGAAAACTATGTTTACAGTAATTGTAATATTCCGAAATCTATATCTAATTTGCCGGAAATTAAAGAAAGTCAGTTAAAGATAGCTTAAATGGATATTTAAAATGTTAAATCTATCATTGCACCTTAAGAATCTAATATTTTATCAATTCCGAGTAATTTAAATCCTGGGTAAATAGAGAGAAAGAAGTAAAGATCATTCACTTCTATAAACAATATATCTTCTAGTTAAGGAGATTTAGAATTAAGACCTTAATAAGTTTATTAAAATGTTAACATAACATCTAAATATGGTAGTATAAGTAGATAATAACTTTAATAAGGATACATAAATGCATCAAGTAGGAAATTTAGCTAAGAGAATGATTCCTGTAACAGTATAACAGTTGTAAAGCAGTAAAGCAAAAGAAATATTGGTAGACAAGTTTCCAGAGAAAATAAAGATATTGAATTAAGGGATAGGAAAAGCACTAAAAATCTTGATTCGTAATCAGGTGGAGGAGGATTTTCTAAAAATTATAATTAGGATCTAGATATGAACTTCAAAAACCTAAATAATCCTTAAAATAAAGTATCAAGTCAGTTTGATAGTATACAACAAGTTTAATCAGTTTTTCAACCATAATAACAAATTAATATAGATTTAAAAGACTTATTTTAATTACTACAAAGCTATAATATGAATAATTAAATTCCAAACTCTACATAATCAAAGAATTTAAAAGATATTGAGAGTAAAAAATTAGATTTAGATGTCTAACCCAGCTCTAAATAGCGCTAAATACCAGATAAAGAAGAGAGCAGATTGTATAGAATGAAAACCACAAAAAAAGAATAAGAATAGCTATATGATATAGAATTAGATAAAATTTAAAATTATGAAATCTATTTTCCTAAATACAACATAGAAAACGTTTTGAAAAAATTAAAATAATAAGAAATATCAATAAACATTAAAAATTACCTCTTTAAAACATGCTAAAATTTCTTTCCCTTAGCAAAATGAAATCGTTTTCATTCATTTAATTTTTTATGTTATTTATAAACAAAAAATATATATGGCTAGGATTATGCCAAAAAAATACATTTATTGAATTTATTTTATCTAAACATTAAAAATAAATAAATAGGTGTGTATTAATTAAATTTTATTAAACTTTTTTTTGAGATCAATAATTAATTTTTAAATATTTACCGGCCCCAGACCCAATCTAAAAAATTTAATGTATGCCCCGTGGGGCAGTTGTGTAATTTTCTATTATATATTTTTATATAATAAAATTTAATTACTTAATGAACTTTTTTTCTTTCTACTCAGCTAAGAAGCCAATTAAATAAATTTAAATGTAAAATAATAAATGCCATTCACTTATCTAGTCGTTTCCAAACGACGAAATTTTTGAATGGCATTTTGCTATATATACACCCATTATATCCTACTTGATTACATAAATTTTGTTAAATATTTTCATTTTTTAAATGTTTTATAGCCTTAAATTTAAAATCTATTTTTATTGATAATTAGTGTAAATAAAATATGCATTAAGTAATTTAATTATTAGTTGCATAGAATTAACAAAAATGTATTTAATTTTATTCATTAAACCATTAAAATAATCTGTAGATCAAAATGAATAATAAATTATTAAATATTTATTTTTAGATTTTAAAAGTGATCAAATTTATCTTCCATTTTGATTTGCTTAAATTTTATACAATTTCTTCTAAATCTATCAACTTACTTACTAATTTTTGATTTAGAAAAAATATTTACTTTCATATCTACAAAAAGAAAGATAAAATAGTCTATTAAAGATTCATTTTTCTTAGTTACAATTAATATTTAGTAAAAAGATTTAAATTAACTAACTAAATAAGCTTAAATTAATTAAAAAAGTAGAATATGAATACTATTAATTAATTCAATAATAATAAAATCTACTTAGTACTGAAGATTTTAATGGTCCTTTAATGGATAGTTGTTGTTTTAGACTATAAGTTTTTAAATTATTTTCTAAAGCCATCTGTTGTAGGAATAATGTGCATCTATACTTTAACTTTGTAAGCGAAAGAAAAATCAAATTATAAATATATAATGGCTGCTGGGTTTTTTTTTTCTGTTGGAGGTGATACACTTCTTCTTGTAGAAAATCTTGACTTCTTTTTGTATGGTCTAATAAGCTTTGCTTTATCTCATATTTGTTTCATCTTTGCTTATCTTCAAAGTGTTTAGTTTAACCTAAAAAGAATTTTAAAGATTACTCTACCATTGACTACTCTCAATTTTATTATTGGCAAATTTATGTTCTCATATCTCACTAATTTACCAAACTTTTAATAATTCATGGTAACTCCTCTAGCTGTCTATATAATCTTGATTTCTTTACATGCTGTAATCGCTTCTGCTAGAGAAAAGACTTCCTCTAAAAGTTATATTTATGCTCTATTAGGAGGATACTTCTTTATTGCATCTGACTCAATTCTCTCTTTAAACATATTTGCAGGATTTAGCCATCCAATTATTCTATTTTTGATAATGTTTACTTACTATGTCTCTGAATATTTTATTTTGATATCTACTGTCTACCATTTAAGCTATGAAATTACATAAGAAAAGATACAAGTAAAATCAAAAATTTAATGAACTTTTTGAAGAGCTCAAAATTTATAAAATTTTTTTGTAAATTTGTATGTAAATAAAATCTTATTTTAACAAAAAGTTAATATTTACTAAGCAGTTTATAAATATATAAAATAAAACAAGTAACATTTTATTAAACTATATATATGATATGAACTTTTATAATCAAATAAACTTACTTAAAATTAAAAAAATTTATTTTATCTTTGACCTTTATTTCAATAAATCATCTCAAAAATAAAAGGCTTTATTTAAAGCTAAACCTTATTTATTTATTAAAAAGTAATGAGCTTTGCACAAAATATTTATTTAAACTTGTTTTAATTTAATTAAGTTGTGGTAAAATGTTAGATTTTTAGTTATTAAAATAATATGATAATACATTAGAAAAATATTAATATTATTTTATTTAATTTTAGTAATTAACTTTTTTTGTTTATTATTATTCCTAAATTATCTTCTTAAGACATAAAGATAATAATAATAATAATTACTCTTGAAAAAAGTAGAAAAAATTATCTTCTGAAGTTTCATAATAAAAAAGGAATTATTCAAATGGATTTTTAGTATTTATTATTTTTTTTGGTTTTTGTTATGGTAAAAATTAAAATCTATTTTAATTAATATGTAAATTTAAAGAAATTTAAAATTTTTTTGAAGTAATAATTAGACCAATTTATGAATTTCTGATAGCAATTATTAATTTTTTAAAATATCTACATTTAAACAACTTTTGGAAAAATTAAAGAAAAAAAGAATATCATTTAAACTTTATAAAATGTAGAAGGGAACATAAAATGCTCCTAAATCAAGTTTATAGTAACAGACTAAACCATAGATGCCTAAACATAATATGACAGTTGTTGAATTATAAACTCCGCATATGAAAATTCCTGGTGTTTAAAAATACTCTCATGATGAACTTAAATTAATGCTAGAAAAAGCAAAATAAAATCCTGCAGTTCATGAAGGTTTTTACCTTAAAATTTAAAATTATGACTTTTAAGTAGATGAATGGGAATTAGAAACAGGTAATTGTTAACCTCATACTGATGAAAGCAAATTAAATTTGAGACCTAAAACAGCAGTTACAGCTGATCAAAGGAGAATAGAGCTTGCAAAAAAAAGTTAATAAGCTAGATAATAAATGCAAGAAAAGTATGAAAAAGAATAAAATCCTACTTTTAAAAGACCTACGACAGCAAAAGTAGTTTCAAAGAAAAAAATAGATTCTGCAAAAGAAAGCAAATAATAAACAAATAATATAATTGAAAATGAACCAGAAGTAAATTCTGAGCACGAAGATAATTAAGAAGAAGAATAATAAGAGTAAGAGGACAATTAAGAAAATAATTAAGAAAATTAAGAAGAACCTGAAGAGTAGCAAAATGCTGAATAGTAAAATGCTGATGAAGAAGATGAAAAAAATGATATCAAAAGTAAATAAACCTCAACAAGATCAATAGCTGAAAATTCTAAAAAATAATAAACATAGAAATAAGTAAAAGAAAAAGCAAGTAGTAAAACTCAAATTAAAAACTAAGAAATAGACTAATAAGAAGAAGATAATGATGATGATGAAAATAACAGTTATAAAATTTAAAAGATATCAAAAGAAAAGTAAAAATAAAATTAGAAAAAGAATTTACTAAAGGAAGATGAAATGGATGATGATTTTAATGAAGATGATTTTAATAATTAAATTGAATAATTTAGTATCAGTTAAGCTTTCAATCAAAGTAATTATTCTCAAATGTCTAAAGGTAAATAAAAGTAATCTGTAAAACCTAAAGGTCCATACAAATCAGATGTAGCAAATGTAAATATAAAATATCATTTAATATATTTTTCTTATTCAATTTAATTAAATAGATGATGAGTAGTATGTTTTCAGAGATATCTGGTTTTGAAACTGACATATGAAATTATATCTTAGAACATTTATTTATATTAGAGCATTTGAATTAAAAAAGACCAAATACTTAATTAATTATTTTTCATATTTTCATAATAATAATATAAAATTAAAGATATTTGGTTTAAGCTATATATTTAACAAAATGTTTTGAGTTTTTTAACTTAGACTTGAAATAATATTCAATAATTATAATTATAATTATTTGTTTAATTAATTATAAAATAAATTATCAAATTGTTAAGAGTAAAATAAGAAATATTTTTGATAATTAATAACAAAAGTAAGTTGTAAATGAAAATTCTTTAAAAATAAGAAAGAAACTTTCAAAAAAATTAAATTGTAGAAAAATAAAATAAAAAAAATAAAAAAAAATAATAGAGAACATAATACTTTTAAAAAATAATAATTCTTTTTAATAAAAAAATAAAAATATTAACTTTTAAAAATATTTTTCAGGCAAAGAATGTCTAAACAAATCTTTTTGCTGATTAAATAGAATTTAAATGGTAAAAATATTATATCTAAAGCAAAAAAAAATACAATAAAACAAAATATTTAAATTTTTTAATGATTCTAAATTTGTGAAATAGCAAAATTGTTTGTGAAAGTTTAAAATATTTTTTTTTCTAACAAAGTTTGTTTGAAGTAAATTATATTAGAAAATAAACACCAACTTAATTGTAAATAAATATCAGTTTATAATTAAAGATTAATGTATTTGCAGAAAAATAATAATATTTTGTTTTAATCTAAAAATTAATTATCAAATTGTTTGATAAATATCAATCAATTAGTAATTATTTTCATTTATTTATTCAAAGTATTGTTAGTTAGGTTTAATATTTTAGATAAATTAATAATGGAGAATCAAAATAAATATATATAAATAGAGAGTTCAAAAAAGCAAAAGGAGTTTCCATTAGAAAATAATGGAAATTTTTAAAATATCTTAAAACTACTTACAGAATAAAGATCTAAAATAGATGAAATGTTAGTAAAAACAAGAAACTATCAAGTGAGTCGATAAAGAATTTCTAGAACAGGAGGAAAAGAACCTGAGCCAGTAGAAGATGTCAATTTTTTGGAAGATATTAGTATGTATTAAAATGGGGCTTCATAGACAGTTGAAGAGTTAAGAAAGAAAATAGATACTCTGAAGAAAAGGCACAAATCAGAAATGAATGGGCACAATATAGAAAACACTCAATAATAAAATTAAATAATAAAGAAAAAAAATGTTCAAACACCTGCCTACAAGCATTCCAACTCAAATTATATATCTCCTTAAAAGGGAAGACCTGGTAATACGATTGAAAGTAGTAAATAATAGTTAAATAACTATCAAAAAGATCACGAATAAAATCATCCTTTATCAAGTAAAAATTAGTAATCAAACAATAACAACAGTCTTACAAAATTTAATGAAGGCTCTAATTTAGAGGTAACGGAAATAAACAATTTTCAACCTTATATAAAAGAATAAAGATCAACAAGCATCCCTGCCTCTTAAAATCCTAACTAGTATGCAAATTAATAACATCAAAGCCAAACTCCTGAACAATTTTCTCTACCTCCTATTTAACAGTAATTATTAAATTCTTTTTGATTATATGAATAAGAGCTTACTGCTTTATTCATCATTCAATCTCACTCTTTTATTAAATATAAAAATAAATAAATGCTTCATTAACCACAAAATTAAATATTTTCAAATACTTCTTTTTAAGTATCAATAACCAATCATATTTTTAAATCGTTGATTACAAATCAATCAATAAGCAAATGGATGCTTTGTTTTATTTTAATCGTATCTAATAAATGATATTTTTTTGGTTTAGTAGTTTGACAAGTATTTTATGATCTGTTTAGATAGATTTTTGCTTTGATAAATATTACTAAAACAGTTTTAAAAATAAAATTAATCAAATTTATTCAATGTTTAATAGGAATTTGAATCAATCAGTAGATATTCCTAGGAGAAATCATAGAAGCTCTTCTAGTTAGTACAAAAAGTATGGAAGTACTTTTAACAAAGATGCTCTAAATAAAAGTGATTTAGGTATTTAGCAATATACTGAAGATGAAGACATATATAATAGCACTGCTCCAAATGAACATCACAATATTTATATTCCCACAAGTATTTAAAATACAAGAGGTACAAGATTAAATACTTATTAAAGAAATGGTCCATCTGGTATGAAAATAGATAATTATGAGTAACGATATAAATAAAATATGAAAAGTAAATAAATAAGGAAAATTTACTTGTAAAATCCTGTTCCTCATAATAAAGCTTAATATTTTAATTATAATTCTAATATTTCACCAGAAAAAAGAGAGTTTAGAGAGACATTCTTAAATGATATGAATAAAAATATTTTCTAAAACAATGTAAATAGTTAAAATAAGCCCAAAAAGAAAAAGAAAGGCTTAAATACCTAGAAAAAAGCATCTAAAATCTCAATACTTGATTAAGATATTTTTAACTTACATAAAAATAACTAATCGATTCCTTCTCTTGATATAAACCCAACCGAGTTCACATATTTTAATAATAATTCTCAGGTTATATTAAACACAAGTTACGATTAGCAAATTCCAGGAAATCTACCTTAGGGAATAAATTGCATGAATTATTATAATGATTTTGAATAACTTATAAAAAGATAAAGCATGGAAACTCTTAGCATTCTTGAGTATGTTTTTGAAACTTCTAAAAGCAAATCTAAACCAGAATTGTTGGAGAAGCTATCAGAATTTAAATAAAATTTTACTTTACATGCTGAAAAATAGGATAAATAAATAAGAGAAATAAAAAAGAAATATCATCATTTTAGAAAGTTTGACTTGCCTAAAGATTTTGATTTAGGAAATTAAACAATATGATCAAATAAATATATAAAATTTATCATCTTTTAGCTTTATTAATTTATATAATATTCATTTAGTCAATAATTTATTCTTTATTAATTAGCTCTCTCTATTTGTAAATAAAATATAAGTTTTAATATAAAATGCTTTTGTATTAAATTATTTTTTGTAAATGTTTATTAAAATTAATGAATATTTTAACAAAATGATGTATTGATTGTAAAACTACTTCTGAAAGGAGATAATCCCCTCAGAAAAAAATGTTTAATTAAAGTAGCTAATCAATCAAAAAATAAAATTTAAGAAACTTAAAATTTTTTACAGAATTTAGTTATTTATTTTCATTCAAATGATTGGTAAAATTAATTTTTAATCTAACAAAGATTAATTAAATTTGAAAATTAAATTAAAAATAGAGATTTTAGCAACAAATTTTTTAAATAATTGAGAGAATCTTATTTTGTTTGTTTGTTTGTTTATTTTATATAATTTATTTAATAGATCGACCAGCCAGTTTAATAAAATTTGTAATTATTTATTTATATTATACAAAATTTCATTACAAATGCATTAAATAAATACCATTTCAAAGCAATAAGATTTATAAATTTTGAATTAGTGAAGAAAATAAGCAAGCAAAAAATTATACCAAACAAATAATTTAAACAAATAAATAAATATAACTCAAATCAAGCTTTAAAAAGATATAATAAAATAACAACTAGATATATTTGATTGTCCATTAATAGGTCAAGAAGAACATAGCCAAATCTAAGACAATAAAAGTTTATAGCTTCAGAAATATTTTAGTAAATGAGATCAAGTAGTGGATTCAATAGAACTTCATATTCTCCTCCTAGAGTTTATGCGCCTACATAAATACCAGTTCAATAGTAATATGTTTCTAGATTACCTCCCTAGACTAGTTCATATACCCGCTCATAAGTAAGTTATCCTGGTATTATTGGAGGAACTTAATATTTACATCCATAAGCTGGGTTGTCAAGTATACCTTCATCTAGACCTCTTGGATCTTCAGTTTTGACAGTTCCTACACCTATTTCCTATAATAATTTTATAGATTAGCGTCCTGTTTCAATCTAAACTGGATCTTATTCACCTCCAAGAGTTATATAAGCACCGACTATAGCTACTTCGACAGTTGCCAATTAATTACCCGCTTAACTTTAAACTTCTTATAAATAAGTAAACCCATTAGATGGTTCTTACTATAATACTAATGTATTTGAATAATCTTAAATTTAAAAAACAATGAATACTACACAGATTGTTCGCAAATTTAACAATACAAGTACACATGTAGCAGCATAAAATTCAGATCAAATTAATGAAATTCAATTAGATAGAATCAAAGTTTATAAAAAAGCTAATGTTGAAAAATTTTTTGGAAGAGATGTTACAATAGATTGCAACTATGAGCCCTATAAGCTCTTTTCTACAAAGGAGCTTAGAGGCTTTTTAGTTAATGGATTTTAAGAATTTGAATAAAATTTGAAAAAATTAGAATAGCGTTTTTCAGGATTAGAATCTAGCTTTTATCATTTACTGCATAAAGGAGATACACCTAAGGATATATTTGATAGATTCTTAGTTACTTTAGATAAAAGAGTAGAAAAATTCTTTGAATCTTTTGATGAATCTGTAATTTAGGGAAGAGGATTAGCTGCAGACTATTTTGATACAAGTGTTTTGAGAAATGATTACGAGTTTTGGAATTTTAGATCAGTTGTTAAGTAAGGTGTTATTGAAATTTCAAATAAATTGAATGATTTATTTGTTTCCAGAGAAAACTCAACTTATTATGATGCTTAAATAATACGTTGTATTGAAACTATTATTAAATTATATTCTTTCTTAAAAAGTGATTTAAATACTATTCTCAACAAATCAATTCTTAAATGTGGTAAAATCCTTGAAGCATGCACTTATTTCTATGAAAATGGAGAAGGAGTAAAAACAATAAATTTTGCTGATTATATTTAGTTAGACGTTGCATCCCTCATTTCTTAATATTCGGATGAATTTGATAGGACTTATCCTGTCCTTTTAAATAAAAAGTAAATTGTTACAGAGAAGTTCCATGATATTCTCAAAGACAAGTCTACCTAAAACTAGTTTGACTTAAAACAACTAGTAAGAAGTGTATTTTAAAGAGAAAGAAGAAAACTCTATAGAACCATTTACAATTCTATTGTCAATAATGGTAAAACAAATTAATCTATTTTTATATAAATCTAAAATTAAATAACTAGGTAAGAATGAGTTAGAATTGAGTGAAGAAATGCTTTCATTAAATAAAACTATTACTGATAAGATGAATAAAATTAAAAGCAAATATTTAACTATTAAAAATGATCCTCTTTTTATGGAAGTATTGACAGGCAGAATGAATATTGAATATCTCAAAAACTCCCCTACTCTCTTTGAAGAAAACTCTTAGACTGTTTTACTTTTAGAAAAATTCATGGTCAACACATAATAGTTCTACGAAGATATCAAAGATGCCCTTTCAGATATTATTTACTATAAATAAAAAGAATAAGATATTAATAAAGATATCCTTTAAGGTATTTTAAGTAAGGCTGTCTATGATCTCAATTAATAAGAAAAGATCATATAAGTAAGATAATTAAACTACTGTAATCAAATTATTTAACTTTAATTTAATAGGATAAAGGAGATATGAGTGAACTTATCCTTTACTAATTCTAAGTTTTGGAGAAATCACTCTCTTCTGATCATAACAGATAAAATGTCGATACAAATCTCGAAAGCACGTTAATGAAATAATTGAAAAATAACTAAACTAATTATCATTTACATAATGTTGCTGCTGACTTGGCTCGCTAGGAAAAATAGAGAGAAGAATAAAGAAAAGCCATGAAAGATAATCAATTTTAAAAAACAAAAGAATTCTCATCACAAATAGCTAACTTAATGACAAAACCGATGATAGACAAAGAGAGAAATATGTACCCTGTTAAGGTAATATTAATAGCAAAATTGCTACTTGATATTTAATATATATTTTAAAAAGGATAATAACTATGATTAATATGATGATGATGACAGAAATTACGATTAGTCTTCATCTCTAAAAGGTTTAGCAGATAAACTACTTTAAACCATTAAGTAAAAAAGAGAAGAAGAACTTGAAAAAGAAAGAAAGCTAAAAGAAGAATAGGAGGAAATTCGTTACATGAAAGAGCAATAATACAAAGAAGAGAGGGAGAGAATGTAATTAGAAAAACAAAGAATGGTGGAAAGCACCTCTAAAAAATTCCAAGAGAGAAGAGAATAAGAGCAAGCAGAGTTTTAATAAAGAATTCAGATGAGATAATTGTAAATTTTATAAACTAAATTAAAAATTAGTTAAAATTTGAACTTTATACTTAAAAAGAGATGAAAAGGAAAGAAGAGAAAGAGAGTTAGATAGATAAAGAGAAGAAGATTATAAAAAATAAAGATAAAATGAAGAAAAATAAAAGCAAAGAGAAGAAGAAGAAAGACAACGTAAAGCTAAAGATGAAGAATTAAAATAAAGAAAGCTTTAAGATGAAGAAAATAGAAGATAAAGAGATGAAGAGCTTAAAAGACAAAAAGATCTAGAATTAAAAAAATAAAGAGAAGAAGATGAAAGAAAATAGCAACTTGAGTAAGAAAGAAAATTATAGTAATAGGCTGAACAAGAAAAAAGAAAGTAAGCTGAATTAGAAAAAAGAAAAAAAGCTGAAGAGGAAGAAAATAAAAGAATTGAAGAGCAGAAAAAAAGGGATTAGTAAAAAAAAATCGAATAAGAAGAATTAAAAAAAAAATAGGAATAAGAAGAATAAAAGAGAAAAGAGGAATAGAGAATTAAAGATGAATAATTTAGAATCTAATAGGAAGAGCTTAAAAAAAAAAAGGAGTAAGAGGAATAAAAGAGGAAGGAAGAATAGAGAATTAGAGATGAGTAACTTAGAGTATAGTAAGAAGAATAAAAAAAGAGGTTAGAAGAAGAGTAAAGAAAAAAGATTTAATAACAGCAAGAAGAAGAAATGAGAAAGAAAAAAATTTAAGGTAATATATTTTCATTAATAAAAATTTATATAATAATCATTAAACTACCAACATCATAATCTCCTCTAAATACAAATTTTAATTTAATTTACATTATATTAATTTTTTGAATTTTTATTATTATATGTTTCATAAAATTTAGTTAATAGCTTTAATATCTATTATATAAATTAAACAGCTTATTTAAATAAATATTTTTAATATTAAATATTATAACAAATTAACAGAGGAATTAGAACTTAAAAAAAAAGAAGAGGAAGAATAACGTAAAAAATAACAAGAGTTAGATCGTTTAAAAAAAGAAGAGGAAGAAAGAATTAAAAAAATAGAGGAATAAAAAAAAAAAGAATAAATGGAGTAAGATCGTCTAAAAAAAGAAGAGGAAGAAAGAAAGAAAAAGTTAGAAGAACAAAAACGTAAAGAATAAATGGAGCAAGAACGCTTAAAAAAAGAAGAAGAAGATAGACTTAAAAAGGCTAAATATGAAGAAGAAGAAAAGGAGAGAAAGAGAATTTTAGAAGAAAAATAAAAGGAAGAATAGAATAAAAAGGAGTAAATAAATAAATGTTTATACAAAGATAGCAATTAAATTTTATATTTTAATAGTTAAAAAGGTAGTGGTTTTAATTATGATGATATAGGTGGTTCAGAGGAGTCTGGAAGCTAATATAAAGATGAATTCGATATTGATGACTATGATGAGATTTTAGGAAAAGATAATTCTAAAAATAAAAAAGCAAACGAGACATCAAAAAGTATTTTAGATTTCAAAATGTTATTATTTAAATAATATTTGTTTTTTAACAGACACTAAAGGATTTGACCAAGATGATTTATATGAAGAAATAGCTGAAGACAGTGATAATTTTAATGATTTTACTGGTAAATTAAATAAACCTGCTACAGCGACAGCTGGTGCTATAAATGTAAATAATAACGTTAAAAAACCTGAACCAATATAGTCAAAAGTGAAAAATGATAAATATGATGATTTTGAAGATTTAGATGACAACTTTGATGATTTTGACGATGATGATTTAGAAGATAAAAAAAAAACAGAATAACCTCCTGCTAAAACAAATTTGCCTAGTCTTTCAAACAATACTAAAAAGGCTGAAGATTCCAAGAGAAGCAATATCTAAAATAGCTATGAAGATGACTTTGAAGAATTTGATGATTTTTCAGATAAGAAAAAAAAAGATGATTAGAAACCTGCTTAATAAGTCTAAGAATAAAAGAAATCAGATAAAAAGTCAGATATTGATTATTTCGAAGACATTGAAGAAGACATAGATGTTTTAATGGGTGATACTTCTAATAATAAGAATGATAAATCAGGTAATAATATATCTAAAACCAACCCAACTACTACCGCTACAACAGCTAAGCAAACTACCTAACAACCTGCACAAGATAAAAATAAAAAGCAAAGTAACTTTGATTATGATTTAGATTTTGATGATGAAGATGATGATTAACAAGGTGATCTTGAAAAAGATTTCAAGCAAGATATTGAAAAATAACCTCAAAAAAATAACCCTCCTCCTCAAAAATCTAAAGAAAATGAGTATGACTATGATTTTGACGATGAAGATGAAGAACATTAACAGGACCAAAATCCTGGCTAAATGACTCAAGAATAAATGGAATAAATAATGTAAGCTGAATAAGAAAGAGAGTTGTAAAACATGGAACTTACATATGACTTGATTTAGAAGACAAATGAATATGTTAAAAAGACACGTTTTGGCAGATCTCACAAGGCTAATCTATCAAATTATAATAGCTACGATTATGTTATTCGTCTTTATGAAGAATATATTTAAAATTTATAAGTTTTCCTCTTTGATTATCCTGAAAGTATGAAGCTACTTGATCTTTACGAAGCTTATATTAATTAACAAAATGAGTTCGAATAGCTAGTTGAAGAATATGGTGATGAAATACAAAAAATATATTACGAAAATACTAAAATGACTGGCTTTGCCCCAACTACTAAACTCTATTTCCCTCTTGAAGCTAACTCGGTAAATAAAAATTCAATTATCCTTAAATTTATTTTAATAAAATAATTTTTTATCATTAAAACAATAATTTTTAATTTAGATCGGATTTTAACTTATAGAAGTTAATTTAATGAACTAAACTGTATCTTATTTTTATATGGTTGATGAAAATGAGGAATAGCTAATTTAACAACTAAATGAATTCCATAGATTCTTCACTTTTACATTAGGACTAGATGAATTTTAAGCCTCTCCTGTCAAAGTTGAAGATAGTACTTTGAAGATTTTATAAATATATGAGTAAGAGCATTATTTATAATATATGTGTATGCTCTTCCCACTTGTATATGAATTTATGTCTGATATTGCTGAGATAAAAATAGATCAGAACACAATTGATAGAATATTCTATATCCAACTCAGTTTAGAGCTTTTCTACACAGAATTAGAAACAAATGAAGAATAAGTCACTGAAAAATTCAATTCACTTCTTGATCAATATTGTAATCATAAAGAATTTGCAGTAAACATTTAAGATTATTAAGAATTACAAAGTGAAACTTTAGAATAAATACTTAATGAGATGAATCAGTTTAAAGAATAAGTTCTTTAATCTGAAGAGCAAAAGTATGGTTTAGTAATGTTCTCAATATCTACTGGAGAAATTCCTTTCTGCTTCTATTTTTATGTTACTAAATCAGCTGATGAAAAAGTACCTCATGAAATTGGTTTATTCTGCTTAACAATGTCAGACTAAATTAATAACATGATGGTTGAATAATTTGATTAATTATAAGAAGAAAACGTGGTATTTAGACCACATGTTGATTCCTCTAGACATAATGGACTTTATGACTACAGGGAATTTACAATTGCTACTTGGGCTCATTTGATTGAGAAGAAGAATTTCTCACCATTCATAGCACTCAATATAATAAACTTTTCAATGATTCCTTATTACATAACTTATAAAGGGTTAGATTGAAATTATAAAGGAAAAAAAATCAAAAGTTTTATCTAAAATAAAATCAAAAATATATAAATAATGTTAATAATTTTAAATTACTCAATTTTTTGTTAAAGTATATTTATTTTTTAATATAACTATTTGTAAAGTTATTATTTAACTTAGAAATAATTTTTACTCAAATTTAATAAATTAATAATCTTATAATTAATTAATACAAATTTTCAAAGATAAATAAAGATAAATAAGATAGGATAAGTTGTTGATAATTTTTTTATTAAAATATTTTTTTATAAAAATTAATAATTATATATTAAATAAATAAATAAAAATAAAAAATATTTAATCCCTGCAATAATTTTAACTTAATTAATAACTAGAAATAATAAATAAATCTTTAAATTTATAAAAATCATGTTGTAGCCAATAGAATATTGATTTTGGAATTAATAATTTTATTTTTAATAAATTTAATATCTATTTTATACATAATTTTTGAGTGTTTTAATTGATTTTGAATTATTTTAAAAATAATGAAGAAAAGTTAATTATATTTGTTGTTATTATTATAATTAATACATTTATTAGCAAAGATATTATTTATATTGAATCAATAGTTTGAAAAAGAAATTTCTATTTCACATATAATTAAAAGAATAAATTATAATTATTTTTATTGGATTTTATACTATCTATCTAAAAACGCAAATAGAAGCTAAATAATATTTGAAATACAAGGAATTTTCTATTTCTCATCTTAGATTAATTTTATTTTATAAATCTATGTACAGTAGAACTACTCCATTTTTATTTATTAGGGTATTTAATTTCGCATTTTTTCATTTATAACCAAAAATTTTTGAAATTTCCTATAATTCATCTTTTGTTTTTCTTTCTATTTCTGTGATTTTGTAATTTTCAACCAATCCTTGCTTTACATATACATCCTTTTGTTCAATAAAGTAAATTATGTTTTTTATGATAAAGGCAATTTTTTTATTACATTTTTCACAAAATTTTCTACTACTTGTTATTCATCGCAATTGAAAATTATTGTAGCGCCATCCAAAGGAAAATATGATCCTCCTACTATTTAGTTTCCTTTTTCTTCCATCTTTTAAACCCACTTATCATGATCTTATCTATATGGTACTTATAATAAAAGATGATTTTTGAAATTGATAAAAAGAAAATAGCTTTAACAATCAAATTACTCCTCTTATAATATGTGTCTTAAACATATTTATACTCTACTATAAAATATTTTTGTCTTTCTTTAATTGAAGAAATATTTTATGAAAGTTTGCTAAATAAAGAAAATGTCTATTTTGTAGTAGCTTGCTTTAAAAAATTGATTGAAATCATTTTAGATTTTTTTTAAAGAATAAAAAAAATTTAGGTATTATTATTAATTTTAACAAGTATTATTTTTTGATTAAAAAAAGTTTGTCAATATTTTAACTAATTTGTCATATCTTATTTTACTAAATAAAAACAAAATAATTTAACCAAATATTGGACTGGATTCTCATTCATTAAAAAGATTTATTATTATTTTATATAGTTAGTTATTTGATTAAAATGAAAACACTATATTTTTCAATTTAAACTATTTTGAATTCATGATATTAACATCAAAATTTAACTATCAACCAAACAATTAATTTATTTTTTTTTTCTATTTACTACCTTATTAATTTAAAACAATTAAAAATAAACAATCAATTTTAAATTTTTTACTAAATAAAAACTTGAATCTATTTTTTAAGTACAAATACAAATATTATATAATTCATATTGAAAATTAAAAAATATGAATAAAAAAGCAATTAACTATGATAATAATTAAAGATGGGAGGCTAAAAAAGCTGAACGATTAAAAAAACCATATAAATAAACATAAAAATCTAGATAAAGATCAGCTGAGATGGCAGAAAAATATAGTTAAAATCCTAAAAAATTAATATTAGGATTAGCAAGAGTGAAGCACAGTAAAAGTCCTGATTAAGATTTAGAAAATAAGCCAGGATGGAATGATAGAACTGTAGTGTAGCGTGATTAATACAAAGAAAAACTTGAGTCCAGATTTATAAGAAGTGATTATGGTAAAGAGAATCCTCCTAAAAAACATAAAAGTGAAAGTTCATAAAAATTAAAATTGATTCATTAGAGCCAGCAATAATTATAAAAACTAAAGGAAGTTGTTAATACAGGTATATTTAATATTAGAACTCTTTTTAAATTTTCTAATTCTATCATTTTTATTAGAAAATATGGTGAAAGGTGCTGAAATTTCAAAGAAAAGCTAATTGGAAATATAAAACTTAAAAGCTTAAATGGATAAAGATTCTAAAAATTTTTAAGTATTTATTTATTTATTTGCTTAAAATAATAAATTAATTAATTATTCAAATTCAAAATAAATATTTTTTATAATAGGAATATAATCAGTATTTAGATGAAAAGTATTAAAAGCTAGAGGAGTAGAAAAATTTAAACAAATTTTTACAAGAGTAGGTTAAAATTATTAGAACACATAAAAAAGACTTAAGTAAGGCTTAAGCTTTGTAGGGTAATAATAAATCAAGATCCCTTTCATAACATTCATAAGAAAGAAATAATAAATCTCTTTCGAAAGAACGCTAAGCTATATCATCTGAAACTTGGAGCTAAAAGCTAACAGATATGAAAAATAAGGCAGAGAATAATTAGTAAAAGCTATAATTTAGAAATAATTTCTTTTAATAAGAAGATTTAGAGCTTTAAGAATAAGATAAAAGTGGTTTAGATTTATATCCAAGGAGAGAAAATAATTATGATAATAGAATACTTCATTCTAGAAACCGTTCTTAAGAATCTTATTCAAATATTAGTAGACCTTAAAGGAGAAATTTTGTAGATCATTCACAAGAATCTGATCACTATGATAAACTATTAGAAATTAATTAATAAGAAGCATGGAGATAGTATGAAATACATGAGTCAATAAAATAAATGAAAAGAGAAAAGTTAGTTGATAAATAAAATTACAATGCTGTTGAAAAGGCTTTAAGTAATCTAGATGAAAGAATTGAGCCAATTAAAATATAATCTGAATAATAAAAGAGAAATGCTGTCTTCAGCGGCAATTTAATAGGAAGGGCTACTACTAAATTAATAAAAGTGCATCATTAAAAAATAATAGAATTATTAATAGATGATTTACTTTTAGAAATGGTTGGTATTTTAACAGTTGAGGAATCTAAAAACCAAAATCATTCAGAAAAAATAACTCGTGAATGCTTAGTAAATGACTACTTAGAAGAATTTAGAGAAATGGCTTATGAATAATGTGAAATTGTAGATAGAATGAAAGAATAAAAAACTACAAAACAAGAATTTTTGAATTTGAGGCATACTACTCCTCATGAATACAAAGCTTTTATTGCTAATCCTACAATTATTTAGTTTGAAAATATCTAAGTTGAACTAAGTCTTGGTGTAATTGTAAATGTCCTTGAAAAAAGAAGCGAATTTTTAAGAAAAACCTAAAAATTAGATCATTATACAAAGAAAAATATGAATGCTTTTGCTTCCATTACTGAAAAATTATTAGATGATATTTTACTAGATTTAGCTAAAGAATTAGATGAAACTAACTCACAATATGCTGAATTAATGTTTTAACACGAATTTAAATGATACGCTTTAATTATATTTATTAAATTTATTTTCAAATTTTATATTTCTTTTTTATTTTTAAATTAGTTTTTTTCAAAATGTTTATATAATATAATTATAAATGATTTTACTTTAATTAATCTATTATTAAAACAGAAAAATTAAAAAGTAAAATTTTGATAAAATCTCATCGAAATAAATATTTTGAAAAAGATAAATTAATTTATTTAAAAATTGCTAGAAATTTAATTAATATTATCCAATTTCAAATTGAAAAAGTTAAATTATTTTAAAAATGTATTGTAAAACATTAATTGAATAATTATATATTAATTATTACCCAAAATATTTACTTAGTAATTTTGAAAGTATGATTAAATTTATTAAAATACGAATTCTGTTTTTGAGTATATTTAATATATATTAAAAATTTATTTATAAAATTTAGTTCTAATTAATTTTAAAAATAAGGGGTTGGGGTTGGGGTTGGGGTTGGGG